GAAGCCCCCCCTAGTTGTAAATTGGGGTAAAAGAAAAGACCCGAGGGAAAAATTCGTTGATAGCAAAAGGCTCTTTCTGAAGGCTTTCGAGTTTCATCTAACTGGCGGACGAGGATACCCCCTACTTTTTGTTGCCCCGGAGGACTCGAACGACTCGAACGACTGACTCCAATGCACGAGAAGAAGCATCCCGTGTCCGTTCACAAGCTTGCCCGGTGCCAGCGAAAAATAAAATAAATAAAAAATAAAGAATAAAAAAAAGAATGAAAATAAAAATAAAAAATAAAAAAAGAGACTCTATCTGTCGAACCGGCTCGATCAGAAGCCACTGCCTTTCTTTTCTTACAAAAGACAGGCAGGGGATGGGTCCTCCGTCAATTTCCCTCCCCCTTCCACATTTCCGAATATGAAAAAGCAAGCAACGGCTGGCAGGAACAGGCTCAAGGCCAAGGTTATGGTCCACTATGGCAAAGCGACATGATTGCCTGTAAATCAGCATATCGACATCGACGGTAATCGGCCATTCAGGATATTTAGAATTGCTGTATAAACATGCGTACATAAGTACATACCTACATACATACCTCCACGGCATGCACGCAGACATATTTACATATCTCGCTGGTAGTGATAACAGTCGCTTAGAATCTGGAAAAATAGGGAAACCGTATGCGTGCTTAAAATATTCGCTCGTAGACTATCGTCGGAGAAACTTTTGGCTTGCCCTAAGCTGAAATGAACCCGAGTACCTGTACCTGTACATGTAAAAATTGAACCCATCCGGCATCCAGACTAGATCTTAGAAGATCATATCATATATACATTACATAGTACATTACATAGTACATTACATACATAACATGTACCGATTGTTAGATCCGTGGCGGCAGTAGGCGTTTTAATTTTTTTTTCCCTTCTCGCAACGAGCAACACATTTGGAGTGCCACTATTTTCTGAGATCGAACGTCTAATTTATGCTATAACAGCAAGGTATTATACACCTACCAACGTGCTATTGGTTTATAATTAATGATCTTTGAAATCAATTGCAATCAATCACTGGTTGATATTTATATTTTTCTTTCGGGCTGCTTTAATTCTCTCGATAGAAGTTTCTTCTTCTTCTTCTACTTTTACTTCTACTTTTACTTCTACTTCTTTTTCCTTTCCACTTTCTTTCTTCCTTCTCCTATTGAATATCAGATCCCTCCAAATCACTCCTTTCTCCTGTCTCTTCAGAAACTCTCTTTTCGAGTAATTGTAGTCGTGGCGGGAAAGTTGTCTTATCGGATCCCAAATTAGAGATTTCGGTCAAAATAGTACAGTACGTACGAGAAAAACTTGAAAAGAAGCCGCGCGCCGACAAGTCTGAAGCTTGAGACTCTAGCTCTGGCAGAAATAAAGACATCATCTCAGACCATTCTTTCCTCCCGCGCCGGTCCCTTTTTTTTCAGACTCCAAAACGACGATTTCAAATCCAAGAACTAGGAAGCTTTCGGGTTCGTACAGTTCCATTTTATTTTTGTTTTTCGTTACTACCTTCTCGATTCTTTTGACGTTTAACGACGAGGTAATTTTGTCTCGACCTGTCTTGCATTCTTTTGCCCACAGTCGGTTTTCTCCAACCAAAAACCTTCGAGCTTCCCAGATTTTTCTTTTCCTTCGGGTGCATTTTGAGGCCGTCCCGGGACCGGTTGACCACTTGCCCGCGTGAGAATCCTTGGCTTCCCGGGGAGTATCACGCTCCTTCCATCTCGGGCCCCACACCGCCCGTAACATCGTCGACTCACGCTCGGAGTCTACTTTGCCCTTAATCTTACTCACACCACCTTGGTCGCTCGCTCTTAATTGGAACGGCCGTCTGCCATTTCTTCCTAGTCCTTCCTTTTTCTTTTTTTTGCTTTTCGTTCCTTTCGGTGGGAATAGGCTGTTGTAGTCCTGCCATGATTTGTTTTTCTCTCTTTTATCAAGCAAGTTAGCGGGAGACTAGAGCGTGCCCACCTGTTGACACCCTGCTTCACTTTCTTCTGGAATTATTTTTTTATATTTTAGCCCTCCCACACCCCCATACATAACCTGGCCCTCGTACCTGTCGACACTCCCGCTCTACATCTGTCAAGGTGAAGGGGCTTTATTAGCACGAAAGTAAGGAAGGAACACAAATAAACATACAAGAGACTGACCAGGTCCAAAAGTGGAGGCTACAGTTCAATATTTTATTCGAGCGACCATCTCTATCTTGTATTTCTCCCTCTGCCCTGTCGCATCTTCTGGTTTCGTTCAATATCCATCAAAACAGTCGTTTGAAAGATTCCTTCGACAATATAAACTTACAACATTCATCTTGCATCTTATCCTGTCTCCTCTTGCTACTGTTTCGACTCGATCTTGCATGATATCGCCGTTCCTTTCTCTTTTTCTTTTCTGGTTGGAATTTTTAAATACAAACTTGGAGACCTTTCCTTCTAACGTTTAACTGTGGCTGAAGAGCTTGTCATAAAACAGGGGCCAATCCTTCCACCAGCATCATCGAGCAGCGGTTGGCTTTTTTTTTTTTCACCCGCAAACACCAACAATTTGCACGACCCCAAAGAATTTTTCCTACCGGACGCGAACTACTTGATATCGCGAAGAATATTTTTTTCCCTTTCCCTTTTAAAATCAAAAGTTTGGGATTTTGAAAGTTAGAGAAGACCGGGCTGGTTTATTCTTCGACCTATTACATATATATATTCCTGTACTTCTTTTCCTTGTCGAAAAAAAAAAAAGATTTCCGGAAACGAACGCTTTTCAGCATCGAGATCACATACCAACCATCACTATCTCAATCCTTTGTATTCTTCAACAATTGGATAACCTTCTGACCTAATATCGAATACTGATGTAAGTAGAGGAAACCAAATACGGTCCCCTTTTAAGAGATGGGAAAGGCTGGAAGTTTTTTTTATATTTTTTTTTATATATTTTATATATCTCTTTTTTATGCTAACTGTATTCTGATATAGATATGACAATCCGTATCGACACTCTATAACCAACCTAATTCTTTATTTCGTAATCTTCAAACGTGGAGCGAACTCAAGATCAAAGTGGTGGTCGCACCGGATCCGCAGGTGTGGGAGATACTTCAGGTCTTCACGTGCAATCTCTTAACCAGGGACAAGGACGATACCAACCCAGCGCCATTAACCTGCCTCAGCAGCTCTATCAGAGACAGCAGCAGGAAACTCTGAATTACTACAACCACCCTTCTCCAATAAGCGTCACGAGCGTACCAGAAAGCCCTTACATCAATCAAGGTAGGAACTTGCACTCTCCCTTTCTTTTTTAAACTCTTCGGGGCTCCCTTCCCTTTTTTGTTTTACGCAGGAGGACCTGTCGATCTGGAAAGGGGCGGGTAAAATGTGCATGCCACTGGGAATCCTAATGTTTCCAGATTCTCATGTCTTGTCAAAATGGCGATTTGGAGGGCTGTATTTGAATCCAGGAGTTGACTGGGTTCCTTTTTCCTTATTTCTTCCATTCGTGACATCGAAAAGGGAAGAGCAAGAGAGAAAAAACAAAAACACCCTAACAATTATCATAAAATTCGAGGAAATGGCCTGCTAACAGTTGTATGAATTTTCTTGTTTTCTAGACCCCGAGGCTTCAGAGCTTATGGCAACTCACATGAACCGACCTCACCAAACTTACCCACCAATGTATCACACACCGCAAAGTAACTCCCCGACGTCGGTTGCCTCCCCGGGGGGCGCTGATCATCGGTCTGTTTACTCTACTCAGCACCTCCAGCAAGGTATCTATGGATACCCGCAAACATACTCCCTCCCTCCGTCGCAGCAGAGCCCGTATCCATCGGCTCAGCATATGACCAGCCAACCGCTACTGATGTCCCAGCCGGGAGCTACCGCCATGACACACCATGCTGGTATTCCTCAGCATCAATCTCCGACCACAAAATTCCAACAGGCACCTGTTCACAGACCCCAGCAGGCTCCTCAACAACCTCCTCACAGCGCAGGCTTGACACAGCCGCCAGCAAACCACTCAAATCCGATTAACAATAACCACGCTGGCCCAGGTGCCAACAGCGTAAACCCCAGCGCTGCTCCAGGCCCAATTCCTGCCACAACCCCTTTGGTTGTCAGGCAGGATAATAATGGCGTCCAATGGATTGCGTTCGAGTACTCGCGAGATCGTATCAAGATGGAATACACCATTCGTTGCGACGTCGAGTCTGTAAATGTTGACAATCTTACACCTGAGTTTAAGCAAGAAAACTGTGTCTATCCGAGGGCATGCTGTCCAAAGGACCAGTACAGAGGGAACCGTTTGGTCTATGAAACTGAGTGCAATACCGTGGGGTGGGCTCTGGCTGAGCTCAACCCTCCACTTCGTGGAAAGCGTGGATTGATTCAGCGGGCCGTTGATAGCTGGCGAAACTCGAACCAAGATCCTAGACTACGAAGCCGAAGGGTTCGCAGAATGGCTAAGCTTAACAATAGAAAAGCAGTCCATGCTGCTTCTCAGCAATTGACTGCCGGTTCCCCGGTTCATGCGGGTCAAATGCCACTTGGTGTCAAAACGCCAGGTGGTATGGGACAACCAGGACAAGGTATGCACGATGGCAATTCAGTTGCCGGTAACGGTGATATGAATGGCATGCTCCGCCCCCAACATTATCAAGCTAACTCTCCTTACGTTGGAGTCCATCCTCATGCCCACATGGGTGCTGCAGCCGGACCAAATTCCAGAACCCCTACCGGGCATATTTCTCCTGCTGGAGGTGAATACACCAACGGCCATCATCACCCCCACCAAACAGGACAGTCCCCTGCCGACAACATGCACGCTCGACATGTTTACCAACCATACCCCCCTGCTTATCCAAGCGAGCCCACAAATGGTGCATCCATGCCCCCTTCCCTGCACGATGTGATGGATGGCAGTCTTGGAAACCCGCAAATGGGACCTACTGCAACAACCCAATCCACAACCGTTTCGACGGCAGCCCCTGCAGCTTCCCTCTCTGCTCCTAAGTCATCGGAGCAGGCTCTCTTCGCTGATATCCCAGAACACAAGAGGCGAAAGTTCATCTTGGTTGATGATCCGCACCGAGGTTCGCGAGTCCGTGTTCGTGTGATGTTGGATAACGTCGATATGGATGAGATCCCGGACTCTTACAGGAAGAGCAACAGCGTCTACCCAAGAAGCTATTACGCGAGACAAATGCCATCTCCCGAGGAGAGCTCTGGCACTATTGTTGGCGACTGCATCCAAGTTCAGATGATGGATGGTAGCAATCTTGATGTCTCAACCCCGCCACCAACAAAGTTGCGCAAGGATAAGGAATCCGCATTGAACGACCTTGGTTATCGCATGAGCTGGAGCCAGAGCCGTGTCTTTGCCGGCCGAACAATGTTCCTACAGAGAGCTTGTAAGTCCCTGTTCTCAATCTGAAACTGGTATTTTTAGACATATCGGCTGACTCGACCTGATACACAGTGGATGCATACCGCAATAAGATGCGATGCGCATTGCTCGCCAACGGCCAGGATGCGACAGCTGTTGCTCCACACTTGGAAACTCGTGTAGGCAAGAGAAAGTGGATGGAGAGGTACCGACGATCCAAGGCTGGCTCTGACCGCGATTGAATCCTACCTCACAACCTCTTCAAACTCCAACCCTCCTCAGGTCGTGATCATTAATAGACGGACCGGTATTTGTTTTCTGCCCTTTTTGCTTTTTTAACTTTTCCTTTAGTCGGTATTTCCTTGATTCTCAAAAATTGGGTATCCTTGTGGCGGATAAAATTGGCTTTGTTTAGAATGTTCTACGTTATGGCCCGAGACGTGACCCTTTCCTATATCTATTTTGAAGCATTACGTTCTCGTGGCAACTCGCTTATCTACATTAACGCACCTGTCTCTGCTTTTGCCTCTGCATCTTCATTCTTGCATCCAACGAGCAGAATGAAATCTTTTTTTGTATCATCAGAGTCGTGTTTCTTTTCATGACCAGGGAACGGCTCCTACTTTTTCCTTGAATCTCTGCTTTGGTTTTCCCTATATCCTTTTGATTTTTTTTTCCGGGTATCTATCCTATCTGGGTGTTCACTTACGGTACATATCCTTCTCCGTTTTCTCTTTTTCTCCACCCTCACTGCCTGTTTCTATCTAATCCACCCTCACCCGCTCCACGAACGCTACCACATTTTATAACAGCGTCTCCCAACGGTTTAGCACGCAAACAGCAGCAGCACAAAAAAGCATTCCTGTGGTCTTCGACGGCTCGGATCAAAGCTGGTTTTTCATTCGAGACAAATCTTTGTTATGAGGTGTAATTCTATAACGGAGGGTATTGATAGACTTTTTTCCTCTACTCTTTCTTGTTCACTTTTTTTTTTTTTCCCATGCGGCGGAAATCTGTACTCTATGGGAGGGGAAACTTAGCAACCCCACCTCGTTTTCCCGCGCCTTTGCTTCGTTATTCTTCTATCTTCTCTTTCGTGTAAAAATTAATTATAAAAACTTCTTTGTACTTTCTGGTGGAAAAAGTTTCTTCTGAACCTCTAACTACAACTCTGACAACAACATACCTCTCTCTGACTTTGTCTCTAAATGGGGAGACCTATTCTTCACTTTTTTTATTTTTTATTTTTTATTTCCTTTTTCTTCTTCTTTCCGTTCTGTTATTCTTTTTCCTCGTTGATTTTCAATTCGTTTGCTTTGGGGGATTTTCCTAGCCCGCCATTTATAAGATGCTCAGACTGATATGCTCTTTTTTTTTTGTTTGCTTCGGAAAAGAAAAATCTATGAGAAAAAGAGAAGGGATTTATTTGACAGAGATGGATGGATGGATTATAAGACGATTAGGATATGTGAGAAGAACCTTCATGTAGGTAGATATATAATAACAATCGAATTGATCAATAAATACAAGAAGATACAATAAATAAATGGCTCTGAATAAGATGGGTAGTATACACGCCTACCTACCTGGGGATATACCAGATATATGGGGTGGAGTTCCGTTCAATATTCTTCGGAGTCTAAGACGAGGTCCCTCCCTCTCTTCTTTAGAGGCGTTCCATACATAATTAGTCGAGAATCTGCGAGCATGCGATAGCTACCCTCGTTCTCGAAAATCCTAGTCACATTTTTTCTGGGGGTTTTGCGTGGGATGTTGAGACAAGGGACAGGGAAGTTGGAGGTATTCTGTTGGTGACACAGTTGTTTGTGGTATTTTTCTTTCACAACCCAACATTGCTGTGGACAAAGGCGGCCGTTCGATATGCAATACGTTGACATCATGCATCATGATCACGGACAAAAGAAGATTCGAGGCTACTATTCAGACCCTAAGGCCTAACCACATTAATAATCACTTACGCTCTGAAATGTAACGTATGCGCCGATAAACTCATTCGATACTGTCTACAAAACATCTTCGTCTCACCGTATGCAGTGCCGCTGTAATTGAACCAGGCAATATGGCTCGAGCTCGACTTCTGGATCTTCCATCAGAGTTGCTCTTTCTCATTATTGATGAGTTAAGCCCTGGCGACAACTACAGTCTTGGGGTAACTTGTCGACGTTTTACCCGCCTTGCACTGCCTGAAATCCATTCAATATGCCACATCGAATTTTGCAAGTTTGCTCAAACTTACACTCATATGGGAGACGGGCGCCTTTTCGACAAACCAGATTATACGGGATTCGTGAAGTTTGGGTGTTACACTAAGTAAGTAACGATCCCTATGGCTCTAGGAAGATCCTTATCTTATGATCCTAGAGCCTTCACTGACTAGGAATACAAGAGAACTCTACGTCAACTCCAAGCCTCCGCGCCGGAAGAACAAGCTGGACCACTGTTTTTTTTGCAGAGAAAGGACCCCTGAAAGGGGGGAACTTGAAATGAAACGGGAGAGTTATTCCAGACTCGCTGCTATAGCAGCAAGATCCCATTGTAGAATTCCAAATCAGCTAGAGCTTGTGGCCCCAGGATTTACAGCCGTGACCACTGTTACTTTATGGTCCCCACAGTTCTCGTCTGGTCCCGGCCCTGCGCTCGAAATCCAAATTATTCAGATGATAATAAAAAACTGTCGGTCCATGAAGAAACTTTCGATCTATCTATGCTACAACGCCTATGGCAGAGAAGAATCCGGGGCACTTAGCAATCTTGAGAATAAGCTCAACGACGAAAAACGCGACCGCACGATGATCCCCTCTCAATCCCGTTTGACGGACCTATCCATCCAATTGAATGACGAGAAATATAGGATCAACTTAGAACTGACTTGCCGCATATTGCGTATACTCTGCGATATACTACACGACCATGCTAAGACTGCCACTCGGTTCGCCTTCGAGTTTTGCGGGTTAGATGTAGACGAAGACCCGTTGTCGTACCCTGAGATTTCAGAGGTCCCAAATGGGCCTGGGCTGGAATTAAAGATGGTAGAAAGAATAGCTCTTGGAGTGCAGCGACCAGAGTGCTGTCAGATACTAGTACCAGGGTTTTTCCATTTTGACGAAAATAAAGTTAAGGAGATAACAATAGATATGGGGTATAATGAATCACATACGTTACAAGTACGTCAAAACTTACTCCTGGCCTGGAGACATTCCCTTCTGATTTCGTTAAATTATATATTCAACCGCCAACCATTTCTCACTTCGAATTTTGATTTAAAAGGGGGTCAACTTAATCTCAACATTCTCGAGCCTAGAAACAATCATACTATCGTATCCAGCTGAAGCATGGTCGCAATGGGTGGAAATGATTTTGGATGCATGGAAGGAGGAAAGATTTAGAGAATTGAAGGAACTTCGGATTTCAGTCTACGGTAGGCTATTTGGCCAAGATATGCTAGATTGGCTATTGTACTATTTGGGTTCCCAGCCCAACTACCAAGTGCAGAGAATCAATGGTAATAGCCCTTTGTGCGATGGCCCTAGATCGTTACCCGACTATGAGGCTTGTGCATGTGTCGGGGATTGTCCGGATGGCTTCCTTCATTTTGTTTTTGACTCGTCGCACAGTCGGAATTGGTCGGCTTTTGACCCCTCGGTTCATCCGTGCGATGTTTTTATATACAATAAGTAGTCTCGGAGCCATACAATATTATAAGCACGCTGATTGATCAATTATGCATCCCGGAATGAATTCGGATGTGTGTTACGATAGTATTTAATCTAGAATTTGAAGATCTCTACTATAGGCCGAATTCCAAAGCCCCGTTCCAACCGATTCAACAACTTTAGAAAATCTTCTTAAGATCGCGATCTCGCGACATAACTGAACCTGGCTTAAGGTTACTCTCAGGAGTTTATGTTATATTTAAAGATCACACAACATTAATTCCGCGTTTTCATAGGTACCTAGGTTTTGACGCTGGTAAATGTATCTGCAAATTTTTTACCTAGTCTAGCTGAGAACCGAGTCAGGCTTTCTTGATTATAATATTATATTAATTATGTGCTCATTGTAGCTAGGACGAGATCTGCGAGATGACTCGTATATTTGGCGCATGCTCTGAAACCTTTAAACTTTGTTGGTTTGGCACAGTTTCTCGTTCGCATGTTGTAAGTAGTTTAGATTGTATTAACTTCTTTGACACATATTGATACCAAACAAAGATGAATGGAAAATTGTGTAAAGTTACGAAGTATACTTTAATAAAACCCTTCATTTATGGGAGACTGGCTGGTCCTAAGCCGCTCAGGGCCCCTTCACTACTTGCATACTACATTCTACTACCATAGTTTGGGTGGAACAGAATCTTTACACATGCTCACCACGACACCAAGAGCACCCTCTATTCGAAAATATTAAAATGAGTCGACTACCGGATCTTCCTACAGAGATATTATATCTCATTCTCGATGAACTGCCTCGACAAGGTAGATATAGAATGGGGTTAACTTGCAAGAGTATTAGTCATATCGCCATTCCTGGACTATATTCACTTTGCTACCTCGATTTCCTTCTGCAAGAGGAGACATACGTTATTTCTGGACCAATCGAGGACACAATAGCGAATTACCTCGCATATACGAAATACCACAGGGCCGTAAGGTATACTTCTATGAAATTGGACTGCCATGTGTGACACTCAAACTCAAAAATTCAGCACCTAGTATTTCTGACAGTGAATCAATTTCTTCATTCTCCTAGGAACCTTCGCATCAATCATCAGACTTTCTTTCGCGATAGAAATTTGGAGATTTACCCTTCGACTGGAACGTTGGGAAACCCGCGCCTCCATAGCATGCAAGCACCCTCAAATCCTGTACCAAACAATCCGGCTTCGATATTCAACAAAATCGGCCCTCTACTCCCCAGATTCACAGCCTTAAAGACGGTAGACCTGAGAAACCACGAATACACCCCAGAAGCCGCACTGCGGCAAATGCAAACGATCCGAATGATCTTGGTCTCATGCCCGTCCCTAAAAGACCTCTCTATCCAGATCAATTGCGATAGCCAAGTAAAGCTGCTGGAATTGAATTCACTGGAAGTTGGACACCACCCAGGTCAAAACCACTCTCGTTTGACGGCGTTAACCATCCAGTTAACGGAGACATGCTACGATAACAACTTAGAACCGGTCCAGAATTTGTTAAATTCTCTCTGCAAACTATTACACCATTCGGCTAGGACCGTTAAGCGATTAGAGTTTGGGTTTGAAGTCAAACGATTGGTAGATGATCCATATTGTAGTTCTTGGTATACGTATTGGCCCTCGAGGGAGAGTCAAAACTGGGTTAGATTGGACTTACCGCTTGTAGAAGTCGCCTGTCTGGACATGCGTCAGGGTGGATTGTCTGGACTGATGGTATCTGAATACATTCATTTTGATCCAACAAAAGTCAAAACACTGAGATTGACCAGCGCTGAGAAAATCTTGGATCTCACTAAGGAAGAATCTGTAAGTATTCCATTCTCCATTCCTTTACTAAAAGTGTGATAATTGCCTCGTATTAACGAATAACAATTTTTCAAAGGTATTGTACGCGAGTAAATATCTCGCGAAATTCACAAACGTGGAAGTTATAGAGCTTTGGCCTCTCGTAGACTCCACGTGGGTGCATGGTGTATTCGCAGCGAGAAGAAGTATTAAGACTTTAAGGGAACTCCGAGTTCTAATAGATGGTTTATGCCTTTTGCCGGGCTCGGCCAGATTTTCTCTGCTTTTAGAGGTGATCAACAAATACGGATTACAATACCAGGCTCAGGTTTTGAACACCACAAACCCTTGCGGCTTATTCCAGGATGTTGTAGTTGTCTTTCAATTTTGATACTATGGAGATCCAATGTCTTTAGGCTAGAGTATCTTGCGATATATATTGAGTACATGTATCGAACGAACCATGGTGGACACCAGGTGTGTAATAGAATAATACGGGGAACTTGCACGTCGATATTTTCGTGTGGCTTATTCTATATTAATGAATTGATGAATTGGTTATTTATATTAACATGCCATTCGGAAATCGAACGCCCGGCTTTAATTATAGCCTCGTAAAGCTTTTTGCATGCGCGAATAAGTTGTACTCCTAATAGCGAATGAAGTGGGAACGAGACTACTAATCAAGCTATGTTACATAAAACTAGATCTATTTGATAAATATATGTGCAACGCTTCCGTATGCCTGAGCTCGAGCCCTCCCCCCGGTCTTCGAATCCCATGAAATAGGAATATAGTTGTACTCGGCCATAGATCAATCGAGAATTGAATATTTCGATGTTGTCTCAAACTATGCGTGTAGATATACCCGCGAGGCATGTTGGATTCGTTGCATTTTTGCCAACAACACGAACTTGAGATCTGGTAGATGCTAGCTAGACGTAATGAGTTTGAGGAAGTATTTAGTCTCGACGTTACAGCCCTTTGAAATATAGACATAATTGTTCATCGCCTTGACTGAATAGAAGCTCCTAAGAAGTAAAAGCCATAGCTCATTTCTAATTCTACTGGGTAAGAGTCCTATTGATTCATATCCACGTCATTAAATATGCGGATGAGAACTGTTATCAGAAAATTTATATCACGCCTATCAACGAAACCTCGAGACCGTCACCCTGCAGGTCGGTGGAAGAAAGGGCAGAATATTTTTCTGTTGGATCTCCCAAATGAATTAATATATATGATACTCGAGTATCTGGATGAGGGGGATAAGTATCGCCTCGGGAGAGCTAGTAGAGATCTTAGCGTACTCGCGATCCCTAGCATATATGATTACTGTACCCTTGATTTTGTGAAAATAAATGATGCTGACAAGTGGGTTGCTCGAATTCCCTTTATGCCTAGTATGCCAAAACTTCAACCGTATATGAAGTATGGTAGGTCTGTGAGGTAAGTCTAGTCTACCCTTTCGCTGGCATACCGGCCATTTACATCTACACAATAGTATCTCACTAACGATATGTGTGATGAATAGACACCTATCCCTTGCCAACTATTGCGGAGGTAGTATTCCGGATGTTCGAAACAGGGAGATGAGCCTTAGCCATATGGATCTATTGTTGCCACAGTTCACAAATCTCAAGAGTTTTACGATACAACGGAGAAGCGGTGCAGGGCCCCCACTTATGACATACGTGTGTGCTCTCCAACAGGCCTTGAAGACCTGTCCATCACTACACGATGTTTTCATTGAATTTCGTTATGATATTGGAGATGTGTCCGACCTATCGATCCTCGAGGATCGGCTTGCGCTAGAACCTTCAGTTCCATACCCTCGTTTGCTGGACCTTACCGTTCGGCTCGGACAGATGGCGTATAATAATGATCTCGCCCCAACCTACAGTCTACTGAACCTTATTTGCAAAATGATTGGTGACTCTTCTCAAACAGTCCGAAACTTAAGGTTTGGCATCGGTGTTCATGATCTACATGAAGATTTTGATGAGGCTCTTTATGAGCAATCCGATTGGGCTATAATCTCAAGAGATCGAAGTAGTAAACCGGTGATGAATTTACTCAAGGTAGAAAAGTTGATACTGGATTTAACTGAGGCCGTGCTGTGCAACAGCTTATTTTCAGATTTCTGCTATGTGGATAGGGACAAAATACGAGAGCTTGAACTCTGTAATATGGCTGCTACGGAGCCCTTTCCGATAGAACAGGTATGTGATATTCTTCCTTGAGCCTTCCCCGCCCCTAGCATTAGTAACGCTCTATTATTTTCGGAATTTATCCAGGAGATATTTGAGTATTCTTGCACTACTAGAACGTAAGATGTTAAAACTCTCCGTAGCTTAAACTGACTAGACACAAATTTCCAAATCTATTCTAGGGGGTGCGTTTTTTCTCTCCATTTTCACGCTTGCAACTAATTATACTCATCGATACGACGAATCTACAATGGATTGATATGATTTTCGAGGCTAGGAATATGAAGAAACTAAAATGGCTGAAAGAACTAAGAATTTCCTTCCTGGATACCGAGCCTCCTGCTGACGGATCTCTTTCCCAGATCGCGAAACTCTACAGTTCCAAATGCAAGTGGCACGATGTAGTAAAATGCGTAGACCAGTCTGTTGATGACGGCGACAAAGTGACTTGGATGATGATGTTTAAGTTTTAGAACATGTTTCCAAACTTCATTGACGAGGAACGCGTAGTTAGTATAAAACCGTGGCAACACCCAGATAGACATAATTAGAGGAAATGAAAGCAATCGCTATATTATATTATAATATCGGCACTAAATTATATCTATTGGATATCTAAATATAAGCTTCGTCCCTGGCTCTACACTTGATGTGATGATCTTCATCGGCTCCACAGAAAAAAAGCTATGCGAACATGCAGGCGAGGTCCATAGTCATCTGTGTTGCTAGAGACAGGCGTCCATGACAATCCGAAGTTTCAATATCGATCGCTGGAGCATATTCCACAAAATTGACGCTATCATTTCGGGTCCACCGGAAATTTACCCGCGGCTGCCAGCCTACCATTATACCTTGTCCCGAGCATGAGCGGAGTATAGGGAAGAGTCTAACAGCCACCCGAACTGGGGTTGTTACACTCGGATGGTTTAATATTAATTCTCCTGCCACCCTAACTATAATTATGGGTTTGGATTATACCATCAAACTAGCAAGTTGCATGATAAAAACCTCACCTGTAAAATCTAGCTAGATCAACCAAGATGCCCGGAATTCTTGATTGTCCACCTGAGATTCTCGAACTCATAATAGACGAGCTGGCATTTAGCCCCGCACTTGCTAGCGAGCTTGTCGATTCAGTACATCAACGTTTATCTCGAAGGATATTCTCACTCGGACAGACATGTCAATTTTTCTACCAATTCATTCTACCACGGCTCTATTCGAATTGCTTTCTTGAATTCCACGCATTCTTTTATCATTTTGCTGAATCGCCACAATACCGCTTGTACGATTCATCCGCTGTGGGTACAGTACAGAAGTACAATGGCTTTCTCAAACACGGATCTCTGGTCAAGTGAGTTTAACTTAACTTCCAAATATGTACCAAGCCATCCTGGGAAGTTAGCATATGCTAATAGATAGGTATATTAGAGATCTCAATATCAGATTTGACGAGCTTGCAGACTGGCCACATCCCGCTCAGGAATGGAAGGCGGTTAAATGGTCTGAATTTCAAGAAGTGTCACAGCCGGCTCCAAACATCCTCGAGAAACTGCTCCCGAGGTTCGATCGTCTTAACAGAGTGGAGTTTCAACGGGACACAAGGACTCTAGGCTCTCTAGGTGACGTCGTAAGAGGGTTAGGTTTAGTGTTATCCCGAGTAACGTCCTTGACAGCATTAGATCTATCCATCCAGTACAATACCGAAGACAAAAGCGACTGGGCCAAGAACGCAGTTGAGATTGAATACTCCAGTTTTGCTGCACGATTACGAGACCTAAGTATCTCGGTTGAACCGAAATCAAGGGAGTTAGATTGGAACGAGGAACCAACAGATCATGACCTGTTAGATTGTTTTTGGTTTATGGACGTCCTTATCCAGTTACTCAGTATACCTTCACAGACCGTCAAGACTTTGAACTTTGAGTTCATCCTCGAGCAATTTGGAGGATGTCCACTAGGCCGTCGATGGTTGAAGAATAGGGAAAATGGGCCACCTACCAAAATCGTTAAAAATCGCTTGGAACTCCCTCTCGTCAGCAAATTATATCTTACTCTTGGAAACGGATGTCAATTCGCCTACGAGCATTGCTTCAAAATCACTCATAGAGAGGTCAAGGACTTGAGTTTGCAATTGATTACCCTCCCCGGGGGCGAATGGTTAAAGGTATGCCATATCCATCTCTCTCATACGTATTAACCCAGATCAAATTGTATATCTTATCTGTCAGACTGTTCGATTTCTCAAGATACATTTTTTTTTTAAAAAAAGCTAACCTTAGGCACACCTTTTTACTATACTAGGAAATATCCTTCATCAAAAGTTTTCCGAAACTTATAGCCATCACTTTATATCATCCACGTGATATAGAGCTAGTAGAAGCCGTCGTTGCTTCTTTGCAATCGGATTTTATCCATTTAAAGGAACTTAGAGTCGTTTTATTTACGCCTTCTTCCTATGTCAGGGCCATAATCGACAAATTTGGGAAGGGCTCCCGGATTCAAGTTGAGAAATTTGATTCTCGCCATAGCTCTGCGACTGTCCGGTTACACTTTTAAGGAAAACTAAGTGGTTTCGCTCCATATAGCTGACTGTAGCGAGTACATATTAATATAAATGATTGGGTTTCCTTTTATATTTCATCGATAGGTATCTATACATAACTGATAATTTGTACCGGTTTCTGCGCTTTGACATCCTGATAAACCGTTCTAGACTCGCCCATAGCCTGACGTGCGACATCACTCAAATTTCTTTGGAGTATTATATATTTTAATATAATTATACGTTTGAATCTAGAAAATACAACTAGATTCATTTGACCCAATAGAATCCTCCAACGGCGCACATTTAAATATGTACACGGTCACGTCCCGTATCACACCGCATATCTGGAGGATGAGTAAAATAGGGGGCACCATAGTGATACCAGTAATCAATTGAATTGTCTGTCACTATTTCAATCGTATACTCACCTAAAGCTATAGAAGAACCCGCAAAGATATTCATTTGGGTATAACTACATAGCTAAAGAGCACTCGAACATACCGTTATGGCGCCACACATTCTCAATGTTCCAAACGAGGTCACCGATGTCATCTTGAACGAGCTCGATGAGTCTATTGAAGCAAAAATGAAACTCATGTCGACTTGCCAGCACTTTCGTCGGTATCTCCTCCCACGGATTTACTCTGCATGTCAACTCAATTTTGGGCGGACGGCGACCCCACGAGCGACTATTTTGTGTGATAAATCGGCTGGCCATATTGGGCCTCTGCATAAGAACTACCCGGAGCATGGAAGACTAGTCAAGTAAGAGTTCTTGCATATACTCACGGTTCTCAATTCGTTAGGACACTCAGTATTTCTTTCAACACGACTTTTACTACAAAAGGCCCAGTATTAGACGAAACAGATGGTTTCGAAAAGACCAGGTCTCCACAATATGTTCTCGGAAATCTGCTGCCGCGGTTCGATACTCTCAAGACGGCCAAGCTATACCATGGAAGAACAACTAGTAATTCTCTCTTGATCTTCGGAGGGTTTATCGATGCTCTTTCGATAGTTTTATTATGCAATTCTTTGAAAGAGCTTTCCATCGACCTGGCTTTTTGCACTAGTGACAGACCCCTATGGAGAGCCGAAGAAAGAAAACTAGACGCCTGTAATGGTTGGACTAGAGCTCGTACTATCTATTCCCCCCCTCAAGCGAGTTTAGAAAAGTTGGATTTCTTCTTACTGGAGAAAGATTGCTATTTACCTTTCGGAACTCAAGACCTCTCCAAAACTGCGGTTGCATGGTTGATTGGGATATTTCTGCGTTTACTTGAGCTTCCATGTCGAAGTTTGAAATCTTTAAACTTCAGGTACAGAGCCGACCGCCATCGCTCGCCGGATCCGGAATTCTTCCCTCTCGAACTTCTCGAACCTCATCCCGAACCGAAAAGAATAATGAATAGGCCTGGGGGCCAGTTGAGGCTGCCTAAGCTGGAGGAGTTGACTCTTAGTGTATCTGATGCGGGAAGATGGGCTTTTGAACAGTATTTCGATGTCGATTTGGGAGATATTAAATCACTATCGCTGGTTGGAATTTACGATAACGTCTCACCGGAGGTGCGTTTCCCTACTGAAATATTATCCCACAGTCTAATGACGATATACATATATCCTTTGGGGTTCCGTAACTACATACTAACACTACGCCTCAAACTTCGTATTCTCTTCATAGGATTTTATCTTCCTCCGGAAGCTCACAGGCCTATCCGTCCTCCATCTCCGGTATCCCTCACGCCAGTATTTTAGGAACTGGATTTGGAGTGGAGTCCCACTACGGGGGCCATGCCAGAGCTTGAAGAAAGTGGTTGTACTTGGTCAGGGCCCTTCCTCGACCGATGCCTTACAAGAGTTTATGAAAAATAATGGTAAAATCTATAACGCTCGCATCGAGGAAGAGAAGGTCCCAGATCGCCTTGCTGCTAAGGGTATAAAGCCCGAAGACTTCACGCTTTATCTCTACACCCCGCTTGTGGTCCCGTCTCAAACCAGCCATTACAACTTTGAGACAACTTATGGTCTAAAAAATAAGGGTGTGGACTCTTGCGGTCCATTCCCATATTGATCATACCATTACAACCATGTAGGCAGATATTCCACGTTTATCCTTTCTTACTCACTCGCGACAGCAGCAAGGAATAAGAAAAGACTAAAAGCGCATGTTGGGCGATCGCGAGTTAGCTTTTAGTGTTAAATAACTTGTGCTCTCTTGCTTTGATCGTGTCGGCTACGATTGAGCTATTTATAGCCCCTCAATACTATACTTCCTCTCCCCTTCCCCCCTTCCTTAATTAACTAGCTTTGATCTATATATAGTCATCGTGGGGTTCCTTATAATCAGGCACCTTCACAATTTATCCTTCTTAATAATATTGATTACCCCAAGATTGAAATTCGAACTCTTGAACTTGACATAACATATCGACGTTGTATCCAATACGTATAAGATGCCTATATATATAGAGAAAATGTCTTATGAAAAAGCTAGCCTTATCACCGCGCCTTCAGAACTACTTATACCCTTGGAAGAACTAAAAACACCCGGACCACCAAATTTATCCAAACTCCCGACAGAGGTTTTAGGCTTGATCTTCGAGAGGGTAGTAGAACCCTTGGAGGCCACCCAACATTCTGCACATCCTCGACGACATAATTCCACCCAAATTCTAAATATTTGTTTAACATGCAAGCGGTTTTACAAAATTGCTGGGCGCCATCTTTACCAACTTTGTGTGGTTAATTATCTCAGGAAGAAAGAGATACCCGCGAATTCAGACCCATGGAAGAAGAGAAAGCCTAGTTACTCGGTATTTATATCTCCGCAGGATGTAAAGCCCGAACATTGGGAAAAGGATTATTCTGCCAATTTTTTGAAGTCCGGGGGTTGTGTAAGGTAGGTTTGAGTCTATTTACCTATCTCTATTGTTAATGGTATCTATAGAGTTTTATAATAGAGTACGCTAACAAAAGGTTATTATAATCCCCACATGATTAGAGCCCTTCAAATCGGCTCCGCAGAATCCCTCTTCACTTACCCGCCCGGTTCCATTCGAACTCATCACCGAATAACCACTTTAAAATCCGTACTCAAACGTCTCGTCCCAGGATTCACCCATTTAACAAATCTAACCCTCGACCGATCCTCCATCGACTACGCCCCTCCCCTTGACGACTTCTTCCGCTCCATTCACCTTATCTTCACAAAATGTCCAACCCTAGAAACACTTTCCCTCTCAATCTCCTACTGCCAGCACGAATCCTCCATCTCTTCCAAACTCCTCTCAAATTCCCTAGCCCGTGGTCAAAAACCATATTTACCCTTTCCAGCCCTAAAGGAAATATCCATAAACATCCTCCATAAAACGAATTACCTCCCAAAGAAGCAAACGGTCCGCCACTGGCCACTGGAACTCCTCGGGGCAATGTTAAACCTCTCGTCTAGAAGTGTTACAAAATTAACTTTTTCTTGTACTACGAGTTATCCGCCTGATGTACTGGTGGAGAAAAAAAAATGTGTGCCGTTGAGTTATATATTTAACAACGATTTGGTACCGGATTATGCAGATTTTATGGTCAAGACTAAGAAGTGGGATCTGCCTAGTGTTAACCATCTGGTATTTGATATGGATCTAGATAGTTTGAAGGTTTTTGATAGATATTTCGGGGTTACGTTGGCGAATGTGATGAAGGTTGAGTTTAATGTTAGGAAAAACGATAGGTGGCAGAAAGTATAATCCCCTCTTTCTCCACAACTTCCTTCTTTCTTTCTTTCTTTCTTTCTGGACGCTAACCACAAATAATATATACAACAGGTCATAAGAGAAATAAACCTCGGAAGTTTCCCAGCCCTCGAGGATCTCATAATCAACAGTTACGCCGATGACAAAGAAACCGGAAGAATCATTCACTGTCTAGACCGAGAAGCCAACCTGAGTTATTGCGACCGTCTTAAAGTTACAGACGTGGTGGTTTGCTCTGATGTTCCTTATATTGCCGATTGTCAAGTATTTTGGGACAATCTCAAGAAGGGATATGGTCCCTGTGTTTCGTCCTTAGTCGGGAGCTGTAGATCTCAGGATCCTCCATGGAAGGTGGTCTTTTAGCTCGTCCGTATATAAGCACTTACTTATCATTCAAGGGTAAAATTAGGTGGTCGTCGCTGCAACTCGTTTGGGAGTGTGTTAACTCCGTGGTATTTTCTATTTTGGAACATGGAACGCTAAGCTTGTTTGGGAAATTCGACGTATTTGGGCTAATTCTTCATTCACTTTTGTTCTCCAAGCGGCAATCAGCATTACATACAATGTCTTCAAGTCAATTTCATATTTTTATTTTTTTTAAAATAGATCGGGCTCTCTATCAATGGTGCCATCTACGGAAATCTAGAAAATTTGTAGAATGTATACTCAAGAAATAAAAAAAAGCCACTCTCGTACCCACTTAGAGCAGCTAGATGTATTAAGTTAAAAAGAATCCTATCTTGATATATAGATAACGACCGAAAAAAAAGCAGGCCAATCTCTTGAGGGATACAATTCAAGAGCAAAGAAGAACAAAGGAAAAGACAGTATAAAGAATAGGGTTGAATAGAGGACATCTCAGTCATATACGCAATCTTAGATCGAGGAAGAAAGATCCAAAAAAATTCTGAAAAAATATCTTAGCGGAGAAAATAATGAGGGATATCCAGTGTGCGTAAAGTGAAATTTAGTGAACGAACACTCAAAAACAGCTGACAAAAACCCGTATCAAGAAGAGCTCACCATGGCCCAAATTTGTGCTTGATATAAAAAAAGGAAAGGAAAAAAAGGAAGACAGACAATAACGTTCAGGAGAGCAAAGGCTAAAGTGGACTCGACTAGAGGTAATAAAGTATTCATACAAACGAAAAGAAGGAAAGAGAGATAAGAAGACAACAAAGCGAAGTAAAGAAAATAAGTTGTTTTTGGACGTATACAATGCTTTTTCCATATGCAGACAAAAGAACCTGTGATAAAAGGGAATCAAAAATTAAAAGAACCGTATCAAGTAAGGAAACGACACAAAAGAAATGAAAGTTATTGGATCTTCGTCTTAATCGTCAATCCCAAATATCTTCCTCAATCCTCTAAACTTCTTCTTCTTGACAGCCTTAGGGGCTCCGTAAACCCCACCATTAGGCTCCACAACTTGCGCTTTTCCGTTGGTAGCACCATTATCGATAGGATCGTTGTTGAGGACGTGCTCCTCTTCATCCTCTTCTTGTAGCTCCGCCAACCGCCCATGCGTCAAGTTTCGGTTGCCACTGCTAACCCCGCTGGGACTACCAACTAGGGTCGATGTTCCTAAACTCGGCGTCCACGTCTTCGCGCTGCCAATACTATTGACACTTCCACCGCTAAGCCTTCTATACTTCTTAAGCTGCTGGTTCCTCTGCTGTGCGGCGGAGGTACTCATCGGCGATGAAAAGTGATCGGGGTCGGAGATACGTCTGTCGAGTGCTGGTGGTGGCGGTAGGTTTGTGATAAGTGGGGCAGGAGCAGCGGACATCATCGAGTTGGCCCTACTAACAGGCCTCGAGCCGGTTCCTGACTTCCGCTTCGATCCAAAATTCCACCATTTCTTCTTCGGCGCAATATCCGCGGAAATATCGGTGGCAAAAGCGTAATTATCCCCATTTGCAGTTGCAGGAGCCCATGCCGAGTCCTTCAATCCGTTTTGTTGAACCTTGTTTCCGTTTGTCTGTACAACAGGTAGTTCGTCGTCCGAAGAATCTGGGGTTAAAGGCCTGTAGGTGGTGGCGGGCCTTGCTCGGGGGGCTGTGGCAATTTGAATATCCTCATCATCAGAAGAGTCCTCAAACCGACTCCTGAACCCCCTGAACCCACTTCGTCCGGTGTTCGAGCTTCCTTTCGGTGCAAAACCTAAGCTTGAGTGCGGCCTTCCAGCTGGTGGCCCCGAGCTCCCATTCCTCAATGTTGAATTGCCCAAAAACCTACTCTTCTTTTCTACCTTTGCTGGAGCTCGGAGAGACCTAATTCTGTCATCGTCCGAACTATCAGGAGAGTACTCTCGCCTTCGTGGCCCACCGGTTCCGATTGATCTTCCGGTTCTAAACCCGCTTTCGAATCGCGGGGAGGCAGTGGTATCGGCCAACCTGCTTGTCACAAGGCCGGATTCGTGTGGTGAGGTGGCGGAGGATGGGGGTACACGTCCAGTGGAATCACGCATTGATGTCCGCATTGAAAATCCCTGTGAGCGACGGGCTGCCCTTCGGTGAGGATTTTCGCGTTGGAAAGAGGATTCAGAATCATCAGATGAAACTGAGAGACGTCTTTGAGGAACTGCTACTGGAGCCGGCACTGGCGAAGGTTTAGACTTCGAGAGTCTTCTACTGGCGGTAGGCGCGGGGGCCGGGATCGGCATAGGTACTGGGGCTGGCGCCGGAGCTGCGGTTGCCTTGACTTTCTTCGGCTTCGGCGCATGCTGAGATTCGTCAAGGTCACTCCTCGGTTTGGTAGCCTTAGTAGCTTTGGTAGCCTTAGTACCCATTGACTTCGGAACACCATTCGTGGCCTTAGCCTTAACAACAGGGGGTGGCGTATACACGATTGGAGGAGACGGGGAAGATGTAAGCCCAGCACTGATAACCTTCGGCGATACCGGCTTGATTGGCTTCGGTGACAGAATCGTATGAGCGTGCTCTCTCTCATCAGTAATGATCTCCTCTGGTAACAACCTGCCAACAATCTGCGGTGGCAGGCTCCTAGGCGGCGTAGCGACATCTACCGGTTGGTCTGCAACCTCAGAGATACTCGGTAGCACTACAGTATCCACTACCGCCGACTGTCCTTCGGTCGTAATTGCGATGCCCGGACTGTGAACATGAGCAGCTGTAACCCCGATTACCGCTCCGGACCCGGTTGCGGAAAGTACGACATGGTCCAGATCCTCATAAGCATCCGAGAAGTGGTCTTCGTCCTCTCCAGAGTCATCCTTAAAGACTACCGGGCGACCATGCGCAATGTTCTCAGAGAGCGTAGTCGATGGATCTGATGCCGGCGGTGGGAATATTGGTTTCACCTCGACTACAGGGGGTGTATGGCCAGCAGATATCTGGGCCTCCTTGGGCTGTTCTGGTGTAGGTGGCTTCACAGCAAATGGTGCCGGAGAAGTACTCGTTGGAGGAGGCGTAGACATAGCCAACGGAGGAGTAGCGACAGCAGCGACAATCGGCATCGCCTTAGCAAATTCTACTGTCGCTAGGGTCTCATTTTCGCTTTCCAGGTCATCATCACTGATTGAGGGCGCAGGGCTCATGCTTCTAACTTCGGGGGCAAGCGGGTCATGGCCTCCCATTTTCTGGGGCACCGGAGAATGCCTTCCGGATTCTTTCTTTCCCTTCCCTTTGGTAAACTTCCCAAGCAAGCCAGCTCCGATTAATCCTCCCAATCTGTGGTCTGACGAATGCTCAATCGGCGCTGCAGCCTGGGCGGCAACCAAAGAGCTTGGTTCGGGCGATGGCGTCCTCTCCACTCTCGTTCGACTCACGCTACTGAATGATACCGCTCCAATAGACTTAGTCACAGTTTTCTTTTCGGTAACTGTGTCCAACGCACTGTGGATAGGCTTGTAATGATAGGAATCATCATCCATCTCAACAACACTAGGGTCTTCCGAAAAGCTGACTCTGGCAGCCTTCCGTCTATTATGTCCTCCAACAGAACCATCTTCGGCGGACAAGATCGACGATCGGTCGCTACCCTCGTGATGTTGCGTATGCTTCATAGCCGACTTGGCGGGACTAACGCTTCGTGGTGGCGGTGAATGTCGTTTCATGGGTCGGGGAGAGTGCGTTTCCCTTGGTGGAGGGGATGATTTTGTCTTAGGCTTCAATGCCGTTCCATTGGTCTTTATCGCGGGTTTGACATCCTCATCGCTGGATCCGGCATCAAACAGACGGGGTGGTGGGTGTAGTTTATCAATAGTATACGGGGGCGTCGGGGGGATTGTATGGATGACAACAGGTTGTGTGACTTCTTCAGTTAAGGTTGCCGAGGAGGGAGGCGATCCTTTCGGGTCTTCTACTGCGATATCATCTGTCGTTATTGAAGCTGGTGCCGCCGTTGCCCCGGTAAGTTTCTCTAAAGTCCTCTTCCGTTCAACTGAATGACTTTTGGGTGGCTCGGGCGAGGCAACTAGGGCTATTCGCATCCTCTCCTTCTCCAATATCGGGCTACTAGGTAGCGCAGGAACACCATCTCTGCCGGGAATTATCACACTCTCGGGCGCTGGCCTCTTCTTCTTCTTCTTTTTCCCGTCTTTCAGACCTTGGTCTCCAGCTTCTTCAGGTATACTTTCCAGGTCACTCATAAAGCTAGTAACTGAGCTCACTGAACCGTTATACTGATGTCGCTTGTAAACCTGCCTGTCCTCTTCCTCTGTAAGACGTGATTCCTCTTGTTGTTCCGCAGCAAATGCTTCGTCCTCATCGATGTGAGTGTCGGGTTCCTGTTCTGGCTCCGGCTCTAGATCTGAATCAGAGTCCGAATCCTGGACAGCAGCCGCTGCCGCCCGTTTCTTAGCTCGGGAGCTCTCGAGTACAACCGGCTTTCCAGCATTTTTGGCCTGTTGTTCTCGCATGATCTGTAGTGCCAATGCTTTCACGGCATCCGATGGTCCTGTGGCGGCGTGTGGTGGCTCCTCCTGCCGTCTCAGTGCGTGAGCAGAGTCCTGTAACGCAGAGGCCTTAGCAGCCTTTGAAGCGAGTCGTTGTCGTTCCCTTGCTTCATCGATGATTGGTTCCATGTCTTCCCGGACCGTAGTTCTCATCGTGCCTCTGGATAGCATACCGCCTTGAGTATCGGAGTGTGTTTGAGCGTGGACATTCTTCTTCTTGGCTGGTGCTTTGGCGGTAGTCTCGACGGGTCCACTTCGTAGCGACTTCTTAAGGCGTATGACGCCATCATCAATAGGTTCGGCTTTTTTGTTTCGGAGTGATTTTTTGAGGTTGGTGGATGGTGGAGGTGGTGGAGGTGGTGGTTCTTCAAATTGTTCCTCTTCGTCATCGGATTCTGAATCTGAATATGTCTGGGCAGGAAGTTCTTCTTCGGATTCTTCTTCGGATTCGCTCGAGTATACCGGTTCGACTGGCTTCGGCTTCGGCTTCGACTTCGGCTTCGCCTTTGGTTGCGATTTCCTAGATCCAGCTGAGGCGACTGCTACTGCTGCAACTACAGCGGCTGCATGCGTCGGTTCCGGAGAGGGTTTTGGTTTCGAGTTTGCCTTACGGGGTTTTGAAGCTGTGAGATGTTAGCATATATCAGCCCTACCAGGGAGGGGAAATGCCCTCTTCTTCCTCTTCCCCTTCTTCTTTTTGTAAAGAGGTAGATTCTAATACATACTATTCTTGACTTCTCTGATTGACTCCTCTTCCACCGGTTCCCTAGCAGCCTTAGTCTTATTCCCGCCCTTAACCACGGACTTTGGTGCCACCTTCCCGGTTTTCGGTACATGTTTCGATTCCAATTGACCTAGAGTCTTCGGTTTCGTCGTTGTCGTCGCGGATGATCTGTGGTCTTCAATTGACACTCGTTTCCCTACTCCCTTTGTCGGCGACGCTACTACTTCTCTACTGATCGGTCTCTGTCTGCTACCGGGCCGACTGCCGCTGCCAGTTCCATGTTCGTCGGTACCTCTTAACCACCCTATCCTCTCGGTCATACTAGCATCGCTACCTCTCCTTCCGACACCACTTATCGGCGAAGCGAAACCGGGAGGGGCACTTGTTATACTGCTAATACTCCCTCGTCGTTCCATTCGACGGGTGACGAGGGATGCAGGAGATGTGACTTGTTTCGGCGAGGCATGGAGGGCAGCAGCGGCGGCGGCGGCAGATAAGGTCGGAGTTTGGGATCTGGGAGGGACGATTGCGCGGGCAGCAGCGAGAGCGAATTGGTTTGTCGGTTGCGAGGGAGATTGCTGATAAAGAGTGTAATGCATGGTTAGTAAGGGATGTGTGTGTGCATGTGAATCAAGAGGCTCGTGGGATTAGTGGTCGTGGCAGCGGTGATGGTTGTTTTTAGAAGAGGATAAGGCAGGAAGACATGTGATATGGATGGTGAGGGAGAGTGAGGTGGATAATGGAATGGAAGTGGGTTCCGGATGCGATTCCAGCGAATTCAGGATCGAATTCGACTCGAGTCACGTCGACTCTCTTCAACAAAGCAAACAACTTGACATATTATATTATACAAAAGAAGGAAATTAAAATTACAGAGAACAGAATAGAATAGAATAGCTGATTAAATAAGTCAAGTAAATAAATAAAAACATACCTGCGGCCTTTTAGATTTCTTGTGGCCAAACATCGTGGCGACTTGTCGTGGAGGAAGGAAAACGCCCACGGCGCTCCCCCCTTCTATGTCTCTCCCTTCCTCTCTCTGCCTCTCACTCACTCACACTCCACTCGCTCGCTTTGAGAAACCACTGCGTATTGTCGGCACCATGCAAGCCCTGGACTAAACCCGAATTTGAAATCCGCCGTGACGTAAAGGGTGTTTTAAAATATAGCAGGTTGATCTGGCGACGTTTGTGTGTATGTATGCAAGTATGTAAGTACTATGTATTGCCAGGCAGGAATGTGTGCAAGATACGGCGGAGATTGTATGGAATCAATCAATCAATCAATCAATCGAATCTGAGAGATGACGAACAAAACATGTCAGTTTTCTTTCATTTCAAGCCGTCGGATTTAATTAGAAACGAACTTGGGAACGCCATGGCTGAGGGACAAACCTGTTTCTCGAAGGATCCTTCTTACTTAGTACATACACCATGCAAGACTTTTATACCGGTCAAAAGATAAATGATAAAAAGATTAATTAAAATTTTAAAAAAAGGTTATACGGAAAAGAGACGGACGAAGGGTTAATTATAATAAGTAGAATAAGATTGAGATTGAGGGACGAGAAGAGAAACGAGAATGGGAAGAGAAGAGAAGAGAAGAGATATCCAGGAACAGAACTGTGAAGGGTAATAACAGGAAACCCAGCCGAACAGCCCCGGTCAACGACCCACCCGAATATCTTGGACCGACTTACATACGATCTGTCTTCCCTTTTATCCTCTGCGATTACTTAAAAGCAGTTAATCTTCGAATTGATCATTCATGCATTCATTGCTGGCTGACTGGCTGGTTGGCTGGCATTGAGGCTGGCTGGCCTGGGAAATTTCATTTGAAACCTTAGCCCCTCGATCTCGATCCTACCCATACATATCCTCATACACGATACATCATCACCATCATCATCACCACTTCTAAATTCAAGGGTTCACAATTACTTAGGTATGTATTTTACTATTACTAATTTTGTTCTCTTGAGTCGGAACTCTTCCGTAACTAATAACCCTCGTGTATCAACGGAACGGGCATGCTATCAAAATCTGGGCCCTTTCCTTCCCTGATCAATGCCCATCCCAAACCAGGCTGTCGCAACCGTGGGCTCTATGACGCAAACAGGCTAGTCCAGTCCAACCAGGCCCATTAGCACCAATACGACATGTGCCTTTTGCAAGCCAAGTCGGAGATTATATTTGATAGATGGCTGGAAGGGAAAAAAAAAAAAAAAAGTAAAAGAAAAACAAAGAAAGTTAGTTCCCTCTCACCGGCGCTCTTGCAATCTTGTGTAGACAAGTAAATACCTAAACATACACACAGGACAGAGTACCTCCTAATTATAAGGTCAATAATGTTCAAATCCATGCTCCTCCTCAAGAGCAAGAATAATGGGGTTTCCCCTCCTCGAACCCGAAGTTTGACTCACAAGATCTTATATAAGAGCGAACATGTTGGATGTCTTGCAATTGCATGTCGCTTACCTATTGTTTGGAAGACAATCTCGCCTTTTGCTAAACACCTTTCGATAGTGAGGACTGTGTGTCTCGGTAGGGCGGGGCGGTAAGTACCTAGGCAGGGTTTGCGGCTAGTTAGGAGCAAAATATATGATTAAACCCATAAAGTTTAGAGGTTCTAGGTCTCGAGGGTTTATAGAATCGCGATAACGTCCTAACATCATGAACTTGTGTAGACACGGGAGATCTCCTAATCCAGCACACATAATCATAAAACATCGGATCACTTTTAAATCTCCCTACTGGAGACACATCATAGCTTCTACTGTCCAAATGAGTTTTCTATTATTGAGTAGCTAGAGGTGGAGAATCGCAGAAGATTGCATACCCACCTTACGCTAATTAAGTAAGTACTTATGTATGAAAAACGTAAGAATCGCGCAAAGCATTATACCAAACTTCATGAATTTTACCTGGTTCCCGAAACCCGGACCTCCATGTGGAAATACTGAAATTAACTGAAGAAGTGAGCTGGCAACCACCGCACGTCGGGATTAATATTAGCGAGGAGCTTTTGACTCAATTGGTGCTACATATATCGGTCCTTTTGGCTCGTCCTGTTGGGCTAATCATATCATATCGGCCGTCAAATTTGGTAGAATTGCATTGCATTGCACCGCTTTCCCATTTTTCTCGCATGTCATTTATGACCGCCCTTCAATGCGATTGTCCACCGTTGGAATGTTCCTGGGAAGGGGAATGAAGCCGGATTCGCCGGGCCCAGGCATTTGGGGTGGATTCCTGCCCTGCGGCGATCTGAGGTACTGGAGACCATCCTTCAATTGCAATTCATATGACATCTTCGATAACTACCTACCTAAGTACTTACACAGGAGGGTGTTTTTCGCACTTCGGTTAAACCGGAAGCACTGGCACAATTGCTAGTGCCTTGGTAACATTGGCCTAAGGTTTTGGGAGCGGTATGCACCCTGGGTATCATGCTCAGGTACTTCCACGCTATCTGGGACACTTCCATATCATTTTCTTCGACTTTGCTTTTAATTTTGAAAAAAAATGATAATTTCTCATCCCCTCATGAATGAAATTCATCCGGACCAGACCAGTGAGCGAGCGAGCGAATAAACGAATCGAAACCGCCGTTTGCCAGTTCACAAAGTTTCAGCCATCGTGTATAAACGTATAAACGTACTTATATATATATAGCTTTTAACCACGCCACGACAGACTTGCATGACCGATACTATTTTTCTTATCTGCGGTTCTTCAGCTTTACAAATACTAAAAAAAAAAAATGTGAGAGGGGGAAGAGGGGATAAGGAAATCTGGGTTGTGGTTGGTAATCGGCCATTCAGCCTTATAGCATGCGAAGACCATGTATACAACGGGAGGAGCATAAAGCTGTGAAATATAATGTGTACCTGTTGGAGGGGTTCCTAGAAGCCTGCTTAAGTAGCCGGTACTACATGTGATAAGAGTTTGACCCACCAGGATATGCTATGGGTTCCAAGAAGAAGAAAACAGGAATAAGTCAAAGGAACGGTATTACCACAGGTTGCTTGCTAGAAGCAATGCTCAAACTAGGCTGAAATATCAAGAAATAAAGAAAATAGAGAAGAGTCTTTTGGTCATAACAGTTCATTAGAATGCCATTCAGTTCAGATATGAGATTATCATAAAAAGGAAATTCGTTAAAAATGCAACATGATCCAACAACAGTCAGAAAGCATCAACGACATCAGAAATGACTTAATAGAACTCAACCGGTTCAACTGTACATAATACCCAGATCGTAAAATGAAGAAATAGAAAAAAAAGAGAAGAGAAAAGAAAAGAAGATAATCATGGAAAACACCAGAACAAAACCGTTTTTGTGACATCATCGTGCCTTCCAAGTTGTCGTTGTTGTCTACATAACCTCATCAAAAAGATCATCGATCATCTATAGTATGCAGTTCCTTCCCTCCTTCCGAACCTCGACCCCGCCGCCTGCTGCGTCGGTTGTGGCTGCGGTTGTGGCTGCGGCGGGCCACCGAGGTTACCTGGACCGGGCCGCTGGAATCTCGTATGATCCGGCATGGGGATATTGTTCCTCCTCTCCGGCGGTCCCTGTGGCCAAGCACCAGGCATTTGTGGCCCAGCGGATGGTGGCTCCCGGAACTGGAATGGTTTTTCCTCTTGGTTGATCACCGGCCTTAATGGCTTCTGTGGGCCTTTCCTAGAACCGTATTCATCGAGCCCAAACTCCGCGAACTGTCTTTCGCCACGCGAACGGGCACGACGACGGTCATGTCTTGCAGCTATAATTCCAACTACGTTAGTATTATCGTCGTCGCTAAACGATGAGTAAGAGTAACTACCTCGAATCCTCGCTGTCATATCCATCAACTCATCAATCTGAGGAGGCTGTAGGATTTCATATACGGTAAAAGTATCACCGGTATCCTCGTACCGGTACCCGAGTTCCTCGAGTGCCTGTCTCGTCACAATCTTCCTCGAAATCCGTGTGTGTCGTGGCTCACCACCTCCAGGTGTCTGTGGCACCAAGGCCGCAGCACTGGCTGTAGGAGGTGCGGTGATTTGCAATGGAATCTTCGCTCGTGATCTGGGAAGCGCAGTCCCAACACTCGCACTCCTAGGTCTTTGTCCCATACCGAATTTTCCCATTTTGGGGAACTCATCCATCTCTGGCGAAGTTGGAGGCGATGAAGAGATATCGGCACGGAACCGCCTCATCTTTTCTTCATACTCCCTTTCCTTCTCGGTCATTGCTGTGGTCCTCGTTCGTGCGCTTTCCGAAGGTGCTCCTAGCATTCGCTCCCCGCTATCTCCATCACGACCTCTCCCTCTTTCTCTCTCTCTCTCTCTTTCTCTCTCCCTACTCTTATGAGATCTATGTTGGTTGATAGTGATGGACCCAATGGTTGGCCCTCGCCTTCTATCTCGATTATTAACAGAGATATCAACATCCTGACCACCACCAAGGTCCAGTCTAAGAGCTGTGCTTGTAGGGTCGTCAAGATTGCGCTCAATACGAGCAACCGGGCCCATCGAGCGCCGGCGTCTGTAAGCTTCACGCGGCCCAACGGATTTCGAGCGCCGAACCAAAGCACCGACCGGTGGTATTGGAGTATCCGTCTTGTCTGCCTGGCTCAACGACTCAAACCTTCCGATGGATGAGGATCGGCGGATGAGTTCACCAGGTGGGGCCCTAGACTCACGACGTCCTTGCCGTGGTGCCTCTTGTGCCATTCTTTCCCGTGCCATTCTTTCCTGCATCATACGTTCATGTGCTATCCTCTTTTGCTGTGCGATTCGTTCTTGTTCCTGTGCGGCAAGACGTTCCTGTGCGGCAAAACGCTCTTGAGCAGCAAGACGTTCCTGCGCAGCAATACGTTCCTGTGCAGCAATACGTTCCTGCGCCGTACGATCTTGCGACATGGAGCGTTTGTACGCTGCTGCCTTCTCCGAGTGAGAATAGTACTCCGGTCCTCGACGCTCACGCTGATGCTCACGTCTCTCCATGAAATCTTCACGCCCACGCTCACTTGTATCCGGTGGTGATGCATGACGAAGAGACTTTGTACGCGGCACGGAGCGAGCCGGGACCATGACACCACGGGAACGATCATCCTCTGGGAACCTTGGATCCATATTTTCCTCATCGCCACCTCCTCCTCCATAGGGACCAGCTAGTCTGTACCCTCGGGGAAGATAGTGTGACAGCCTATCCAAAGATTTTGACGGGCCACGATGATTAGCATGGAAGGTGGTGGCACTTTGAACATGTTGACGGTGGGAGGCGTATGTAGATGCGGAAGCTGTTGTTTGAGAATATGAACTATCAGTTGGAGAAGGTGCTCGTTGGCTGTGTGCATGTCCACGATGGGAAGGTGGTGGTGCCCCGCCGCCGCTTCTGCCTGCTGCTACATTTGCAGCGTATGAGTTGTACCGTGCCTGCGGGTGTTGTTGTTGTTGTTGTTGTTGTTGATGATGATGTTGTTGTTGTTGTTGTTGTTGCTGCTGCTGCTGCGGATGGGGAGGTTGGTGATGTCCCCCGCCATGATGACGCCGGGAATCAGCGAGAGAAATGCGCTGGAAGTCCTCGGAGACACTGTCGTCGGTAAAGGAATCGTCGCCGTAGTACGTTGATGACCAGTCATCAGAAGTATCACGATAGTGGGACGGAACTGGAGCAGCAGATGCTCCCGCACCAGCGCCGCCGCCGTATGCGCCATAAAGTCCAGCGGCGTTGCCAGTAGATGCGCGGTATGGATTTCGGCTGGCTGGTTGGCGCTGAGAGCGATGGTCAGCGCCGTAGTAAACGTGTGGAGGATGGCCGGACATGATGTGTTTGCCCCGCTTGGTGATGAGGTTTTGCGGGCTTTTTGGGGGGATGCTGTGACACCCTTATGACGACGCTGTTGGAGAAAACAACAGTTCCAAGGAAGTCTTTTTTATTTCCAATGAATACAGATATCCAACGGAAGTTCCAGGGAAAAGATATCTAGAAGAAGAAGAGGACGAGGAGGGTAAGATGAGGAGAGGATAAACGGCAGGATACGAGACTTGTATCAGAGAGTCTAATACTAGAGCCCGGTAGATACAATACCAACGTCTCAGGTCGGCCGGGTGCACTGAGGAGCAGAAGGAAAGGTTGATTAATTAACCAAGCCAGAAGAGGGGAGATATTATATTAAATCCAAAACACCCGGAAGAAGTGTATCATATGTCCACGAGAGGCTTTTGTATACAAAATGCGAAGCTAGCGCCGGTCTTCGAGGGCTTTTTCCCCTCCTGCCTATGACGAACGAAGAAAGATGAAACGTGAACGGGCTGGGAATGGAAGCAGGGGAGGACAAGGGATCGGATAGACGTCTCCTCTTAGAAGTCACTAGCCGGCTTGACTGTTACTTTATATCCTCGAGAAGATTCGATTCTTTAAAGCTTTTCAATTCTGAGAGATGATAATATTCAGGGAAATAAGTCGAGGATAGAATATTAATATGCAGGTGTGATGCATGCGATGGCTCTGTTTCTCTATGACGAAGGATTTGCTCACAGTCGCTGCAAGAAGATCCGAATGCTGACGACGGCCCCACTCGAGCTTTCACAGGCTAATGCAATGCGATGCTCTCTGTTGGCTGCTGCTGCTGGGTACAGTGCAGTACATGCAGTACATGTACTCATATTCCTGAGGATGTGTATTATAAGGATTCACTTCCGTCGAGCATCAATAGGGTATCAATACATTCGGGAAGTATGTGAGTACTTAAGCATATACCAGAAATACCTAGCACCTTCCTATCTCAAGAAACAAGCTACGTTCAAATAATTTTTTTTTTTTTTTTTTTTTTTTTTTTCAGGGCGCTCGTGATCATTTCGAGAAATTTCACGTCTTTCTAATCCAGTCCAAGCTTTTTCTTCCTTCTTCTTCTCAGCTTGAACTAGCTAGCTTGTTGGTTCAGATCATGGTGGGGCTGTAAGATGCAGCTGTGAGGCAAATGGGAAGGCGCCCTTTGGCATTCGCTGGACAGAACAGAGCTGTGCCATTATGTCATATGCCCATCCATCCATGCAGAATGGAATCACTAACCTCCTTTGGGGAATACAACAGAACCCAACGCTTCCTATCATTTATTATATTATATCGTAGTTTTACGAGATAAGATGTATAAACAATCTATTTAAGTTGATTTGGGCCGACTGTTATGTGATATGGGATATAAGACCCTGGGTTTGGCTCAAAGATCCGATCTATAAAAGAAAATGTATGGTAGCAGACTATATATCGAAATACCTAATTGGTGGCTGTATTCTCCTCTTCGGGTCGGATTTTGGTATATCCATGAAATTATAAATAATTGCTAGCGAAATATTGAATGACGACTTCAAATCATTCATATGCGACTGCCAGGTCAAAGAGAGAGAAAAGGAAAACTCCAAAGCATACCCAAAAAACAACCACCCATAACTCCATCAAAAAACTCCATCACCATACATTAAATGAAAGATCAAACGTGCAAAAATAAATATACATAAGAAAAGTAATTAAAAATAAAATAAAAAACTTTTGTGTCATAAAAACTCTCAGCTCTCGCCCTGATCAGGCGGGTCGTCGAATATGAAGTCGCAGTTTCCGTTTTGTGCTCTCCAATCTTCAGGATTCTGGATAACCGGTGCATCTCGAGATTTTCTGATAAACCCACAAGCTTGGCCGTTTCTAATCAATCCGCTGATATCAATCGAAGTAGAGAGCCTGTATGATTCGGTGGAACTGGAAATTGGACGTCTTTCAAGGCCGAGGTCAAGACCGGGAAGATCTGAGATATCATATTCGTGATGGGAGATAGTCTCTGAATTCGAGTCATCATCCACTACGATAATCATCCAGACACCAGCGGCACCGTTAGCGTCAAAGAGAGGAGTACAATGAAGCCATCTTTCACGGCCGAGCAATTCGCTCTTCTATAGAAATATTGTCAGTTGATGCATCCAAAATAAAGGTATTGCATACAAATATCTTACCTTAGGATTTTGTTCATCGAGTTTACTCAACCACCGAACTTTGATCGTGACACCTCGTGAGTTGGAAAGTGCACATTCAAGCTCTTCACGAACATCATCTGAACCACCAATTTTGGACATGAGTGGAGATTGAAGGATACCCGGTGTACGCATCGAAGGGGAAGCGAAGAGGATCCGAAGAGATGGATAGGGCCGAACGAGAATATACTGTTGAATAATTAGCTTTTGTATTGCAAACGCAACAAAGCAGGAGGACACATACATTTCTGTAGACGCCCCTCAAGGAACTACTCCAAAAATTGATGCTTTTTGTGGTCTTCAATTTCTTTTTGGGTGCTTCTTCTCCTTCCGAGGCCTCGCCAAGGGAACCGGAAGGGATAAAAGGCCCGGTTATCGAATCTTCTTCGGTATTTTGGTCTTCTGCGAAAAGCTCATCCAAGGGATCTTGAATTTTATGATCTTTGTGCAATTGGCCACCAGTTTCCTTAACCTTCTCGATTTCTTCGGCACTAAACAAGTCCGCTAGTTGTTTGAACTCTTCATTCTTTGGCCTAACAAGATCCAAATCTAATTCCGTATCTAGTACTTCGCTCTGCCTCTTCTGCTTCGTCATCAATCGGCCGAAGCCTTCGAGACCGACAAAATTCTTCGCAAGCACTGTGACATCGATCTGGGCACCGATGAAATATCGGACCTGCCCCTTGGAGTCAAGCAAAGGAGCAACCATAACAAGATTTAAGAATGGGGTTCCATCACGTTTGTAGTTCAAAAAGCACTCTGTAATTTCGTGTCCTTGACGAACTGCATCACGAAGACGGGCCACAGAATGCCGTTGTGTTTTGGGGCCCTGAAGGAAGCGACAATTTCGCCCAGAGACGTAGGAGATCGGGTATTGGGTCCTGTTATGACAGTTAGAGACTTCTATTATGTAAGCTAGCTGAGCTTCATGTAGTTACTTACGCTCGATGGAATTCTTCGCTTGCGAACACAATTCTAAATAAGTAAGTTAACGTTAGTTTACTATAAGCTGTAGGCTAAAGGTAAGGATAAATTGAAAACTCACGGATTGTCATGTCGCTGTGGATCAGTCAGGCAGAAGACCTCGCCCAATTCATTTGAGCTTTCCTCCAGATACCGAACCTCACTCCCAGTAATCTTTTTCTGAATGTTGTATGTCACAATCTCAGTATACACCCAAGAGACATAGCGCGGGAGCTCCTGCTCGGTCAGAATCTTGAACGCATCTGCAGCTTTCCTTTCAAGGACTTTATTGACCGGCGTGGTGCCTTCGTCCTCGGTGTGGATCCATGATCTATCAGGAGAAGGACTTGGACCCAGTGACTCAGCCAGAGAATTTGCATAGTTAATGGCTTTGATGGCCTTCTTCGCGTTAAGGTAGTATGTTAACAAATCCATCGATGCGGATGGCCTATAGGAGGCCAAGAACCGTGAGAAGCTATGAAGTAGCCCCGGGTCCGATGTAATAATTCGTAGATGATCCTTAGAATAGAGTTTCTGAGATAGCTCTTCTATTTGCTCTGCAGCTAATCTCTCCTGTCTTGTTGGCACATTCGGGGTAGGTGGAAGAAGGTCGTAGGATTGTAACTCATTGTCTGGGATATACGGAAGAGTCTTCCTCTTTGACATACTAGACGTAAGGTTGTTTGTAGGCGAGGGTGCAGAGGAATTAGTAGTGACAAAGGAAACGATAGACCCGCGAGCCTCAAAGTTGCGGGCGCTGTAGGAGCTACTCGCCGATTGAATCTCGGGGACGTCTGGTAGTACCGAGACATGGGGAACGATTTTGTCAAATCTCTCGTCTCGTTTTGGCTCTTCCTTCCGAACGACGCCCGCGTTTTCCTCCTCTTCCTCCTCTTCCTCCATATCATCGAAATAGCTTATAGCCTCAGATATTTTTCGAGGTCGAGTAATCGACTTTGGAATAGATGCCGAGCTCGCCAAACTCATCGTACTCGTAGAACTGACGGTATTCATGGAACCGACGCTAATATGCATTGGATCGATATGTTCTGATATTCGTCTATTCTTGATTAATCTTGGTAGTGTGAATGGAATCGAAAGTGTTGATTCTCTTCTTGGACTCAATCCAGCAAATACTACTCCTAGTGGCAGATCGTTTTCGTCAGAATGATTCGATGTTGAATCATTCGCATGCGAATACATCCGCTCGTTGGAAGGCCGAATTGGTCGAGGGACAGATAAAACCTCTTCCTCCAATACTGGTGATTCTAGGAAACTCCCTGTTCTAGACTTAACAAGGGGGCTTTGAGGAGCAGATGTGTATGCTTGATGTTGGTTGGAATTGTACTCTTTTATCTGGTCTTTCAGGGCCTTTCTAATCTTTATAGCCTTGCTGCTGTCTTTAGATGACTTCCGTCGGAGGGGCCCGAGGGATAATCCCCTCCTAAATGGATTGTCGTCCGAAGAGCTTGTCGAAGAGCCGGAAATACGCCTTAGGAGGTCCATTTTAATTTTGCCAGTGTATGGAGTAACCTTGTTGGAAATAGTGTGTTGTCCTGGTTGTTGAAAGTATCGACGTCCAATGCAATGTCGACAGTCGAAAGATGATCTCTACTAGAACCCGGAACCAATGCAAGCTGATCTTAACAAAAACCGAATAACCTTCAGCTTCTAGAATTCGAAAGGAAAGACGACGTTTTGGATTTTCCAACCAAACTAGCACTGACAGGAGTATTTAACTGTCTCCTCACTTGCTACACCCAGAGCACTTTACCCAAATCATATATGTTGGCTGGCAATCAGGTACTTTATACTTGAAACCTTAACCGCAATCCGGGGCACTGCTGGAAAGTGTATTGAACTCGGAAAAACTTTAGGGTCGATAAAGTTTCAAACGTTTCTCGTGTTTCCCCTGCAGAATCCGATTGTTTCCCTGGTTGGAGATCTTGCTCCACAGTTCACTGCAGCTCACAAGGTTTCCTATCACTCGTGGAAGCCTCATGGCCAATGGAAAGCATGGTTCATTGGGCGAAACCTAGATTTGGGTTGTTTGGTGAGGTGTATGAATTAAAAGCAGGGTAAACATGACCAGGGTCATTAACCTTCCCGGGATACCGCGATATCAACATTGACTTGGGCGAAGAGAATTCGTTTGAAGAGTTCTCGTTTCGAAATTTTCTCCCTGGCTAAGAAGCTTGGTTCGATAATGAAAGCAGGAAATTCTAGCGAATGCCCTGTTTAAGTGGAGATGCAGGTACGGCGGCATCGTTCGATTGAGATTTCGCAGCGTGCTGTGGTGCTATAATCACGTAAAACGGGGGCGGTTTAACGAAAAAGGCGTTCCTGAGCCCCACCGTTTGATTCACCGCCCGCTGTGATAGTTATTGGCCGTTTCCGTCAGGCAATGACATCGCCCTGCGCAGGTACCACCCGAAGCTACTTTTTTTTGCAATCTTAAACTCTATCAGCCCGTTTCTCTCCATCGGTGCGCTCCCTTCGGTTACTGCGTGCTGCGGGTTACTCGACTTCTATGGATGATTCCATGCCGGGAATAGAGCAATCAAATTACCTCCGCAGCTGCGGCCTGTTGCGACATTAATCCGATGGCGAAAAGTGGTTGGTCGGGACTATTCCGTTCTCGCAGAAACGAAGGAGAACTTTTCGTGGGTCGGGTCCTCCCAAAGGCCTGGTTGATGAGCCGGGTGGGGTTTGATTCTCGAAGTATATTCCATGTTCAGGTTGAAACCTACCATGCGTCCTGACAGATAGCATACTGTGTATACCTATATTATATAATGCCTATATCAATACTGCAGCATCGATTGATATGTGTGTAGAAGTGGGGTTAGTATACAAACGGTAGACTTGGTCTGGTTCCTAGAATGCCTCCCTTTGTGACGTCTGGGAACGAGAACAGGTAGACAGTAGATCGGTATATACATATCCACACGGTCTGAAACCTAAGGACGTGCGTTCATCTCAAATCATGTAAATTGAATCCAATACAATTTTCGTGGTAATCTAGAACTAGCTGATCCTAGATATATGCCATGCCGCGCCCGTACTGCGAGGATCCGGCGAATGCAAATAATATATTGTGTTCTTCTAGCCTCAAGACCAGGCGCAGGGTGAGGGCAGAGGTGCTCTTCCATTTGAACGTCAACCCATGGGACATGCACATTGCTAACCCCAAACCGATAAAACTATCACATATTAGATTGTATATCTTCTTCAGCCTTGTTTCTCGATCTGGCATGCTGTCAAGCTCAAGCCATCAAGCTTGGAGTCCAGAGTTTGTCCGTATGATGCGAAATGGAGGGCTGAAATCCAAGGTCATTGGCCGTGAACCTTTGTCGCCAAGGCCGCTTTACATGGAAATACTGTGCAACCAGGCCAGGGTTAGCCTTGGTTGATGCAGTACATTCTACTCTGCGCTCATGATCATGCAGGAATTTGAATTCAGTATTATGTCGACCAGCGAAGGCCTCTCATATGCTCATACGATGCAAGGAAATAAACGGTCTATAAAAACCCAGTCGTTGGGCCCTCGAAATTTTGGACCCATTCTCATCAATATGCGAGACGATCGTTCTCTACTATTTACCTGCTCTTATATTTACAGCCACTGCGCAGATGAAATCTATATGATAAGTCAATTAAAAATCAAATACACATATCCAATTACACTAGCCTTATCATTTTAAACACATGGCCTCAGGAATTACAACTCGTCGTATGCCAAAAAGGCAAAGCTTGCTGCTACTATCCGAGATCGATAAACACAAAAATGAGATCGAGTTTTTGTACTGCGTCGAAAACCTGTCTCTGAAGCAGGTAGTCGAGCACATAAACAAGACGCACAACTTAAATGGGAAGTAAGTATACTAGTACCGTATATGTGATAAATGGCGATTTAGGATGTAGCTTCACAGGCTGATTCAATATTACAATCGTTGGATAGATATCACCAATACCGCGATCGACTGGCGGCGTGGCGTAGTAGAAAAAATATAACAAAGGCAGAATGGCTAGATGTCCACAGACGCTTGAGTGAGCGGGAGCGACTAGGCAGGAAGTCCGGTGCCTATGTGTGCCTCAATAAGATCACTATAATACCGGAGAATAGGCTCAAGCGGGGCCTAGACCGACATGTCACTGCAACAGATAAGATATTCATGAAAGCTCAAGGTAAATTATTTGTTCACATTTATGTATCGTATCTAGTAAATTTCGAAAGATGCTAAGGTCACCTGTCCCAATTTTTTGTTTAGAAACCGCCCCGATAGTGGAATGCCAAATCAGTATTCAGTCGCCGCCCTCCTGGAATGACTTCATACTCCCTATATATCGGAATATCACTAAAGCTATGTTGGAAAATATCCCAATTAAAATTACGGAAAAGTCGCTACTAGAAATCCTTCTCCCTATGGTCTCGCAATATCCCGAAGGCTCGCTCCAAGTTAGCACGATGGATACGAACACATACTTCGTGTTTCTAAAAAGTGTGATATATTCGATATCGAATAATCTAATCCCATTCAAATTCATCCACTGCAAACTAGAGGACATAGACGAGCGCGGCTATCGCCGACCGTTTAAAACTCTTCTGTCCCAAAAACTCACATCCATTACCGCAGCCTGCGAGAGGCTCATGCCGATATTTTATTCCCGAGGCGATGATGAGTTCATAGAGCATGCTAGGAAATCTCAGCCCGGTTTAATTTCATACTTCTCAATCATTAGAGGCTTACTGGAATTGAGTACCGAACCACAAGTCTTAGAATCCTGGTCTTCAATCGAACCCAACCGGGATGTTGTACTCTTTTATCCCTCTAACTTTTTCTCACCCGGCACAATACGAGTCGAACCTTATAAATTCTGCCTAAGGGAAATATGTGACGAACTTATTGAGCATGGCATACAACCAACGTCTCTGCTGGAATCAAAATTGTTCTTCCACCTTTGTTGTTGTCTTGAAGATTTTGCGCCATTTTTCCTACTTACTCCCCAAAATCTAGTATCAGCACTTGCGGTTCAACATTCTGAGGAGCGAATAAAAAGCTTGCTACAGATACGTGATATAGCACAAATACAACTCCTGCTCAAGGCTGGATTCAGGCTTGACTACGGGCTTGAGGAGAAACTCTTAGGTGTAATAATCCTCAAACATAATAAATCGACAAGAGAGTTTTGGTTGAAGCTGTGGAGGCGTCAACAATGCCTAGTTTCAGGCCGTGTGGCTACAGATTCTAGTGATGATGATCAAATTCCGATTACGGACTTCATTCAAATATTCCATGGGGCGGTTCAGCATATTTATGACCTAAAGGACATAGAGAAACCCGAGCGTCAACGCGGAACTATGTTTCGCTGGGCCATGGCCACTGAAGAATACGGAGATATCATGAACGACCTACTAAAAAATGACCTTCCTGAGGTAGCTCTTTGGGAAATGTTACTCATCGGGCATCTGGTTACCCTGAGGCCATCTTCTTTAAACCTCTTGTTGGAACTTCTCAGTCGCAAGTATCCGATGGTTTATTTTGAGACGTACATTTTCCACATCGTCCATCGGATGAGATATCACCCCGAAGTGTACCTCGAGATACATTATGGAAGGGAAACCAACTACATTGATGTTCTGCATATGCTCTTGTCACGAGGAGTCGACGTCAACTTCAACCTAGATTCACTAATCTCGCCTGTATCATATATGATACAGGAATGCAGTTTATTCGCAGATACAGGGTACCCGAAAGATTTCGAGCTTGAGTCCAGTGTATTGGATTTACTGGTCGAGGCGGGGTCGGATATAAATGCTCCGCTTTTGTATTGTCCAGAAAAGAATATTGATACAAAGCGCCTTTGGTACTATCAACACCTCCGACCTGTAGACATGGCATATTGGGGGGATTTTAAGGAGTATTTTTGCTATCTTCTATCCCAAGATGTATGCCTAGACAGGTTTCCAATGAAGACAATGGACTCACGGCGTGGCTGGATCCCATGTCCTCTATTTATCCAAGCGGCCCATAACTGCGACCTTAAGTATGTGTCTGAGCATTGGAATACTCGGATGAGATGGAGTGACGCTCCTTATTTGTGTCCGGGTAATTATAGCCCGTTTCCGGAAATTGAAATGGATGCTACTTGCGACATTGAGGCCACCAAGGAGCTCCTGGACCTTAAAAATCCGACCCCGACCCCGACCCCTGAAGAGCTGTTCAACCTAATTGCGGTGCTTGCCGTAACAGAAGGACGCCGGTCCGACATTACGGGTCCAGTTCTTACAAAAACAGAAATCGAATGCGGGTTTGCATTGATATCTACGGCAATTCAGAATCGTTGGGTGAAAGTTGGTTTCGAAATGCCCTACCGTAATCGCTTCCGCTCCCCTTTATGCTTGAGTATTATTTATGATAATGTTAGGCTTATGGAGCATCTACTAAATCTCGAAGCTGACCAGTTCATTTACAAAGATGTTGATATGTGGTGGCGGCGGCTGTCTGCGGTACAGCTGGCAGCAGGGGTGAGCGTTCGCCTTCTAAAGGCACTTGTGGCACGGGGGGCCGATGTAAATCAACCACCTTGTCAATTTGCAGGATCAACCGCCTTGCACGAAGCAATTGAAAAGGGCAAGCTTTCCTGTTTATCGTATTTGCTATCTAAAGGGGCAGATATACATACTCTTGATACTAGAGAGCACACAACCTTGATCGACTTGATAGGAGAACAACCTGTTCCAGGCAAATCAGCTCTTGAATACGCTATTTTCATGGGGAGGATCGATGCTGTATCCTTGATATTACAAGCTGAGCCTGCCTGTCAGCCCATGGCGTTGGAATTTGCCCGAAAGCATCACCAATCGACTATAGCGATGTATATCGAGACTTGGGAACCAGGCTCACCCGAAAATATAACAGAAGATATCGATGAGGATATTGAAATGTCCCTTTGATTTTGATTGAACACCACCCCGGCCCGGATTAGCTGCACGAAGTTCAAATGTGGTATTTTCTAAAAAGGAAATTGGGCTGGTTCGGGAAATTTACTCGGAGCTGTATGATCGTTCCATTTAATTTCAAAACCACCTCATTTGGAAACCATTTTGATACCACTTTTAGGAATATAGTTGGGTCAAGTCGATTAAGTTTCAACAAGATCTTAAGAATGTACCTAAAATTACTACCCTATCGAGTCATTATATGTGTCATGTATTCAGTTTGTGGGGGTTTTAAGTTTCCAAGAGTCTACTGAGTTTCGCTCCATAAAGTTTACATTCAAGATTGTGCCTACATGTGCTCGCGCTCGTAGTAGACTTCGTACGAGATTTCTTCTTAATTAATTAATCATGTCAGCCACATGGACTTCTTCATTTGATTAAAAGTGTATATGCTATAACTTTTGTCTAGTTCCGTATATAGATTTAATGACGCTCTATGCTGGACGCTAGCTTTTGCTTTCCACCAACCCATATATCTTACAAATTTTAAAAAATAGATTATACGAGTCATTCCCTTCTACGGGAAACTCAGATTCCCCATCGAGAGCCAAAAGGTCGTCGATGCTCCTAAATGCCCCCCAGATTTCCAGCCGAGTCACGCTGTAATGGCTTCTAATCGTCGAATTTAATCTTTGTGGCTGCCTTGGCATCACTAGTATCCTTGTAGAAAGCTCCGTAGCTGGCGTGTTCCTTCTTCTTGACAGTCGTTCCGAACTTCATTAGGTCGTCGGGAACTTGTTGCTTTGCAGCCTTTAGGACGTTGATCAAACTATACGTAATATTGTTAGTATCTCAGAAGTTATTATCAAAATTTGAGGAATTAAACATACCTTCCGCTGTGAGCCTTATCATGGTCAGTAAAGAATGTGACGGCCTTGCCCAACTCACCAGCTCTACCTGTTCGGCCGATTCGGTGCACGTAATCCTCAATGGTCAATGGGAAAGTCACATTGATCACCAATTTGACATTCGGGATATCCAATCCTCGAGCTGCAACGTCTGTGGCAACAAGAACAGGAGTTCTACCTGCCTTGAATTCTGCCAATGTACTTGTTCTAGTCGCTTGGTTCAGATCACCATGAATACCACCGACCTTGATACCCTTTGCCCGGAGGAAGTTTTCGAGTCTTGCGGCTTCTTTCTTGTATAATGCAAAAACGAGAATTCGGTCGTTCTTGGCGTTAGGAGAAGAGCGTTGGTGAGCATGGATGATGTTAAGAAGACGTGGCTCCTTGATTCTTCCATCCGCAAGAACTTCCACTGTCTGGGAAATCCTGGTGTTTGCACGGAGATCACCATCATCGGGACTGTTGATTCCGATTCTGACGGGCTTGGTCATGAATGTTGACGCTAGTTGTCTGACACTCTGCGGCCAGGTGGCGGTGAACATGAGAGTCTGACGTTTCGGCGTAGCTGGTGTGGCGCCGAGGATCATCTTGATGGCGTCCTCGAAACCCTTATCAAGCATCCTGTCAGCCTCGTCAAGGACGACGTATTCCGCCTGCGAGATGTTGGCAGCTCCCTCTTCCAAGAAGTCATTAAGACGACCAGGTGTCGCAACAATGACAAGAGCCTTCTTCAGGGACTCTCGCTGAGGATCCTTAGGCACACCGCCGTAGATACATGTGGCAGCATCCTTCAATCCTGCAGCTATAGTAAGTTTCTCGACCTGCTCGAAGATTTGCATGGCAAGCTCTCTTGTCGGCGACACGATGACTACTCTAGCTCCAGATTTCTTCGGGTTTCTGTCAGATTTTGGAAACTTGCAAAGGTACTGCACTGCCGGATAGGCGAAAGCCATCGTCTTTCCGGAACCGGTTTCTGCAACACCGATAAGATCCTTTCCAGCGAGAAGGTAGCTCCATGATGCGGCTTGGATTGGTGTTGGGGTTTTATAGGCTGAGAAAGGTGCTAGGTGAGATTTATCGATGGCAGGGAGATCGGAGAATTTAAGAATCAGGTCACACGACTCGCTATCAGGCTTTGATGGATCTGTAATCTTGATCGAATGCGTCTTCATATAGGAGCCTATCGCGGCGCTATCGGCTGGAGCAGGAGATTCGGTCCCGTTGGCAGTTGTTGGTGCTGTGCTCCCATTAGATTTAGTCTTAGCCTTCGCATCTTCGCTTTCGGAACTGCCACTTTTGCTTGACGAGTTCGAATCCGAGTCCACGTCCATCTTATCTTCGACAGCTGGTTCTGCAGTTGCGCTCTCTGCTATATCCTCCATGACCACATCCTCGACTTTTTCCTTGCTGCTGGTAGCATCAGTCTCCGCCTTGGCCTTTTCTGCCTTCTTTGCTTCCTTTCTAGCCTTCTTTTTCATCTCCTTTCTCTCCTCTGCTGACAGTTCCTTCTCTGCGAGCTTGGTTTCCTTCTTCTTCTTCTTGTCCTTCTTAGTCTCAGTAGGAACAACCTCCCCATCAACTTCGGCCTTATCTTCTCCAAGCTTCTCCTTTTTCTCTTGCTTCCGTTTTTTCAACTCGGCCTTTCTCGCAGACTTATCACTCTTGCTTTCACCCTCAGGCTTTTTCTTAAGCTCTTCGATAGTCATTTTTGTATAATCGAGCTGCTCGCTTGGAGTTTCTGCAGGAGCTTTTGTTTCTGAATCATCATTGGTAGCGATATCTGACTTCGAGGATTTGCTCTTCTTCTTCTTCTTGTCCTTGCGCTCCTTGCGCTCGTCTTCTGCCTTTGGGGTATCGGCATGGGAGATGACAGTTGACTGCTCATCCGCCAATTCGGTTTCAGATGCCTTTCTCTTTGTACCCATTGCGACGGTGGTTACGGGGGGTAATTGATTAGATACGGTTGAAAGTGATTGTGGATCGAGGGGTGTGTTCGTCGAGTGTAGAGGGAAGAAATTTTTGTATGGGCAAAAAGGCGTTTTTTGCGACGGAGCAGAAAAAAAAAGTTCTTGGCGCGCATACGAGGACCTGTCTCACGAACAGGGATCCTTGTCCAAGCGATAGAATTTACACCCTCAATATCAAAGACTACGCCTAGTAGACGGCACCTCACGCTGATATCATGGAGCTTCAACCAAGGCCTTAGGATCGCTCCTAACATGAATCAAGATAGTACGCTCGCCTACCAAATACTTAGACTTGACAATCGATTACAAATACAGGCTACGGCTATTCTCAATACGGCCAATTATCGTCAACCAGTTAGTTTATTGCTGTCGTTTTGTGTCATCGCAGTTTTTTTCTATTGTACATTATCGTGATAATCGCGTATTCCCTGGTCTTTTTTTGCGAACAATATTACCAGTCTGAGACAGTCAAGTATCAATCGACAATAGCAGCGAGATGATTGAAAGTTCAGGACAGGGTCTCCGTACGCGGGCGCCTGGGGGACAAATCGTAAGGTAGAAGCATAGAATGAGGAGAGGGAAAAAACGGAAGAACGACAAATGCAATATGCGTAAGGATAGAGCAATACAAAAGCATAAAAGAGTAAGAAGATCTCGCATATATAGGAGAGGAAAACGCCACAAAACGCCGCTGTGTGCAATGCCTGTATCGAAAATCAGAACATAGACGAGGAAACGAGGTATCATGAACACTGGACGCGATGCAACTGCTGGGAAAGAGGAAGAACAATATGAGCGTGCCTACCGGCGCTGAGGAGGTGGTGGAGGTGGTGGAGGAAGAGTGCTATGAGTTGAATTGAACATTACTCGGTGAGCGGGGTACGGAGAGAACAAAGTAGCAGGGAAACGTCTGGCAGGCCTATGGACCATTGTGCCATTGTAGAACGTGGTTGTACCAAAATACTTAACATTGCCACCTATGACAGACCTATTTGCGAAATCAAAAGTTCCGACTTTCGGATAAAGTAAAGTGTGGGGCGGAACAGGCAGCGGACCCATAAGTAATGGCGGGGCCATAGAAGCAGCAGGGATTGACTGTGTTGTAGGTCGAGGAAATCTAGGGATTGCAAAGGCCTGGACCGTATCGATAAGTTTGATTATAGCAGGATTTGTTTCCTAAATACCTCCTGCCATGATCTGCTGTCTCAACTGAAGGATAGCAGCCTGTTGTTCCGGTGGGAGCATAGAGATTTGTTCCGGTGTGAGTGACATGACTTGTTGAACGAGAGCTGCTTTATTAGGGTCCATTGCCGGTTGTGCTGGCTGTGGGGGTGGAGGTGGCTGGTATTGCTGCTGTTGAGGTGGCGGAGCGGTATTTGTAGCAGCACCAGAGCTCTCAATGACCTGGCTCAGAATAGATGGATCCACCAGATTCATCAACAGCAACGCCTGGAAGATAGCGTAGCAGAGCTGTGGCGCCTTACGAAGGAGTTCCATGCACTTCGCAGGGTCAGAGAGAGCAAGTTGCTTCATTTGTGAGATAACGTCCAGTAGTTGTGCGGGTGGAAGGGTCTCAAGAGTCTTAGAGATCATGTCGGGAGCTTCGAGGTTCGGCGGAACCTCAGCGCCGGGTGGTAGTTGTGGGAGGAGGGAGGCTCCAGAAGAGGATCCAGCATTGGCAGCGGAGCCACCAGCAATGTTGCCACGAGGGTTTCCAGCAGCCGGAGGTTCGTAACCATCCTGCGCATCTTTGTCTCCCTCGTGTGAAAAGTCTACACGTAGCTTGCGGCCCATGATCTCGAAGTTGTCGAGGTTGCGAACGGCGGAGGCGGCGATTTCGGCATCGGCATACTCGGCGAAACCAAATCCTTTCGGTTTTCCAGTATCGCGATCGTAAACGAGTCGAAAGGACAGGACTTGTCCGACCTTGGAGAAGATATCAACGATCTGTTCTTCACTGAGACCTGTGGTTATATTGCGATCACGCGACACAATGGCGCGTGGTAGTGGTTAGCTAGTTGTTTGCAACGGGTTTTTCGCGACTAGGGTATACAGGTAGCACCCACCATACGGAATGTTGCCAATAAAGGCGATTCGGGAGGGGACTTTCTCGTCAGGCATGTTGGCAGGGGGTTTATACGATCGAGATGGTTGATTTAGAGGTGAGGATTTCGGAGAATTACAATTGAGGTTGGTGACGTGATGAAAGAGGAAGAGAGATGAGGTTGGTTGGAGAAGACGAATGGTGGTGGATGGAGGATGGCGGATGGACTGAGGGAAAGAAATGTCGGGAAGCGGCTTAAACGCCCAGACTTTTTGTGCAACATAAAAAATGTTTAACATTCACAACGCATAATGCCAGAATTATTTCCACACATTTACATTGCATTCAATCCTACCGATCGATGCCAATACTAATAGCTTCCTTTATTTGAGGGACATAGTGTCTTCGAAGCTTCAAGCACTTAAGTTTCTAATCTCACTGTGGTGCACGAGAGCGATTATCAATACTTTATTACGGCGTTTCATATTCATCGAAACTATATCACAAGTGAAATTTACTAGCAATCCAGTCAATCGGAAAGATATTCAAAAGCATTACTTTTTCAGCACAACAGAGACTAAATACTTGAATAGTTAAGTAAACCTTAGTTATAATAATCTCATATTTGTGACTCCTCCCTAAAATACAGATCCCTTGGGGGAGCTTCTAGCAGTTATTGGACATTACATAAGCGGCGTTTAGCCCAGTATCACCATGGCTAAATGCTTGCTCGATCACTGGATCGACAGTCTCGAAGATATACCTGGCTTAAAGCATCTCTCCCTCGCCGTCCCCATTATCGTCTTCACTCCAATCTAATTCATCATCTATCGCTGCCGCCGCCTTTTGTACTTCCGCCAGCCCACTGACCTCCTCAATAAACCCTGGCTCATTCATTGCCTTCTTAACAAACTCCCAGCCACCGTCGTCAAAAGCACTAAGCATCTTATTTGAGCATGCACTACAATAGATATAGCCGGGTGCATGGATAAGTTTGTTCTGGAAGTTAAATAAGAAGCCTCTAATTTGATGGGGGACCGTTCCGAGTGGATGAGACCCACGATCTTCGTCGGGGCTGGCCGGTGCGGGGGCAGACGCACTATACGGAAACCGATTAGTACACAAAATGTGAGCATAGATCAACCAATATATGCGACTTACACTTGAGGATGTTGGAGTATTGAGACAAAAAGTTCGACAAGCAGGGCGGATGCTATAGCAGCAATTCCAGGCCTCGTGACAGTACACATCTGGTCCAGCGTTTGGTCTTTGATTGACTGTAATAAATCCGCTTGTTAGCATTATCCCGAATATATTTATAGATTTTCAATAATAAATGCCTACATCTGCTGGTGCAACAACATCATTGCAGAAGTAACACCCGAGCTCGGATACTGGCTCTGTGACCTGCGGCTTCTTGTCGTCCACGGCCTCACCCTCATCCTCGGTCTCTAGCTCGGGGCGAACCCCATGCCTCATAACAACAAATGTATCAAACCCGAGAGCCGCATTGAGGACAATTTTCCCGTAGAACTTCCCTAATAGAGTTGGCAACCATCGACTTTCTCTTGTGTCCATAAGCAAGAAAATAGCGTCGTGTTCTTGGATCAGCGATACAAGTTTGTCATAGTCTGCCTTCATTTGTTCACCATGAGCTTCATCGCGGATAGGATGACCCGCCATCGGAACCATCATCTTGAAGCCTTGTGCATCAACATTTGGATAGATTTCCTTCAGAGCTTCAGCCGCTTTAATAGCTTTGGGCTGACCACCATTTAAGCAATCTTCAAACTTGAACAGCGGTTGTCGCACAGGGTTTGAGTAAGAGACCGTGGCATTATCGATGAGGGTAATCTTGTGGACTCCCCATCCGAGAAGGATACGTGAAACGTAGGCTCCGAGAGTCCCGGCCCCCAGTAGCAGACATTTAGTGCCTTTGATCTTGTCAAGGTCTAGATTGGGCGCAATTCTCCACTTCATCAGGCGGTTGTTAAGATCAACGGCTGAATCAGCCAGTCGTGTCGGGTCCATTATTTGAGAGAGGTCTGCCATCCTAGGAGCTAGCTTTTTTTCTCGATTCCTTTCCCACCCGGTTATTTTTGGAAGAGGGGCGTCTTTTATGGATAAATCCGAGAGATCTGGGGGACTGTCATCTTTCAGAGTCCAAATAACGCTTCTCGGTTGGTGCCTCAAGGCATGGACATCCCTGTAACCAATAATGTTCACTTCTTGGAGCTTCCACCGCTTCCTGATCAAGTAAAGGAGATTTCGCAAGGGCCATCCGGGGTGCTCTTCGAAGTTACTTGGATCCGCGAAAGCAACAAAAGTATCTTTCTTCTTATCTTCAACATCATTGAAGAATCCTCGTTCGTAATCCCCCAATGGGGCTAGTTTCCAAACAGTATCCTCGTCATCGATAGGGGATTTAACTCTTTTAACCAAAAAAAAACCTCGTTGTCTGCTGTCGATACTATATCGCCACGTAGTAACGACATCACACAAGGATGAAGTTTCCTCTACACTGAATTGCCGACGCTGGCCGACGACGGACCAAGGTGGAGAGGAATGAAGAGCTGGAAAGCCGCACCAGTATTGGAAATGATACTTCTTTAGGTTGGCAAAAGAAAGTATTGTAAATGAGGAGAGAAGGGAAGGGATCGAATATATAGACCCGTCATGGATTGCTTCCCATGTCTGCCTCGAAAGTCAGTCACGGCCGAATTCTAAACGCTATATATGAATGGATTATCTACCGTTCGGCCGGATTTCTGAATGATTTCAGCGTAGTTGGTTTTCTTGAACTCCTCGACGGTGTTGAAGTTCCGTATTATGCCCTCCGCTCGAAACTGCCCCACTGCTGGCCTAAGACGAAATCCTGATAAGCCTAATTTTCATGATTGCGATGACTCATCGCTCAACTTACTCATCTGCAGTCAAGGCAGTACCCCCGATTTGCATGCGACATGAATTTCCGGGTGCATCGTTCGGCTGGATTTCGTAGATACCCAGAACTCGGCGAGCGGACGAGTCCAGCTTGTCATAATTGATTTTGTGGTACGCAAGAGAGGAAAAGAATGCGACATCGATGTCGGATGCGAATGGCGCGAACTGCATCGCGGCGGATCGGAGCCCTAGAGCCTGGTGAATCGAGTAGTGTTTCGATGTGCTTGCAAACCAGCCCTCGGGGTTCCTCGATATGTGATTTAAACTTTAGCTTTCGAAGCTAACTAGTCGGTTGACGGCGGGGTTAAGCGAAATGTTACAACTATCGGTCGACAAGAGAGTTGGATAATGCAAGGGCGTGCGGGTTCAAGGTAGGTTGGTTTCTTGAAGTTTGAAGTCCTGGTTCTGAGAGGTGAAAATGTGATGAAGGAGAATATCAAGTCTTCGACCAGGTCATGACGGTGTTCATGGAATTTATTTAAAAGGCGCCATGCGATCATTTGCCTTGGCCTGTCATACCCCATCGATCACCTGCCGGCTGCCCCGCTATGCTCCACCATCTAGCAACACCAGTGCACTTCGGCTACCATGCGCCGATAGTGCAACACACAAAATACAACGTTACCATGCTTTTCAACATTGCGAATTAAATCCCCTAAATTGAGTTAAAGGACAAGGGTGCTATAAATTTATAAATCGAGATATTCATTCAATACATAAAAGAAGGAATTCCAAAACTACAAAATTTTCTTATAAGGATACATATAATTGCTAAAGTACGAACTACTCAGGACATACCGACTTAACTTAAATATAAAGGGAGTCCAGATCAAGCGAAACTGGCTTACCAAAATTGCAAAATACTCTTAAAGAATGTGTATCCAGTAATCAGAAACAACATAAGTCTCGTAAAGGGCTGGGTCTGCCCGTCTAAATGCGGCAATTGCTCCGGCAATCATTACAATCCGGCTGAGGAGGTATATTGCTGGTGAAATAATACTCAGCATCGTCACCGGACCACCCCATTTCAAAACCACCCGTGGGTAATGCATAAAGACCAGTAGTGAAACGATAGATGCAATGGCTGATGCCCTCCATAGCCATAACTCTGTCAGGGTAGGAAAATGTGTCTCCCAAGATATCAAATGCAGGGCGCCAAATGAAGCTCCAAATAGGCATATCAACGGCCAAAGCCACGAGCCGTATAAGTCCGGATCCCAATGGGCTACCACTCTCTCTTCCTTGTACACCGCAATCTCAGAGACTACGGTGACATTGACACCACCTTTACCATCGAAAACCATCGGTTGCGCTTGCCTTTCTAATCTTTCTGCTTTCCTGGCATCATTGTACTCTTTCTCAAACACTCTCGGCGTCAAGGCCCATATATTGCCCCACGAATTTTGCCGATCTAAACCTTCATCATCGAAGTCGGAACTTATCGCAAGATCTTCGAATTCTTCTCTTTGGGAGCTGGTCATGTTCGGTAGATTGATAACTGTCGGTGACATAATATCTTTTGGCTTAAACCACCAGAAATAATATGTTACGGCAAATAACGGGATGTAACTGATCGTCATTGATTCCAAGGGTGCAAGCGGGAGGTCATGCGCAGACCTCATGATACATTGCGCTACGAACCAAAAGACTTGAACTAATGCCGTAGCCTTTGCGAAACCATCAGTGTTGCTTTTATCCTCTATATCCCGCCTTAATAAACCCCATTCTGCATGATTCCTCCACTCGATAAATCCGTGTCGGAGGAGCCATACGTATTGATTTGGCCATATAACTCGTGATGTTGTTTTTCCAACTCTATAGCGTAATGCCAGCATGCTGATATAGAAAGCATGGATAAGTTCCATACTTTTCCCTTCATCATCTTTATATTCAGCGCACTGCGCAACCATCTTTTTAGCTTGACTCCATTCCTGTAGGCCCTCGACAGCAATAAACTCAGGTGCAACAATTGCTTTAAGAAATATCGCAGTTTTGTGCCACTGGCCCATAGAGTTTGACCTATAAACCCGGCGGTGGATAACGACCCAAGTACAGATAAACATCGTCAGAAGGCAGGTCGTGATTAATGTCAGCGTTCCTCGGCCGCCAGACTCACGCATCCATCCAACCGTAGTCGCATTTTGGGCGAGAGATTCCGTAGAGTTCGAGGGGGCTGTAAATGTCGCGGAGATAAAAGAAGTTGCGGAGGCTGTGCCAGCAGCCGTAGCCATGGTTATAGAAAATATACCAGTATCAACTGGTCAGGGACCATACTACCATGAAGGCGGTTAGATCGAGGATAGTTGGACGTAAAACATTTAGTTCAACGCTAATGGAATAATGGGTCAGATATAACCCAGTATAAGAAGTCAATAATCCTTTAGTATTCCAAGAACCTAAATTCTGGGTGCCTGCCCTCGGTGGGGATCCCCACCGCACCGTGAGGATGTAGGCGATGCCTTACCCCGTTTTAGCCATTTTATTTCTCAGAAAGTTGAGATCTATTGATAGGATATTTGTTAAGTTTGCATTGCTAAAAAGGGGGGGGGGGCCGGCTGCGGGTGCAGGCCATGATTGTGAAATAATATCCAAACACAAGTTCAAGTGTCTAATCCGTAGACATGCAGCTACGCCGTATGGTAGTCCTGATACTAAAAGTAGTTTCGTTAACCCGGCTCTCTTTTGCAAGACGTTTGTAGTTGGATATTTGTCCAAGCTTCTTCCTCGGATCTCCTCACCCGGTTACGAGATGACTGGTTTGCTAGTGCGGAGTCTTTGAGTTTCTCACCTCATTTCACCCGGATACCCTCCTACACGGTTCTGATACAAAAGCAATGTACTCATGAGGCACAGCTGCAGGTATATTGTGACTGATACCCAATGAAAAATTCAAGAACCTTGACTGTTATGGTTTGCCCTTCTCGCAAGAATTGAAAATTGGGTGGGCTAGCATGTTCCCTTAGTGCCCGCATGCCAAGGGCGTCAAATGCGCATGCTGTTCGGTCACACAGAGATCAAAGCCTCGCAAGTATCTTGGTCGTGGAGGTTACACGGCTGCAATAGCTATAACTTTAGGTTAGATCTAATTTACTTCGGGATTGATAAGGCATAGGTGAGCGATAGTCCGGACTTAAGTCGCTTCCTGGAGGAAGCGACCCCCAGAATATTGAGATTATACAATTTCAACATATTCTGCCTAAGCTACGGCTACTAGTTTTCAGCTCGCTGACAATCAGCATTAAATTTAATCTCAGCTCTCGATTCTAATTAACAGGGTCTCGAGTACTCATCTCCAGACGTCACAAGGAATATAGATATATTCCAACAACCGATCAATTACATATCCTCTTAGGGGTTGAACAGTGTTTTTGGGCTCATCTTCAGCTCAGGGCTGGGTTAAATAGCTGAATATTATGCTGAAGATTTATCAAACATACGATACCTCTCTTTTTACTACCTGGCCATAATCCATTATTTCGAATCTAACATTCGCATAACTGCCAGTGTGACAATGGGATTCCCCATAATAACATCATGAAGACCATATTTCAAAATCTCCTCCCGAAGAACTCCAGTCTCGGTCCTCCATTCAACCACTGTTCCCGCCTCCCCCAAATCTCTCTTAATAATATCCTTTTCGGCTTCTAAATCTTCAAAAGTGATACCTCTAGGAACTGTAGCATTCACCGCGCGATGAAACGTAGTTGGCGTGTGCGTCCAAGGAATATCGTAATCATCTTGAGCATGGATAAAAGTGAGCCGGTACTTTCTACCAGCTGCTTCATTTACCTTCACGTACCCCGCAAGACGATCGCCCGTCAACCATTTATCCCGAATAAATGTACTGAGATATCGGAAGGCGATCGGGAACTTCGCGAGTGGCCCTAAAATAGGGATGGTACCAGCGATCCGATAGGTAGCCACCAGCGTTGGAACGTCGACAAAGGCCGCAACAAAAACTGTTCCCGCAAAAATTGTAGCTGGCGACTCCAGGGCGAAATGGTTGATAATAGCAGAGGCCACCGCCGTCCCCATAGATTGACTAAATATGAGAATTCGTTCGGGAGGTATTCCAGCGACTCTTGTGGCCCAGTCGACAACCGCAAGGCCGTCCAGTAGCATACCTTGCTCGGACGGCGAGCCTGTGCTATACCCAAATCCACGGTAGTCAAATGTCAGAACATGGATTTTTTCAGGTCTTCCAGCTGATAGTGCGCGATAATTTGGTGTTCTGTAGCCCGATCCTACTGTGCCACCAGCCCCGTGAAAGTGTAGGATCAACACCGCATCCGGGTCATCTTGTAGGAGTCTGAAAGCCAGCCGTGATGTAATATCTTGAACGAATCCAGCCGGCTCTGCGAGTAATTTCTCCTCATTTTTGCGATATAGTTCGGGTGGTAAAATGTGCCATGCGTAGAGGGATTCGCCGTCCGAAGATTTAATCGAAAATGGGGTCACTTGATTGTGTAGAAATCCAAATATTTCGGGAACATTCAAGTCTTTAAACCATGTCATCTGTATGGCATGTAAATAGACAGCGTGTGCCTGGAAGAAATTGTTGGCGATAAGGCCGAGGAAGCATGCATAGATACCGACGAGGGCCGCAGCAGATATCGAGCTATACTTCAATGTTGTACTTAATATATTCCCCATCGCTTCAAGGTAAGTTACAGCCGGTGGTTTTGATTAAGAGAAACTTGTTAGATTGTGGGAAAAATAAAAGATCAAGACTTCAGAGACCTGCGCTTAGAATTCATAGACTTCGACTTGTATGACAGTTGTAAATTTGAACCTCGGTGCTAAATAGCACCTGGATTTCAATCTCTTGCTTGCTGCTCGTTTCGTCGCAATGTGCTTGAATATTTTAAATGCATATGAATATGAGCAAATGTGGACTTTAAGAAATATAGAGCGCTGGTATATATCAACATTACATTGGCGTCCCGAGATCGATTTGGTGAATTTAGTTAGCCTGATAGCAAAAGAGTTGATTCCAGGGCCAGGCCAAGTGCAAGCCCAGCCATGTGAAAGATTCGAGGCAGACCCTGAATGATGCATTTAATTTGGATGTCACTGTGCCTCAGGCATACTTAAGCGCTCGTGGGGGCCATGGCCAATCATCAGCTACAGCAGCGGCATCTCATTTGTGGTATTTTTTATGAGGGCAACACGCTATTCCTGGTGTCTGAATTGCTCGTGTACACACGTAGCAAGCAATCTAGGTGTCTACTTGAGTACAACCTCGGTACCTGTTCTAGTGATCTTATAATGCCTATCATCATCTACTCTAACAAAAGGTTTGAGCATTTTTCTTTCACGAATCGTACGATATCATCCAATCCCTCGGGTTCTTTAAACCAATGCCCCTCTTGCTCTGCGTCCTCGTATTCACGCCACTCAACTTTGTGACCAATGTCTTGCAGGATATCGCGCGCTTGTGACCCAAGCGCAGAATCAACATATGCATCATCTCTGCCATGTCCTATGAGAATCGGTGTATCGTATTCCATCCGACCATTGGTTTCCCTATCCGTTCCTAGAACGGAATTAAGATATCCAGGGATTCGATATGAATCTGTCATAGTTTCATTCTGAATCTGTTGGGCAAACGGCATCCAGCCACTAAAACCCATAAAACCACCAAGCGAATAACCTCCGGTCAATAGTAACATCAAAGCCGTCGCTTCGCCTTGGCTAATCCCTCCCAGAAACACAGATTTGGGATCCTTAAGGATCTCAATCTCTTCGTCTATTATACCCCGAAGAAATAGAACCGCTTCTCTCAATCCTTCAATTTGTAGCTCACTTCTTTCCGAGGGATCGCTTAAAGAGTAGATATCAAACCATTCTGTCGCTTCCTCTTGGAAGATCGTCGAAAACCTGGGTTTTGCCGTAGGAAATACCCATTTTACGTGTGGTAGTTGCGAAAAGATGTTAGCGTCAGGCGGACCCGAGATCTTGGAGCTGCTAAGTTCGTCCGCTAGTTCCAGGCCACTGCTTCCGCGGCCATGGAGAAATATTATAGTGCTAGTATGGCGCCCAGGTGCAGTAGGGTGTATGATGTAAGGGATTGAGTATTCATGACTTTGAATGTTGTTCATAGTCTACCTAACAATAAAATGAGAAGGGGGCGATGGAAAATTAAAATAGTAGACGAATGCTCATGAGATTACGGCATGGGCATGGCCTAGTATAGTAGATAATATACAGTTAGCTTTGAAGAACACTTAGCCGACACTGAAGGGAGGTGGACAGAATTGAGGCTGAAGAAAGTAAACTCGTGTTGTCTGTTTGACAATGTGTTGCTCTGAGGTCCATTCACATTTGGGGTTGAAGCCCTTACGCTATCCCAAAGCGGAATAGTCACTGTCGAACAAGCGATTCAATTTTCATACACCAAAATTTCGTTACCAAAGAAGATCTCAAGCAGCGACATTTCGACATCAACGACCTTCGACACCCCGACCACCTACACGATATCATCCATAATCCTTCACAATGGGGTATGCTACTGTTCCCAATTGATATTTTATGTGTTTCTGGAACTGACGATGCTGACCTTCTGCTTCTCGTAGTATCGGTATGTTTAACTATCACGAATGCCGTCAGACGACACATCTCGGGAGATATCATTGGACTAAGACGACAATTCTATAGATTTGAAGACACACCACCAACGGGCTAGCCACCGAAAGGCACCCAAGAGCGACAACCCGTACCTTGCCCTCTTGGTCAAGCTCTACAGATTCTTGGCTCGTAAGTTGCACCATTCGACATGTTGGGATCGGGAAGCTACAAGTTCCAGGAAGACGAGATGGAGGGGGGTGTCATACGGATGAAGGAGGGGCGGACGTTGAAATCTTCTGGAATTGGGATGCGAGAATTGGTGGATCTTGAAAATAAAAGGGAATAGTGTGCTGATGGGATATTTTTTGCGACAATATTCAGGCCGAACCGACTCCAACTTCAACAAGGTCATCCTCCGACGTCTCTTTATGTCCAAGATCAACCGCCCACCAGTCTCCCTCTCCCGCATCAACAGACTCGTTGGACAGGAACAAACCAAGACTGAGGGAAAGACCGTTGTTGTTGTTGGTACCATTACCGATGACAACCGTCTGTTGCAAGCCCCAAAGATCACCGTTGCCGCTCTCCGATTCACTGCCACTGCTCGTGCCCGTATCGTTGCTGCCGGTGGTGAGGCTCTTACTCTCGACCAGCTCGCCCTGAGAGCCCCAACTGGTGCCAACACCCTCCTCCTCAGGGGCCCAAAGAACTCCCGAGAGGCTGTCAAGCACTTCGGTTTCGGCCCACACAAGCACAAGAAGCCATACGTTCAGTCGAAGGGCAGGAAATTCGAGCGTGCCCGTGGTCGCAGAAGGTCGAAGGGTTTCAAGGTATGATAAGAGCGGATGTTGCAGAACAGAATATGCATGGGATTGTCGTGCTAATGGATATTATAGGTCTAAATATCTTAATACAATACAATTTTTCTCTTTTCTCCAAACCTTCCAATATTCCATTAAACTCGTTACCACGAAAACACCTTTCAATACCACTACTCTCATCAATATCCTCCTCTGTGTATTCCACCAGACTCTACGACTCACCCCCATCCTATATACTACTTCCTTTACTTTTGTTCGCGAGCTGCATATATTCCCTTTTTTTGGGTCCTGTTCACGCAAGGTGTTTTATTATCGGGATTTTTTACTTTATTCTCTGAACGAACGAACAACTTGCCGTATTCCTTCGTATGAACCCATGTTGTCTAGGAACACCCATTTCTGTTCACGAAAAGAAAAAGCAGTAATTAATGACCTCCCATAGAGAAAAAATGGAAGAGATTTACGGCAGGAAAAGGATTGAGCATTAAGTTTCCATTAAAAAGATAAATCTGTAGTGGTGCTAGTGATATCGGTACCCGAAGAACATTGCAAGGATTCAAGGACATCATAACTAAGTACCTAACCTAACGACCATGTAATCAGGCCTCAATATAGACCTACAAATTCGACTTTGGCAGCTCTGTCCCAGCTGGGAACTTCAATTTCATACCCGCATCCCACCTCAAGACCGCACCCCAAACCCCATCTACCTTATCCGGCCACGTCCCATCCCCGTTCCCGTTCTTCATATCCACGCACTTCACAAACCTCGCCTTCCCTCCCATCCACGGGCGGAAGCTTTGCCATGTCTCCGTTCCAGTCTCTCCGTTAGCTTTCCCCTGTGGAGTATCAACCGCCTTGATATCCGGTTGGTGAAACTCCAAGTTCATTGGAAATAAACTAGTACTCAAGGGGACTCCGATACTGCTGACAACCGGTATATCCTTGAGTACGGCTACAAAGAAGGGATTATCTGGTGTTTCCGGGTGAGCAACAGTGATTGTAGTGTGTCCCGTGGTCTCCGACTTGTCAAAATTGAACACAGCAAGGTGCTTAGGAATGTTCCAATTGCGACGACCATTGTATGTTGTTTCTTTGGAGGAAACATAAATGTTGGTGATTCGATAACGGGAGCTAGAAGCGTGTGGCGTATCGTAATAACCCGGAATGTATAGAAGCTCGTCATAAGGTCCCACTGGAGTTGAGGAATATCGAACCACCATGATCATGCCCTACGACGTTATAAATTACGCAAAGTTAATAAAGAACGATAAAATATGGCCACCCATAAAATAAGGATTTTGATATAAACGTACGATACCGCCATCAAATTTATCATTTACGCCTGGGTGGAAATCGAGTACGTTGGCAGCTCCGGGAACGTTGTTCTTGTTACCACCAAAGGGATAACATGTAAACCACCAAGATTCTCCCGTGCATTCCCAGGGCCCCGGCGCGTGTTCGATGCCGTATTCATTCGCCATGATGCAACAATAAAGCTCGAGGTCTAACTCAAGTATTCGTACCGAGATTCAGTCGTGAGGATCCAAGGGTCTAAAATCTCAGGCGTTCGATCTCCTCCGTGGTATTTAAATACACACCCTATACTACCCCATTAACACACAGGAATGACGGAGGATGACGAGCCAGGACCGGTAGGTAGGACGAGTCGGGTGTCCCATAGCTATTCGACTGCAACATATAACGCACGCCAGAAACCTGGCGGGAGCTGTCAGCACCTAGCAATGCTGTTGGCTGAACAAAATTCGGGAAACTCCGCACGACTGACCGTGGACAACTTGGACTTGGAATGCAGAGTTATTCTGTGTAAGTACACTGCTATGAGGCCGCAGCTATAGCTAGGGATTCGCGGATACATCAGGTTCCGCACCATGAATATCCTTTCACAAGGTTTATTTTATTTTCCTTTTTTATTTTCTCTTGGATCCGTTCTACCGGCCTAAGGGTACGAAATTTTGAGCCGTGGCAGGTTGAATTTGAGAAATCATAGACACATTTCGACGCATTTGCTGTGGGTCCCATCGGCTTACAAAACCTGGGGGCCATGCAGAAGAACCCATGTAAAGTACTAGTACCGCGCGTGGGGAAGCCCAGTGCTTAAGTTAGGGCGGGATCAAGGGCTAGACCTACAAAGAAGGCTTGAAAATACGAAGATACGAATTTGGTCTTCGAGCCCAGTACCAGGTATATTTGGTAATTAAATAAGTACTCGAGCATATATCGTATACCTCCTACTTCAAATATGAAACATCATTGATTGAATCGAGTTCTGGATCGCGCGATACTGACAGACGTCATGTTGGGGAGCCATACTAAGCTCAAAGCTTGGAACACGAACGCCTAACTATCGTCAACCTCAACACATTTGTAGAGGGGAAGCAGTCTAGATGCTGCAACTGGAAGGTTCAAATTTCATTGCATTGCAATGCCTCTTGATCAATCCAGTAAATATTAAGTATAAGGTATAAAGTATAAAGCATAAAGTATAAGTCAGCCCGCCTCGATCTTGGCTAGCTAACAATTTCCGAAATCACGTACACGCATGTCCAATTCCAAGATCATATAACTAGATGTATTCCCTTCCAATTTCTCAAAATCTTGAATAGGTCATGAGTTATACATATATATTCTTACCTTGATTTCAAATATTTCACGCCCTTTGTAGTGTATATATATATAATCGGAGGCTGGGTTCATAAAGTACTTGATTCAGCTTGTAAATACCGCCTAATGATAGCTAAAGCTCAAGCTAGTCGCTCGAAAGAATATAAAGTTACATAAACCTCAGACCCCGCAATTGGCGATTTCCACCCCCATTGCCGATGCTTATCGACTAACTTCCACCCAGCAGGTGGCGTATCGCAGAACATTTTTTCCATAATGGGCAAGTGATTGTGCCCGATCATATGCGAATGTGGTGGTCCCATCTCAATGAGCTTATTGGTATAAGACTCCGGTATCTCATCGAGGCTCACCGCCAGCGATTTCCGAGCAAGTTGGAATGCCCGCACCATTGTCATGGTGAACTCCTCGGGTGTTAAGAAATACAGTACCGAAAAGCTGACAATGTGGTCGAAGGATCCGATGCTCGTGATAAGAGACTGCGCGGGGCCGATGTGGACCTTATTGTAGACGCCGGTTTTCTCGCACATCTCAGCCATTCCTTTGGATAATTCAATACCGGTAATAATGCATTCTCGCGGCAGCTTGGGTCTTGATTCCAATGATAACTTTTGTGCCTCGTTATCTGAGCCGGAGTCCGACTCTGACTCTGGAGGGGTTATCTGTTGCGTTTTTTGCCTCAATGCGCGGCCGAATAATCCGGTGCCCGAGCCGACATCGAGAATTGTGCCTCCAGACTTCCCTATACGAGCGATTGCCATGTCGAAGAAGCCACCATATTGCGAGTTAGCCGCCGAATGTACAATTTCATCGTACTTAGAGCTTAAGTTGTCGTAAACCTCTCCTACAATCTTGGAAGTCGGCTCGCGTGCCCGTCGTCTCAACATCTGGCTAGCGATCAGAGTATTTATCAAAGCTGGGTGTCCTCCTGGGAAGGATAAACGGACGGCTAAGTCTTCCCACTCTTTTGGAGGGGGTAGAAAGACGGCTGGCATCGGATTAACTTCAAGGGCGACGGGTTCTCCGTGACCGGGTGGTGGAACACGGATATCGACATTTCCCCAGCTCTGGCCAGCCATTCTGTTGGCATTCCATGCCTGAATGGCGACCTCTTGGAGTTTTTTGAAGAGCACTGGTTCCTCTTCGTAGTCAAGGAGTGTTACGCTTGTTTCGTCGTGAAATTTAATTTCGAAGGTGAGGAAATCTTCGTATGGTTTGAATCCTTGAGGATAGACATATCGTTCAGGATTCAAGGCGACAGGACAGTCACCGACCTCGATAACAACAACGGAATGATCCCACCCAGAAATGTATTCCTGTACTACTAAGTCGGTAGGGATAGAGACACCATCTATTATTGTCGGTGGTACGGTAGCTCCCGTCTTTCGCGAAAGCGCAGCCTCTGCTCGCCCGGCGTCTAATTCTTTATCGAGATATGCCAGGCATTCAACCAGCTCTTCACGATTGCGACATCGTGACTTCGGCGAAATGAACATACTCCCACAACTACTAGCTGGCTTCACGAAGAGGGGGTACTGAGGGATCTTGGTATCAGCAGTGAGACTGGGACCAGGGACCCGAGGGTAGCCCAACCGGCGAGCATCCTCATAGAAGTCATTCTTGGTACGTTCAAGAACAGTACTTCGTTGGCCAATGGATGGAAGGTCAAAGCTTTCGAAATATTTGCATGCCTCGATCCCTGCTACATTGTCTTCACGCTGACCCCACATGAAGTTGAAGTAGAAATCATAGCCTTTAGCAATGGCCTCATCTATCTCTTGATTTGCCGTGTTCTTGTGGATCCAGACGGTTTCGAATGTATGCTGATCAGTGAAGTTGCTTGGGTCCTGGCTAGGACTATGATCTTCAATCTGATTGGGCCCTACGAAAGCCGATTGGAAAACACAGATTCTCATCTTGTGTGTATGATCAATTGATCCGAGGATAGTGTACCGGTAGAATAGCGCAAAGAATAAGATATCGATAGGTAAGTACTTAAGTATATGTTAAGTAAGTATATAGATGTAAAGTATAGCGTGGTATGGTATAGCTCTATAAACTAGAGACACCACCAGCTTCTTCCCACAGGAACCCACTCCCTTTATACACAACAGGGCCATCCTACTCGTCTAGGGTACCTAGGGTTCACAGCCCATTTTTTCCCGAAACCTCACCGATTACGGGAAGAGCAGACACCATGAATCAGACCCTTAGCACGAGGTCGGCCGTGGGGTTTCTCCTTGCGTCGCTTAAACAAGATATCCCGATTGCGAAACTAGATCTGTCCAATTAATTGCGGGCCGCACAAGCTAGGGGCATATGCATGGATGCCAGCTAGTTCAAGAAAAAAAAATATCACAGCGGAACAGCCTTTTCAACCAACCAGAAGCCAGGATATGAAGAATTCGATCGGAATATGCGCGCATGCACATGCACTGCACTGCATTGGTTCCCCGCAGATCTATCCATCTGGAGGAAACTTGATATCACAATGGTGCATATTCCTTGATCTTGTCAGCAGCGCTATCCGCGACCCTCATTCCACAGATATCGATCCAGCTGAAAAGAAATGAACGGGAATGAAAATGAAAAAGAGAAAGAAGAAAAAAAGCACCCACTTACCCACTAGGCATTGTCGATTCCCCAGGCCGTGTGGTATCAATGCAATGCAACGGCTCACATACAAGAGACTGTACAGCTAAGTATATCTAAGTAGCCATCACGTTTCACAAAATCCCGAAGAACCAGCCGTCATATCTACTTCCCGGCCAAATCAAAACAAATTAACAAAGTTTCTCTCATGGGAATATTAAAAATGACGCGGCTGGCTACGGCGTTGCAAAGGGAATGCAGATAAAAGGATCGATGCAACTGCTAGCTGCAGATGAATGTTAGTCTCGACTCCTAATCCTGTCAGTTAGTCCATTGCCAGCCTAGCAAGCATCTGCAAAGCGAACCCCGCACGCTCTAATGATCCCAATGACGAATTCACGAAGAATTTCAGCTGCTCGAGATCGCAATAGATATTATTTACTAGTTCGCCCCCATTGATATCCATCGCAATCGGGCATAATTAAGTAGTTAGGACTATTCCAAAATGCCACGCAACATACCTCGCCTCCATGTGTTGACAAGCATCGATATTGTGATCCCACGGATGATACAGAGTCGATGGCCATGTGCAAAATACAGGTTAGACGCATCATGCAGATATCAATGGCTTCATGTGTAACGAACTGATGCTCTGTACAATACATATGTAGGATGATCAAAAGTGAGCCTGCCAATGGCAACCAAATCTTAAAAAACAAAGCAAGTCGAAGCGAGCCAAACTGCAAAACCTCGAGAAGGAAACTTACCAAAAAGCACCCCACCTTGCGACAGAACCCCTCGAGCTACAACATACACGAAAGGATCCGACCCGGCAAAAGACTCAAATATACAAAATCATCATTCAGATAGACGGTATACGTTAAGTAAATATCTCTGGTAAAGAAAATAAACCAAAATGCCACCGCCATCCCCGCTCAAGATCAGGACCTCAAGCGTTACACGCTTAATCAAGGAGGAGCAGAGTTATCACAAGGAACTCGCGTCACAGAAAGCCAGGCTTCAAAGGATGGAGGACAACAACGAGGATGTATACGAAATCAAGCAACAGGTGTGCTACAACAATCTTCTTAATGGCGGCGGCCTGGTTTTTATTTATTTATTTATTTTTTCTCAAAAATAAAGTAAAATAAAAAAACTAATTTTGTTACCATCTACTAGAAAAAAGTTGTCGTCGACACAGAGCAGATGATCCCAGCGGTCCAGCAGAAATTGGAACTGGCGGTTGAGGCGTTGGAGTTACAGTTGGTAGGATTCTAGTCTCGTATCCTTATTTTTATCGTAAATGATACTAATTACTACGCTGCTGATAGGAACTGATCGAGGAGGAAACGGACGAAAAGAAGGCCGCCGTCCTAGCCGTCGAGGAAGCTAAGAAGATATACGAAGGACAGCCATCGTCGGTCGGTAACAGTTTATTCACGGAGGCTGCTTGAAAAACGGACATATACTATCATACCTATTACGATATATCTTTTCTAAATGTTCATAGCATGGCGTCACCGGTTTTCTCCAGCAATGGATTATGTTGCTCCCACCATATTTTTCTTTTTTAAAAAAGAAGACCTCCAAATCTTCATCTTGAGATTGCTAACGATTGTTTCGAATACGATATTATGCTGACAATAGCTAAGTACTCAAGTGCTTAGGTTTAATCACGAGAACGGCTTATTTTACTGACGAATTTTAGACACCCATCAAACCCCATTTCATTATTTTTTAGACTAAAGTGTATAAAAAAACTAAACGACTACCCGCTAGTGCTATGTATGTGTACCACCCAGAAAATGCCGAAGGGGAAAAAATTTAAAATAAAAAGAGACACCAAAAGGGAACATTCATTATTAGTGCGTTACTATTTGTTTCTAATACTAGAAAGAAAAGTGGAAAAAAACTTTTACGACTCATCACCACCTCTTTACAAAGCGAAAGCGAGGGCGAGGGCACCGATCAAACCAGCAACACCGATGCTCTGTTTGCTGGCAGCACCAGTATAAGATGGGAGAGGAGCAGTTGGTCGAGAAGTGGTAGTTCCGTTTCCACTCTGGGTTGGGAGGAGGGTGGAAGGGCCAACAGTGGTGGTTTCACCACCGTAGGTTGGGGAAGCAGATGGCTTCAAACCGTTACAAAGACCGTTGTTACAGGTATTGAAGGCACAGTGGGCGTCGGACTTGCACTCAGCATTGAAGTTACCGCATGCTCGGATCAACATGGCATTGCTGGCCCAGCATTGAGCACCTCCAGCACATTGTTCCGTGGTAGCGCATTGGGCACCGAGTGGGAGGGATCCTGGAGCGGCGGTGACAGTAGGTTCCGGAGCACCACTTGGGCCAGGGGCGTCGGTTGGAGAGGCGGTGGTGGAACTGGAAGAGAGGAAACCATTGCAAAGACCGTTGTTGCAGGAGTTGAAGGCACACTGAGAGTCATCCTTGCAGGAGCCGTTGAAGTTACCGCATCGTCGGACTACCATGACGTTACTAGCCCAACAATCGGCACCGCCAGCGCATTGCTCTGATGAGGCACACTCGGCACCGAGTGGGAGGGTTCCCGGAGCAGCAGTGACAGTTGGTTCGGGGGCACCACTTGGGCCAGGAACGTCGGTAGGGGCGGCAGTAGTCCCGCTGGACGAGACGAAACCATTGCAGAGACCGTTATTGCAAGAGTTGAAGGCACAGTCGGCGTCGGACTTGCAGGAGGCGTTGAAGTTACCACATCGTCGAATAAGCATAGCATTGCTGGCCCAGCACTCAGAAGTTCCGACGCACTGCTCTGTTGTAGCACATTCATCACCTAGCTTGAGGGTTCCAGGTGCGGCGGTGACAGTTGGCTCCGGGGCACCGCTGGCTCCTTGGGCGGAGACATAGGCGAGAGCAGTGGCGAGAACGAAGATGGAAGAACGCATATTGAATTTATTTGATATTAAAAGGGTTCTAGATATTAAAAGAGTATAGAATGATGTCGTTTGAAATAAAACGTTGAGAACGATGGAAAAAGCAGTTGGAATTAACGAATGCTTTGTTTTATTATTATCTGAACTGTAACGATTGTTGATCGAATGACTGATTGATAGTGAAGAGTAAGTAAGTAAGAGTAAAATGGATCTCAGGATGGCGACATGGCTTCAACTTATACTAAATCCCTTCGAAGGCAAATAGAAAAAAAGAAAAAGAAAGAAAACCTTGTTACTTGTTACCTGTTAGCCTGGGATGGTCACGGTCACGGCCATGATGGTTTGGAGTGGGCGGATTCTTCACGTCGTCCGCTAATAATAGACGCCACCCTGCCCCTGCACCCATAGCTCAACGTTAAGATCGTAGCACGGAGACACTAACGGATTTGGTGAAAAGGTACGGAACTTCCGTAAAAAGACCAACTAGAACAGCTGGCAAGAAAAAAAGGCTGAGCCCTTTTTCTCTCCTAGTTTGGTTCTAGCTAGCGTTGCGAGCGGCTGAATGCAACATCTGGGCGGAAACGGACCTTTGTTCATTCCTACGACTGATTGGGCGTATGGCCAGAGATAGAACAGGATCATCGAGCCCATGATGCATCATAGTTCCTGGGCTTTCTGGGCTTCTTGGGATTCTTGGGAATAACCTTGGTGGTTACGTAAATATGGAACTGTCGATGTCATAGTCATGTTATTTTATATATAGTAGTTAGCAACGTCAAGTAAGGACAGATCAGGTCATATGAAATGAAGTAAACTGAAAATGAAATGAAATGAAATGAAGATTTTGTAAATCGAAATCCCTTTCCATCTGGCTGCATGATACTATCTGCATGCATGCGCAGTGCAACCGGCCCTGACAAACGGATGAATATTTACACTTACAGAAGACATGACAGAACAGAACTCCTCGATAGGTTCACGACCTGGACTAACTGCATATAAGATTAAGTGGCTTTCAGCCCATCACCATCATGCTACAATCAACCTCACAGCTGAACCTGGTACATGTAAGTATGGTTAGGCGATTAATGGGTGAGGAAGAAGTAAGTACTTACTTACCTTACCTACTTACAAGGCGGCCCCGCATATGCACTCGAAAAAAGCTTAACACAGGTCTAGCCCTACCGGAACTTACCTATACATAGTAAATGTATACTTGCGAACTCAGCCTTCGTCCACGTCAAAGTCAGGAGCCCGATCGCGAAAGATTGACGAGAATCGAACTTTGGTTGGTATGTGACGGTCTTGTTTTTCTTCATGCGCATTAGCCGTCTTCCAAGACCTCCTGCCACTTGTGCGAGGAACTCTGACATGACCGATCGATGCAAAGGGAGAGAAGAAGAAAATTTTGGTCGGCGTACGGGGAACTCTTCAATTTTCCCAATCAAGCGCGGATGTAACACCAACCTCTATCATACAGAACCTTAACTGTGCACAGTACTTACATTAGTAGAACATAGAACATCACCTGTCCCGGTCCTTGAGTCCAAGGCCTTTTTGCCGGATGTAAATTGAATTTTCGGAAGGGATATGCTCGAGAAGATATCATATGTAACCTTTGCCCCTGTTTCTTGTGCTTCATCTTGACGAACTTAACTTCAACACCCGCCAGTACAGCGCAGCCTCGGTATTCTCCGTCTGTCTGTCTGTCTGTGTCCCAAAACTAAAATAACACAACAACACCACAAAACACTATCCCAAATTAGCCATAACCTTTAACAACTCCAAAACATTTCATCCAGTCGATCTATTTACAACATACTTTTCGAAACCCCTAAGAATCAATAAGAAACTCACTATCTTCGATCTTCATATCCCTTGAATATCGATGTCTTGGGATTTATCAATTATTTGTTGTGCGATATGCGCATAATATAGACGTACCATGGCGTATATGCATCGCTGGAATATTATACCTCGTTCGGCGTATCTTATATAATGCAAAATACCCTTCCCAGCCACAGTTACATCGACGGAACAAGTTCTATCTGGGTATTCTAGGCTTTCGAATCAACGCATGGCCCCTTTTCTCCCACCAATGGCTTCAGTCAGCGGTTCATAAACATCCCGGATGGCCCTTTATTATTATTATTATTATTTATTTATTTTTGTTTAAAAAAAGGAGCGGGGTGATTCCATCCGGCGTGACATCGTTGGCACGTGCCTAGAATCTTCTAGGGCGGTTGGAGAGATAATTTTGGAACGATTTGAACAAACCAAAGTTACATTGCACGCTGGCGGCCTGCAGCTCGTTTATGCTAGAACCCGCTGATACTATAGGCTCAATTAATCACTAAGGAAAAAAAGACAAAGACTTAAGAATTTAAAAAGGAACCACTGGTATCAAATTGCAACAGGTGCCTATTAAGTGCGATATGGATGCTTGGAGACTATGTCCCTAACCGTCTGCGATATCAATATATATAACCTAGTCTGGTAGAGCTCCATGTGCGAACGCCAGGAAGCGACTCGCAGACTATATATAACCATATCACCAGTATGTTTCCATCCTTCTTCCCCCGCGTCCTCCCGATAAGTAGAAATAATAAGAATAACTAAACAAAAAAACAAAGACAAAAAAAATTAAAAGATAAGAATAAGAATAGAATAGAGAAGATTAAATAGAATAAATGGCCAGTGACTGAGTCGAACAGACATCTCAAGTGCTTTTGAGAAAGTTTATATCGAATTCACTCCGAAGAGCATAGGGATTTGATGTTTTCCCAAAAGCACTTGCGCTCTACCCCTTAAGCTAAAAGGCCTGGTATATTGGTTACCATATTTGGCAATTAAAGGTAATTTATACTTCAAATATTGTTTGAGTAGCATATATAGTATATACATCCATCGCGCTTTCAAGTTGTTCCGGGTCCTAGAGAATTCTCTACAAAATTCTAAAACCTCGATACTGTATAAATTACAACCTAACACTTAGGACAGTTACCTAGAGATATCAAGAGATAAAAACCAGACCACACATCATGATCAGTCGACTCCCTTAAATATAAAATTAATATCATCCTAGCGGGTTGGCAGTTAGAACTTATGACCAGTGGCCATTTGAGGCCGTAGAATACCCGCGAACGTCATTTTAAACATCATCGAAGAGATAATATACAAAGTTATCCAATCAACGAACCCGATACGGCATGCATACTAGTGGCAAGTATTAAATACTACCACACGAACCTGCGGAACACGAACCTGCGTAGTTTACGTTGATATAATGTCATAGGCTAGTTTGTAAGACAATGTTAGGTTAGAAGTATACTATCATGATCAAGGATCAAATTCGCGGTCGTAGCCTCGAGACCAGTTATTCCAACTGCATGCACAGAACGTCGACATTCAAGCTGTGTTTTTGGAAGACATATCAAAATAGAGTGTCGTCAGCAAAATGTTTCAACATTCTACCCTATCAATGTATTTAACGTATAAGTCACGTACAAAATATATAGCGCGGTTATAACGTCAGACCCTGCATTTCGACTCAAAATTGAATAGTTAATTTTGCTTGTTAGTCCTTAAATTGCGGTCAACCTACTTCAATTATTCAACGGCGTATTAATATTTACCACACAATTGAAAGTCGTACTGTCGAAGTCCTTCTACGTAGCTACAGATAATTAGGTACCTATGGCTGCACCTGAGTACTCAAATTAACATAAGTTCGGATTAGATTGACATCTCGAACTTGATCTCGAGAGTAAATTAAGAACTAGAAAGTTGAAAAAGTTTGTACAGTGAAAATCAATTCAACTCGCGGGACCGATTACACTTTGAATATCGGTTTCCATCACTGTATCGATTGTTATATACTGCTGCACGCGCGTGCACGTACCCACGGAACGTTAACATGTATATTCTGTGTCTGAACTAGCTATAGCCTAGAACTACGGGTCCCGAACTGCAAAGCACTAACTTCTTATACAACCATATTCTACAAGACCCTGCTTACTTAGTCCCGGGACCAGAGACCGGACGAAGTACACAAACATCGATATCTATACATACAAAATTCTAAAGTGCGAATTGGTTCTAATAATAGTAATATTATAAATCGAATGGGCACCTGGATATCTCATGTTTCTTGTTTTCACTGTTACGATAGTTTGCACATGTACGTTGATGCACATCCAAACGGTGCGTTATTATATAGTCATGTCAATCTACTCTAACGATTTAGTTATAGAAAATAGAATAAATAGACCAAAAGATATATACAAATTAACATTTACTCAAGGTACCGTAAAGAAGGACCGGCCTTCAGTACGGCTCAATTTCTCCTCACAGGTTCATATATTCTGTGGTACTAAGTTTTGGGCAACCCCAACCAAATTGTGACACAGTTCGGTCAACCCACAAATACTAAACAATATGATCAGGCATATGGATGGGAAAAAAGGCATTCGATTCATACAGAACTTCAATAGAGATAGTTATCAGATCCATCTTATCGACCCCGCCAAATACGTCGTTAGCGTATCTCAGACCGATAAGAATCCCGAAATCTTCGATCGCTAATCGAGGTTGTTTGTTGGATCTTGCGTCGATATTTGGGGTGCGGGAAATTATCACGCCACTATCACGTCGATGTGTTTTCTGACTACACATGAAGAAAGTATTAAGAAAAGCGATTGATCACTAAACACGCTAACTTAAAGATTTAACTACAAGAGAAGAAGAAAAGGTAACGACCGTAGCGGAATAATAACAGTCGTATACACGGGAAAGGAAAAGCGGAAAAATTGTACAAAAAAAGAAGGACTTCCTGATCAATCCTTTCTCCTCTTTTATTTTTTTTTTAACACCCCCTGGCTAGTAATATGCCACAGAGAAGCCAATCAATCAGATAAGAACCTGAAGAACGGATAAAAAAATAAAAAAAAGCTAAGCAGACCCATTGAGTTTTTTATCCATCCAATTTAGTGAATACTCAAATGTGCTTTTGGTATCTCAATCTGTGTACCTAACGATACTTTTCTCCCTGCAGTTGGTCGCGATACTCCTACGCCGTCACACCTAATGTTGGCTTTCCAACTCGTTTCGACTTATAGTCCTTAATCGCGGACTTGATAGCGTCCTCAGCAAGCATGCTGCAGTGCAATTTTACGGGCGGCAGACACAGTTCTTTGGCGATCTCGGTGTTCTTGATTCTGCCGGCATCTTCGAGAGACATGCCACGGACGAGTTCGGTGAGATATGACGAGGACGCGATGGCGGAACCGCAGCCGAAGGTCTTGAATTTAACATCACTGATCTTTCCGGTAATTTCGTCAACACGGATTTGGAGTTTCATAACGTCGCCGCCTGGGGAGAGGGAATGATTAGCCACAACGGGAAAAAACGTCAATGGAGGAGTAGCGATGAGCATCGGGCCCGGATGACATACAAGCTGGAGCACCGACAAGACCGGTACCGACATCATGATCGGCTTTATTCATCGAGCCGACATTTCGTGGACGGGAATAATGATCTAGCAGTAGATATCGCTGTTAGCCCTTCGCTTCGACCCAATTTCCCACGGCACGGATATGCATATGAAAGTAGGGGGACATATCTTTTTCATGGTATTCCCTCTTCGACACGATTCTGACAGCCGGTAGAGGGGCAATGTGCGGGCGAGGGGTAGCGGCGATGAGGTTCGGTCGGAGGGCACCTCGCGAGAGGGCTCTTGTTGTTGTCTGTAATGTTCTTGAGAGCATTATGGGTGAATTATATTGGGATCGATAAGTTAAGATAGAGTCGCAGAGTATGGAAGGACGGATGGATGGACAGATGTATTGAATAGCGGGTGAGTATTGATGATGAGTGACGATGGTAGATTTAATTTTGCCTTCGGCTTTTGAAGTTGGTAGTTAGACAGTTACTTCTTTTGGGGGCTGCTTAATAAACCTGCTCTGATGTACGTCAATGCCGAACAAAATTCTGGAGAACAGACGGGACGATCGTTGTTGTTTGCTGCCGAGGTCGGCGATTATTGCAACACATCGCCAACACATTCCTCCTTATCGCCGCTTACAGCCGACCGCACTCAGACATCAAGACGACTTAAAGAAGTCCCGGCGAGTCATGACAATTATCACAAGGAGAGGTAACTAGCCCCCCGGGAATTGTAGGCGCGGATAATGACACACGCACGGCAAGGCAATCCGGGGCGCTACCTATGCAATGGATAAGTACTAATATATGACATACATCGATGCCTTACGTAGTCGTTGATTGTAGAGTTACATACGTATAGACATGAGCCTAGATCTTCTAAAGGAGTAAATTATATATTTGATATCACAAATAACGATCATGAATTTGGTTTATATAACAGTATAGTCAGGTCTGGTTAACGGCCAATCTAGTTTGTAATCATCATTTGAGATTTGAGTATTTAAATTTACAATGCTCGTACACAATCTTGTATAGAACAGGGATTAAACTTAGCTTCCGGTCATATCCAGAATTTCGAGAGGACAGACATATACCAAATCCAATTAAATTCACTTGACATTCCCGAGCCTGATCGCGAATGCGTAGGATCCGGTTCTAGTCTCGTAATATTAATCCCATTTACTATTGGCCTATTATTCGTACACACACCGGTATATATATATTTGACCGGAAGAAGATTTTTACATCCCTAAGTCGGTCTTTCCTCAACTTGGGAGGAGTAGGAATGGATGCAATGACCACCTTGATTTAAATAGATAATTTGATCAGCCATTAGCCATCTGCAGCCCGCCGAACCATGGTACCACAAGTATCACTGTTTTATTCACTATCCCGGTGGACCCGGGGAACGATGGCCTAGTATCCACCCTCAGACTGCACGATATGTACCAATCTTATATGTGATCATGAGAGAGTGTGAAACGTGTGTTGACGTGGCAAAAATACAACAGGTCAAAGTCGTGTCATCTCATCTCATCTCATCTCGAGATCAAAGATCGAGATCGAGATTATCGGCTAATTGTCAGGCCCTTGCTTCTATTATATATTATATAATCGGGTACGTTACTTAATCAGTACTTCAATGCCCGGTCTGATCTGATGTAATATCCGACATGATATCGAGAGAATAGAAAGTATATATAAAAGTAAGTATATAATTACTTATATGCATGGTAAGTGGCCAAAGAACTAGCCTCGAGACCACATCGAATATTTAATTTAATTTAATATTGCACACCTCAGGAAAGAAAAAGATAATATACTTAATATATAACGATTATAATACTTATAAGGATGTTTTTTTTTGGTTTTAAAAAAGTCAGAATTTACTGTGAAAGGGGTGCCTTGGTTGCCGCTGCAGGGCTGCATCTTGTTCCTGATTTAGCTTCCATGGCTTAGGGCCAAGCCGACCCGTCGGATCATATGGCCCCCCCCCCCCACGGATCGAGTATTAATCTATATAATATCAAGATGCCCTTTTCGTATGTTTGTATGTACCTAAGTAAGTAGCTTTGTAGTGTCAAATAAGTAACGGGATTAAGTAAAGTAATTACAAGTGGGTAACTGTAAAAGAGAAGGACCTACAGAATCGAATACATCCCGAAAAGCGACTTCGATCATTCGGCCAGTCCCCTTTCTAATTAGCTTACACCTGCACCCACCTGATCAGAGCATACATCCATCCATCCATAACCTATTCCTTTTCTACCGTTTTATTTTACTTTATTTTTATTATTTTATTATTTTATTTAAAAAAGTCATACGGGCCGGCTCTTTTTTGGGTTGGAACGACGGTCCAAGGAAAGCCAGAGAAAGACAAAGGCGGGAAAAGGGTCACACTCTGCTCTCGAAGACTTCTATTCAATAAGTACTTCAGTCAATAAATTAAGTAGACAGATGTACTTAAGTAATTTAAAGTAGGCACTTAAGTAAGCACTTAAGTAAGTACTTCATTATAAAGGAGAGTCTCTGCGACAAAAGCAAAAGCTTGGGCCAATCATTCATTCGGAACATTGACGACTCTTGAAATTAATTATATAACAGCCTCGAGGTCCCCGAAGTCAAATCGAATCTCAGTTTCCATCTTTCATACATCTTTCCTCCATACATACTTCTTTTTTTTCACACTTCGAAAGGATCACTTGCTTGCAATCGGCGGGAAACATAAACCAATGCAATTCTCTATCTAATCGCAAACCCCCCTGTCGACAAGACCTCGAAATCGCTCATCCACAAAACCCTCGTATACGTACTTAGATACCTACATACCGACTTGAATCACAAACTGAGACGGGCGGAGGAACGAAGACCCGGGTATTGCTACTGCTGCTGCTGTTAACTTTCCGAACCTGCATGAATCTGGCGGTTTCTTGGGGGTTTTCCTTGACAAAGATCAAATTCCAAAAGAAGAGCTCAGCCGAGCCGACCCAAATTTAATATTCACAGCTTCGCATTCCAACCTATCAACATCTTTCCATCTCTCATCGTCCCCGCAAAACCTATCTAGATCGTATCATTCTGGAACGACAACTACTTAGTCCGGTCTGGTCTGGTCTAGTCTCCTCTCGCCTGCCTACATCCCGGTCGCATACATAATGGCGATATCCAAAGAAGAAACGGTAATAATGGCGAAAGACGACAAACCTGTAAGTCCAACCTTCAAGCCGCATTTTCCCTCTGCGAGCCCGCCGAAACATTTTTTTTTTTTTTTAAAGAGATCCCGAAACTCGAACAAACAAGGCAGACCACCCTTGTCGCAGTCACTTCAGCTCGCTGCCGTTCGGTACAAGCTCGCAACCTACCCGGTCTTCAAATCCCGAAAATTCTCTTGTTCGGGATTGTTGGCCTCCCCTGCCAAACGAGCCAAACTTAGCTTCCCTCTTTTTTTTTTTTTTTTTTTTTTCTTGTTTGAAAGACTATTATTTTATTTTTAATTTTTTTAAAGAAAGAAAATTGCTAACCTCCGTCAAACAATTTCCATAACAATAACAGACCGCTCTCCAGACCCCAATCACCTCTTCAATGACGACGAGCGCCACCGCAGACCCGGATTTTACCCTTCGAGTTCGAAAATATGTCGCCACCCAAACTGTCGCTGCCTTCATTGCCGGCGGTGTCGCCGGTGCCGTTTCCAGAACCGTTGTCTCCCCGTTGGAGCGGTTAAAAATCCTATATCAGGTTCAGGGGACAGGGGGAGCTTCGTACACTGGAGTTGGAGCTTCATTGGCAAAGATGTGGCGTGAAGAAGGTTGGAGAGGGTTTCTACGGTACGTTTTATCACTTTTCCCCCACAGACATATATTTTTGTTTTTTCCCTTTTACCCCGCGTTATTGAAGCATCATGAGGGTGGGGAGACTTTTGTGGGGAAATTCAAGATCGCGAAAAGCTAATGCGAAAACCCATTTGACAGAGGAAACGGTACCAATTGCGTTCGAATCGTTCCTTATTCTGCGGTGCAGTTCTCATCATATACTGTCTACAAAGGAGTACGATACCCCCGAGACTTCCTTCTTCTTCTTTTTCCCTCTCTTCCGTTTGGTTTAGTTGGCGGGGTTCGGTCTAACGGAAGCTTGTTTTTTTTTAGATGTTCATGGAGGCTGGTAGGACGGAGCTTGATACGCCAAGAAGACTAATATCTGGTGGAATGGCGGGTGTCACATCAGTCGGTACGTTGGTCCACCGTTCTGGAGAATTGATTCTTGTTTTTGAATACTGATACTCCAATTCCCGTAGTTGCAACATATCCCCTCGATATCTGTCGAACACGTTTATCGATACACACAGCATCGCTAGAAGCTCTCGGGAAAACGGGCCAGCACATCAAAATTCCGGGGATGTGGGAAACAATGATCCACATGTACAAGAACGAAGGTGGTGTACTGGCACTATACCGTGGAATGATACCCACACTAGCTGGTGTAGCTCCATATGTTGGCCTCAATTTTGCTTGCTACGAGCAAATTAGAGAGTGGATGACCCCTGAAGGAGAAAGGGGCCCTGGTCCATTTGGAAAGCTAGCTTGTGGTGCTCTCAGCGGCGCAATTGCTCAGACCTTCACTTATCCTTTCGGTATGTAGCCGCTCCTCCTCAACTTGACTTGGCTTTGCTTTAGTCCTATAGGCGAATTCAAAGCTAACAGCTGCACAAGATCTCCTTCGTCGCCGATTCCAAGTGAACACCATGTCCGGCCTTGGGTTCAAATACAACTCCATCTTCCATGCAATCAGTTCCATCATTAGACAGGAGGGCCTCCGAGGCATGTATAAGGGTGTAGTCCCTAACCTCCTTAAGGTCGCACCATCTATGGCAAGCTCTTGGTTCAGCTACGAGCTTGTCAAAGACTTCCTCGTCACAATCGATCCGGATAACGAGCCGATATAAATCTTAAGTTTTGTGATTTGCTTTTTTTTTATCTTATTTTTTTTGCACTACCTAAAAAAACTTCTCAATTGCAACTAGCTTTGCACATATGGTTTATATATATGCTGAGGAGACGGCCGTTTATCTGGGGTTATTATTGGGATTCCTTTCTATTGCATTGTAATCATATCAAGGGTGTTCTTTCATGCTTGTTCAGGTTTATATCTCGCTTTTTCCTTTTATATCATTATATCCTTTTTTCTTTTTTTCTCCTCAAAAAAATTGTTCCTTCAATACCCTCTTTCCTAGATAGCTTTCTTATATAAATTAAGTCAGCTAACTAGGTTCAATTGTTTTTTCTTTCTTTTTTCGGCACCAACTTGTACCAAATGCCAAATGGGGGATATCTTGTTACTTCTTCTTCTTCTCTTACCTTTAGATCTTTGGGTTCTTTTTTATTCTCTTTATTATTCTTTTTTTCTTAACGGGTTCTTCTCTTTCTTCTTTTTCGTTCAGTATATAGTGAGCCTTTCCACCCGTATGCTACAGCCAGGGCAGAGAAGGCGGCATATTGAGACGGCCTTCGAGGTATATGGCGGTTCCTATATTTATATATAGAATATAGAGCCGGGATGGATCGAGCCGGACAGTGTATTTTTATTCGGTCTGGCCGGGTAGTTATTTCGTTTGTCGGAGATTTCAGCAGCTTCGAGGCAATAGAGATAGAGACGATTAAATTGAGACGGTGATGATACGAGACATACATCGATAACCTACACCTTTCCCTTCTGATACTTGTAGATAAAATACAAATATTAAAATAAAGTATCCATTGTGATCCAGCTATCCTAATCATAACGCTGAACGCCATGGTAAAAATATATATATCCAAACCGAATATTAATACCCAGACACTCCGATATAAGGTAGAATGATAACATAGAGGACAGTTACTCTGCTGTCTCCCAAATAACAGAAACCTTTCTCCTGAAGCCCTTGCAATTCTTCTTTTTGCCAACTTTCTCGATATCATCAAGCGCCTTCTTAACCATCAGAGCAGAAGTATTCGGATCATCTTTGACTACTCTAACCTTCAGCACCAAATCCAAGTTCTCTTTCCTAGCCGTGTCCCTAGCAAAGAAGCTAATCTTATCATCCATAAGACTCGCCCTCCTCCTCCTCCCGCTGCTCCCACTTTCACTTCCACTCCCACTGCTATCTCTTCTTTCCAAAGGTTGAATTCCATCCGTATTATCACCTTTTTCCTCCCCAGGGATCCCAACCGGGAAGACCATCCCCACGGCCTGAGCAACAGCACCAACATATCTAGCCCACCAAGCCATCTCATCGCCAACTACCCGCTCAAGTCTTTCCCTAAACCCCCACTCGGCAACCTCCCCACCCCATCGAGCACAAAGTACCAATCCCAGTAATGCCCGTTCCTTGTGCGTCAACCCGTGAACCCCACCAAGTAACCCTGTAGTCGTAAAATGCAAACCCGCAGCCGCCCTTCCTTCCTTCGGTATCCCCTGGTGAAAGTATAATAAGTTCGCCAGCGCAGGTACGATTTCTCTCCAAAGTACATCGGGTGTACTCTTCGGAAGAGCATCATTGATAACCCTCGCCAGTTTACCCGCTCCGTGACTTCTATAGACCTCCGTAGAAACCACCAAAGGGTTCGCCTTCCGGACTTCTTTGCTCAAAGTGGAATACAAACATCCTTCCCTAACCCCTCCCTGGCAGAACACAACATCCTTTATCTGCGGTAAACACTTCAATAAATTCCTAATCAGGAACGCCACGGCAGGGACCTGCAAGGCCCTTCTCTCAGATATCCTGAACTTCCCCGCCAATTCTTCCTGCTGTCCTCCGGAAAGCTCCACTCCAATCCTATCTGCCAATTTGACAAAATGCTCCCTTTTGGCCGAGAACCCGTTAATTATAGGAATTGGATACGGTTGAACCTCGTGTTCCGCCAAAAGTAGATATCCAAAACCACGGAACCCCCCACCGGAAAGGTATAGCGTATACCCACCTTCCTTCTCCGCCTTCACAGTAAGTTCCGGATGAACCTGCAAAGAAGCCACAGCCTTCTCGAATTCCTCTCTAATATGTGCCGCCGTAGCTTCAACAGCGGTGGCGTTGATAGCCGTTTGCAATTTCTTGGTCAACGCCGCCGCTCCGAAGGGTAAGGAAACCGCCTCCTTCGCACTTTCCAACTCTCCATGTTTCGATACCATCCACGATAACTGCGTCGATCCACCACCCAAATCCATCACCAACCCTTCCACGGTTGCAAAGCTACTTGCGATTCCCAGGCCACCGATCCGTCCTTCTTCGGACTTCGGAAGCATTTCGACGGGCCACCCGACGGCATCTTGGATTGCTTGGCGGAATTCAAGGCTGTTTGGGGCGGTACGGGTGGCTTCGGTTGCTATTAGTTTTATGTGGGATTCTGGGACTTTGTAGGCGTTGCAGATCGTTCGGAAGCGGAGGAGGGTGGTGGTTATTGCTGTTATGGTAGAAGCGGGGATTGGAGATTTTATGTGAGTTGAAGAAAGCGTGGAATACTGATACTGAGCATCGTAGAGGGAGATGGGAGCCCGGTCGGTGTAGAGAGTTGGGAGAATACGAGCAGTGAGAGGATGAAGAGTAGTAATCGAGAAACGAACACCGTTACTATAAAATATATATAATGAATCATCCAATTTGTTAGTTACTAGTACTAGTAGTTAGATTAAGTTGAGTATTTGATGTTTGTTTTCTTTGGTGAAGTCATATCGCTTGATATGTTATGATATGATATCATGAGGGGTAGATAATTAAGACCCGGAAGTTGTTCAAAATCAACCAACTGATTGCGAGATAGCCTTACCTGCCAATATCGACAATAGCGTGGAGGTGTTCCGGAGAAGTGCATTCGGAAGCGTAAGACGGAGAAGAAAGCAGCGGGGCGGCCATTTAGTTTAGTTTGTTCGAATTCAATCAGTCAATCAATCAATCAATCAATTAATCAATCAATCAATCAGTCAATCCAGTAAAATCAAATGATCTTAAGATTCAAATGCAATGTAATTGGGGAGGTCGATAGGTCAATAAGTAGGGAAGTAGGTAGGTAAGTATTGTTGAATCGAAGTCTTTCAATTAACTGTATACGAAGTAGGTACTATAGATAAGTACTTAATTAAGTAGTAGATATACTCTCCGCTACAGTCGGTCACAGGTTGCAGAACCGAATCAAAACGACATAAAAAAAAACACTCCGAGTGCGAATGCCCTTGCCTATATAACATTCGCTTCAAGAACTAGGCACCTTTGTCCTACCAGGGGGGGCTGAGGGTTCATGCAAAGCAGGGAGGAGGAGGGGGTGGGAAACTGTCCTGCCCTGCATACCGATCAATCAAATGACCCCCAGTTGGAAATCCGAAGACGAGGAACAGGAATTTCTTCAATTTCTTTCGCTGCGTGTCTCGGCATCACAGGCTGCGAAGGGCTGTCATGTCCGTTTTGGCCACCGTGTACCCCCATCAAATTACTTACTTAAGCACTTAATTACAAGTATTTGAGACTGAAAATTTTGAGCGATCAAGCGCCCGGAGAGGGGAGGAGATCTAGAGTCATCGAGGCATTTTTCCTGTCGAGGGGCGGCCCCGAACTCGAGCATGGGTTCTGCCGTTTTTTTTCTATTGTTGGTTGGGATTCGCTACTGTCCGTTGAATGGAAGGTTCTTTCTGGACATGACAGACAGGGATGGTTTCGGGCGGGTGGGGTTCCTTTCTTTCCCCCTTCGGATTCTATAGAATTCTAGCTTTTCTAGATTTCTTGGTGATGCAGGTACTGGTAAGATAAGATAGCGGCAATATAATAATGGCCGGCCATGCATTGATCATGATCATGATACCGGTACCGATGCTGATAACCCCCCCCCTTTCCCCGCTCTACAATATGCCATATGATACCATGCAAAAAAAATCTTTAATATACCACACACACACGCCTTCATATGCGCCGTCTCAATCAAACCCTCTCGAAGAAATAGACATACGCAAACTTCTTCATCTCCTCAACATCCGCTCCTTCAACAACCTTTTCATCATTAAACAAAACCCAGGCTTCCTTCAACCCAGCCTCCCCTTGATCAACAAGCTTCCTGATAAAAGCCACATAGTGTCTATAGGTGTATATAAAGATATAAAGAAAGCATCACATTCATTAGTACTGTGAAGACTTATATATATAAAGTCAGGAATGAATGCTTACCCGGCGTGAATACTCGACCCCTTATGACAGACAATGCTATGCAGCTGGAAATTTGCCGGTATCTCCGCGCTTCCCGGAACTGATTTCTCTTTTGCTTCCCCACCAGCCGCTGCCGTTGTAGCAGTATCATCATCTCCAGTATCGTCTGGATGACTAAACACCCACTCGACAGCCCGCTCAACATCCCCACCCGTCTCCCTCAGGGCCTTCTTCGCTTGTGCTTCCGTAAACCCCATAGCCGTCAACATGACAATCTGCTCAGGGTCAGTTGAGGAGCCACCTGCACCACCGCCACTACCGCCAGAACTTCCAGGGAGCTCCAAAGGAGCATCAATGTCTGGATCCTCCATATGCTGGAATAGCCAGTTCATTGCCTCTTCGGCATTGGAGTTGCCGGTGTGGTAAAGTGCTTTTTGGCAGCGGATTCCCGGGAAACCCATGGCTTCAAGCTGTTCCATTGCTGCTGCATTTGGTTCGAACGATGGCGCAGAGCCTTCGGCTGCATCTTCTGGAAGAAGCTCCTCGGTATCTAGTAGACCGGGTGAAAGGTATGGGTCCAACGGGAAAGGTGTGGTGTCAACAACAACCGGGATGTCTGAGCTCTGTTATTAGCTGCTTGCTCGTAGCCTTCGGCATCGATGAAATACATACCCAACTTCGTAGGTACCCAATTAATAAGTGCAAACCTTCTTGCGTTCACGGCCAGAACCTTCGGGAAGGTCTTGAACCCGATTCTCCTACCCTCAAAATCAGCACTTTTCTCTTATCCGAACACTTCTTCGAAGAAAGTCTCACTTGACTGCCCCTTCCTTGCTTCCACATGCCTTGCAAGTATACTCAATCGCTTCTGATGCAGTGAATATATCCAAACATTCCTTCAAAGTCACAGCTTCAAACTCTTCCCCTTTCTTCCCGTCTTCGCCCATAACGACATCCTTAAGTCTTCTAGCTGGAACAGGAACGGTGATATTATCCTGCTCATCGGTCCTATATCTCACCTTCTTACACCCCAAGCATTGAAGTCTTTGCTCTACAGCAAATTTGAAATCCGAGACCGGGTCCTTCTGTGGTTCAGGATGTGGAGACCGGGTAATGAGTTTGAAGAGGTGGAGGAGGAGTTCGAAGGCATCCTGTTGTCGCATAGTTGAAAATTCCTCATGTCCCTTACCAACTAGTGCTTTCAACATCGCTGGAGCAATACCTTTCTGGTACTGCACGTACGTGTGCTCCGTGGTTGATGGTTGTGGTTCATCGGGCTTCGAGTACCGTCCGGACAACAATCCATCGCCTACTTTCTTCAACTGCGTATCCAAGTCCTCGGCAGGTCGATCGGCAACAGGAACATCGTCAACCTCGCCATATCGCTTCTTGAATCCTTCCAAAGAGAAAAGGCACTGCAGGATTGATGCCAAATAGCATGAATTCCCAAGATTCTTCAACCCAGTCAAACCAGGTCCGAACAAGGGGCTCAGTTCCTTCCCGTCTTCACCAGTCATCCTAAACTCCCACCGAAGATTCTGCTCAATATTCATTTCGGTCAACGACTTCTCAGTCTTCTGTCGCTCGGCGATAGCAACACCCCAGTGATGAAGATGTTCGGTAAGATGGGGATCAAGACGTTCATCGTTACAAATGTAGCAGTAGATATCAGCAGTCCCTTCTGGGGATATACTACCGAGTTTTACAGAGGCGGGGTGGTTTGTAGCGTTGAAGTGAGCGACACCGTGGGAGTTTCCGCCGACGCCACCAAATTGGGCACGACCGCAGCCGAGGTTTCCGCATTGAAGACACATCCAGAGGTTCTCCTTGAGGTCGCAGTCGGTGCATTTGGTTAGATCTATATAGATGTTGTGGTTTGTAATTAGTTGGTGTTATGACGGCGTAAAAGGAACAGAGTAAAGGCATACCAATATTCTTCCCATCCTTACTATCTTGAACTAAGAAAGAAACATGCTCGCAATGCTCAAGCTCTAGATTCCAAGCATGAACTTCATCAGCTCGAGCAGCTGTCAGGGCATTAAGAACACCTTCGACGACTTGTGGTAGCTATCAAAGCTCCGTAATCAGCTTCCTAGATCTCAACCCAAAGCAAGGTGATATATTATAATAACTCACATTCCCAGCCTGTTCCACATCATCAACTTCGCAAGAATAACACCTGACAAAAGTTTTGGTATCGTAAATATCGGCTTCAGTTTCAGCTGCAATAGCCAGCTTTGTAAGCTTTGTTGGCGGTTCGTCTCTCTGAAATACTAACATTAGCAAGAAAGATACTCCATGGTCACTATTTTCCTCTCAAGAAGGGCCCCTTGAATACATACCTCGACCTTCGGTTTCTTCGTTCTTCGAATGTTTAGAGCTAAGGGGTGGTCCCTTTGTGCAGAGTGCAAACGACCGTGCATACGGTCACCGGCACAACCGCCGTTGAAACAGCTGAGGCAAACATCGAGACCTTGTTCATCGTCCTGTGGCTCACAATTTAGATACTGATTTTCAATATATCAGTTGAAAATAGTGAACAAGCTTACAATGGAATCGAAGCAGATAGTACAGTCCTCTCGATAAACCGCCTGGGTAGCAGTCGGCGGCCGCAAGGCTACAAAACACACCACATACAACTTTCATCAGTCACCAGCACAACAACATCGTCATAAGATAAAGAAGGGTAACAAACACAGCTGAGAGATATGAGAACAAGCCGTCATTTTAGTAGAATATCGGTGGGCTTTAAGTTGTAAAAATAAAACAAATAAAATAAAAAAAGAGGTAATGTAGAGAAAACGCGTGAAAGTCTGGAGGTGCGAGGAAGGTGGAGTGGGAAGACGCGAAATGGGTAAGCTCTTAAGTAGCTATGGCGGAGGGGAAGGATTCATTTGTCAGGTTTTGGCGGGGTGGTCGCGGGGCAGCTGGCGGGTGTGGTGTGGTGTGGCAGAGCAGGGGAGCTTGGCCGAAACTGTCCAACATGCAACATAGCTCCTCGATGACGTCCATTCCAGCAGACTAAACATCCCTCGAGATCAAGATATATCACATCGCCAATATTGTAGACACTACCTATCCCACCCAAATACAATCGCACTCAGCTTCAGCATGGCATCAGAGCAGAATACACTACCAGCAGAAGGCCCAGGCGGCCATGTCATGGGTGAACATTGCACTACAGACTCGCCGTTACCATCAAACGCCGGTACACCATATGGAGTACGTACCCATGGCTTCCTTCTCACCCACCGACATCTTCAATACCATTTCTAGCCAGAATACTAATATTTCAAGCTTCATAGGAAATAATCAAGCTGGGAAACGTAGATGTAAGGTCCATAATACCACAGCTTCAACACAGACCTCTCTCTCTTCCTCTCTCTCTCTCTTCCTCTCTCTCTCTCTCCCTTTTTTTACTTCTTTGCATCTTGTTTCGTTTCGGGATTCTAAAACTTCACGATATCATAGTGCTACGTTACCAAACCGCCCGATTATCCACACGTCAATTCCAAGCTCCTACTGTTTCTCACAAATGGCGTCGGACTCCACTCAAAAAACAACCAACTACAGGCAGACTATTATTCTAAAGAAGGCGGCTTCTTAGTCGTCATGCCAGATCTGTATGTCTGCCCCAACCCTGGCACGATTAGACAACAACTATTAGTATCAAACAATTAATGTAATATCTTATTTATATAACAGCTTTGATGGCGACCCAGCTCCCATCGCCGGTGCCACCAAAACCGACGAAATAACTGGTCACGAATCTGTAATCGAACAACTGAAAACCAAAGCCGCCGAGGGCATCAAACTCCTCATGATAGACCTCTGGCTCGCACGTCACACTCCCGAAAAGACATATCCAATAATCCTCTCCGTTCTAGAAGCTGCCAAGGAAGAATTCGCCGACGCGGCAAGTCAGGTATTCTGTGTTGGATACTGTTTTGGGGGGAAATACGTTTTGAAGTTGGCGAGCACGGCGGAGATCACGGCAGGCGCAGTGGCTCATGGCACGGCGGTCACGTTGGAAGACATCAAAGCCGTGGTAAAACCAGTCAGTTTTGTCTGTGTGGAAGGCGACGCTTTGTTTCCAGATGAGATTCGAGAAGACGGGAGGAAGTATCTCCAAGACAATAATTTAGAGCATGAAATGAAGGTCTATGGTAGTGTACCGCATGGTAAGTTCTTTCCAAGTGAATAATACGCAAAGGCTCGCTATGAAAATTGTCGACTAATATCATCGCAGGCTTCGCAGTCATGGGCAGCTATGACGATGATCTGATCCAGCAGGCACAAAAGGAAGCGAACGCACAAATGCTTGATTGGCTCATTAGCCATGAAACATGATTTCTTTATTGTACCACCGATGAATCTTTTCTTTTGATCATTATTTTTCTTATTCAGTCCATTTTCTTAGTCTTTTTTTTTTTTTTTCTTTTGAGGAAGCTACAATACCCATATTAATACTACACTTATGTATACATCATAAAAACATAAATTCGAGCCATCCACTCTATTAACGCCTTCTCAAGAACGGTTCGAGTAATGCATTATCATTATAAATTTCCCTTTTCATAATATGAATAAGCAGAGTCGGTAAAAAGAAGGAAGAAAACATCAGGTAAAGGGGAAACTATATTCCAAAAAAAATAAAGAAAACACACAAAAAAATAAACACCCATGCAATGCGTTCATATCTCAAAAGGAAATCCATCTCTCTAACCGAGTATCTCAATCAATATTCCATAGCCCACCAATTCCTTATATTATGGCAGGAGATTAATTCTATCACTCCACCTTACTGATTCCTGCTAAAATTCCATCCTTGATTCTCTGGTTCGTTAGAGCAGCAATCAAGGCTGCGCCGACGCCACTTCCATCTTCAGCTGGTTTAACAATCACATCGTCGTGTCCCAAGATCTCTCTCAATGCTGCAGCATTTCTCTCCTTAAAGTGTGGGTATTTGTTGAAGACACTACCATCAGCACCAACACTACAAGGGGAAAGATCTCGCTTTCGAACAATAGCGGCGATACCGCAGGCAGAGAGACGAGCCGCACGGGTCCCAATAAGTTCGGCGAGACGGCGGATGAGTTTTCGTTCAGGTTCTGTAGTTTGGATGCCTAGTCGTTTTTCAAAGAGGATTTCAGTTTCACCCAGGTTCTCCCACGGGTCGCTGGCGTACCATGAATATTAGTCTCCGGGAAAAACAACAGAGTTGGAAATTTGTGGAAAACTTACGACTCGATCTCAGCCAAAAACGAAGCATCGAGGCTGTACGGCTTCTGAAGCGCAGCCAATTTCTGCCCCGCAAATATTTCAACATCGCGTCTCTCAGCGAGGTCAAGAAGGGTAAGTCGGAGAATTTCTCCAAGATAATATCCAGCAATCATTTTTTCAAATGCTTGTTGCCCAGGACGTGGAGATTGTTCATCAATTTGAGCATCGTAGACAGTGCGTGGGAGGACATAGTGTTCGTTGTCGAAGGCACCCCATTCACAATTAATGGCAATTGGCATATCTGGAGGAAGGTTCATATGCTCAAGCTTGGGGATGTTGCCGGCAAGCTCGAAATAAGCGGCTATATTAAATATGTTAACAATAGCCACGATTTAAGTCCGTCCGATGCTCTCAAGGCTTACCATTGCATCCTGTGCCAAAGATACAACCGATCTTTGTCGTTTGATCTGTGTAATTGCTGGCGACGAGCGTTCCAGTGGTATCGTTGATGAGCGCAGTAACCTTGATTGGAACACCCTACAAGCTTGTCAGTCCTTGCCTCTCCATATATCGCTTTCACCAGACTCTGCCTCACCTTCTTGGCCAAAGCAGCTTCAAACAACGGAACAACGTCCTTCCCTTCAACACCTTGAACGTCGAATCCCTTTGTCCACCTCTGCAAAACACCATGGTCGATGAACTCTTGGGTGCAGGGATACGAAAATGTGAACCCGAGGCTCATCTCCTTCATATTCTGATCTTCGTGGTTGGAAATCAAGAATTGTTTGAGACAATCGGCAACATAATCAAATAGGTCTTCGGCAGTGCCGGTCTTGATAGCACTCGGCATACGATATTTACTTTGCATAATATCGAACTTGCCAGGCTCCTCGGGAAGCTCGATTTCGCAGACTCGAAGGTTTGTACCTCCCATATCGAGAGCGAGGTATGTACCTGTTTCATGGCCGGTGGGGTTGCTGAGAACCCATGTTGGATTCATAGGCTGATTGGGAAAATTAAGTAAGTCAATTGATCCTACTGGGTTAAGCCACCGAAAACTTACAATGCTTCCTCCTTCTTTCGACAGACCTATTGGAAAGAAAGTGAGAAAGTTAACGAGTTATACAAGCCCCAGTATTCCAGAAAAGCTACGCACCTTTCGCCAATTCTTTGGTGAACCTTTCCGTGATGAAGTTGAGTTTCTGGGTATCGACAGAAAAAAGATCCTCCAGAATTTTAATCTGGTCCATCAAATCCTTGGGGACATCGTGCATAGAACCTATGGCCCCACCATTCGTCTTGTCAATATCAACGATCTCGTTTCCCATCGGAACCCCTCACTGCCTATGCGGCCCAAATGAAGAAAAGAAAAAAGAAAACAGCGTCGATGCGATAGGTGTTGAAGCCGGAGTCAAAACTAAGAAAGAGGTGGCAGAATAAGAAAGCGGAACGTACCCTTCCTGCTGGGAGGATCTTTCGGCCCTAGTCCGACCATTGTGCAAATCTGATCAAACACGATGCCCGGTGTTAGTAACCTGTCGACCTTATCTTCTGAAAATAGCTTGAGGGAAAGCATTTTTGCGGTTATTCGTTTGTTTGTTGCCGTCTACAAAAATGGCAGATAATCGCGAGATGATCCGAAGAGGAGAAAAAAACGTGATGAATAAGAAGCATAAGGTCTGCTTATGCACCTCTAAATGGGATCGATATCTGATCGTTTTCACCAGAGGGAAAAATAATAATAAAAGGATTGGCTTGATTTCACAACCACCACGACTCACCCAAGGATTTTATAGATAAGTGCGGGGATCAGGAATCGAGAATTGGGTGCCAATCCGGGGTAAATTTAGGCGGGAATGGTAGCGACAACGGTACCAAGGAGCGAAATGGTGGTGAGAAGAAGGCGATCGAAGATTGGCCACTCGGGTCAGCTGCAGGAGAATGGCAATGCAATTGCAATGATGCAGCTGTCGTCCTCGATAACGTTTGCAGGAGCTGTGCGACGGGGATGGATTGACACAGATAGGCAAGCGAGAACCTATGGCAGGGCTAGCTGGGTATACGTAGGTGAGCTGATTATGGGATGATGTAAGGCCGGCAGTCAGTCAGTCTGGTTGGTTGGTGTCAAAAAGGCACGTTGGTGTCGTGAGAGCAATTGACGGTGGGAGGTCCGAGATCGATTACGTCGAAACGGGTAATCCAGAGAACGTTAACAAGTAAGAAGCAAGAAGGGATGTAGATTCGATCTAGATTTAATTTGCATTCACCAGCCCACGGCAGACACCATCCTTTTAACTGACACAGTTGACCATCCTTAGTTATAACTAACCAGATTTAACTAGCTTTTTCAAAGAATCATTCTACAATACAATGCAATATGCTCTCCATCTCGAGCTCACCTGATATCTAATTGCATCGAGGAGGAGGATCACGTCCTGAGTTCGGAGCCAGTCTCGGGGGACCTTAGGATACTGGGCCTATGACGTCCGGTCTAGATGAGGGGCTCGGTCTGCGACCTGCATGACCCACCCTTGCTAGCTTTCTAACCCCTCCCTTGCCCGCCAGCTTCGATTGGCCTGCCATTACACCGCACTGTTCTTATCGATAACCAAGTGTTTAACAAGTTCACCGAATCGGCCGGGGTTTGATATCCGAGTTAGAATTAGGCTCTTAGAGCTCGGGAGCTTTACCCATGTCTGGCGCTCGGTCTGGACTAAGGCTTCACAGACCTCCCGAGCAAAGATCCGCGACTCAGACGTTAAACTTGACCCTTTTTTTTTCTCTGAAAAAAAAAACTCCGGGATAGACTCCGTTGATAAAAAGAAGAAGGGGGGCAAAAAACTTCGACGATATTAAAAAGGCGGCTCGAGTTGATGCCAATTACTCAATTGCTGCCTGCTGCCTGCTGCCTCCTGAAAAAAAAAAAAAAAAAAAATCCGCCTGGCCATTGTGGCATGCAAATTTTCAAACATCATTCTGACCCCAATCTGGAGATCTGAGCTCTCTCAATTGATATCATGTCAATCGACCCGAGCTCGAAGGACCGCGATTGCAATTGCATGTTGCGCTATGTCCTGCCTGTTCTAAATTCGAATATACCACACCAACAACGCGGTTCCGGAGAAACCTTTTCCTGAAGTGGAGTCTTCGGAATATTATTTACAGACCCACATTGATATACCGACCCAGGTATATATCTAAGATGGGTAGGGGATAGGTACTTGCCGACATACTTAGTACCTATGCACATACATCGGATTAACCCCTATCCTGCACTGTCCCAGTTGATTGCCACGCCGTTAAACAAACAGCTCCTCGAAAACCATGTATTCGCGAATTCGGCTGATCAAAAAAACAATACAGTAGGGAACAGAGTAAGCAAAAAAAAAACACGACTTGCTTTCTTTGGCCCCACATTCCGGGGAAGCACAATCTCGACATATGCTGCAAGGCCGTGGGGGGAGAAGGAAAAAACAATAATGCAGAATGTCGACGAGTCGGATATCCAGCATAAACTGACTCAACTCTCATCCGAATAAGCCTACGCAGCATATATACCGTAATACGAGTAAGCAGGCAAGCATATACTCGTGATTGGTAAGATAAACAGTCCACAGGAAATAAGCTGAAAAGGATCCGGAATGAAACGTAAACTCTCAGATTGTATTATAAAAGCACACGAGTCACGCTAGTTAAAGGATCAGCAACTTAATTAAGTACGGACGGTTATTCCCGTACCGTAAGCCGTAGCCGAATTGCCGCAGAGATGACCCCCAACCTTCTGCCCCACGATATCAATATATATTATAAAAACTCAAGCCATGATAACATCTAAACTTATTCATGTATTCAGTTATGCTATCGCAATAGCATCTTACGTTACCCCGGAATTCCGGGACCAAAGTAAGACACATAGAATAGAATCAGATCATAACAACAATACTATAATAAAAAACAAAATAAAGGGAGCCTACTCTGCAGTACTGTATTATTAATATTGATGCCTGAAAAAAAAAGGTAAGAAAGAAAGAAGCCGTGGAGGTACCAACCCCAAACCCCACCATTATGTGCGCCTCATACGGTGAAATGCAGGGTATTTATACGTAGCCTCGCCTCATGTATCCCTACATGTATATAAATTAAACAGATACGTACTCGAATACTCTTCGAACTTAGCTATCCCTCCAGTCTGACAGGTTAGGAATCCACCCAGGCAAGGTCAGGATGCTGTGTAACCTGAGATAGCGACAAAACAAACGAAGGATTGTTCGAAGCGAAAAAATATAGCCTGCAATGTGAAGGCCTCGAGGGAATTCACTATATATATAAGTACATAACATTACCGGCGCCCTATGCCGAACTCATGGGAAGAATACGGAGGGTTCTAGTATGGATGGCACTTGATAACAACATAAATTATATTAATTATAAATTTAAATCGGAGCTCTCACCACCGAACCGTTGAATCCATGTATGAGCGTTCCTACCTAGATAGTCAACGGTTGAAGAAGTATGGCCATCGCCACAATATCTCAATCCAATATCGTCTATGCGAAGATGTCAACATGCTCCGGAACACCCCCCCTTTCCCCTTCAAAGAACTCCCGGGCTCCCTCCCAGCATGCAACTCTACGCATACTCCGTACCATAATAGGCACATTATTCTATGCATACACACAGACCTAGCTCTCGCATCCGAAACGAAACTGAAAAACTTAAATATCGCTCCGAGTGCCTCCGGACATTTAACTACAGAGATCCTGGGAAAGAACAAGGAGAAATCTCGAAGATCGATGTTGCCGAAGGAAGGTACCGGTACCAGCACCAGCACCAGCACCAGCACCAGCATGCACCGGCATAAGAAGCGCTTACTGCGAGTGAGAGCCACTTACATTGCATCAGCCTCAACTGCACGAACAACACAGCAAACGCACCGGGGTTAAGCTTCGCTATACTGCGTATACTCGTATACTGAACCCGCCTCATATCGATGCATCAAGTATACCGACTCATCAATACATCGATATCTTATGAACATCTCCAGCTCATGATGGAACCCTTCCAGGCCGGTGTCCTTTCTGGAATTCTTCCTCCACTGCAGGTACGCCACGACAGCTTGCTTCACAATTGAGGCAGAAGTTATCAAACATGCAAACGTTTCGAACTTATTGATAACACCATAGGCATACGTGTGTATACAATCTGTTCTCGTATCTCCCTGACTCCCTCTATTCGTAAATTAATATATTCTGGCTGTTTTTGCGTGATTAATTTAGATTAACCCCACCGAGAAGCTTCGATGGTGTAGCATAACTTTGACGCAATTGATTGCCGTGGATACTCCGTGATTTGAGTCGCAGGGCTGCAGAGTGGGGGGTTGGTGCATTTACCCCAAGGCATCAAGGGTGACCGATCTCAAAATAGGAAGTATAAAGTTAATATTCGCGATGTCGAAAAACTAGCTTAACCCTCAAAGGCCGTCGATTGATCAGGCAAATTATTATAAACGCTTTCACAAAGGTCAGAGCTCCGGATGAACTCCAAAACAGTTTTGGACACTGTTGCAGGTTGATTGCACTATAGTTGAGGGAAGGGGGAAAAAAAAAGATATTGTTTTTGTTTTTCTTATTAGCATCATCGCCATCGGTAAGTTCTTCCATGATTTTGGCCGGAGACATTTTTTCACTGGACAAGCTGGTAAGCAATTAATGGCGCGATGTTCCTTTTTTTTTTTTTTTTTTTTTTTTTCCTTCCCTTGGATCCGAAAGCCACCGTTCAAGCATTTAGCAATAGGAAAAAAAAAAAAAAAAAAAAAAAAAAAAAAGTAGCGCTTTTCTCCTCATCGGCAGGAACCATCAACCATCTTCCTGATATCCGCATGTGCCTTCCGAAGACCTGACACGTGTCGAACATAGAACGAAGTTGATAGAAGAACTCTGGAATAACTGTGGAAAGTTCGCTGCTGTGTCGCCCTGGTCAGCATTCTCACACCCTGGTCCAACTTTCAAACAACTCCCACCTTTCCATTGCTGTTGCCGAAGAGTCGTACAACACTGGCCTTACAGCAAATTCAGCGCCGTCTGTTGTTCAACCTCCATATCTCTAAATTTGGCAATCCGAACCTGTGGAAGCCTATAGTTATTATTATCATCACCATCGTTATGATTTTTTTTCCTTTTATCACTTCTGCAGAAACCCATATGCATTTCCAAAATCGGAATATTTCACGGACGATCCGCTCGCTGCATAAAAGTGGGGTGTACTTACATACTACATAATCGTATGTAGGAATAGTGGCAGTGGAACGGCCACTGTGCGAGCGGTGTTTCAATTTGCTAACGTTACTGAATTTTTCCCGATGGTGAAAAGTTGAGTATTTACTTTTATAATTTCCGTCTCTTTGATCCGATTCCGTCCATACTTTTTTGCCTATAGGCCTATAGGGTTAACGGGAACATGGGATGAAATTGTGCAACATTGTACAAATCATATTGCCTCACAAGCATGTCGGCAGGCTGTGGATTGCCATTTTGATATCATCCCGGAACCGATGGATGGGAAGGGCCCTTACTTGCTTGTTGCTAATATAAGTGATCAATAGAACCACAAAACTTCAAACAACTTAGTTCGTGCATCAAAAGGCTTCGTCAATTCATTAAGACCGAGGTTACGAGAGAGAAAGAAAAAAAAAGGTACCCGGACTGTTACCCGGTACGTGATAATTAGCCGCCGCCTCTTAGTGCTACTGTGTATGGCTATCTGGAAGCTCACAAGTTCAATACCACAAGGTTTTTTTCTCTTCCTTTTCTTGCCTCGTTCCGTCCAAGAGGTGACAATTACAGCTCCGAGTCGGGCAGCAACGTTAACCCTGCAGCATCCGGAAATTGGAAGGGAACAGCCAGAGGAAAACCACTCTTGCATACGCGAGTTTTTCTGGAATACTAGACAGAAGGTTTCAACCCTCGGTCCTCCTTCTCAGGGAATGCGACGTTGGATGTGTAACGCAAGACCAATATAAAAGAGCACGGTTGCAGAAAAGCGGGGCCTGGTACTAACAGGAACCAAAGTTGGAAGGCACACAGGAATACCTGGGGTTCCCCACTCCGGCGCTCAAAGCACTCAAAACAACTGCTTCATCTTGAAAAGTTTTTCGCCAATGATGATTTAAAATAGGCAGGGTTGGCAGGAACACAAAGGCAGGAACGCATACTATGTAGTATGTACAGAAGGTCAGACCACGAGGAGGCGTGTGGAGTGGAGTTCACTTCTTCTTCTTCTTCTTCTTTTTTTTTTTTGTGCAAGGACAAGCTCACCCATGTTCGGGTCAAAGAAAGAAAGGAAAAAAAGATGGGATGGAACATTTCCAGAACACTTCCCTTCCCAGCCATTAAACGATCGCTCGTGTTTCAGAAAGCCTTCGCACTTGTCCGGCTGTTCCTGAGTGAATTAGGGAACCGTTTGCGAAAATCTAGGAGCAACCTTGGGGTGGATGGCACACGTCGTCCTCCACGGCTAAGGACAGCTAGCGGAAGGGGTCGTAGAGCTGTTGGCTGCCGGGCGCAAACGGGCACGCGCGACGGCAAGCTGGAGCGTCGATTCGATCATCCGATTTCACTCTAGGTAAATAACAAAAACGAACCGAACGTTTCCGCCTGGCGATGGCGGATAAACCAAAAGGTAGATCATATCATATGTTGGAGATAATACGCTAGACCTCGTATCACATCTGTGTCGCCTGTGCTTAATCTGGAACGGGAGGCATCTCGCATATCAATCAATCTGGAAGTGAATTCGAAATTTAAGTTGTAACAAAGGAAAATATGGGGGTCCTCCAGTCACCCTTCGAGAAAAACAAAAGAATGGATATTGTTGTCGATGGCTGACATCGAAAACCGCACAGCCTAAAATCGTGGTGCAGTTTCTGGCTCAGGAAAATCGACAATCTAGGGCCGGGGAATGCAAGCCGATGAAAGAGGCTTTTGAGATACTCGCCAATGACAGGGAGGAAAAGTTACCAATGTGAGTACAGTCCTGGGGCACTAATATGCACGGACAAACGCTTGGGGGTAAGAAGTAAGAATCGTCTTTAGGGCCAAGAATGATATGGGAAGTCAGAACGGTATGGTTGGTCCTTGCTCCCCATAAGGTTCTGTGGACCTGATATTGTGGAGAGAAACTAGAAGCCGGAAGAGGTATCGACACGAGTTAGTAACTACGGATTGGTATCCAGTGCATAAGCTCTCTCTTCGCTTGGAATCAATAGATCGGCTTCAAAAGGAAGCAATATCAAGACTTGAAACGTAATATTTTCAAGTGCTAAAGCTACGTAGACATGAATGGAGAGACAGTCTATGTAGCTTGCAAGGGTTATCCTTTATCAAGGCAGCACCTGTCGACGGAGGGATAAAAAAAAAAAAACAGGATGTTGCTTTTCCCCAGCTTCCTGTTCCTCAATGGCGACTGGTTAGCTAACGCGTGCGGCCGGGTTTCGGAAGGGGGGAGGTGACCCCCATGCGTATTCGTTCTCTTCGTTTTCACTTTCAAACAGATAAACGCCCCACGGGTGAATGCTTGGATTTGAATTCGGATTTGAATTTGAATTTGCATTTGAATTCGAATTCGAATTCTGTGAAGGAGGAAACAAATGTAATGGAATTCCCGTATGAGGTGCCCCAAGGCTTGCAAGGCTGCTAGGCCATACGGAGGACATACATACATGCAAATGTAAAGTAGATTGCCGGCCGAGGCGTCGTTTTGAATGCTGGGCCTCTCAGTTATTAATAATAGAGTGCAGCTATCACCACTAAGCACCCAAAAGACCATTTGAATCGCGAGCATGCAAATGTTGGAAAGCTGCAGCCGTTTTTACTTTTTGCAACGATGGGCTTTTGCATGGTCGAATCCACAGCGTCGCGGTTAAGGACATGTACATGTAAGTACAATGTACCTGTACCTTGAAGAGTGTTAAGTATTATGAGTAAGTCAGTAAGTACATTACCTCCTAAGTACATACAAAATGACTGACTTACATCGTATGTAGTGCTAAGAATCTTATTTTGGTTCGATGCTGGCTCCGGCTCACAGCCTGGTGGGCCGAAGTCGACTAGTGCCAGCCATGGGGCTAACGGCAACTACGGTTTTCCTAGCACGGACGGTTGGTTAACAGAGCCCCGGTTGCTTCCAACTCCGTTGGCTTTCTCAAGTTGCTCCATTTGGGCTTCTGCCCAAGAGTGTGCGATGCAAGGGCAGGCACAGGGAGGTCGGGGTTTCTTACTCAATCAAGCACGGATTGGAATTGATACATCTTCTTCCTCTTCCTCTTCTTGTTTGAGAAAAGCGAAAAAAAGAAAAGTAAATGCGGATGGGAAAGAAAGAAAGAAAGGAAGAAAGAAGCTAGCAAGCATAGTTGGAAAAGCAAAAGGAGAAGAAGAAAAAAAAGACCCCAGCTTCAAATCCGCCGGGTATCGTTGGACTGTGAACAAAGGAGGAGGTGGATGAGGTGGTGGTGGTGGTTGTGCATGTTCAAATTGGTTCTTGATACTCTCGCAAGCTGCAGTTGCTTTTGCGACACCTCTCACTCGAGGCCTCTCTTCCCATCCCCCACATTTGCATCTTAAGACCTTTTACTTCTTATATAAGTAAGGATATATGTATGTACTTCTTATATGTACTAGGTATTCCTTAGCTAGAAGCTAAGCATACTTATATAAAGAACCCAGTGGTTGCTCGACCTCGCGGCATTTTCGTTCAGATCTTCTTTTCTTCCTTCCTTCCTTCCTTTTCTTCTTCAACATCAACATCAACATCAACATCAACCTCAACCTCATCAACATCACTATCGCCATCACCATCACCGTGAACGAACTTCGAAAGGTGCCTAACCTGGATTTCTTCCTTTTCAGCAGTCGCTCGTTGACTCAGACTTGCATCTCAGCTGCATATACACGCTGCGTCGCCAAACATTATTCTATACTTACTATTTATATAGACGTCCATAGCCTTTTCTACCCGAGCAAACAAAGCATACATACATCCTAGACCTACTCATTCGAGGTCCTTACTTCCTTCCTTATTTATTTATTTATATTATTTTATTTATTTATACCTATCCCAACTTGATATCTGTCAGGGACTTACCTATCTTACCTGTTTACCTACCTGAATCTGCTCCTCTCAGAATTGGCTGTGCCAGACCCTCCTCTAATAAGCAATTCTTGCTTGCAAAGAACGAGAACATTGCAATCGCTTGGACATTTTATTTCCGGACTACTCGGAATTCGAATCGGATTATATTGTACTATATTTTACTATAGTCGACAAAGAACATTTCCGTTTGCGACATCCCACAAGATCCCACAATGCCTCAAGTCCAGACCAACTTCCTCATCCCATCCGACCTCGTCCTCAAGGACTCGGAGTACCGCCTTACCAAACCACGAAGCACAGTTCCGAAGGCTCCTCCACCATCTCCTGCTGGATCTCGGGCCTCGTCTCCGTTCCAGCCAGATCGCAAGCCGCGAAGCTCCAACTAAAGTTTGCCGAACTATCAATTCTCGAATAGTTAGCTAGCACGTACGTTGCCTCCCATGCAATCTAACATGTGAAAATCGCAACCTAGGGCTAACAATGCTATTCGGAATAGTTAGTACGATCGTCCCCCACGACTCCGACCCAATTTACGGCTTCCTCAACAATATGATATCCCTTATGCATTCCTTATAGTTCCTCACGGCTGCTTTCGATATATCCTTCCCCCACTTTTTTTTTTTCTAAAAAAAACGGATCAACTCTCCTAAACCCACCCGCTGGATCCGGCTTTAATACTTATTACTCCATTTTTATCTTCCATTCCTTTTTTTTTTCTTTTCTTTTTCTCCTTTGACGATATATTGAGGTTTTATTGATCTATCTATCTACTGAAGTATTTACTTATTTATTTACTTTCCTTTGCAAGCGTTGGCTATTCTGTTTTTTTATTATTTCTTTAAAAGCATATATATATATTTATAGACTTGGGGGATATCGTATTCGGACATTTGTTTTTTTACTTTCCGTGGGGTTTCTGCGATTCTCTTTTATTGCGATTTCTGGCGAAAGCAAGCGGGGTGGTTCATATTTTCGTTTCTTCCATCTCACGGGATATGCTATATTTTTGTTATCTGAATTGAAATCTTTTTCTTAGCGAACAGTTATTCAATTGATCAAGCTCTTCTTTGCGCATAATGCAGCGAAACCACCAAGTTTGGCTTGAGTAGTTTTCGGTATTTTTTTTTTTTGTTGGTTTTTTTATTATTATTTTTTGATATTATCATCATCATCGCCATCACCACCATCACCACCATTACCATTACTATTACTATTACTATTACTATTACTACTACTGTTACTATTACTTCAAACTTTTGAATTTCACGCATATTGCTGTACCTTCTCCGTTAATTTTCCACTTTTAGCTTTGACTTTATGAAGATATCTGATCGCCAATGCAATACAGCCAAACCCGCATTTCCAACTTCGTAGACATGAAAAAAAAAAAAAAAAAAAAAAAAAACAATGCATCTTAAATCCCGAGGCTTTAACCTCAATGCGTATATATCAAGGCTGTGTTAGTCGCCTAGGATGAATTACAGCAACCGCTTAAGCGCCTCAAAGCCCAACCCTTGAAGCCTTCAGCCATCCCGCAAAATTCGCAACCCCCCCTTATAATTATGCTATGGGGTTTTTAAAGATTCCATCGATCTAGGCCCTCAGAACATGGTACTAAAAGCTCATCCTGGGCGACCCATTCGTTGCCTTTGTCGGCCTCTCCCTCCAAAAAAAAAAAAAAAAAAAGCCTTGTTCGGCGGTAGCACACAGGTTTGCTTGTGGACTCCACATTCCAAAGATCTAGACCGCATGAAAATCATCAACCTGGTTTTCTCAAACATCGCATCTTGCAAGCTTGGTCTGCCCAGATTCCGACAATATGATAGAAGCAAGGGAATGCAAATTGGTAAAGACAAGGTATGCAGAATCAACATCGAATCGAATCAAAGTGAATAAATATGATATCGTTTTTTTCTCTTTCCTTTCTATCGTTACGTTATTTTATTTATTTATTTTTATTATATTCTATTCTTCTAACCGGCTTTGCTTCTTTTCCTGGTTTTCTTGATACTAAATCAAGCTTCCATCGATCCAAGGAAGCCACGATGCACCCATTGTAGTGGTAACTTAAGGTCACCTACAGATTCAGGCCGGGTCACTCCGCCCAGTTATTTCCTTGCTGCACTTGCACTGGCCGTTATGATCTGGCTAGTCGGCAGTTGCCTCCCGGAAGGTTATTATCGTCCGTACGTTTCTCCTTGCAAAAATTAAATAAAAATAATAAAAAATAAAAAAAAGAAAGAACTTCGATGTGAAAGATAATCTCGAGTGAATTGTTCGACAGTTCTTGACTACTTTACTTACACAATAAATACTATGTAACATGTGCGTCGTGCATTAATCAATGCATGAACGATTCGGTGGCTTCAAGCATGTTTAACGGAAAGCAAAACCCCCTTGCTCGTACGTATCGTATCGTATTATATCATATTCTTGACTACATCCACGACTCTTCCAGATTTGCAAACCTTTTTAGCAATCGATACATCTTCGTTATGATATTAATAGCTCTCTGCAAGCTCGCCTGGAGCCCAACTCGGATCGAAGTTTGTTCGATCGATGATCACCACACACACACAATTGACAAGGGGGTAAAACCCGGAATCGACTTGTTGTGATTGATGATTCTAGCTTGATCAAAGTCTCCCAAGTAGAGGAGAGGAGATATATGAATTAACTTATATGAATTTATAAACATTTGATTCGTATTAAGTAAGTCCGTCCTTACCGACTGACTGACCGAATTGAATTAATGGCGAACAAGTCCCAAGAGCGCGCGAGCTCGAACGAGCACAGACGACCGCCATGAACTCCATCGAATTACACCTGCCGAACCCCAATTCTTCAGTATGCAATGCATACGCATGCAGGACCTGCAGAGCTTAGCTCAAACGTCTGATTGATTCCGACTAAGATGAATAAGTCAGAGTACCCAAGTGAGTAAATACTTACTTACTTACTTACTTACTTACTTACTTACTTACCTCACTGATGACTATCCCAAACACAGTTTCACCGCAGACGGCATGTTCCTTTCGTTTTCTTTCCCTTTTCTCTCTTTCTGGATCTCCCCAACCCTTCTGTTGCTTCTGTTTGGCTCGGATGAAGAATCCCAACTGTATTTTTTTTTTTTTTTTGTGGGGGGTGGAAAAAAGAAGAAGCTGACTGGCATTGCATATCTAGACAAGAAATTCCCTACTGTAAGTTTAGACAAAAATCCGGGTTCCCCGAATCTCCATGGGTCCTGGTGCCGCCGTATGTCGTGACACCTCATTTCATGTAAGTTTCAGAGCCCAGCTGAACATCAGGTTGCGTGCCAAAAAAAAAAAAAAAAAAAGAGAGAGAGAGAGAGAAATCCTGTAATGGTCTGATACCAGTTTCTGTATCGACCAGACTACATGTGTAATCGAGGACTTGAATTGGTCTGGGGTAATAGCGACCTGCTAGCTGGCTATGAATGATTGGTTCTAACATTCTTCATCGTTTAAGTACTTCAGTACTTAGTAATATCGTACAGATCCCTGATATAACTTTTCTGCATCCCGTCCCCTTCAAGATTCCTCCTATTACAGATCCTGCATAACGCCCTCCTTCTCTTCCTCCTTCCAGCCGAGAGCTTCGGCTATCGGGAGGGTTTTCCTGGGCGAATCGAAAAGAAAAAAAAGTGACCGTGATAACCACGTGAAATGAAGCCCTGCTCGTAAAGAAACATGGTAACAGAAAATAAACTATGAGAGAGAGAAAACAGAAGAAAACCAAACCCCAGTTGTTTCCCCGAAAATCCAAATGCTTTAAAAAGAAAACAAAAAAAACATAAATAATGATTTGTCTGCGAGGAGCATCGGTCTATATCGATAAACGACGTCGGCTTCCGATTTTCGAAATCCCCTCATGAAGATTCTGCACCGAGGATGATAATATCGTGACGAAAAAGAAAAAAAGACTCTTCGAGTTGGTGCCTCTGAGATATCGCGGTAAAATTTCCGGGAGGCTATTCGATCCCATGTTGTTTCTTCAACTTCTCAAGCTCCTCTTGTCGTAGCGCCAGGTCCTTCTCAGATCTTGCCATCTTTTCCGGCTGGTGGTATAGTACTACGAATCACATGCATTGCCGTCAGTAAAACTTTTCCGAACGGATGATAACGACCCCTCTCCGAGCCCAAGTTTCCTTGGAACGTACCGACTAAATATCTATTCTGGAAGTTGAAACCGTTCAATTTATCACACGCAGTTTTTGCATCGCCGACCTCTTCGTATACGACGAACGCAGTGCCCTTGGTATTATTCGCTATGCCTTGACGAATTTGCCTAGAACAACGTCATCAATCGCTGCTCTATATTTTCCTTCACATGGGATGGGATAGGATGAGGATATACCGTATTGGTCCGAATTTACCGAATAGATCGAATAATTCTTCCGATGATACCTGGTAACTGTAGTTTATGGGAGGAGCAGTTAGTCATCTGCTGCCATCTGTTGAAAATGCGACTTCCAGGTAATGAATGAATGACGAACCTGAGATTCTTGACGAATAGAATTCTATTTACTTCCGGCGCGAGCTTATTTTGTGACCTGTTCATTTTCGATGAGCTGCGCGACTCGACGGCGGCGGCGGCGGCGATGTGGTGACGGATGGATATTGGAGCTGCTCCCAGCCAAAGGTTTGTGAGATGGGAAGACGCGATCTTCTACTTCGCTTGCGGATTTCTAGTTTGAGCTCGGTGTATATTTGCTCCCCGAACCCCGATATGGCTTTCCCAGGTACCGGCCAACCCCACGACATGCCTCAACACTTCCCCGAGGAGCCTTTGGATACGGTTCGAGACAAAGGGAAATATACGGAGTAGTGGGTTCAAATTAAAATGATTACAACGGCTAAGAACTTTTCATACACAAGATATGCTTAGACACTACGATTATAGCTATGCTTCAAATCTCCTACCTATTCCAAACTTCAAATAGTCCTTATTTTCCGATGGAAAGATCTATCCTCCCCAATATCGCCGTTACAACATACAAGAAAAAAACCGACGCCAAAACCACCAATGGTTTTCGTAGAGCTGCAATTGTGCTATAATTATAGGTGATCTAACGGGGTCAAAATTAGTATAAACAAGCTAAGAGCGGATCGGGGATAGCTGATGCTTACAATGATATCCCTATTCTTCAATTCGTCAACCACATTATCGATCGTGAGCTTAATTGATGTCCTGCCAATGGTATCCATGAAAGTCTTGTGCAAGAATCTTTCCTCCTTGTGAATGGCGATTGGGCTAACATATTTGACATTGCTGTGTGCGAGTTAGCCACTGGTATCGCAAGATCGAAGAGTCTAGAGATATAACTTACGTTGCACCCTCTGGTAGGATAATCCTAACTTCAACCTTTCCATACGATGTGCTTTGAGATGGGCCCTGCAACAACGGCACCTTTAGGATGTACCCGTCTCCCTCCCCGTGCCTAAGGTACGCTGGCAGATCATTGTTCCACCCAACAACAAAACTATAGTTCCATCCACCAAAGATGGGAAATCGGGGTTTGATATCGAGAATGGCCTCACGGGAGTCGCTTCTGAACTTGGAAGTAGAAACATTTCCAACCTCGTCGGTGTAATACGCATCCTTGCTGCCAACTCGGAGAGGGAAGAGGAGCGATTTGATGGCGGCTGTCGGAGGATTGTAGTAAGAAGTCGTGGCCCAGGATAGACGAGAGAATTGTTCCTTCAATTTGGCGCCATTGTTGGTCATCCAGTATCTCTCTTCGATGGCCAGATTGTTGCCCCAGTGTGAAACCTCAATATCACGTTCCAATTTTTCCATATAAACAATCGGGTTTGTAAACTCGAATCGGATGGTAAATTCATCAACTTGCGCGTCGGTACCCCAGGGTTCGACGTTGTCATAGGGCCCATAAGAGACAACGTATCCGCTCTTCTCAGTATGCTCGTAGATAGTGTAATCTGGGATCTCGCCATTGGCCGCTCGAAATTTCGTCTTCTGCTTCTCAGTCAAGTAAGGGCTAGGAACGAATTTGGCACTGGTATACGAGAGGTACTGCTTGTCGCTTTGACCGATTATGGCCGGAACGGGTGTTAGAGCACCTGTAACACCTGCCGTGACAACCAAAGTGATTTGAGCTGCCGGCTGGAGGGTTGTTGGCAACGTTATTTTGTAGTAACGTAGAGGACTATACACATCAATTGATTAGAAAACCTCGACACAGCACCCATACAACATGCAACGATGGTGGCATACTAATCTGTCGTATCATCTACAGCTTCAGCCGTACAAGGAGTGCCCTCCTTCTTGTCTTTACACTCCACATAACTGACTGCAGAAGACCCGGGTACCAGTAGCGGCAAATAGTACTCTGTCTGCGGCTGGTGGGATGTATTCTCGATAATCACAGCAATTGTCTCCTTAACATAAGCTTTAGACGCATCAATCGTCCGTAACAGGTTGGTATTTTTAAACACTGGGGGTATATTCAGTGAGGAGCTGAGGTGGGATGCCGCTAACAGCAAGGTCGCGAGGAGGGACACGCGAGAGTTCGATGACCGCATTGTAGTATATGGTAAACGGAACTAAGGGTCCGTATTTTTAGGTGGATGGGAATCTAGATGTCAAGATTGGCCTCAATACCTCATCATTTAGACAGGAATTCGGCGGAGACGGCGGATTGATTGGTTGATGAAGTCGTTCGAGGTCGAAGATCGTATCGAGGTTTCCAACCTTAGTAATATCCACGGCAGCAAGCCAAAAGGACACGGAATTGCTTATGACGACGAACGTGCAACACGCGGCGCCTGCACAACCCAACGCTTTTGTTGCAGTCCAAAACTGGCAACGACTTTTTCCTGTTCATGTGCTTAGAAAGTATCGACCGTCCGAAATACTCAACTATAACTCTCTCAACCTGGAAAACTTTCCCAGGGATAGTAACGAAAGGAGTAGCAATCGGTCGGTGTTATCGAGGTGGGGTTATCAAGCTATTCGATAGCTAGGTAACAAGTGCGTATGTAAGTATACAAAGGATACCCATTGGGCATCATTGTCGACAACTATAATTATAAAGGACCGTACATTAACAATGAATTTAGCTTAGCTATATTTCAATCAGTTCCAGATTATAAATACTGCATCGCCTTTTGACCTTTGCTGTCCCTCAAAAATGTCGCTCCTTCGTGCATCTGGCCTTCAGTGCCACGTCCGAATATCACAGGTTTCACAATTTGTCCAGAGAGGCCGTCTCGCCTCACTGGCAAAGCGTTATTATAGCGACAATGCAGATTCTTCGAGCTGGGGTCTGGAAAAAGCCCTCTGTAGTCCCACGCTTCCACTCCTACATAAAGGTGTACATGCTTTTGTCATGGGAAGGCCTGGTCTGTTTAAAATTTCCGATGAGGTCTTAGAGGCTATGAAAGATCGTAAACCAATTGTTGGACTGGAGACCGCTATATACACTCATGGGTTCCCTAAGCCGAACAACTACGATCTCGCTTTAGAAATGGAAGCCACCGTTAAAGACCACGGGGCCACGCCAGCGACAATTGGGATCCTGAACGGCAGAATCATGATCGGGATGACGCCTGAACAACTCAGGGAACTAGCAGAGTCAGCGGGTTCGGAGAACACCCATAAGATCTCTCGCAGAGATCTTGCCTATCATATCGCCGCGTCAGGCCCACTGCTCAATGGAGGTACAACTATTGCTGGAACTATACTTCTCTCAAAACTGGCTGGGATTAGAGTGATTGCTACTGGTGGTCTAGGTGGTGTACACAAAGGGGGGGAAAATAGCCTGGATATCTCAGCTGACCTAACGGAACTGTCAAGAAACACCGTTGCGGTGGTGACTTCCGGGATGAAAAGCTTCCTCGATATACCACGGACACTAGAATTCTTAGAGACCCAAGGCGTGTTCGTCTCCACTTTTGGAAAGAAGACGGAAAGGGTCGACATTCCCGGCTTTTTTAGTCGCGAGTCTGGATACATTTCTCCCTATACTATCGAAAGCCCAGAGGAAGCTGCGCGTGTCCTCCGTATGTCTACCCTCGTCCCCTTTGATGATATTTATACGAGACTAGCAGGAAACTAACATTTTTTACTCGGATCAGTCGCAAATGACCGGATAGGTCTACATTCTGGAAACCTTTTCTTCAATCCAATCCCAAAAGAATACGAGATTCCAAAAAGTGAAATGGAACCAATCATTGCCGCCGCAGGTATATTACTACTCTATGTTAGTCAGAAGGATACTTTACTAAAACTCCACCCTCACATCTATAGTCGAAGACTCAAGTTCAGTAACCGGCAAGGATAACACACCAGCAGTCCTCGCTGAGATCGTCAAACGAACCGAAGGACGTTCTATTGAAGCCAATAGGCGGTGAGTTTTTTGTTTCCTTTTCGTTATATACGTAAAAATATAAAAAAAAGAAAACCAATAAATTTGCGAATTTCTAACCTTGAAACCCCTATTCCACAGACTGGTTTTGGATAATGCCAAAATTGGAGCCCAAATGGCAGTCGAATTCTCAAGGCTTTTGAAAGAATTCAAAGCTCGACAAAAAGAGTACCAGTCTACCCAGACCAAAGGAAAGAAGAATCCCAATTCGGAAACAAAGAGCTCCTCTAATCAAAACCCACAATCTCCAGCCCGAGAAAATGCCGGACCCGATTCTGATTCTATGTAGGTATGCGCCTATTTTTGTTATATACCTTCCATCTATACCCCCAGAAGTAAAGCAGAGAAGACAAGAACTTACGACTGTAAATACTCATCTCTACATGAACCCAAATCCAAATACCCCAGTGCTCTATTTTAGGTTCTATCAAAGTGAAAATATTCTAAATGTCCATCAACCTTGTAGTATTGAAGAAACGAACGGAGCTTTTGGAACAGGAGCTATGGAGGACACTCTCCCTGCCGAGGAACGAAATTTATCTAACACGATTCTTGTCGTTGGAGGTGTGGGCATCGATGTAGTGGGAAAGAGTACTGCTCAAGAGCTTCAGGCGCGTGCTTCAAACCCCGGAGTAGTCACATATTCTGTGGGAGGTGTAGCAAAGAACATTGCAGCCACTCTCCGACAACTTGATCCTCCCGCACCCGTCAGGTTTCTTTCTGCTATTGGCAAAGATATGAATGGCATTTCAGTGCTTCAAGAACTTCAGAGACTGGGGATTAGTACCAAGGATGTTACAGTAAAAAAAGATTCCAGAACGGCATGTTATGCAGCTATCAATAGCGATGAGGTCGAAGGAGGCCTTTCCGCGGCTATAGCAGATATGGATGTTATAAAAAGCATCCAAGGTAAGGATATTGCCGCGGCCATTGAGAGGTACAAGCCAAAAATCGTCTGCTTCGATGGAAATCTAGATACGGCCGCAATGAAAGAGCTGTGCATTGCCGCTAAAGAGCAGGGAGCATTAGGTATGCCATCATTCCTTCTAGTCATCGTAAGATCTATCATTATAAGTACTTTATCAACTAAATTTTGAAAGTCGTCTGTGAACCTACTTCAGCACCAAAATCGAAACAGATTGCGAATATGCTTGCGGACCTCGGACTTGAACTGGAGCATCCCATTGACATTATCTCCCCAAACCTTGACGAACTTGATGGAATCTTAGAGGTAGTAAACTCGAAACTACCGACTAGCAAGGAGAATTCCGAAAGAACAAAACTCCAGGTGCAAGAGAGCTTTCAAAGGAATCAAACCATTCTCAAATCCCTAAAAAATAGTAAAGCCCCTTCTTCTTTTCCTCACGTATAACCCACAGGTAGATCAATTACTGACCCTGCCTACTGTAGTAATTCCCCGCGCGAATGATCTTATTCAATCTGCTCGATCGAAATTAGCCTTGGATATAGACGCTCAAGCTGGAGGGTCGAACTCTGCTCAGTTTAATGCCCCAAGCGAAATTCAGCTCGCAAAATGCATTACCAAATCCATCGAACTCCTTCACTTGACCCCCACGGTCATAACAAAACTCGGCGGGAAAGGTGTGGTGATTGTACGAACTGTACAGCACCCTAACCCAGCCGAGGCTTCTATTAGATCCTGTTATTCGCTCCAGCAAGAAATACAGGTTCGTCCCAAAGGGAATGTTGTTTTGGATTTCTTCCTTCCGATAGAACCTTATAATCCTGTAGACAGGATTATAGGAATTCACGTCTTTTGGGCACATGCCATGAACGTTCTGGAGCCTCATGCGGTGGTTAGCTCCAATGGAGCCGGCGATACTTTCCTAGGTGCCTTTCTACATAGCTTATTGAATAAGGAGGCCCAAGCCCCAGGGGACATCATCGCCAGTCCATGGACGTATTTGCAGGATGAACAAGTCGCGATGTTAGCACACAAGGCGCAGTTAGCTGCTATCCAAACACTGAAGAGTCATGAGAGTCATCCAGTAAGGAACAAAAATGCACAGGAGTCCCAAAAGAGGCGACAGGAAGAGAAAATATGGGCTAAAATAAAAGGTAATTTTTGGGCGTCTAATGAGATGGTTGACGGCCTCGATAGGCTCGGTGGGAAGGCAGGCTCCTCATAATTCTGCAGGACCGATACCTATACGTGTAAACCCCCCCTTTTTTATTTTTTATATTTTTAAAAAAGCACTATATTGGTGTGCTGTTAGGGTCACTGCCAAAAGTCCCTAGGAGTTGACATTGAAGATAGAATACTAGTCAAGCCTTTTAGCTGTCTCTGGGCTATTTAATTAGTTCGTAGCTTGCCAAAGGGGAGGGGCTTCGCATCTTTCCTAATTAAGCTTGTATTATACCTAACATTGAAGTTATATGATAATTTGTAGATATCTATACACGGCAACGCTGGCGTCTGGCCCCGAGACTACATATCTAGTATGTTTAGACCCAGGTAGACACTTGGTAGAGCTTCTATATATGTAGCCTCTAATCCAGGCGCTCTTGAGGCGGGGTATATGTGTAATATTGACCCAAACTCCAAACTACGTATGCTCTTGAACCATGGAGGTTCAATAGTGTCTTGCCAAAAGATTGCGACTCATTTTCGGCATATTCGATTGAAAAGTTAACATGATAACTTCCAATTGACCATCTAAACAGTCTTACTACCAACTACAAAACGAGCTGCTAGGAATAGGAACAGTGCATTGAAAATGATAACCTCCCAAACACCAAACGGGGGAAGCCGACTCGACTCCACAAACACACATAGACTAACGAGGAAAACAATAACATCGAGTATATTACGGAAAACAAAAAATGTTAGGATAACAAGAGAGTACCAACGTGACTTTCAAGGGCAAAAGGTTTTCGAAGTAGGAAAGGAGCAGAGGGTTTGTAAAATGCAAAAATGTGGGGGATTGGTAGTATCGGGATAACTAATAAAGAATCCTCGGTGTCAGCTCTTCTCGAGACTTGACCAACTCTGTTTTATCTTCCTCGCCTCCCATAATAGACCTTAGCTCTGCTTCATCCCTCTGGCTAGCGGTACCTTCTTCTCCAGCATCCATATCTAAGAGAGCGGAGCTTCCAATCCACGTCCAACATCTCATAATCTCCCCCATATGTTCCACATTCGTCGATCGAACATTACTGTTCATTTCCACAACTTTGGCGACGCCAGCCCAGAGAGTCTGCCTCTTCTCGGGATCAAATTCCCGTGACAGGATTTGATCTCTTAGTTGATTCACAGGAAGATAAGCAATATCGGCGGTTCTGTCATTATAATACGCGCGCTGTTGCTGGGCAAGACGTTTAAGAGCAATACCGACGAGGCGCTGGACTTGGCGAGCATATACTTGGCGTCGAACCATCGAAGACCTGATCTTCAAGCTAGCCAGTATGATAGTGACGACCCCCAAAATTTCGAGCTTCCAGCGGAAGAGAAGGGCGAGCGTATTCTTTCTGATAGCGCAAGTCCAGTTTATGTTAGAGAGATCGGTGGATTTGAAATATCGATCGCCGCCGCTAAAAGGTAGCCCGTAGTTAGCATGTTTAATTCTAGTCACTTCAAACGGGCAGGGTATACGAACCTTGTCATAGAAGTGACAACTTCGTCCTTATTTTCCAAGTCTTGCACCGCATTGTTCCAAAGTTCTCTGAATTGATCATCGGAAAGGGTTGGAGACTTCATTTCATAAAGCGCATCCATGATGCCTTTCTCAGAAATGCCCTCTTCTTCCTCGGAAACAGGCTTGATATAACCGCACTCAATGGCGGCGGCTCGGTCTCTAAGCTTAGTAATAACAGCATCTGAAAGAACTGAGACTCGCCGTATTTTTTCCGAGTCAGGCTGACAAGTAGGCGCCAAAGGTATCAGGCCGCCTAGGGAGAAAGGGTGAGGTACGAGAACGTAGTCGGTATAGCAGTCTGTATTCAGTCGACCGCGGCATACTGCATGAGTAGGGCAAGTTTCACACTGAGGTACAAGCTTGTCCGCCCACTCTAGATACCCCGTGTTCCTAATGGCTGGCTTTCCGATACCACAATACCCAACTTTGATCTTTTCCTCTCTCCACCAGGCGGCATATGCAACAATTGCAATACTGAAAATAGTAGTCAAAATGCTCATTAGCGTCGTGCCAAGTTCTGATTTTCCTCTTCTACGAGCTAACTTTGTGACGGCATTGGCATTTTCGTCTTCAATTTCGACTTCCAGCTGCTCTTCTGGGGTAAACTCCTCGCCAGGCTCTAGCATATCAAGGCTCTGATCTTCTTCCTTGATATAGACGTCATGAGCACCAAATATTCTTCGCTCGATTTCATCGTTATTGTTGTCAATCTCGGCGTGCATGTTTGCTATCTTACGGTCAGGCGTGAGTGACTTGAATTTCGATATTGAAACCATTTTAACTGGAGTAGGCGAGAGGTTTGGTAGCGGGGAAACTCTATCAAAGTCTGGGGTCTGGGGTGATCTGCGAACAGAGGGCAGCCCCTCTGTCCTCCGACGGGAGCTGTCAACTTGCCGAGGCGTTGCCTTGTCAAGCATTGTTCGTCGTCTGTTTGCATCAGACGGGTGCTGGTATCGAGGTGATGACCCCATTTGGAAGGGATTCTCATTGGAGAAGGCTGGCTCATTGTTTACGAGTTCAACAGGCTCCGGTGACGGCGACGGTGATGGTTCCTTAACCGGTTCTGGTGTCTTTGGGGCAAGACTCCTTCTTCCTCGCCTCACCCTTGGTGTCTCTTGAATGACTATAGCCGGCTCCTCGTCGTCCGTAGTCTCCTGTTGCACCATGGCTGATGACTTTCTGCCCCGCTTTACTGGCGACGCGGTCCTCTTCATCGGGGTGGCGACCTTTCGGGTGGCTTTTTTCACGGTAGCAACAATATCCTCATCACCAGTGGTTTCGTCGTAATCCGTAGTAGTGGTAGCGACGGAGCTTGCCTTTCGCCGAGGAGCCCTCTTCTTAGGTGTACGACCAACTTCTGGTTCCCCAATGGTACCATAGTCCTGAGCATTTACAATACCCCGCGCCGACGCCCTAACTCTCCCAGCCTCCGCCAGGAGTTTAGGAGCTTGTGGTGCAAGCTCGGTTTCGAAGATCTCAACTAGCTTCGCTTTCTTTACATTGCTAGGAAAGTCGATTTCGTGCTTTAGCAGGAGGTTTCGGATGATTGGGATGGTTAGAGAGCTGGCATCAAAGCCCGGCTGTAGATAATAAAGTTCGTCGTCCATGGCGTCTATAAAATAAAATAAAATTCAATATCGTGGTCGATGAGATGTAGTGAAGAACAAAGCTGATGATGAGGCAAACGTGTCCTGTAAACCGTGAAGTTGGAAGGAACCGCGCGACAGAAGTTTTGTAGCCTGACAACGGTTTGTTTTGAAGTACCGACAGACCAGGGAGGTGGAGCCGGTGTCAACAAGTCAGAGCCCTAGTTCGCGTAGACCAGCTTTTTAACCCGCGCAGCGAGAGGAGAAGTTCGCGATGGGCCAGGAAAACGTCGTCCTTTAGGACGAATCGAGAATGATGGAGATGGTGGTGGTGGTAATGTTTAGTTCAGTTGGCTTGTGGGTTTTGGTGGTTTTGGTGGTGTTGCCCAAACAAGAAAAAAAAGAAGAAGACTTTGGGTAATATGCACGTATGCAATGACAGGGGCCAGAACATGGTCATGTCAAAACAGGGAAAATCAAAACAAATATTGCAAATAAGCTAAAGACTGATCTTAACGCGAATATATCGAGAGTACTAGAGTCGATACCATAATCTCCTAAGCACATACGCCAAGCCGTTTACTTCCTTCGTAGTCAATATACCAGAACACCTAACTTCGGTACCCAATATATGCATGTATTGAGGGCTAGAGTGGTCTCGTAAACCAGGCTAGAGACGGTATTCAGGTGGGATGGGTTGTGTTGCGTTGTGCTGTGTTGTATTTGTGCCAGTTTACGCCCCAACACCTGTTTTTCCAATACATACTTCCCAATCCGGCGTACCAAGCCATCCCAAAGGAGTAATTTATTCTGTGGAACCCGATCGAACGTTCCAGCGACATCCGGGCAACACATTCGAGACTACGAACTCCGGCTAACATGCTTCTAGAGCTTCTGGTACCATCGCGATGTTTCTAGCTATGACATATTTCTAGTATCACCGACAACCCTTAGAGGTCTATATAAACCCTTTATGCCATCCCTCTAATCCTTTCATCTCCATTTTTCAGACTTATCTTCAATCTTCAGACTCTCCAATCTTCAGACGCTTCTTCCTCTATAAAATTAAATTAAACCTCGAAACGTTCGAAACTAGTTAACTCGAAAAGTTAAAAACTCTCGAGCTTTCCATCTACGCAGATAATATATTATATACTACCTACTACTTATTCAAACGAACCTACTTCTTCAAACTCAGAAGGAAACAAAAAAAAAAGCAAGAATCTCCTACCTCCTCTCCAAAAATCCAAAATGCTTTCTTTCCCCCGCCTCATTAGCCGTGAAATGCGTCCCTGGCTTCGCCTCTTCGAAGAGCTCGAAGGTTCAAACCCTCAACATCACAACTCCTTCCGCTCCCAACTCTCCTCCTTCACTCCATCCTTCGACGTCAAAGAAACCAAGGACTCATATGTCTTGGATGGTGAACTCCCCGGTGTAACCGACAAATCCGCTTTGGACCTAACCTTCGTCGACGAGAATACTCTAGTCGTTAAGGGAAGAGTCGAGCGGAATACTGAGACAGGGAATCCCTCTTCTTCTTCTTCTGGTACTACCGAGGCAGCAACAGAGAATAAAGAACAAGGAACGACGAAGAGTTACCACGCTCCATCTGTTGAAGAGGAAGGCGAATCTTCGGCGGCTGTGACGAAGACGTCTGAGACTTCTACTGAAATCGAAAAGAAACAAGACACTGGTGATAAATACTGGGTTCGCGAACGATATGTTGGCGAATTCCAGCGAGCATTCAACTTCCCGCAGTCCGTCGACCACGAAGCAGTCAAGGCTTCACTTAAAGATGGAATCTTGAGCATTGTGGTTCCCAAGAAGACTAAGCCAGAGGGTTTCCGGAAGATCAATATCGAATAAATTCCGCAGCCTAGTTATGGGGAGAACAAAAGCGATGACTAGGCCTATACAATCTGTCAGCGGCGCTTCTCTTCTCTGCTTTGTTTTGAACATTCGAAATAAATTTGATCGATGTTTTGTCCCTCCTTCTGAAATGTACTGAAGTCCTTTCTCTCTCTCCGTTTTCTCCTTCCTTTTCTTGATTCTGCTCTAATATTTTACTATCTTACACATTCTCTTTCAATTAGCGAACATTGCGCCGGAGTTTCTGCCCTCTTATGCAATCATGTAATTAAACACCAAATATATCCAGATTGCAAAGCATTTACCTAATATATTTTACATTAAAAGTTAAACCGTTCGTTTTAAAAGTGATGCCTATATGGGTAAGCACCTAGGTACTTATGTATGCTAGTGGTAGCCATGAAGGACAAAATGAATCTCCAAGACCTCGTGACTAAGCCTTCCTCGCGCGTTTAAATAATCTGTAACATTCCATGAAGAATTGCCTCTCCGAATATAAACTAAAATCACAACTTCATTAGCATTGAGTTCAGACGAACCTTGGAGCCCGCTAATACACCTGATGGGAGAGAATAGAGCTTACCAAACCACCCCAACCACCCCGGCCAGCCCCGCTCCCTTCACATAATCCGCTAATACACCCCTCTCACTCACCGCCCTCCTTGCTATTGCTCCAACTCCAATAGCAATAGTGACTAATAACCTCCCCGGCATAATCCTCTCGACCTCAGGCCGTCTTTTCCCATCCCCTACACTTGCAAAATATTTTCTGATGAAACTGACGCTCCACAGTATTCTCATCCCCATATTTACGCAGTTCGCCCAAACCAGCCCGTCAGCGCCGAGACCAAGGTACTTCACAAACCCCCAACTAGAGGCTCCGAACACCCCGGAAAAGCATAACATCCACATACTCTGTCGTTTTAAATCTTGAGTTGTGGCGACGCTTTGGACAAATGCCTCGGTGATCCCATTGATGGCGAGGAGCGGGATGTAGTAACAGTAATTCGATAACGTAATTGCAGCTGGGGAATCCGCCCAGCGTGAACCGGCTACTTTACGCAGTGCTAGCGGCGCAAGAGTGGGCCCTAGCGTGACGATCAAAATCGAGAGGATGATGTAGAACCGGAGAATTAGGTGGAGGATTGTAAGTGCCTCTGTAATACTCTCCGAAGTAAGAGCCTTGGTCCCACCGCTGCCGTCCTTTCCCCCCTTAATATTCCCCTTTTCACCGGGCTTACTATCATCAATGCCATCGGTGTTCAGCAGCTTCGACAGCAAATTCCGACTAGTTTCTTCAATCGGCTTGAACAGCAATCTGGCAATCAAAGACCCATAGTTCGCGGCCAAGGCATATATCCCTTGTTCGTATGTCGTAGCAAGTCTAGTAACAAGTATCGAATCGCCCTGTGTCAACAAGTGCTTCACGATGGATTGGAACCACATTGTTCGAGCAACGGAAATCGTAGGTTGGTGTAAATAATACCCATGTCCTGTTCTGATACCAAAACTTTGATTAGCATCACCATCGCACTAGCCCCATCACGGCTTTAAATATAATAGTCTATATACCTCGAGTGTATCTTCTTGGGTAATAAACTCCAACCATCTAATTTCGCAATCTTCCCTAGCCGTAATGGATATCCAACCACCAAACATAGCGAAAATACAACTTGTCCAATTGCGAACGGAAGAGTTTCAAGATCCCCTTCTACGCCCCCTTCAGCTTCTACTACAGTAGATTTGACATATTTTGATGCCAACAGCGTAACTGCTAGTGTGACCGCGCAATTCGAGATAACTGCCATAGATTCGCATCCTACGCGGAGACCATACAGAAGTCTTTGCTGCGCGACCGCAAATCCAGGTTCGGAGAGTAATTCCAGGAGTGAAGCAATGGCGTAGATTCCCATCGAAAGTCGAAAGTACCCCGAAGACGCTTGACCAAATGCTGACGGCCAGACATAGGTATATCCGATCTGTAGAAGGTACAGAGCAGCGATAACCATGAAACCGATGGGGACGGCAAGGTAGCTCGAATTAACTACAGTCTGAGCTTGGCCCCGGGTTGTTCCTTCGATTATTTTGTCCTTATAATGATCCGATTTCATACCATCACTGTCCTTGGCTCCGTCTATGGTACCCTCGCTAGCCTCTGCCTGGCGCTGTAGGGCCATGCGCAAGCTCTCTCGCGAGAAGAATAAAATAGTCATCAGGTATAGTTCCAGCTGTGCAGCTTGTCCGAGTATCGCCGGGGATAGATGACGTATAAGCAATTGGTTCATAACGAATGTGAGTAGACGCGAGAGCACCTGTACGAGAACCAGGAACGCGGCGCCGGCAGCAGAAGCATTGAGCAACGATTTTCGGGACCCCGCCGGAGTTGTCGATGGCCCCGGTGGGCTTTCGTCAGCGGACGTGGATCCGGTCGGTTCCATCGCAATTCAATGCAAAGAGCCCACGTTTGATGAGACAACGTAGGCAGACGTCCCGTTAATTTCGAAGGGATGCATACGGCGGATATCGATATATATGCACGTATTCTGTGTGGTGAACTGTACACGTACCGCGTATACCGGCGTGCATGTTGTTGGTCGCGAACGGTGGCTTACACCCATGTGACAGATCGCGGTTGGCGAACATGGGGGAGCTGCAGCTTAACTCGCGAAGCTCTCAAGCTCCCGCAATGAAGCGAAGTTTCTCCGTTCTCCGAGATAGCTCCGATGATACGGCCGGCAACCGCGGATTAGAATCAAATTGAACTCGGAGTAGTTCGCGTTCGAAGGAATAGTATAAATCCAGGGACTCCAACGAGCTTGACATACTTGACACACCAACTCCCCCCAAACATCTTCGATCTCGCAGATACTCAACAACAACAGAACCAACAATGGGCTCCCTCGCGGAAACTGTCGCGACCGAACATTTCACCGCCATTCTCTCTGATATGGACGGGTATATAAAAGACTCCCAAATGCTTAATTACTTAAGTACTCAAGTAGGTACTTAGGTACCTCCTACCTTAGGTAATCACCCGGTGCCTGTTGCTAACAAAGCTACCAAACCGCCAGCACAATCTTCGACTCTACCGCGGCTGTCGTCCTCCATTGGACCCGCATAGCCAACGAACTCAACATTCCCCCATCCTCAATCCTCTCTACCTCCCACGGCCGTCGCACAATTGACATACTCAAAATTCACGCCCCTCACCTAGCAACGGAAGAATACGTCCACCATGTTGAAGGCCTAATCCCCAAGCTCTACGCTTCAGACGCAAAAATTCTACCCGGCTCAGAAGCCTTGATAGCTAAACTCATGGAATATGGCACACCCTGGGCTATCGTCACAAGTGGGACCAATGTATTGGTAGGAAGCTGGATGAAAGTCATGGGTCTACCGTTGCCAGAGAGCTCGGTCACAGCAGATAATGTAAAGAACGGGAAGCCGGACCCGGAATGCTATAACCTGGGTTTATCGAAGGTTTTCGGTGTGTCTGTAGGATCGGAGGAATTTGAAAAGATCGATAAAAAGAAGGTCGTAGTTCTTGAGGACGCCCCGGCCGGAATTACGGCCGGTAAAGCAGCTGGGTGTACAGTTATTGCTTTGACAACTACGCATAGCCGTGCTGAGGCCGTAGAGGCAGGTGCCGATTGGATTGTAAAAGATCTCAGCGCTGTAAGGGCGGTCAAAGGCGATATAGGAGGTATAGACCTAGAGATCACTGGTGAAAGAGTTTCAAGATAACCACACCGCAAGGCATAGATACCAAACGCTCGACACCCGGTGCTAGAATTTATCTAAATTAGATAGGTAGACAGATATTATAGACATATAGGGTCCATGGTGTTCGGTAGCGATATTTAAATACTTCAATGATGGAATTGAACTTTGTCCTGAAGATCGTTGTCCCTAAAAGAACTAACCTAGAATTCGTAGCTACCGTGGATAAGTGTATTACGTACTTATTTAATGTAGACATCGATAGAATAATTGGAACAGAATTAGAAGCTAGGAAACAATTATATACACTCGAAAGTTGTAAGTACAGGAAAGAAAGCGGAAGGGTTGGTCTTGAGTGTCATGGCCACTATCAATCTCATGTTTTGGTTCAAGGTAAAAACACCAAAAGATAATAAATAAAAAAAAAATCAACGAAGGGGTTAAGAAATATAAGCAGACAATGGTCAGTGGAGGCCCCGTCCATGAAGAGAAAATGATCCCAGCTCAGGTAAGAAACTACATAATTGAAGAAACGAAAAGACATTAAACGCAACCGCTTTCTCCTGATCGATAACGCTCGCCAGCCTCAAAATGACGTTTCACTTTTGGTGTGCTAGTTTTTCTGTCAAATAGCGCCACTACACATCTATAACAATCGCATAAAGTATCCAAGCTAGGAAAAAAAAAAAAAAAAAAAACGGAGAGCGGAAGAAAAGAAAAGAAATAATAAAGTTTGAGGGGGAAATTCGCAAATATTGGGATCGTTTTCGTTCTTCTAATAGCCCGTTAAACGTTGTAGGTTTCCAAAAAGGCATCGTAAGTCGGAAGTTAAAGGTTTTGTAAGACCCAGAAAGGATAATTAAGTTAGATAAAAAGAAGAAGAAGAAAGAGAAGAAAAAATAGCTGAAATCCATGACATCTCTCCCTCTCACGAGTAGGTTCTGACACCAATCTTCTTGAAAGCCTCCAAAGTCCATTTTCTGGCTAGGTTGATGTTCTCGTCGATGATCTGCTGTCGGAGTTCCCTGACCTTCGTGGATTTCGCCTTCCTATCCTCGTTGCTCATCCTAAGAACCCGTCCGATGACATCGAAATCGGTTTCAGATTCATCCTGTAGCCAAACAGCTTCTTCAGTGAGGTAGGCGTAAGCACTGATGATAGCCTTGGTGGCAACCAATGGGGTACCGGCGATCAGACTAGCAGGAACGGTCGATGAAGCCTTTCGGTCGAGATATTCAGGGGTAGCGAAGGCCGGCAAGAGAGCGAAGCATCGAGACAAGATCGTGTAGAAGTCGATATAGTTGAGGCCTTCGTCGAAAACAACGTTATTAACAACCTCAGCTGGGACAGGTGGGTGCCTTCCGTGACCAACGAGGTGGAGAGTAATGTTCCTTGGCTGCGTTTCAATCTTAGTCTGAGATTCCTCATCTTCAGATTCGTCACGCTTGGCAGGTACTGCCGGACCCTGAGGTGACGATGGCGGCAGTGGTTTAGCGGATGCAGGTTTCAAGAATTCTCCAAGCCTTCGGAAGACCATTTTGTAGTCTCTCCGCTCCTGTCCAAAGTCTCCTTGCAGACCGAAGCTAAGATTACTATCATCTGTCGGGATTGGGGGTAGTTGAACAGGGAAGACAGGGACGAAATGCCTGACGAGTGGTTGATGGCCTTCCTCTTTTACAACCTTCCACTTCTTCAAACTTTGCTCAAGCAAGAATTCAGCAGTATGAGGGCTCAAAGCCAAAAACTCAGCTCGGTTAGCTCTAACCCATGGAGTAAGTGCTTCCTCCAAATGATGCTTCTCGTATCCCCATCGATCAGCGTGATGAATAACACAGAACAAATACGTTTTGTGATTCTCAAGGAGTACAGTCATGTTCTCTTGGTACTTTCTCATGTCGAACTCGCAAGTGGTGGCAACGACGATATCCGGAACGGGCTGGTTCTCGTCAGCCCGTCGAAAGTCATCCATACCACGGTGATCAGGGATTGGATTCGAAAGATCAAAGGTCCTCATAATATCGTGGGATCCATAACGAGACAGGCGTTGGAAGAAAGTGAGTTCGGCACCAGGGAGTTTACCCCAAGAATTGACAAGAGCAGCGAGGACTTCATCGTGTGAACCGCCAGTCTCAACGAAGGCTATCCTCAAGGGACGCTTCTCGGCTAGTATACGTTCCCCTGTCGCAGATTGGAAATTTGTGTCGGTGCCGAACGTTGTGGAAGGCCTGCTGGGGGCCTGGTAGATGAAAGTGCCAGCCAGGAAAAGGGAGGCAACAGCGAAGACGAGGAGGATGCTGACGCGACGAGCCATGGTGAAGGGAAGGGAGAAATCTCACAGGGAGATTCGAAAAAAGAGTTCAATTGGCCAGCGGGATTGACGAGATCAAGAGCTATGTCGAGATTTGTGTATTTTAAACCAACGTGGCCAGCTCGTTCGCGTGGGTTTGGCGAGGTCGGATGATCAAAGCAAAGGGAAGGAGGATCGAAAGAAGGACGGTGTCGTCGTCGAGTTCGGTTGATTTTGTGGGTTGGAGAACACACCAACAATTAAGCTAAAGGACAACAACAAAAACAATTATGATTACCGCAGACCATGTAACAGGTATTAACCATTCAGGAGACCTCAAGCGCTAGTTAGTTGGGGAATGAATGAATAATTGAATGGATGGCTGGATCTCCAAAATCTAACTAAATTGCGCGTATCAATTGGGTAACTTGGGACAGTCCGGCACATGTTGTAAGGACCTGTACCTGAATACCTTACTAGCTATAGTCATTGTATTAAATACTACGACATCATGTGCATCTATACAACTATTCGCCGCCTACGGTTTTTTTTTTTTTTTATTGGAAAAAAAAAAAGGGGGGGGGCCGTAAAAGTCTTTATCTGCTGCTTGCGTACCTGCTGCTGCTCATCATTTAGGTTTAGGAGTGTAAGCCAAGGACAGAAATAGGTATACTGGGCATAGTGCCAATGGGAGGCCCAGCAATTACCATCAACCCGCTAGTGAAGAATCTGGAAATTATATACACAGCAAGTACCTAGGTACCTAGCGATGCAGATACTTAAGTATGTATATATATAAGTACTTAAGTACTTACCTAATTGGTTACTTAAGTATTTGTGGGTTTGATATTAATAACTAATCGAACTACATGTACTCCGTGCCAGCTGATACCGACAACCTAGTTCTAGATTTTGCGATCTATCATATTCAGGGCCTACTATGTAAGGTACTAACCCCAAGCCACCAATACGCCATCGCATTTCCGGGTATCGTCAGGGGAGTAAATTCTGGGTTCCTCTGACCCCTTTAACAACCTCCAATTATCTTTAATCTAAAATTAAATGGATTGATTAATATTGGAGGCTTTGTCGCCAAGAATTCATGAATTCAACGATACTTTTTCCCTCTTGGAAGAAAACATATATTTTGCCCCGAGAAAGCTTGGATTCAAGACTAGAAGGTACACGTACGTCTTCATATATGGACTACATTAGGTATGTAGTACCATGTCTTCGCACAGTGCGGGTCTAAATTTATGTACCAGACTATAAGATCTATACATATAAAGTACCTAAGTAAGTAAGTACTCTGTACATTACGTATCTCTCAAGTACTATATATTATATATATGCATGCACATGTAGGCATGCACATACACATCTCAGCCACCACTCGCAAGTACTTGTGTATTTCAAGATCGAGTTGCAATTGGTTTGATAATATATTCCCATTGTATTGCAAGTATCGACATCAATAGATTTTAGATCTAGCTAAGCTAAGCTAAGCTAAGCTAAGGTATTGAATAGATATCAATGGCATTGAATTTTATAATTTTAAGGGGCGAGATCACAAAATCCAACGCCAACACAATTTCATTACTGTGTACTCTTTGGGACTAAAATCGATGTCCTTCGGCCCACTAGTTAAGAAGTAGCATTGACTCTAGTTTACGAGATAAAGGTAGGAGGCTGTAGATTACCTTGGTTTTATGGCCATCGTTGGTTTTTTCCTCTGGTATGGAAATATAACTTCAGATACATTCTCATCTTTTTGTGGTTCTGCCATCAATATCTTAATCGTCGCTCGTACAAAGCTAAATATTCTTTCCGGATCCACGCGGGCATTTATCTAAGCTAACTTGCAGAATAAAGAGAAGATGGTTCGGGGGGTAGTGGGTATAAATAGTGAAGAAACAAGCCTGCGAGTATGTATGATTGCTTTTATTATATTGTTTCGTACCTACGAGATAACTTTATCTTTTCAAACAGAATTAAGATAACTCGTATCCAGACCTAGAAGATTATTGTCATTATTAATTTTTTTTTTTTTTTGTTGTCGTAGAATCTCTTTACACCGAACAATAACAGTATGGTAACAATAGTGTTCTGTTATGTGATTTAGAAAACGTCCTATGAATCATCAAGCGCTACCCCCAAAAACTAAGTAGTTATATATTGTTTTACTCGAGTACTGCGGATTGGTATAGCCAAAGTGGCATACAAATATACACGCTGATATGACGGAACTGATATCACGATTGATGGCACGCCTGTAGCGTAATTACGTGGATTCCCTCGCCAAGGGAGGAGAAAAAAGAAGAAGAGGAGGAGGAGGAGGAGGCTGTCTAGATAGGTATCCTTGAACATGATATGCATGCATATCATACATAAAGTTTTTCTGGTTTTATAAATCCAGCAAGTATTTACTTGGCTTGCCTAAATCAATACTTACTTAGCCCTTACCGACTGGCCGCGGGCATCGATATCCGGTTATATACATGTAGTAGGTATCCTTTGGGCCTTTTTTGCCAAAAAAGAAGAAGAAGAAGAAGAAATAGGAGTGGTATATATATACACACAAGTATTTCCATCGTTATACCACCATTTACAGGTCAAAATATATATATCGATGAGACCACACTTATGTACTTAGTTTAGTGTGATGCTGAACGGGCGCCATCGGTTGCAACATGGGAAATTCGATGATTATTACGAGCCACGACCGATTGTTTATTTAAACAATTACGCCCAAGCACGGGGCAGGATTCCAACATACGGATGGTTTCCATAAGAAACCCAACCGGGTCTAAACTTCATAATCTATTTGTTTCTTTTTTGAAATTTGAGTACTTATATAAAAGTCTGGTCACGAGACTGTATTTAATTTAAGCAAGTACTTATCTAGGCGTATATACAGGTATGTGTTTCGTCTATTGTCATAATCTAACTATCGATTCGGAACAAAGCTAGACTATTGAAAACCTGATAATTAACAGGTGGAAGTTAAAAACGTTCAAACGTCCACTAGAAAAAGCCTGGAGAGGATATCCTCGGGCAATACCATTACTATGAAATAGCTAGTAGATACCACCGCGAGGTAGTGGAAGAAACGCCATTAAAATACACTACGAAGTACGTACCTAGCGAAAAGATGGTTCAGCTTTAACTACAAAATGCTGCCAAGAAAGTTGCTGGTCGAGTTATCGAACGATCTCATCTGCGCCTGGTACATACGTCCCGAGGCTGACTAACATTGCGTGCATTGCTGGCTGAGCTGAGTAACAGGCTACATGTTTATAAGAGTCTGATGACTAACCGGGTGGCTTTCCCAGCCTTGTCGTCTCGCGCTCGGCTGCATCCAACCAACCAACCAACCAACCAACCTTATCGATCTTGATGCCCCCAGTGCCAGTCTCGAAATACCTCCGAACTCTGTAACCAAATGTAGGAAGTACCTACTTACCTACCGGCTAGGTAAGTACTTATCTACACTAGTGCGTAAATAAACCCAATCCGATGCAACACAACAGCTAAGTTCAGCAAAGACGAAGGTTTTTTTTCTCTCCCGGGTTTTTTTTAAGCTTTCGAAGCTTTGCCTTGGTACCCGCAATTGATTTTGATATGAACTTTCTGCAGGCCGACCAAGAAACTCTAGCTCTATGCTTGGCGAGGATTCTCACCATTCATTGGATCGGGACCTCAGGGTTTGTGGGTGTCGATATTAATTATCACCGCGCTATTGTAATATTGATTACTAAACATTGGTGCAAGTCAAGCACACCGTCTGGATACGAGACTAGGTGCAAGTATTGCAAGTTGAACCAATTGATCGAGAGCTCTTTTTATTGGCCCAAAGCGTGTGCTCCTGGCACTTATAAAAGGGTCAAGGCTGCACGTTCGGTATCAATATCTAATCTCGTATTTTCACGAGATACCCAAAGAAGAGTGCGCTTTATAAATTTTGCCTTGTAAAATTTCTATATACTTCAAGGTATTGTATATTATACCATAATCCATCGGATTAATAGATTGTCAGGACTACGCTAAGTTACGACGCGGCTGTGGCTAGTATATACCCGAGCCCCCATCATGCAGGCTCCAAAGCTCATCAAACTACCCGAGGGTCGACAACTTCACGTTGCCGAAGATGACGACCATCTGCTGAAACTTCAAGAGTCGCATACCGATCCCCAATTCAGCTTTACTGTTCACGGGTCTGCAGACCATGTAAGTATAACCGCTGCTCTAGCGCTCTGTTGTATATTGATACCTACTTTGGCATACCTGACGGGATTCGATTCCGTACACAATTGTGCAACGCCGGCACATGCACGCTTGCTGTGAAAACGACGCCTTCCTGGGTACTTAGGTACCAATGTGAATTCTATAGAAATATCACCCACACGTTTATTTATTCCGTGATGCCCAACTAACAGTAAATGATACCGACCGATTTAGATAAGTGCTCTTCATGATTCGAAAAAGTACCACCTCGGTTTAAAGGATGCGCTCCGTAGTAAACACCCGGAAATTTTCGAAGAAATGGAAAAGCTACAGGTTAGTTAGCTAGGCGTCAGCTATTTAAGCACCATACGCCAGCCTGTGCCCTAACGTGTTTGGGGGATTTATATAGGTTCATATGGAGGAGCTTTCCGGTGAGCTTCATGCCCTCACACAGTATGATGTCCACCTGGAGGCGAACTTTGGCAAGTTTGGCTACTCTGCCAATCTCCGGACCCATTTGCCCGGTCAAAAGGTGCATGAGGAGAAGGAGGAAACTTCGACAGTCATCCGAGTATGGAAGTGGGTTAACTTGGGAGCCCGTCTTGGTTATAATTACTAGAGCGAGGGATACTGATCTTGACCTTGTTTGTAGGCGCCCTGTTATCCGTCAGTATTTCCACAAGGGACTGCTGTGGAGGGCTAAAGAGAATGAAGAGGTGGCTAGCTTTGAACTCTTTGTCGGTAGGTCGGGACCTATAAATCCAGAGTTAATACGACGACCTAGTCTGATGAAATCTCCTCTAGATCTACTCTATGTTGGTATCCTCGCCGTCCTTGGTGATAGAGCATCCGAGGAACCCTCCGCTAATGCATTTCTCCGTTTTTGCGTATGTATGACCGATACATTATATCGTGCTGTTGGATATATCGATGCTAAAAGAACGGTGGTCAATGTTTCAAACGTAGATTGCAATGATCCCTTCATGGAAATTATGGAATGATATTGGTTTACTTGTTAGCTGGTTCGAGGCAGGTATGGTTATCTTGTGCCTCTACTTGCGGCTGCGGCCGGGCCTGCCCACCTGCAGTGCCTGGCTTGAAGAAGTCGAAATTGGGCCCCATAGAATTTAAACCCTGGACTAACGTACTCCTATTGCTTTAGACGATCTTGTCCAGCGCGTCATCGTGCTATTTATACTTTCTTGCTTGTTCGGTTTCACTACCAATATATTTCTTTCCGAAACTATCACATACACGCAAATGATAGCCTTCTATCTGGCCGCTCGTTTGTTCACTGCCGTTACCTTGTACGTATTTATTCCAGGTGGTATACTAACGAAAGTAACGAGCGCAAATTACATGCTAACCAGTGTTGCAAATCTAGTATTATCGGTGCACTTCTGCTGCCAATGGTGAAAGCTACCCTATACGGGAATTCGTTAGCAATATTGATCCCCTCTGCGCTCTGGATTGGTAGCATTTATGTAGAGGAGCCCAACAGGCAAGCCTTAATCTGGATCGCTATATTCCTAGGTAAACTCGCTTTGATTTTCGCCCTACGAGACATTTCAAAATGGATCCTAACCCTTGCCTTTTATTGTAGACTTTTCACTCCCTTCAATTCTCGTATGGGGAATGCGAGGTATAAGCTTCATCCCACAAAAATGGAACGAGAAAATCAAAGGCCTTTTCGAGTTTTACCCCGGTAAGAATCGTGTATGACCCAAAGCAATGAAATGTCTCCTTTTTGGTCTGACTAACTTTTATCATTAGCCCTGAATATCGAACACAAGGTTGAACGAACGGGGGCTTTCGTTTCACTAGTCTTCGGTTATTCTGTTGTCGCTCTCCTCTATCAAAATGCTGCCCATTTTGGTATGAATGCGTTTTTGGGTAAAGCCCTTTTGGGTCTTCTCCAGGCTTATTGCTTCAATACTATTTATTTTGACATTGATGGGTCTGGTCACGAGCTGCATGCAATCAGGCGGAAAGTCTGGTCCTCGTTTCTTTGGGTCAATGCCCATTTATTATTCGTCCTCGCCTTCACCATTGGTGGATCTGGATTGTCAAAATTGGTTCTTGCACACGAGTCACAGGACACAGATGTACACGATCTTTTCCATGTTTACGAAGAGAGGAGCTTCGCACACGTCGAGGATAGCTTGAGATGGTTCTATTGTGGTGGCTTAGGTAGGCAACCCTTGAAAAGACGCCCATCTTTAGATGATATGCCGGAGACTTACTCGATCATATTTATAGCTGTGGCACTGTTTAGCATGTCACTGATATCTATTTCTCACCTCCACAAAACACTATACACGCAAAAGATCGCTAAAAAGTACCGCCTTGCGTATAGATTGTTGGTTTGCATCGTATGGCTTTGTCTGCCAGCTGCGCATGAGCACCTTAATTCTCTCCATCTAATATCAATTACGGCCGGTATGACTGTCTCAATTGTTGCTCTGGAGGTATATGGAACTAGCTGCAAGGGCGATGACATGTTTGGCATAAGGAAACCATGCGCTGCATATGTTTGTGATGCTGAAGTGGAAGGGCGCCAGGAAGAGACAAATGGGGGGCCTACAGGTGCTGACCCTGAAAAGGGCGTTGAAAAAGGCGATTATGTTCTAAGAAATATCTATGTCGATGTGCAGTGATGGCAATTGGGTGCGTAATAAGTATCTAAGTATATGGGTATAGTTTGGTCGTAAGATGAATCTCATTGGTATATCAACAATTTAATACTGGGATAGCCTCAATACAAGACGAGGACAATCTAGGGTCGTTTTGTGCAGGACAGCGATACAATTTAAGAAAGAATATATGGTTCCCTTGCCTAACTCGGTTAGCTCCTAGTATTCATGAGGCAAGGCCTTAGCCTCAACATATGCTTATTCTGCGAATTTACTTCCATTGATCAAATATCTGTTTGCCTTTTTTTTTTGGTGAACGTACTATATTAGGACATACAGACTTTCACCACGTTTCTCCTTGCGCTTATTCGTTGCTCATTGTTCATGGGTGCTTAAACTAGTCCGAAAGTAGGCTCAAACCATGTATTCATTCGAGAGTCCACATTTTATTTTAAAGCGGGCTCTGGCGGTGAGATATTATTCATTTATTCTCTAAGCCAGCAACGTTGGTATTGTGAGGACATGGTGACTGTCCTCCAAGTATGGGAGGAATGAGGAAAAGGTTATATATGAACACGAAGCAGAGGAACCGAGATAATAAAGTACTTATAAAACAGCACTTCAGAAAAACACCATAACGGGCATTAAATAAAAAAAGGGTGTAATTCCAAAAACACCATGGTGGATAGAGGTATTGTGGTGAGGATGAAGATGAGGTACAAGCGCAAGGAATCAACAAGCTATGTTTACGAAGAAGCCTTTCGGGCCTTCGCAACGGCTTTTCTGACTTCGAATCGTCTCTAGTAAAGGGTAATAAGCCACGTTAGTACCGGCCAACTTCGTATGTACGACGATGTACCCTGGCAACGGCTTTGGAATCCGTCCCAATACTGCAAAGTCAAATATTCATCACGAACTATGACCGCAGCGGTTCGGGATCGGCAGCACGTCTTTGAGGAAAATTCGCCCTAAAGTATCCCGGATGCTCACCTGCTTCTTCAAAACCATGACCTTGAATCTCTCGAAGTCTGTCAACTGTCGCTTCTTTTCTCTGCTAGCCCTCTTCTTGGCCCATGTTGTGCTGGCGGTCTTGTCGTCAACGGAAGCCTCGGCCCAGTACTTCTTGACAACTCCACTTCGGGCGGCTCGTGGCAATTTGGTAATGACTTGCTGGGTAAGTGAGACGTGCGAAAGAGAGATTTCTTGTCGTTCAATGTGTGGGGAGTCGACCAAAGCCTAGAGTGTTATATTTTCCGCGTCAGCCAAACCCGTCGTTCTGTACACCTGTTCTGAGTTTCAAGGTCCCTCCAATTGTCGAAGAGCATGTCCCTAAACAAGTTTTGCTTCCGAGGCGGTGGGGATATCCAAAAGGCATGGAGTACTGACTCGTTTGTGGTCAATAATCTGAACAACGGCAGCGAGCTTGCCCTCGTCCTTGCCACTATTTATCAGAACTACTCGGCCGGTCTCGACCTGACTGTAACCAGAAAAACACCGAGAATCAGCAATCGCGGCCCGTAAAGCTGTCAGGATATAAACAGCCGTCCTCCTGCCAATCCAAACTGATCCAATTTGAAGCAACCCTTGTGGACGTGGCAATGGAGTCGGAAGATAGGTGGAAGAACATACGGCCATTGGGAGGAAACAACTTTGGTTTGCGACATAGCGACTGTTGTATGAGGGGTTCGGCTTCGCGATAGAGGGGGGTGATTGGGAGATCTGAGGATTCGACGACGGTGGTGATGATGGCAATGGTAGAGGTCCAATCTAGGATGGGTGACCGACCAGATGGGGTTCGACCAACACAAAAATTCGTTTGAGGTAAAGTCACGTGTTGCATCATTTTTTTGTGTCAAACAGCACTGATAAGATAAGGGCCTGGTTAGGGCTCGCATAAAAATGCATCCAACCTCATCTCTTCGACTTGATTAGAGCTGACTGGAACCGTCCCCAACCATCGATACTATAGTAACAACATCCTCAATTTAATTTACCAAAATGTAAGAGAATAATCTCATCAAACCCCCCATCCTCCCATCTACATCATCTCCGCGGCCGTATGATGATATAATTTGCGATTGAGAAGCCTTGCTCGTGGACAAACGCCTAGTCCATACAACGACAGGCTCTCTCTGATATTCAATTTCTTACATATACTGACAGCCTTTTCGCCCACGATGCCTTTGTTTTTCTCTCATACCTATCCACCCATTGCCACATCTTGGATTCTCAGTTGATCAAATGGCTAACGTGGCTGCGATACGAACAGAAAATCAAAAAAAAAATTAGTTAGGCCTAAGCATGATGTATATGTATTGTATATCATATGGATGGAAGTGAACCTTTGTAAGTACTATAGAAGAAATCACAACGCCCACTCATATTACCTATATTCTCTCCTCCGACCCAATGATTAAAACACATGCCTAAGATAGTATGTGATTGTTTTTTTAAACAACATGAGCTATACTTATACACCAAGATCACTGAGGGCACAACCAACCACCTTTCCACAGCATGATCCTCACCGTTTGGAACCAGGAATAGAACACTGATTGGATAGTATGTAGTAACAGATACCGTTTAAGCAAGATACATTCTGTACTTAACCACCTAGGCACCTACATGTACTACTTATAAGTCGTATCAATACCATCAATACCAAAATGTTTAATATCGGCGATCCTTCTTGCGTGTAGATGTGATATCATAAGAATTAGGACGTGAGCAAGGAAGTGCTTATGTAAGCACACATACAACCAGTTTCGTCTCTCACGTGACCTCGCCCCCCAAAAAAAAGAGATGTAGAAATACAACACAACACAACACAGCATAGCACAGCACATGGGTTATGAGGCTGTCGCTGTACAGTTGCATGCTCATCATCGAAATTGTCCTATATACACGACTTGTATCCATATCCCACCAATTCACTATCATGCCGTTTACCAAACTAATATCTACCTCGGATCCACCGAACGCCCAAAACCTTCAACATGGACGAGCCCTCTGTCCCGAATAGTTCCTCTTCTTTAATTCCGGAACCAAGTACCCCTAGGGCCCCTTCTCGCCAGCCCCAGGACCTTCCTACAGCCCGTAAACCTTATCAAACTCAACTAAATCAGGTTCATAATTGTGATGATGGTGATGACAATGACAATGACAATGATAGCACAGCCGCCCGCTCACAGCCGCCCGCATCCCTAAAACCTCCTCTATCGGTTGATACCAGTCGTGAACGCCAGTGTACCTCAAGTCCGAACACAGGAGTTCCATCCTTAGCAGCATCTTCACAATCTTCCCCTCCCAAACTCGCTCGGTCATCCTCATTTCGTGCTCTGGTTCTCCCTCAATCTCCACTTGAAAATGACCGGTTCGGATACATACTAGGCCGCTCTTTTTCATCCTCTACGGGTCAAAATTGCTTTCCTTCGAATTCGTCTATGACGTCCCTTCGAACTTTTAGCTGCACGCCAACGACGGAGAACCTAGCTCGTAGGATGGCCCATTCTAGCACTTCAAACCATTCAAACAACCCTTCAATTTCGTCGCCCGACACTGAAACCTATTCCCAGCCAATGCTACCCTCTCAGCACCCCACACCCAGTGGGGATGGGCCGTCTGAGAACCAAAATCAAGGTTTTGATGCCCAAAATTCACCGACAGCGTCATTCACAACGAATCCGAGCACACAGTCTTTGAGCGCTACTCGCGAAGATGGGGCGACAACGAAGGCAGATTTGGTATCTTATTTACCTAAGATACCAGTAGCATCAACGACGGCTTCTGAGGAGGAAAGAGTTGCGAAATGGGGCCCCAAAATTGGCCCACCAACCAGCGGGGATGAACACAAAAACCCCTACAACTACGAGGTTCTAGATACATATTACGAACAGGCTGACCACCCAATGTTTAATGTGGCGGAGAGCACCCGCCGTGCCGGTATTTCCGCCGCATAAATCTATACACAAAATAGGGTTATTGGGACATGGCTAATATTATATTAAACAACGTTACACAATATAGGAAATGCTGCAATCCAGACAATGTTTGATCCACTGTACGCTTTACCAGGTCTGAATGGACAGATTCCGCGTGGCTTCCCCCTGTATGGGTTCTCAATGAGGGAAATGCCAAGTAGGTTTAGCCGGGCCTCCAAACTATACAACTTAGTTATGCCATACCAGTCGTGAAACTAATGCCATAAAACCATGCATGCGCATTATTAGCCGCGATTTTACATGAAGTTTTGTGTGCTTATGGAATAGAACCGATAGAAGGGATCGGATACGATGTGGACCGACAGAACATGTCATTGCTCTGTGGTATGTCCATACCCTCCCCTTCCGAACAAGCAGTTCTAATGCCCATGACAGGACACATCGGGGCCACCTGGCTGTCTGGGGTCATCTAATTGGTCTATCACCCATGCATTCGGTTGGACGCCCTGTCTCGCAAACGAGCGCAAACTTGCTCGAAGCCAAGCCTGCCTAGAGATGGCTCCTCTTCTGTGTTGTTAACTCAAAACAGCAACCCCTCTCGACCAACAGCTATATTAGGGACATTCCAGCCTACACAAACAAATTTATAACGCCTGCAGCGGGAATGCTGTCGCCACCGCTGTATCTGTGCATTGGCTCTTGATTTTGATTCCTTTTTCCCTTCCGTTTTGATTGTTTCTCTTTTCCTTTCCCCGTTGAAATATCATATCTTTTCAAGTATCACGATTCCAATATATAGTTCAGTATGTCTCACGACCATGGCTCTATGGCTGGGATGGACTCCGGCGATGATACCGGCTCTTCAACTTCCTCCACTTCCCAAGACGTGATGCCGATGGTATTCCAATGGGCGATGCAAACGCCCATATACTCCTACGCCTTTACTCCAAAATCCACTTCACAATACGTCGGCGCCCTTGTCTTCCTTATAGTTCTTTCAATTATCTACCGCGCCCTCGTCGCCTACAAATCCCGTAAAGAATCCACATGGCGTGAGGAGGAAAAGGCTCGGAAAGTCATCATCGCTGGACAGTTTAACGACGACAAGGCGAGTGCCGATGTCAGTACGCGGGAGGTTCGAGGTACGGCTCCATGGAGGTGGCGTGTAGACCTTCCCCGAGCTCTTCTCTCGATGGTCAATATTGGCCTACACTATCTGCTGTAAGGCTCACAATATACCCCTTGGTGGAGACATGGCAGAACTAACATGTAGTTTGCTTATAATAGCATGTTCGCTGTTATGACATTGAATGTCGGATACTTCTTTGCAGTCCTTTTCGGCGTATTCGTTGGTGACCTCGTTTTTTCGAGGTATGGGCATTGACGGGCACAAATTTTGATTTTTCAATTATGATATATCACTGGGTGGTTTCTTTTGCATATTTCCATCACGAATAAAGTACACTTGGCCTTGTCAGCCAGCTACAGGCGTTTGAGCGGGATCCTGAGCGTTGCGTGTCTTTGCCCCTCATATTTATTAAATAATTAAGCCTTCATCGATTTTCACAATCAAGGGCAATTCCATATCTTCGGGGGCTCCTAACCATCACCACTATATTAGCTGCGTTTTATTCTGTGCTTGGTATATAGTAAAGTACTTATGAACTGAGGTTCAATGGCCTCCGTGGCTCATTTGTGCACGTGTTTCCGTGAACGGCTTCACAAAATATTCACGGCCTGTTGCTTGAGGATATATAGATATATTAACGGTAAGCCAAGGGTTAGAGGTTAGGGCAGCCCTGGTTCTAGCAACAAACCATCATCCTGATGATAATGGGCTCAAGGCGACCGTCTTGCCTAATTCGAATGGATCCGTGAGTAGCAAGATGTAGAAGGTGATGGAAACCTTGAGCGGCGACGGCCCGGGAGCTTTGTGCAGGAGGAATTAACTCGTTGAAAGATATGAATTGATCTTGACTTCCAATAACTGGATCGGGTTCGTATTTAGAGAGAAGCTGGAATCGGAGATACCTATCAACGCTAGTGTAAGCACCGTAATTCAAACAGCAAGGTTAAACATTCAAAAAAGATATAAAGATCAATCCACCTTCACAAGTAGATTGGAAAGGCCGAAGACTCACTCGAAAAAGTTATGATTTTCCCTCTCAAGAGTCTCCGCAAACCAACCCGAATTTTGGGTGTCCCTGGTGGCTGAAACACCTAAGTTTGGGAAGAGATATATCAATATATGCCAAAAACGACGTAGGAGTTCAAAGTTTTTTTATACATTGTCCTAGGTCTTCCTCTGGAAGGAGCTCCTCTTGGAAGCTATGACCAACCGTCTCCTCAACCCCAAATAGATCGTCTTCATTAAATTTCCTATCTGTGGGGCTTCCGTGTATGGCAGTTGCGCCGAAGTCTGAAATTGGTCCATGGGTTTGACGGATACTTGGACTGGGTGTCACTCGGCCGGTCCGCTTTCCAAATAGTCGGGAGGTTCCAATAGCTGGGCTAGCCTTGCGACGTCCCGTAGAGGAGAAGCGTCTATCAATACTACTAGGAATTCCCCCAATAGAACTCGTTCCGAAGCCCCCAAAGCTGAGCACGGACCCGGCTCGCGAGCCCCGTTCTAGGATGTTCCAAGGCATTAAATTCTCTTCGAGGTTCATAGATCCCCTTCGAGCAACTCCAGGATCCTAGATATAGCATTAACATAGAACTCGTCGAGAGAAACAGAATAGCCCTATATCATCAAAACTAACTTGGTCATCTGATAGCAAAGTCTCCAAACCCATCTCATCAATTTCAGGAGATATACCGCGATTAATATGATCATCTGCGCGCTCAATCCTGATTCTTCGGCCCTGCTGTGAGCCTTCAGATACGGCCTCATCTTCGCTTGGATCAGTTTGTGCTCTCTTGCGGTACTTCGCCTTGCTAGACTTTCCCAAAATTTCCTGGCCAGCATTAGGGTTTAGCAGCCTAAGTATATTACCACCATCAAATGTCGCCAACAGAGGCTCGGCCTTCAGCATTCCGCCCCAACTATAAACCCACTCTCGCGCGGCTTTTCTGATAATGTAAACATTTTGTATGTTTTGTCTTTTGCGCCGAGCTAGATCCATGTTATCTATATATTTAGAGTCCAGGGCAGCCAAATCTGATGTTCTTAACTCGATAGCGTCATCAGGCTGAGCTAGTCGCAATTTCTTTCCCCGTTGGTGAGAAAAAATAACGACCATCTGATCGTCCTGGGCCTTTGGCAGGCGGGCTGGGAAGGGCTCGGCCTCTTGGTTTTCATTCAAACTTGGAGCTGGAAACGGTTGATCTTGAAGGGCATCTAAATCCACGAGATTTCCGTTCAACTAGTCATTTCGTCGGTTGGACCATTTTTCGATCCCAGGAAATTATTAACGTAACCATACCCACACATGGGTTCTGATGAAATAGTTATCACTCACACTAAGGCTTTTTTTTCCATCATCGTGTTCACGCCAAACTCTCTCCGAACCAGCAGATAACATGAGCCAATTGTTTTGCTTCGTAACATGGGCTAGTTCCTCATTGTTTTGAGGGAAGGAGCCTCCGAGGTCTACATTGAGAAGATCCTGGAGTCGGTGTGGGGTACGGGCTGGGATATCCTGTATCTCGCCATTTTCATCAAACATGAAATCAACGTCATCATCAAGCTCTTCCTGGCCCATATTTCCCGCTTGGAATTCATCCCCGCCGAATTGCAAAAACCCAACGTTGTCACTGCCACCATCGAGCGAGGAGGAATCCGGAATCACTAGTTCGGCTCTGGGAGAAAATCCAACTCTACGGGCTGAGAGGGAGAGTGAATGTTCAGACGATAACAATGTTTTATCCTCAAGCGTGAGCTGGGTAGTGTGGTGTAGTTGATCTTCAGGGAGTATGACAAGCTCAGGAAGAACGAAAAGCAATTCTGGGATGAATGCAGGATCATCCTGTAGCACTAATGCTTCCGGCCTATCGATTGTTACATCACATCAACTAACGGGGAGAATTTATGAGGTTATACCGAATTTTGGCACCCACAAGGTCGATCTTGCCTGTGTCCAATGGAGCGAAAAAATCCTTATTAATCTTCTGGTGGGCGTTCGTAACATCAGCGAAAAGATAGTTGTACTGCTCGCAAAACACTCTTGAAACCCCGAAAAGGAGGTTCGACTGGAGGCGTAAAGCTAGTGGGTTCTCTGATTGGAGAATGGTTCTGCATGCCTTGGCCACATTAACCTCGAGGATCTCCTTTTTATGAACTTTCTTGGATAGCGTGGTTTTGGGGCCAATGGTTGCAACCAACCTAGATAGTTTTGCATTGATTAGCTGTACTATGGGGATATCCGCACGGTTTGGCTACGAGGCTGATGTTCAACCCGACAATGAGCTTACCATACAGTAGCAACACCATATTTCCTCTGAGTCAATATACGGTGGTCGTAAAACATGCTGAAACCAGATAGTTCTCGGATGAGTAAGGCTTGGTTTCGTCAATAATATTAGGCGCAAAGACTGGTCGTAGAATGATAAATTAAAAGCGGGAGCTAAACTGCCAAAGCTTAGAGGTATGTATATAAGCACCAGCAGTGCCTGGCTTGGTGGGCCGGTGTTTTTGGTAGGATAATGAACGATGTAATTGGTTCTGAGCTTGAGGGTTGATGCAGTTAGTATTATTTTTCAAGTATTATAAGAGGTACCTACCCACTTAAGTACTTGATCAACTTACCTAGGCCCTTAAGCACGCAATGTGCATGTACGAGGTCGGTAGCTAGTACCAGGAACTTTGATTGTAGTCCCAACACCAAACAGTGTAGCGAGAACAGTATTGAGAGAGAGTCAGGTACTGAAGTGGTGATTAGGAACAGAAGAAGGAGTTGATACAATTGGTCTTAAGATCTCGTTGGTGAGCTCATGTATGGATAAGAGGTAAGTACTTAAGTACTTAAGTAAGTAGGTAAGTACTAGTAGCTACTAGTAGTGGTGGTCTGGATGCAAGACGTGTGCGAGTTCATAGTGGTAGTACTTTGGCCCAACTGTGGTTTTGTGTTTGTGTTGTCCTGTGTGGTACTTTCACTTAATATCCACGTGACAATCACGTGAATGATCTTTGTTTGTCACGGATTATTGTGTTGCATGTTGAGCAATATTCAGCAAACAGCAACAACAACAACAACAGCAACAACAACCACAACAACGAACGACCATGTGCCACTGATACATGCCGGCAGATTCGCGTGTTAATATCATCACTAATACAAGACGCTTTAGTAAGTACATGTACTTACCTATTTACTTACCTAATACCTAGGTACCTAGCCTACCTACTTAGCTACTGGACTACCTCCTCTCGATACACATCCAAATTTGATAACCAACAACTGCTCTCGACTTGAAGTATTTCTCGTTTCTCGCAGCATTCAATTACCCCGCCAATTATCTAGCTCTAGCGCTCACCTACGCACAGGAAGCGGAAGAGGGCAGCAAAGCTATCGTAGCCTCTGAAATCAAATTTTAAGATCTATCTCAAGATGGATGTTCCGTCCTCAATCCCGAGACGAGCAGCCAATCGCGACACGGCTGCCACACAGAATGGCTCTCCTACAAAACGGTCCTCCCGCCAGTCGCTAGACCCCATCACGCTTAGCGATTCAAACATAGATGCGGATGCTGCTTATTTGATTGAAGAAGCATCTCGTAGGTCACCTACTAAACGACAACAGTACGAATACTATGAGTCTGGCGCTATGAAAGCGGCCCCATCATCATCGCCCGTGAAGTCTGGTCGACTTGGGGCTATCACAGAGGTTGAAGGGCGCCTTGCAAGAGTTTCCCTTGCAACAGAAAGCTCTGTTGTACACTATGGCGATACCCCTCAAAAAAAAAACGATAAAGAAAATAGACCGCCATCTCCATCGTCTCCGGCAACTTCTCAGGAAACTCCACAGAAACGGAAAGGACCAAAAGCGCCTAGGCCGCAAAAGACACCTGGAAAGACGAGGAGTTATGATCCTGAACGACCTTTGACCGCAGAAGAGCAGATGAAACTAAGCGATCCGAAAGTTAAGAGGATGCAAAATGTTGCTCAATTGTGTAAGTGCTTTGCTCTTACATCAAATGAAAACGCATACTCACAAACTAGGCAACTTCTCTAGATTTCCTCGATTACTATTTTGGACTTTTGAAATATGTCCATGATAGGCGAACTCGTCTTATGAAATTCAAACAGGAAAACGATGCTGAGGCCGATATTAATCCGGAAGACTATGAGGCAAAATGGAGCCAGTATTGCGGCAGGGAGCGCGTTCACCTAAGAAAGCACCGAACCAGGTTACGCGAAACTGATTTCCAAAGATTGACGCAAGTCGGTCAGGGTGGCTACGGCCAGGTCTTCTTGGCCAAAAAAAAGGAAACCGGCGAAGTTTGTGCTTTAAAGATTATGAACAAGAAGCTTCTCTTCAAAATGGATGAGATCCGCCATGTTTTGACGGAGAGAGACATATTGACAGCTGCAAACAGCCCATGGCTAGTAAAGCTTTTATATGCATTCCAAGATGAAACAAACATCTACTTGGCAATGGTATGTTACTTGCATATAGCTGTTGCATGAGAGACATATTTGTTAACTAGATTCTAGGAATATGTCGCTGGAGGCGATTTCCGAACACTACTTAACAATACAGGAGTTCTCCACAACAAACATGCCCGATTTTATATCGCGGAGATGTTTGCCTGCGTCGACGCTCTCCACCAGCTAGGTTACATCCATCGTGACCTAAAACCGGAAAATTTTCTTATTGATGCTAGCGGTCATGTTAAGTTAACGGACTTTGGGCTCAGTGCTGGCATCTTAAGCCCATCTAAACTCGAAAGTATGAGGCTTAAACTCGATAAGGTCAAAGAAATGAACATGGATCTTGTCAGGCGATCCACAATTGAGCGTCGCGCTGCATATAAAAGTTGGAGGGAAAACGATGTTAACTATGTACGATTCCACACCTCTGAATCCCGAAGCCTTTTAAACTTACATTTGGGTAGGCAAAATCAATTGTCGGATCACCAGACTACATGGCTCCTGAAGTCCTTCGAGGAGAAGAATACGATTATACAGTAGATTATTGGTCTCTAGGATGTATGCTGTTTGAAGCCCTTGCAGGGTACCCACCTTTCGCCGGAGCTTCCGTTGAAGAGACTTGGCACAACTTGAAGCATTGGAAGAAAGTTCTGCAGAAGCCAGAATACGAGGATCCCAACTATTTCCTATCGACGAGGACGTGGGATGTAATTACTCGGTATGGACTAACCACCTCTACCGGAGGTCTACTTTCCTCGAGGCTAACATACCGTTAAGTTGTATTACTACGCGGGATAAACGTCTATCCAACATATCTGATGTCTTTAAGCACCAATATTTCTCAGAAATCGACTTTGCTCGCCTACGTACCTCTCGCGCCCCCTTTGTTCCAGAACTCGATTCGGAAACGGACGCTGGGTATTTTGATGATTTCAGCAACGAAGCCGACATGGCAAAGTACAAGGAAGTGCATGACAAACAGGCAGCCCTTGAGAAACTAGAAGAAAGAGACGGCGTTCTCGAAAGGGGAGCGTTCGTCGGCTTTACCTTCAGGCACCGGAAAGAAAACATTATGGATGGGATTGGCCCCGGTGGAGCAAGGGCCGCACATGGACGAGAATCCCCTGAGAAAGATAGGAGAACCAGTGACCTCGGGGAGTATGACACCATTTTTAGCTAACTGAGCTCTTATAATTATTAGTCTTAGTGCTCGCTCCCACATCTTCGCTCTCCAGGTCTGTTAAGAAGGATATACCGCGACATCTTTTGTTACCAAAAGTCCCCTTTGTAGCTTCCTATTAGAGTTCTCGCAGCTCAAGGTTTAGAAATAATACGTTTGTAGGGCGCGCTAGGCGTATTTCTGCTCCAGCTGGGAGTCAAAAGCGTGCGGTGTTTTCTATTGTTGTGGACGGAATTTTTTACCAACAATACTATATGGATATCCCGCGGTGACTTCAGATCAATAATTTTTGAGCGGATAGTTTGGCTTCATTTGTACATGAGATTCGTAATCGAATTTTGGGAATTAATGCAGGAATGTAACTGTTGCTGTACATTCTCATATTTAGAGGTTGTCACGCGGGTGGGAACGAGTGAACCGCTATGTAGCTTAACATGAAAACTACAAGTGATAAAAGGAGGGGTTTGTAAGGTTAATCTTTTATCTCAGCAGATTTCTCCTTATGCTTCCGCCAGATTGAAAAGAAAGAGGGCGCGACATCTGCCTAAGTCGATAGAGCCATTATACTGTTGACTATGTCGTGGTCGTTCTCGGTCAAAGCCTTAACAGCCTTCTTCCTGGAGACATTTGCCTGGGCCATAACAAGTTCGATATCCTTCTGTTCCAAGCCTTCCTCACTAACCTCCTCGTCATCATCGTCGTCATCATCCTTCTTCTCAACCTCCTTTCCTTTCTCAGCAGCAGCAGCGAGGTCGGCTTCGATGTTGGCTCCACTAGGATCAGCGGAGGCAGCAACGTTGGCCAATTGCTGAGCGGCGGAAGCCTGTGCTTGGGAGTTTAGATCTTCGATCTTAGCCTCACCAAAGATGATCCAAGTGTTGGAAGATGGGGATTTGTAGACATCAGGATTGTTGATGACGAAGAGGATCTAAAGAGAAACGAAGCTATGTAAGCGGTGCTGCAACAAAGGATGGGCCCCCCCAGGGGAGTTCAAAGAACTTGTGTTTCAACCTACGTTCTTTGGTCGTCTCAGGGTCACTCGAGTGATTCCAGGGACATGCTTCAACCCAAGCTTAGCGATGGCCTTGCGAGCCTTCTTTTCGTTCCTGGAGTGAACGGCAACAGCAGACCCAGCTGGGATATCACCATCGTGGTCGTGGTCGTGGTCGTGGTCATGGTCGTGATCATGGTCATGGTCATGGTCATGTGCTGACTCGTCAGAGGAGTCTTCTTCCTCGACGACAGCCTTGCGTGGGACCTCGTCTTCGATCTCTTCAATTCGGGGGTTGGACATTTTGAGAATAGTTTTGTTTTAGATGGTGGTCGGTAATTGATGGATTGTCAAGTTTGTTATGTTATCGATGCAATGCAATTGCAGTTGGCACAATCGGTATCTATCGAAGTTCAGGAATTTTGTTGGTGGGGCAGATGACGGGCTTGTTTCTGTGTTGTGTTGTGCTGTGCTGTGGTGACTGCTAACACACTAGCCACACCAGCTGTGGCTTAACGGCTCTGGTGGCATCTGGGACATACCACCGGGTAAGCTACGTAAGTAAGTAAGTACAAGTGCCAACTTCAACGTCATCTAGATCTTTCTTTTTCTTCCTTCCTTCCTTCCTTCTTCTTTTCTCCATCTACACTTCGGTTGCCTCCGCCTACACTTAAAATGCTGGATCTCTTTGAGGTCATCACCACCTCGGGTGTCGTCCTTTGGTCAAAGTCTTACGCTCCTGTAAAACCTTCCATCATCAACAGCCTCATATCTGATGTCTTCATTGAAGAGCGAAACCAGCCCGGCAGCGATGGCAAATGGTTTAAGAAGGACTCGTATACGTTAAAATGGACCCTAGCGGCTGATGTTGGCCTCGTTTTTGTCGTACGTCATCCGCTACAGAACCCCATCCACCTGTATCCTTTGTCGATTGGCTGACTCCCTTAACTTTGACCAGGCTGTTTACCAGAGCCTCATTCACCTTACGTGGATTGATGAACTTTTGGACCAGGTTAAGAAGCTGTTCGTAGCATTGTATGGAGAAAAAATCAAGGCTAGCACCGGTACAAAGATCCAATGCCATTTCGATCAATATTTCGAAGCAAGCCTTCGTTCCTTGGAACGTCAGGCAGGAGGGGCAGCAACAACTCGACCGACAAACGTTAGCACAGATGACCCAAGTAGTGATGGAAACGGAGGAGGGTTCTCAGATGGTGACGAATGGTCGTCGCCTCCTCCTATGCCCGGTGTTAACAATACTGGTACGTTGAGTCCATACCCTTAGTAAACCCTACTCTGTGCTGATTATCTCGTCGAGATTCAGGAATCTCGGATTTTCAGCACCGGACACCATACTCCTCAGAAAAACCCAACCCTCTCATCGAAGTCACACCGTCTGCAACGTCCGCACCAGTCTCCCCGGCAACTATGGCACAAGCATTACTTCAAGCTTCAGGACGGCGTCCTGGCCGCCCCCGCAGGAACCGAAAATCCGCCGGGCCCAGCAGCGCATCTTCTACTCATGCATCTTCAGGTGAAGAGAGGTCTCCAGCGAGGCTTAGCAATAAACCAAAACGTGGCAAAGAAATGCGGATTTGGGGAGAAGATGGAATAGCGGCCGAAGCTAATGATGAACGGAAACTTGATTACTCGGCCGGGATCAGTACGGACGATGAGCAGGACACCTTGCGGCCAAAACCCGAAGCTATTGACCAAGATACTTGGGGAACTAGAACCAACAAAGGCGATTTCTTGCTTAAGGATCTGGATTATGAGATTGATGGTATCTTAAAACAGGCAAACAGCGCTGAGAACAACGAAGAAACTAATAGGAAAGGCCCTGGAGGCATTGCTAGTGGATTGGTGGGAGGCGCTATGGGGTACTTGAGAAATTTCGTGGGAGGCAAGACCCTCACTAGAGAAGATACTGAGAAGGCGATTTCGGGTGTCATGACACACCTGTTGGAGAAAAACGTTGCAAGAGAAGCTGCGGTTCAGATTTGTGACAGCGTGCAGACGAGCCTAGTCGGTCAGAAGACAGGGAGCTTCCAGAGTAAGTGAAAATCCTACTCCAATCATGCTAGCTGAGTACATATTAATATCATGATGGCAAACTTCAGGTATTGAAAGTCTTGTCAAACTTGCTATGGAAGACGCTTTGAGGAAAATCTTGACCCCGACAACATCCTTAGACCTGCTCAGAGAGATCGGACAGGTCCGCGAGACCGAAGAGCGCCCTTATGTCATTTCGGTCGTCGGGGTGAATGGAGTAGGAAAATCAACAAACCTATCCAAAATAAGCTTTTTCCTGCTACAAAATAAATTGAAAGTTCTCATTGCTGCATGCGACACATTTCGATCTGGAGCAGTAGAGCAACTTCGTGTCCATGCTCGAAATCTAAAGGAATTATCGGAAAGAGAAGGAGGGGTTGTGGAGCTGTATGAGAAAGGTTACGGAAAAGATGCTGCTAATATTGCTAAAGATGCGGTTTCTTACGCAGGGACAAATGGCTTCGACGTTGTCCTGATTGACACCGCCGGCCGCCGCCATAATGACCAACGTTTGATGTCTTCACTAGAGAAATTCGCGAAATTTGCCAATCCAGATAAGATCTTGATGGTGGGGGAGGCCCTGGTTGGATCGGATAGCGTTCAGCAAGCCCGGAATTTCAATGCAGCATTTGGGAAGGAAAGGAAGTTGGATGGGTTTATCATTAGTAAATGCGACACAGTCGGGGACATGGTTGGGACACTGATAAGCATGGTTTTCGCGACTGGGATTCCAGTGGTATTTTTGGGAGTTGGCCAGAACTACACCGACCTTCGAACGTTGAACGTCAAGTGGGCGGTGGGATTGTTGATGAGCTAGTCCAGCTCGAGGGCTTCTCCTCCAGCCTCATGATTAAATTTTAATAGTTCAATACCTCTTACCTGGTCTGGAGGCCTCTTACCTAGTATTAATATTTACTTCCCCCGGTGCTTGATGCGAACTTTCTTCCGACCTTTGTAAATACATGTATGCACATACTTAAGTGCTAATTACTTACGTACCTAGCCTCGAATCCTTACGTACCTATCGAGTCCCCCGCAAACCGTAACAGGAAATCAAAATATACTCATCAACAGAAAAACTTCCTAATCGGGCAGATTATTTAAAAATGAAAATTCCTAAAACAGATATGGTTGCCCCATAGCAACGGGTAAACACCCAATGAGGGAGTGCTCCGTCTGGCCAACCACAACCTCCATGGCCACATCCTCTGCACAACCAAATACCAGCCAGCTGTTCACGTATTAGCTACATGCACTTACCTTGTAGTAAGTACTCATGTGCGTCCATGCAAACCTCAATCGAAGGATAGCATCGATCGGATCAACTTTACCTCGTCCTAAGCCTGCCTACTAAGCACTTATCTATTATTTTACCATCGATATCGACTTTTCAACTTCCGAAACAATGGGCGAAGACTACGAAATCCTCGAGCTTATAGGTCCCTTTCTCCATCTTTCTCGACGTCCTCGATAGTCTCTGAACTAACCGCATGCTTCGTAGGCCGAGGCTCGTTCGGTCAGATTCATAAGGTCCGGCGTATTCGAGATGGCTTGGTATGTTTTCGATTGAAAGCTCGTTGGGGCCGTATTTCCCGCGTTCATGGCGGCGCTTCTAACCACTTCCACCCTCAGATTCTCGCCCGAAAAGAAATATCGTACAACCGCATGTCAGCTAAAGAAAAGGAGCAGCTAACCGCCGAATTTTCGATCCTGTCGAAGCTCCAGCACCCAAACATTGTTCGGTATTTCAATCGAGAACACAACAAAACTGACCAGTCTCTCTACATATACATGGAATATTGCGGGGGCGGTGACCTTTCGACTCACATCAAGCGATGTAAATCCAACGGCACTCTGGTACCGGAACACGTAGTCTGGAGCATCTTCACCCAGCTTGTTTTGGCGCTCTATAAATGTCATCATGGCTCTGACCCTCCGGCACTTGAGGATATGAACGAAGGTTGGGACAAAAAAAAGAAGGCAGGCTCGACAGTTACTACTTCAATTCCCGCCGCCGGGAGTGCCAAAGCGAGCAGAGAAGTCATTGTCCACCGTGATCTCAAACCGGAAAATGGTGAGCTCATCTGCAAAATGAAATCCGCGGTCTTAGTACTAAAATATGTCTGGTATAGTATTCTTGGACCACGACACTTGTGTCAAGCTAGGCGACTTTGGACTCTCTCGGATACTAGCTTCTGACCAGCATATGGCAACCACTTACGTCGGAACCCCTTATTACATGTCCCCCGAGATTGTCTGCGATTTGCCGTACACATCAAGGAGCGATATCTGGTCACTTGGCTGTGTGATATACGAACTCTGTGCACTTTCTCCCCCCTTCGATGCTAAAAGCCTCCCCTCTCTGTGCCAAAAAATACAAGCAGGGAGGTATTCGCCAATTCCAAGCTCCTATAGTCCGGAGCTGCGGAGAGTAGTTGATCTCTGTTTGAGAACAAACCCATCTGACCGACCTGATACAGCGAAACTACTCGATTTACAGATTATTAGAACCATAAGGAGGGAGCTTGATGCTTTAGAGATTAGCCGCTCGCTAAAAATTCGAGAAGATTCATTGAGACGAAGGGAGAAGGAGCTAGAAGTCGCTGAAAAGAGCATGAACAAAATTCTCGAAGATGCAGCATCGCGAATGAGGGCCGAGATTGACGCAGAATTACGCAAAGTTTGGGATGAAAAAGCAGAGGAAGAGATACGCAGAAGAGTGGATTTGGAAGTTACGCGCCGGTGTGCAGATCATGATACGGATATGAAGCGACAATACCATGAGGCTTTAGAAGCAATGCGGGGCGAATTCCGCTCAGTATTTGAAAAGCAAGTTAAAGAGGAGGTCCAAAAGAGGGTTGCCGATGAGTTGCTTTCCAGCAAAATCAGCGTGCTCGATGTTGCGGAACGAGATGCGCGGAGCGGGAGCATCCACAGCACCCAGCTAGGATCCACAGGAAGCCCTCTAGAGGCGCTAGAGCCGGGCTCTCAGATCGGCTGTTCACGTTCCTTAGGAGACCCACAAGCTACTCACCCTAAGCCGGAGGATGTTTGTCCTGCGTCGCCAATGGACATATCCGCATCACCTGCCCCAGCCCTCGATAGCGCCGCTCATCGGCGAACTCAGCAGCAGTCTCCCACACGCAGGCGTAATACGTCAGGATCGCAATCCGTAACGGGAGGCTCCAACACTGCCTTTCCAGAAACGGAGGATGTATACAGCGACGACGATGAAGAGGATGAACGAGATGAGCCAAGCGCTCTACAGAACCCTCTCAGCCGTCCAATTTTTGTAACGTCCAACACTACGCCGGCGGGTGTGTCCCGACAAGGGCTTTCCCGGGTTTACTCTGCCCCAATAAACCAAAATCCGCAGATGCCAAACCCAGCCAATCCATCTACCCCGCCTAGAGGAAGGAGAACAAGCTCTGGGCATGGGATGCTTAAACCGAATCCTGGGGCCGAGAATAGACAGCTATCGCCAACTAGACGCCTCTTCGCGAGCAACTTTGACGTGGTACCTGAGTCTAAGAAGAACAATATCGGGGCGAAGGCTGCCGCTATGAACAATGCTCGGGGCAAAAGTATAGTAATGCTGCAGAAAGAAAAAAAGGAAAAGGAGAATAGCCACGACCCAGTTGCTGTGTGGGATCCCGAAACGGAACCCGATATGCCAAGCCCCTTTAAAAAGAATAATTTATACTGAGTCAGAGCGCTGATTCATGTGAATCGCTCTGAAGCGATTTGAACGGTAAACAGGAGCTCGGGATAAGCTTGGATTGGCTATCGTTGAACTTTTAGATCAGGCATCTTGATGATAATGAGTCTTCTTTCTTGCGGGGGGTTTTACCACATCTACGGAGGCTTAAATGGAGTTTCACATGGGACATTTATATTTCGCATTTCTGGGGCTGGATAATAATGTATAGCAGGTGGAGTTGGCGGATTATTCTGATTGTTTCATGTTCAATATTGCAGAAGCCCCGGCGGTGGCTTCCCACTCAACTATTATTCTATAGTACATGAGTGCTTGCACTTACACCATGATAAAACCAAAGGTTTCAACTAATTGGCTTTCAACTTAACCTAACATTCTCTCGTAATAATAGAGATATAAAAATATTTATCAGCACAACCCCATGAATATCAGATCACATCTAGAAACGCAGTATCCTTTTGATCAAATTAGGCCCTCCACAATATTGACTTCCTCATGACTTGGGTAAGGATTTAATAAGTTCCTGTAATGCAGACTGCTTTTCACCCAAAACTATCACAGTGTCAGAATTAGCTGGGCTTTGAACACGCACGGTTGAGCTTATATCTCGATGTATAGGATTGCCACTTACCCACACGGCCGTTGTTCCAATCAACTACCTAATAGAAATGGGGAGGTGTTAGAGTGGCGTTTTGATTCTTGAATATCCTGGGATTGTCTCGTCGCTAGCATAGAGAGCACCTACAATAGGTCGTTTTACCGCATCTACACCTTTCGTTCCCTCGAGAATTTTCATAGCATCGTGGATTCCCCTTGCACCCTCGACAATATCCTCAACTTTATTTTCGCCGATATAGTCAAGGATGCTTCTTAGTTGCGTAGTGGTCATCGGCCCTTCGACAACATCTAGCTCGAATATCTGCTTTTTTTCTCCAGCACTGGTGTTTCCATTGGTACTGATATTCGCTGAGGATTCCTCGGCAGCAGTATTAGCCGTCTTCAGAGCAGATAGAACTCGGTTTGACGCCTCCGAACGAGGTGAATGGAAGAGCGTCAGGACGTCAAGGGTTTTATGCTACGGGGCAGTGTGTAAGAGAGATTAGCTATGGCCCATGTGAGTGTACTCCAAAGGGACGGCGATGAAAGGGTTGCTTCAATGAGAATAGTTTTCGATATTATATCGATAGGTGAGTGTCATGCATACGTACAAATTTGAACATTTTAGCACATCCAATTCGGGTATATATATCAATTACTAAGTAGTATGGATTTGAAACTGTGAAAAGCCGAGTTGATGCCTGTATACTTTAGCTGTTAAGTGGGTAGCTGTCAATGTATAGTTATATCTATATATGAATCGGGTGATGCATGCATGCATGCATATGTTATGAGACAGTATGGGACAGAGCTGCGTCCAGAGCCTAGTTTCAAGGTTGCGCTGCATCTGGTGCTAGTTAATTATAATTGGTAGCTCGTCTGTGATGTCAGAAAAACAACATACCACACAATCGATGCAATCACAACGCATTACCTACCGACTTATGTAACATGACCGGCCTCAAATCGTTTTAGCTGATAGCTTTTGTGGGGCGAGGTAAAGTACGAAGTATGCAAGTAGTATATATAGTACCGTATATGCGCCACATATTGGGTGTCATTGGAATGATTAATAGAAATAAGGAATTGAAGGCATGGAAAAAAATAGAAAAAACCAGAAAGGCTACTAAGCTAAGAAAAAAGGTTTCAATAGGTGGGTATTTTACTCCGTGAAAGGAATACGGCATTCAAAAAAGAAAGAAAAAAGAAAAAAAAAGAAGGAGAAGAAGGAGAAGAAGAGGGAGAAGAAGAGGGAGAGGTGGAAGGGGGGGAAGGAAAGGAGAGAAAAAAAAATATCGAATAGGACGAATGGGATTACATGAGGTCTCAACGGCCCAGCAATCGATCAGCTCGCAACTAAAGAATATAAATATTCGGCGGAGATTAACTGCCAAGCAGAAAAACTAGAGTATAAGGTTAAATAAGTGGGGAAACACCTGTCAAAAGTTCAAGTGGCCATTATTAAAAAAAAAAAGCTGAAACAAACCAGGGAAACCGGGGAAGCCATATTAACAATCATGGATCCGTAAGAGACACGGAGTTGGAGCCAACTAGAATCTCAGACAGACTCGGACCCTCTAATGTAGATCCAGTTCCTAATAAAATATTTCCGCGTAGTACCGCAAACAATGCTTGCTCGAGGCGGATGTTCCTCTGTTCCAGCTTTCTCACTCTATCCTCGAGATTTGCGATAGTACCCTGGCTAATTTTTTGTTCTTCTTGCTGTTTTATAACTTCAGAAGACGACCTCGGAGTACTGCTCGGATCTCCGAGGGCCGTTTCACCACTATATTGACTCCCCGGGCCATCTCGTGAGTCGGGTGATACTTCATAAACGACTGTGACCGGCGAAATAGAAAATGTTGTGCTACCCGTCTTCTGTCTCCGAGGTTTGCCCTGACTTCTTTTCGGCTTGGAAGTTGAACAATCGGGGTCATGAGACACATCACGAGGGGCCGCACTCCGTTTGCCTTTCAAATCTTCGAGATCCTTAAGTTTCCTAGCTTTGACAGAAATTTCACGTTCGCTACAGGTCCGAGAAAGTGTCGCAGGACGACGGTTTTTGAGGGAGCCTACGTCACTCGCCAACGACAACTGAGAACCAATAGATGACCTAGTTGCTGCGGCAGCGCGTATCTTAATTGCGAGGTTCACAGCATCGTCGTGTCCCTCTGGTAGTGACGGGAGCCCACGAGTCGGGGGCGGCCCGGGCTGTGTTGAACTTTTTGATATTACTGAGGATGTTTCGGGTTTTACATGGAGCTGCGCGTAGCTTCCCTTCTCGATGTTGGAGGAAATCGGAGGCGATGTAAGCAGATATATATCGTCTTTTCTGATTGGAGAGGAAAATCGAGCCGGCCGAGCCGAAACCGTTACCCCCCGGAGCGTGGAATCTGATGAATATCGCCTTTGGACTGGAGAGCTATCAGGGTATAGTTTTGGAATAGTCGAGAACTTGGAAGTCTGGCAAGGCTTTGAATAGTCAGGTGGGATAGATGTATAGGAGTATGTGGAGCTGGCCCTTTGTTTTGGTACTTTGATCGAGTATGAGGTTTGTGGTTGCGGTGCTGTCAGAGGTGAGACAACGAGACCAGCCTGGGAGGATGATAGATCACTTCCTGAAGAATTTCGCATCCATCTCGTCATAGCTCGGGTATCTGTACTGTTAACCCTGTCATGCCCGGTTCCGAAAGCAGAATCATGATCTTTCCATGCTTGGCTGACAGAACTGTTTCGGTAATTACCTCGATCTGAGGAAAAGTCAGCAGATGTGGCTTTCCTAACACCTTCCCTGCCGCTATATTCGCTTGAACTGGGCGTCCAGGGGGAAGCAATTGCACACTCGGAGTCCCTTCCTGGAGTATAATCTACTTGGATAGCAAGATAAGAATTTCCTTTCGACGTCTTCTCCAGGCGAACCTTCTCTGGAAGCGCAACGGTGGAGGGGATGGGGAGTGAAACAGAATTTTTGCGCTGGGAGAGCAGATCCTTCGATGCAGATTTTAAAAACTTGAAGGACATCTTCCGATGCCCGGAGTCAATGGCGAGATCGTCTGAGGCTTTTGCAGGTCGGGAATAATCTTCGGGGCGGGACGACCTTAAGAACTCGGCGAGGTCATGGGTGGACGATATACGCATGTCTCTTCGATTGACAAGCTCTTGGAGTTCTCTATCTGAGCTGAAAACGCTGGATGGAATAAGAGGACCTTGCTGGTGAGGGTATGCAGGTTGACAACTGGGTGAGGGCAGCGCCATGTCTTGAAGTGGGCCTCGAGATAAGAACGCTCTAGCTTCGTTAATCCTGCCGATTTTGACAGTAGAAAAATGAGACACAAAATGAGTAGATGAGACACTTGTAGAACCGCTCTACAAAAGAAACTCAGGTAGATAAGTAAATATAAATGATGATAATAATGAAATTTCTTTTTAAAAAATGAAAAATAAAAAACGAAAAAAAAGAGAGCGAGAGAGAAATGGGGAAATTTCCGATGAAAGGGTTGACCAAGGAATGGGGGAGGAAAAAGTGAAGGAGGCCTGTGTTTTAAGTAATACGAATTGTTGGATATACTTAGGTAAGTCAGTACCTAGGAGTAGGTAGCTGTCGTATTTGGCAGCAGTACAGTAGTGGTGGTCGCACGGTGGCGGTGTATATCTGCCGTTGCTTCCCCAGAAGTGCTACCACACGATTCGAAGGGACAAACTGGGGAAATAAAGGCTAATTGGCGAACACAGGAGGAGATAAAGTAACAAGCAGGGTCAATTTGGGAGCCAGGGCAAGTTGGTGGATATTCGAGACCTGGTTGGAGAAATTGTATGCAAGCAGCACGGCGATGGTCTGAGAAGCGCGAAGTGAGGGGGTTCGGGGATAGCTTAGGTGGTTGGTTTGAAGCAAGGGCCGGACTGCGCGCTGCGACTGTACTGTCAGCACGGATGAAAAGTTAGGGCCTGTCAAATGCCCCACCTGAATTGCCAGATAAAAGACTTAATTCCGGAAAGTTTAGACCGCCATTTACGAAATAAATGATATCGAAGGTGAATTTTTTTTGGTGTTTGTACAAGTGTACACGTACAGCGATGGGTAATAAGTTCTTAGTATTTTTTATGATGATGTCGGTAGGGAGTCGCTAGTTCTGTGTTGCGTCGTGTTGGAATATTGTCTGGCCGCTTCGCTGATGGTGCATATGCATTGCATAGGTTCGGTACCGGTACATGTACATGTGCATGCGCATGTATGGTAGTAGGAAGTACTGATATATATAGTTGGAACGTTAGCTCAAGTCGGTATGTATTGGTACATAGTATCCCTTCGATACCCCTGGCCTGGCCTGGGGTATGCACATGTATACGTAGAGGAAGTTATCTGTCGACTGTTTCGCACGTATACGAGAGTATGCATGTACATGTACATACGCACATACAGCAGCTCAACCTCCTTCCTTGCCTTGGCCTAGGTGATATGATAATGCAGAGTAGGTACATACCTCTTACCTACTTACTTACTTAAGTAGTAACGTAACGTTGCTAGAGGGGCTCAAAGACAAGATAAGTGGTGAACACATGCACATACTTACTTGATCTGATATGCTTGAAAAACCATGGTGGGAGAACGTTGGAAAGGAGAAGATGGAAGTGATGAGCATGAATGACCCTCTCTTATTAATTAAGTACTTTTTACTTTTTACTTTTTACTTTTTAATCATGACAGTCGCAATTAATATTGACATTGCGGCCCGGTCTCGTTCAAGACTGGCTTTTTTTTTTTTAATTTTTATTTTATTTTTTCCCTTTCCTTTCCTCTCTGTTCATTTGTTAATTGAGCACATGGGAAACGGCACATCCAAAGTGGTTATTGCTCTTTCAGGGATGGCGGCTCCCACGCTCAGACCATGTAGCAAGGGGATGCCCGTCCAGGCACACTTTGCGATTTCAACCCACCCAATCCCGATGTCAGAACAAAGGGTGGTCGAGACCCTGTGGCGGCTTCAAGGATGAGATGAAGTTGCTCAATAGCTTAGAACTGGCTTATTAATACATGGGTGGTCTGGCAGGTTTCATTTGCCAAGAAGGAGGTGCACGGCGTCCACCGATTGAATGTGTTGTCGAATGTGTTGCTACTAATTTCCATCCTGGCACGCGCCACCAACAAACAAAATCTCTTGGAGAAAAACATATTACTACTACCAGCATATTACCTAGCACCTCTATACTACTACTTACTTAAGTAGTATGGAAGTATGTACAGCTGCGCAACCAAAGCACGTCTCCATGCATGCCCTAAGCTAACCATCCCCACTGGTCTCGAAGCTACAACATACCACGCAACTGTATATATCAACATGCATGCTCAGCTACTACCATTCAACTACATCAGTTTAAACCCTGCTTGCTAAAGCAAAACATCCCTCTTCTACAACCATGGAGTCCTCCGATTCTCCCGTGATTACCGCGATCAGGTTCGTGTAAAAACCAATCTACTTTTCCCAGCCTTACGCTTTGGTAACTTAGCTTTGCTGACAACTTCACCCGTCCGTAACCTAGGTACCTTACCGGTCTCAATCCTGGCCTCCATTGGCTTTGTCATCGGTCTTCCAATGCAAACCAAGGTGCCAGCGATCCTTCGAGTTCTACTCTCGATCAACGAATCGAAGCAACGATAGTATGCATGGAACTATTCGTTGAACCAGAAAACAACCCAACCCTAGAGCTTTTCCAGGACAAGATTGCCCGTTTTCTGGATTGCCAGTTTTGCGTAAAGGCATGGCACAATGCAAAAAAAACAGTCAGAAAGAATTATGAAGGGTCTGTCATGCCATAAAATGCGTATTATTATGTATCGATATCTCTGACATTACCTGGAATCATTTGATCTGTAGGGACTACGCTCCGGACGTATTGGACCATTTTGTTCAGGGTATTGATAATTGGGACTACAAGCGAATCCTTACCACTTTGCTGCCTACAGAGACAGCGTTACGGAACCGAAAACCGGGGGAGACAGCAATGGGCTACATTAACAACCGCGTGTATGTCGCTATATATGACTGCATGTTTGTTCCCCAACTACTGGACAAGTACAACGACCTAGCCCAAGCCTTCATCACAACATTCAGCGCAATACAGGAAGGTGGTCGTCATATGGGGATGGCTGAGTCCCTTCCTGCTCTTTGTGCATTCCTTTTCATGCAACCTGTTGTCCTTAAGGACTGGGCGGTGAAATGCCTTCAAAGGATGGCCAAACCAATTGGTCCCCCGGAATACGATAACTGGTTGCAACAAGATTTTAAGAAAGCCCTTAGCATCGCCTCATCCGCTACCACTGAGTGGGGCTTTATGACGAGATTCTGGAGCGGAACTGCTGTTTTGATAGAGGCTTTAGACAAGTCGGTCATTGTTAGCCGGATAGCAGGGAGTGATTGTGACATATTCCGGGCGTTGGTTTCCCACCTACAATGGAATAGCCCTCATCTCCTTCTTCTACTACGTCTGCTGAAGTCACTTCTCACCAAAACCAACACTGATTTCTGGGAGGCGGTGGGCTCCATGCCACCAACGGTAAGCGCCTCCAAACTGTGAGAGGGAGCAGTGTATCAGGATTACTGTCTGATCAGAATCTCGCTATAATAGGTTTTACTCGAATTAATATTCAACAACCCCAAGTTCGACGAGACATTTCTTGGGATATCGATTTCCGACAATGTACTTGACCCATCTCTAGTGGATCTAACTAACTGGGTTAGCCCGTTTGTTAGCTCACTCAACTTGTCAACAAGACCGCAAGCTTGCGCCTCGCTTCTATTCCAATTCCTCCAGCGTCTCCAAGACAATCGCTTTCCCATCGAGGCTAGGCAATCCTGCGTTAGCATAGGGCTCAGCGTGTTGGATAAAACCTTTGAGCTATTCCAAGGACGGGATTTCGGGTTGGACGAAACGCAACATCAAGGAAATCGTATTATCCTCAGAGAAATAATAAGTTTGGCCAACTCCCACCTTCAGGTTCTGTTGAAATCTCTTTCCAAGGTGGGCACAGAAGATAGGATTACTGCGCTTAGCGTATTTCAGTCAATTCTTCGAATGGAGTGCAGAATCTTTCAAGCCGATTTCAAGTCTCTTCTTCGTGACAATACCTTATCGCCTTCGGCTATTGCATATTCCCCTGGAGTCTGGGGAGGGTTATATGACAGTTTTCCAACCGACGATTTCGAATACGCTCGGATGATACTGTGTGCGACATCAGATCTAACAAGTATCGAAAAGTTAGTGACAAAGGGGGACCCGATGAACGAGCCGGCCCGGCTAGAATTTAACAAGAACCTAGGACATATAAAAACCTCTGCGTCCAACTTTCTAAATCGCATAGCAGAATATGACGCCTTAGTTCTAAAGAAATTATTCGCCGATAAAGTGGCATCGACCGCCCTTATCTTTTCTTTATTCGATCCTTATCAGGAAAACTACCTCGCCTCTGCCGACATCCTCAAGCAGGCTTTCGGAACACTAGAAAAGCTTAAGGCGTTGATGGGCCTCCTTATGGAGTATTTTGATCAGACCCTGGTTGCACTCGATCACTCCATTTCCCAATTGCGAGATCTAAGGACCTTTGGGCCGATGCCACGCTTTCTAAAAACCTCCGACAATATCCTAGAAATATTTTGTTGCCCTCGTTCCGGACTCTTAAGTCTTAAAAGGGTAGAACTGAACGATACCCAAAAACTCTTGATTCGTCAATATTGGAATAATCAATGGGCTACTCTTGGCATTATTTTCGACAATGCGATAAAGTGGTCTCAAATATACGAAAAAGAAGTTATGGTGGAGTTTACAAGAGATGTCATGGACTACGCTGGAAAGCTCTTTTCGGAGTTGAGAGTGTTTGAGAAAGCCCTTACGGACACAGGGGAAACCATTACCATTGATCTCGTGGCCTCCCAAGATGACCAAGTCTCGGATGATGGTCGCCAGCTTCTTTCAAAAGTCAGCATGATTCTAAGTCGTGTTGCATCTTGGCTTCGCCTCCGCGACGAGGCGTTACTCAGCATGTGCCAATCATTATTATGTCTAATGCTGAAAAAGTTTCATAACGCTAGTATTCCGCTGGGCGATGACGCTCTTGATATATGCCAGAATATGGCAGTGGGGACGCGGAAAAAGTATATTACCAACATGACAGATCAGCAAAAGCTTGAACTTCGTCTCGCAGTGGGTTTGCATAGACCTATTGATATTGTGGAAACCGAAGAACCTACGCCCTCGATTAAGCTCGAATTAGAGGAAGGGCCCATCGTCGAGCCCCCGCCAAAGCGTCTCAAGTCAGAAGCAGTCAGTTTAGACTCATGGGTCACTAAGTCAAAAGATACATATCCATCTCTAGCGAGCCCCCAAATAACTCAGAAACAAAACTCCAATGCGTTACCTCCCAAGGCGTCGCTTGTGAAAAAAGAAGAGCCCAATTTGAAGCGTTCACAGCGGGCATCCATTTCTACCGGGTCTTCTCTCCTCAAGAGCATCAAGGCCGATGTTCGAAGCGATATCAAGGCAAGAAACATGGTACAACCGCCCTCGACAATCAAATCGATCACGTCCACGGAAGGCGTCAAGCTCAAAACCCTGAATGCACTGATAATACCGCAGGTAGACAAACCGCAGAGGGTGATACAAGAAGAGGACTCTTCTTCTTCTGACGAACAGGAAGACATCGGAAATGATGTTTTCGCCATACCAAAATCCATCAAACCTACCGAGAAGCCAAAGGGGCCACGTAGAACTGGATTCATAGGCGGTTCCACAATATTTACCAGGGGCCCTCTTGGCGATCCTGGCCCGCGACAAGCACAAAGCGCTGCCGATATAAGAGCAAGACTAACTCCGGATCTCACCCCGTTGTTCCGAAGCATCTTAAGCTGGAATTTCTTTCATGCTGGTGACCTACCTCCAAACTCCACAAAGACGGACTACTCCATGGTCACTCAATCCTTTCGTTCTGCAAAAGAATACGAAGAGACTTTTGAACCTCTACTATTGCTAGAATGTTGGCAGCAAATTGTCACAGCTAGGGAGGAGGCACCAAATGCATCTGCTTTTGATATAAAAGTTGTGGCCCGAGGTTCCGCCGATAGCTTTATCGAAATACAGGCGAACGTGCCCACGAACATCCTCGCAACTTCAGATATTGTGCTTGTCAGCCAATCCCAAAGCCCCGCGACGGGTGATCCGAAAATGTCATGTCTGGCGCTCGTCCAATCGGCTAGTAATCGTAGAGGGACGCACGCCGAAATATCGCTCCGTTGCTTGCCGAATTCTGAATTTATTCCAGCTATTCGCCCTCAGGGGAACTTGCGTGGGATCAAAGTATTATCGTTAACGCCAATCGAAAGAGAGTATGCTGCCTTAAAAGCATTGCGATACTACCACCTCTGTGAACAGATTATTAAAGGTCGACCCCACGTGCATATTGAGCCGGAAGATCGACATGTGAGCCGTACAATGAAAGTCTACCATGTCAACAAGCCGCAAGCTAGAGCAATCATTGGAGCCGTCCGCAACGATGGGTTTTCTTTAATACAAGGGTAACCTACGACTCTCGCCCTAACACCATTGTAGCGAATCTAGCTAACAGACAATCCTAATTAGGCCACCGGGCACAGGGAAAACAAAGACCGTTATTGCTGTTATTGGTGCCTTGCTTCCAGATGATAAGGGGGTTACTATATCTATCCCAGGATCGAAACAGCCGTCATCAGGTGTTGTGTCGAAGAAGCTACTCGTCTGTGCGCCAAGTAACGCGGCTGTTGACGAACTTGTCATACGCCTGAAAGAAGGCGTCGTTAAACAATCGGGAGATAAATTTACGCCCGCCGTTGTCCGCCTAGGCCGACTAGACGTCATAAACCAGGCTGTCCATGACGTGGCCCTTGAAACACTGGTCGAGAAGAAAATCAACTTCCAAAAAGAAAAGGAAGACAGCTCAGGTGGAAAATCAAAAGAGAAGCCTAATACGATTGATGAATTGCGTCCCCGAATGGATGTGCTACTTGCTGAGCGGAAGGCGAAATGGGCCGAAAGCGACCAGGCTCGTAGTGAGCAGCGGGAACCACCTCTCAAACTCCGGGAAGAAATTGAGGCTCTAACGAGAAAAATCAAGGATCTTGGCCGTCAGCTAGATGAAATACGTGATCAATCCGCAATGGTGAATCGGAACAACGATATCCGGCGAAGAGAATTTATGCAACAAGTTCTCGACGAGGCACATATTCTTTGCGCCACCCTAAGCGGTGCAGGTCATGACACGCTGAGGAACCTCAACGTAGAGTTCGAAACTGTTATCATCGACGAGGCAGCACAATCCATTGAACTCAGTGCCTTGATACCGATGAAATTTGGCTGCAAGAAATGTATCATGGTTGGCGATCCAAAACAGTTGGTTAGACATATAGTCGATATTTCTACGTGGAAACTTTTTTTTTACTAATATTTTTTATACATAGCCACCCACAGTGCTCTCCCGCGAAGCATCAAAGTTCGCCTACGAGCAAAGTCTTTTCGTCAGGATGCAAAAGAACCACCCTGAGTCAGTTCATTTGCTCAGCATTCAGTATAGAATGCACCCAGCCATCAGCAGTTTCCCTAGCGAGATGTTCTACAATTCACAGTTGGAAGATGGGCCTGATATGACGATGCTACGATCACAGCCCTGGCATCAAAGCTTATTCTTTGGCCCCTACAGGTTTTTCAACGTAGTTGGCCAGGAAGCTATGTCAGGGCATTCAATGAAAAACATACATGAGGTAAATGTCGCTTTGATGATCTACAAACGACTCGTGGCAGATTTCCCAGAGACAAACTTCAGTGGAAAGATCGGGATTATTACACCGTATAAAACCCAGCTACATGCGCTACGCCAGAAGTTCGTGGATACATATAATGATCAGATACTCAGGACGATTGAGTTCAACACAACCGATGCATTCCAGGGACGAGAACGTGAGATCATCATCTTCTCTTGTGTTAGGGCGTCTCAAAAATCCACTATTGGGTTTTTAAGTGACATCCGACGCATGAATGTCGGCTTAACGAGAGCGAGATCTTCCCTCTTTGTTCTCGGGAATGCAAATACTCTTAAAAAGAATGAATTCTGGGCCAGTCTCGTGGAAAATGCTCAAGATCGAGGCTACTATACAGAAGGAAATTTCGAACAGTTGCTTCGGCGCCCTTGCCGAACGACAATGAAACAGATTGAGAAAAGGCTAAGTGGAGTTTCAATCTCACCGGCGGATGCCTCGACTTTTAAGGAGGAGAAACCATCACCTAAGATTGCCATAATGGAACGGGGTCTAGATAATCCCGTTTCTGCGATCGTGAAAGATGAGACGATGGAGTCATCGTCAACAATGGAAAGCAGTGCGAAGGATAAGGTCGCTAGAGCACGGAATGCAGAAAGTCAAGGATCTTTGGCCGTTCCCAAGACCAAAAATAACATGGAAAAATCCAAGAAAAGGCACCGCGAAGACATTTTGCCAGCGGAGAAAACAGCCGTAGCCCCCATTGCTATGGGTGAAGCACTAGACACCGCCGCCCAAGAGACAGGCTCCGATACATTAGATGTAAGTCATAGGATATCTCGCTGTCCACCACGACGGCTAAAAGTCCCTTCATTATGCTTCATATTCCGCCACACCCTGTTACGTTCATTGTCCTTGTTATCCTGGTGCCCATTGGATTTTATTCTGCATGGAAGCTCATAAGGATTGACTTAGATACCGTCAGCCAAAACAAATCCAAACATCAGCCGTCCTCCGCCAAATCCAGCAATGCCTACTGGAGGACAACAGCCACGCCGCCCAATGCCTGGCTCTAGAGGGCCTTTGCCCCTCAAAAAGAAGAAGAATATGGAAGACGCGATGTTTATCAAAAGAAAACCGCCACGGCCCTAATTAAGTAAGTAAGTCTGGTGCCGTAAATTTGGCGGGCCGGTAAGTATATTGCATTGCATAGGTATAATATCATGATATATCATGTATCATGACTCTATCATTCTTAAAAAAACGGCCAACATGGAAAGAGAGATCACGTGCTCAAGTAACATACATAAACTATTTTCGTATTGAGAGTGTGCCAGCTATCGGCAATTCGCCGGTACAAGCAAGGGCTCTGCAACAACTCAAACTCTGAAAGCCACTAAATCGGGCAGTTGCGGGGCCAAAGTCGATGCACCCGAGATTCCATCTGCTCTTGAATGGATGGTGCTGTAAAACTCGGTTCTGGCTAGCCAAATTTCACGAACCGGACATTTTCCTAAGCACGCTGACGCAGTGAGAAGTACCCCGAACTGGACAGGGGGCGCTGCGGCCGAGGATTCGTCTGGCGGGCCACCCTTGCCCCTCACAGCTTCCGCGGCTATCAGCCCGGCCTCGCGTAGCGAAGGCTTAACAATCGATTTCACATGCCGGCCGTTGTCTAATCGTTGGTCACCCAGTTTCAATGTGGATGTGCAGAGATGACGTTGAAGGCGGATAGTTTGCAGTGCAGGTGCAGATGCTGTGCAGATGCAACTCCTAGGCGAGATGATCGATAGCCTTTTGCATCTGAGCTGTCTCGCGACCAGCTACTTCCTCCTGTCCGAGCCATCCATCCTATATATAAGAGCCTCCGTCAATCACCCATCTAGGTCTCCCCCCAGCTTCGTTTCCAGTGCAGTGTCTATTTGAATTGTAGTAACGTTCTGATAACATCCCGTCTTGTTTTATCTCTCAATTCGTCGTTATTCACGCCTTTTTTTTTTTCGAGTGTTCCGTTGCGTACAAAATACATCAATCACAATGCCTCCAGTTGAGACTCTCCTCGAAGGTGTCCAGATCTTTGGACGTGTCGACGACATCCACAAGCCGATCCTTACTAAGGACGCCGTTGCCTTCATTGCCACCCTTCACCGCACTTTCAATGGTCGCCGCAAGGAACTCCTTCAAAGACGCATCTTAAGACAAGCAGAGATTGACCGAGGTGTTCTCCCCGATTTCCTTCCAGAAACAAGGCACGTTCGTGAAGACCCAACATGGCAAGGTGCCCCCCCAGCCCCAGGTCTTGAAGACCGACGGGTTGAAATTACAGGCCCTACCGACCGCAAAATGGTTGTAAACGCCCTGAACTCTAATGTTTGGACCTATATGGCCGATTTTGAAGGTATGGATACTGTACTCCTCTGAATAATCAATGATGAAGCCCCTAGCTCATCAGCATATCACCAGATTCGAATGCCCCATCGTGGGAAAATATGGTCAATGGCCAAGTCAACCTACACGATGCGATTCGGCGTCAGGTCGATTTTAAGCTACAGGGAAAAGATTATAAACTTCGTACAGACCGAAAGCTTCCTACTTTGATTGTCCGGTACGTTGTCTCCCCCTCATCTTCTTCTTTTAAGGCGAGGCGAACATTTCTAACCTGAAATATTTTACGAATAGCCCACGAGGCTGGCATTTGGAAGAAAAACATGTCGTTGTTGACGGTGAACCAGTATCCGGTGGATTGTTCGATTTCGGTCTTTACTTCTTTCACAACGCTCATGAGCTTGTCAAGAGAGGTGCAGGACCTTATTTCTATCTACCAAAAATGGAGTCCCATCTCGAGGCCCGGCTTTGGAACGACGTTTTTAACTTGGCACAGGATACCGTTGGCATGAAGAGGGGGACAATCCGCGCCACGGTGCTCATAGAAACTATCTTGGCTGTTTTTGAGATGGATGAAATAATTTACGAACTACGAAACCATTCGTCTGGCTTGAACTGCGGAAGATGGGATTACATCTTCTCTACAATCAAGAAATTCCGACAGAATCCCAGCTTCGTTCTCCCGGATCGATCATGCGTCACCATGACCGTCCCTTTCATGGACTCTTATGTCAAGCTTTTGATCAAGACTTGCCATCGTCGTGGGGTTCATGCTATGGGCGGCATGGCCGCGCAAATCCCAATCAAAGACGACCCGAAGGCCAACGACATAGCGATGGATAGCGTAAGAGCAGATAAGCTTAGAGAAGTCCGGGCGGGGCATGAGTATGTATAATTCTTCGGGATTTTTATTAAACGTAGCATTAATCGACTAACGAAACACTCCAGCGGCACATGGGTGGCGCACCCAGCTCTTGCCAGCATTGCTACGGAAGTCTTCCACAAATTCATGCCGACTCCAAACCAAATGTTTGTCCGACGTGAAGATGTCGTGATCACGCGGAATGACCTCCTCAACATGAATGTTCCCGGAAAAATTACTGAAGAGGGAATCAAGAAGAATATTGCCATCGGCCTAGGTTACATGGAAGGTTGGTTAAGGAACGTTGGCTGTGTCCCCATCAACTATCTCATGGAAGATGCAGCAACTGCAGAAGTGTCTAGGAGCCAGTTGTGGCAGTGGGCTAGGCATGGGGTGACGACGGCTGAAGGCAAGAAGGTTACAAAGGAGTATAATCTGGCTTTGATGAAGCAAGTTCTGCAAGAACTGTTAGCCAAAGCACCTAAGAGTAATAAGTTCGAGGTTGCTGCACGATACTTTGGCACCCAAATCACTGGGGAAGATTATGCCGATTTCCTTACATCGTAAGTCCTCCGTTACTAAGCCTGCCTCCCTTTTGAGCGTTTTCCCTTTTCGATGCTAACATTAGCCAAAGGTTGCTGTATAACGAGATAGTGTCAATTGGAGGCGTTGCATCAAAGTTGTGATTTCCAACACTCCCGGGCCATCTTATTGTTAGGTCAGGGCTTCAGCCTTGTTTCCGGTTTATTTATATACTTCCTTTTTAATTTTTCCCTCTATATTCCCTATTCTTCATGTTTTCTCTTTTCTTTCTTTCTTTTGTTCTATTTGGGGGCGGATTGTATATGACTAAGAATATGTATATATAAGGAGCTAAGATATGAAAAAGCCTCTTTTCCTGCCTCGGATGTTACATACAATTTCGGGAGCCGACTAGTAGGAACCGGTTATTCCCAGCAACCTTCAAAATAGAACTACGCAAATAAGTACCTTGATAGATGGATAACATTCAGAATGATGCTGCGGGATTAGTATATCATCCCGGGCCCACGCACACAAGCTCTGGGACCCTCTGCACCAATGATAGTGGTGATATATAGTCATGAGTTTGATTACCGAGCATTCTTAATTCGCCAGAATAGCGAATTTCAAAGACCCTCAAAGCCCGGTTGACGGAATCTGCCCTTCCAGCTGTTCTGATAGCATGCTCGCCCTCCTCGCTGCCTCTTCTCGCTGCCTTTGAAGTTCTGCTCGAACGGCTTCCTTCCGCCGTCTCTTCGCATCCTCCTCTTGCAGAACCCAGATAGGCTTGTCACTTTTCGAGTATTCCTTTAGCTGGTCGAAGAACTCTTGCATTTCACGTTGACGGCGAGGTCGCTCCTCTAGGACTTTCTTCTGGAGCTCGGGGCTGTATCTCTGGTAGTCAAAATAACATGCGGATGAGCATCGCAGTTCCAAAAAGTTACCAACTAACCAACCAACCAACCAGTCAATCAATGAATCATGAATGCGTGCATACATTAAAAAGCTCTTCTTCGGAGGGCATGACGTAGAGGACCAGCGCTGGACCGCCAATGATCATGACGGCCGATCTAATTGCCATTAGTTGCGGCAGCTAGGATTGGAATTAACATTCCAGGACAAAAGAAGAGACGTACGCAGCGGCCATCTTGGCATAAGTCCACGCTCGCGGCGATGGCATGTTGTAGACTTGAGTAGTTAGAATAGGAATTGAGGCGTAGAGGTTAGGTATTTGGAAGAAGTTTTGTGGTAAGAACGGCGGAAGGTGAAACCCGTCTAGTCTCGTCAGCCGCCGGGGGGGCCCCGGCCGTATAATTCACAACCTGTCCTCGACACAACCACCAAAAACTACAACCATCGCCATCGCCATCGTCGTCGCCGTCGCCGTCGCCGTCACTGTTGTCTTCGCTCCAACCGTTATCATGAATGACGGCTACCATGGCTATCCTCCTCATGCCCGGCCTCATGACCCATATGTCGACGACCTAAATGCTAACTTTGACAACCTCTCTCTTCCTGCTTCAGGTACCATACCAACCGCCGGTTCACATCCCATATTAATGACGCGCAGTACACAGTGCACTAATCTTTCTATGTAGCACCCCTGAGGAACACAAGCCCAAATACGTATCCGCGACCCGGTCCGCCCGGCCAGTATGCGAATCAAGGTCCCCAACCAGGTCCCCCGCTGAGGAACTATGGTGATGCGCCAAGACGACCCCCGCCAGGTGCGGGCGCTGATGGCTGGAACGGGCGCCAACCCCCACAATCTATGCAACGACGTCCAGGTCCGCCGGCAGGACCACCTCCAAACAATTACGGGCGGGCACCCCATAATACCCCCTACAGGAACCCGGCGGGTCGTGGGCAATACCCAGCTCCGCCTCCCGCCCAGTTTCAACACCAAAGCCATGGCCAGGGCCCGGGTCCCGTGCCCACCCAATTCCATCGACCTCGTCCACCTCCGCCGGGGATGAGTGAATATAGTAACCAAGGAGGGGGTGGTGGTATCAGTGGCGGCATGTGGGCTGGTCAGCAAGCCGGTCGCCAGCCCGCATCAGGATACGATAGACAAGCTGATGCTCCTCTTAATAGTTTTAGCAGAAGTAAGACAATGCCCTTCCGTGGTCATCCACAACGTGAAAACCAAGAATTTTCACAGGGACCTGGAGACTCGGGATATTATGGAGGAACCAACTATGAAGGATCGTACGATATAGCTACCAATCCGCCATATAATAATTTTCACGGCTATACTCAATCCGAAGACCCCAATAGTCGAGGATTGGATCCAACAAGGGGCAGCGTCGGTGATGTCCTCGATTTGTACACATACGATGACTCCTACGGCACAAATGGCTACCACGATGCGCGGTCTAACAGCCTTCAACAGGGAATGCATCGTAATGAGAATGGCCATGATGTAGACCCGCGGTACATTTACGACCCACACCAGCTACCAGTGCCCGAAAATTCGCAAGCCTACCGCTCAAAATCACAACCAAACCTTCGTGGTGACGGACTTCTTGCCAGATCCTATACTGCACCCTTCCCACCGCCACTTCCACCCCAGCAGCATCATTGGAACGAGCAAGGCAATAGCAATCCCGGGGCCCATAATAACTCTGCCAACTATGGTAACCGCCCTCCGTTTAGAATTAATGAAGCTAGTAACCAGCCAACTCCCAATTTTGAAAATGGCAATGTATCGTCGTCGCGCCCGCCCCCCCAGCGGGTTTATCCAAACCAAACCATCATAGGTAACACAGGTCCAACTCGAACGCCAGTAGGAACACTCGAACCTTCGAGGATGGTACCTTCGGATGACCCCGATGCCTTGCCCGAGCACCCAGCACCGATTCGCCCAGGTCTTTCAGGTGATAACGCTTCAATAAGATCTGGGATCAGCCAGAATGGTTCCACAATTACTCAGAATAATCCCTCCGCCATGGACGGCAAGATGAGTATCCACGACCTCGGCCCTGTAACTTTTGATATGCTCAACTTGATGAGAAACGAGATTGCTAGTAGGCCAGTAAATCAACCTGTTAATGCCAGCCTGCAGTTCCGATTTGCGCGAAGGCTCGTTGAGGCGTCCTTCTCACTGGTAAATGATACAGATCCTAAGGCCGCTCGGCGGAGCCGGGAAAACTTTACACTTGAAGCACATAAAATAATTAAGAAACTTTCATCTGGGGTATGTTAAATTAACCCGCTATGTTGACCAACCCACTAAATTTCACCCATCCCAGACGCACCCTTACCCAGAAGCAATGTTTTACTTGGCCAACTGTTACGGCGATGGAACACTTGGATTAGAAGTGGACCATGACCGAGCCTTTTCTTTATACCAATCAGCGGCTAAACTCAACCATCCACCATCGGCATATCGAACTGCGGGTAAGCTTTTGCCAAAAACCAACAGGAGGACAATGATAAACGTCCGATTATGCATTTCTAACGGAGTTACATCGCGCATAGTCTGTTGCGAAATTGGCGCAGGAACGAAGAAGGAACCCCAGAAGGCATTCCAATGGTATCGCAAAGCTGCCACATTTGGCGACACAGCTGCTATGTACAAAGTGGGCATGATTCAGCATAAGGGCCTGCTCGGCCAGCCACGGAATGACCGTGAGGCTATAGTTTGGCTTAAACGGGCAGCGGAGCAAGCCGACGAGGGCAATCCTCATGCCTTGCATCAACTCGGTATTTTGTATGAGTCGGCGGATGGAAATGGAAGTATCGTAAGAGATGCAGCATATGCGAAGGAACTTTTTACAAAAGCAGCAGAACTTGGATACCCACCATCGCAATATTTATTAGGCACTGCATACGCATACGGGACTCTAGGCTGCCCAATCGACGCCAAACTGTCAATTACGTGGTACAGCCGGGCTGCATCCAATGGCGATGCGGAATCGGAGCTAGCTCTGGCTGGCTGGTACCTCACTGGTGCCGCGGGGATTCTAGAACAAAACGATACAGAAGCATACCTTTGGTCACGTAAAGCGGCGGAGCAGGGGTTAGCCAAGGCGGAATATGCAGTCGGGCATTTGACCGAACTAGGGATTGGACTAGACGGGAAAGGGAGCGATGAAGAAGCTAGGAACTGGTACTTTAGGGCCGCAGGTACGTGAGCTGGAAAAATTAACCGGAGAATAGCAATGATGGTGAAGATGATGATATACTGTAGCGACTCCGCTAACAACCATTGTAGGTCAGGGCCATACCAAAGCGAAGGAAAGATTGGAGGAAATGCGGAGAGGGGCCCCTAAGAAGACCCGCGAAAGGCTTTCCCGGAATAATAAAGCGAAGGACGACGCGGATTGTGTGGTAATGTAGGAGTGTAGCGGGCCAGCTAGCCGGCTAGCTGCAAATTCGATGGACTAGATATTTAGAAAACAGTTGACCAAATCTTCTTCACCAAGGTCGGGGTTTTACTTCTTAATTGTATTATTAGTTTTCGTTTTGATCTAAATTTTAAATTCCCGATGGGTGTGTGGGGTTCTTCAAAGGCGGGGGGTGGGAAGGAGGTGGGAAGCTCAGCTTAATGGGAAGCGACCTTTTAGTGGCTGGTCACATGCATGTCGCCCGAGAAAATCGGAATTGAACCCAACTAAGCATGACAAATGATTGGAAATCGTTCGTCTTAAAACTTCCGCTCGGCCTGTTGGCTGTACTTATATCGGCCGCAATATATACCGATGTTGACTCAATTGTGTCTGCCATGTGCATGTACGCAAGTACTTAGGGAGTATTGGGACACCAGAGATATCAAAAGTATTTATATGCATCACGAAGATCACGACACACATGGAAAAAATCTGTCGCTTCTCACGATTCAAATTCCCCACCAGTATCACAAGGATGAGCTCATCAAACCCTCCCAGTTTGCCCATATACTTTCTCTCCCATGGGGGTAAGTATTGAATTATTGAAGGATAACCCCACATATCCTGTCCCAATTTTTCTATGAAACCCACAAAGCTAACCAAATCTTTCGATGGCATTAGGACCTCCAATTCTCGATTGGAAACACCACCCAGCCTATTCAGCTTTTCAAAGGTTTGGGAAAGAAGTCGTCAATTTGAAGCCCAAGGGAATAATTGTGATATCAGCTCACTTCGCTGGAAATCGCGACGAGATTTTCATTAATGCAGCCGAGTTCACTGACTTGGTATATGATTTTTACGGTACCCATTCCCTCCTATGTCACAGAATTGATTGCCCTCGTGCATCATCTAACCTTAGAGGACAGGGTTCCCAAAACATTACTACCAGAAGAAGTTTCCTCACAAGGGAAGCCCGGAGTTAGCAACTGAGATCTCCGAGATTTTAGCATCCGAAAACATCAAGTCTCGGCTTGTCAAGCGCGGCCTAGATCATGGGGTCTGGATCCCGTTCAGTATCGCGTTTGACTCCAATAACCCGTTAGAGGTACCGATCGTTCAGGTTTCCATCTACTCCAATGAGAATCCGGACAAACACATTGCTCTTGGAAAGGCTCTTGCGTCATTGAGGCAGTCCTATGTGATTGTGAATTCAGGCCAAGCCGTACACAACCTACGGGACTTCAGTTTCGACGAAACCGCCGTTTTACCATATGTCAAGCCATTCGACAAAGCGCTCGAGGCGGCTATGACAGAGAACGTCGGCGAAGAGCGAGAGGAGGCGATGCTAAGACTTCTGAAAAGGTCAGACGCTCGAGCAGCTCACCCAACATTTGACCACATACTGCCCATTTACGTCGCAATAGGGGCAGGAAGCAATTCCCGGGGTAAACAAATATTCAACCACCGCGAAGGGAGCCTGGGCTGGGCACAATACCGTTTGGATAAGATGTAATTCGTTCTGCGCTGCTCGGGAGCTGATTCAGTTGGAACTTTTGCCTTTCTTTCTCGAATCCGGGTTGTATTCTAGACTGCATCGTATTTTCGCTTTGAACCCAATATAACTGTAGTTGATTTTGATTTTAATATATTTTGTTGGCCCACGATATTTGGGTCGTGTAAATTATGATACAAAAGTTTCCAATTGGGGTATAGAATGTTGCTGTTGTTATTGTTGATGGAATCTGGTTCTTTTTATGTCTGTGTCTGCTGAACTAATGCTGATACCTTGGCTTCAATCTCAGCTTCAGAAAGGTCTATGCGTAATACGTCAGTCTAGGCTCCGTGTAACCGGCATGAGAAAAGCTTCATTTTTTTCCCTCTCTTACCGGATAGTGCAACTTGTGTCTCCTTTCCCAATTCTAAAGAAGAGTTTAGCGAATTCAGCCGTCCTTTCATCAAATTTCGGGAGGATAGAAAGTGTAAAGAACTGACCGTATCGTGCAAACACCCGAGGGGGGACACCCTGTGCCTCACGTATCAGGATGGGGATCTCCGGATTGGTTTTCTTCATTACTGGGTATGATTGCGATATAAATGACCTGTTGTTATTAATTATCGTTTAGAAAACGGCACAGAAGTTAGCTTCTTTAACAGCGAGTTGAATCCGGGGGAAGGGATATGGAAGTTCGTACCGTAGGGAATTGCTCGCTGCACCGGACTGACATAGGTGGAACCGAAGCTCTTTAAGCTGCTTTGAGAATGCAAACCTTGCCGCCATTGTATTTATCGGTGGGTATTATTGTTGGCCCGGCGTATCGATAGAGGTTAAGAAATGGATTGTTACTATTATTATTTGTACTTGGCGGAGTTAGGTTGAAAATGAGGTTGAAGATGAAGATGAAGATGATGTTGAGGTTGATGTTGAGGTTGAATTCGGGTTCGGGATGAGGTCCACGTTTGGTGGAGAATGCCCAGCCGACTTTCGGCCCGTCCAAAACCAAACATGGCTCATAAAGACTGATCCAAGACATGAACACCGTCACATCAACCCAACCCAGTTAACCAACAGCTGCTCTCGACAACCTCCGGACTGAAACTTGAGGGTATCCTCGACTTCCACTACAACAATCATGGCGGCTGCTACGTTCTCAAGATTATGGAATAGCGAGGTCGGGCTCAAGACGGTGCATTTCTGGGTATGTGCTATCACACATCATGCATCACGCATCATAATCAGGCGGTCGAAATATCATACTGATGGCAGATTCTTCTCAGGCGCCAGTTATGAAATGGGGCCTTGTCATCGCCGGCATCTCTGACTTTTATCGACCACCCGAAAAGCTTTCGCTCACTCAGAACGTTGCGCTGACAGCCACTGGAAGCATTTGGACCCGTTGGTGCCTGATTATCAAGCCCAAAAACTATTTGTAACATGACTCTGCCTTTCCTCTCCTTCATTTGGCGCATATTATCGCTAATTGCAACTACAGACTCGCGGCCGTAAACTTTTTCCTTGCAGGCGTTGGAACTGTTCAGGTCAGCAGAATATTACTGTATGCCCACTCTTTCCCAGCTTGTCCTACTGAACTCGGGCAAGTTCCCACCCCCCAGTAGTGTATTGCATTCTAACACCCACTTTCTTATCACAGGTATGAACAAGAACAGAAGAAACTTAAACAGGAACACCCAATTTTATCAGAGCTCCAGTCTAAAGCTTCGTGATGGGCGAGCAAGGACTTAAGACGAGGTTTCTGGCTAGTATGATATCCTTATGAACTAGAGAAGCCGCGCAAAGCCGGAAGGCTGTTGAGCCCCGGCAGCGTTGAGAAAACTGGCTTCCGCCTTCATCCAGCCCTATCCGCTCATATACTGTTTGCTTTATTTTTCACCTTTTACAGCAGTGTTTTATTATATGGCCTGTGCGTGTTCTTCGTGTACATTACACTAATTCCATATACTGTTATGCTACATTCTTCGGAACTGTCCTTCCCCCGGCGTTATAACAATTTTTTTATAACGTCATGGTCAAAGTCATGATTTAAGGGCGGGGCCGACGTGAGTGAAGTGTGGAGGGTGTGGGTGTGAGTAAAGTGTAAGTATAGGTGTGTCTGTCGGCGGAAACCGTTAAAAGATGGGGTTCGACTTTTTTGAGGAGAAGATATGATTCCTGTCCCCTGCAGGCCCGTGATACGCAGGTATGTACTTAAATAAGAAGTATGGGACCATTTAAACACGATGGTGGAAAAAAAAAGGAGGGGGAGCATGGATGTAATTGGATAAGGCTCAGCTGGAATCAAAAGGACCGAGGACACCGTCTCTTTACTCGGCCTTAGCCTCAAAGCTCTCTCCGGCAACAAGATCTGGAATATCGTCATCATCATCGTCTTCCTTCTTGTCGTCACCACCTTCCTTCTTCTGTAGCGACTGGTAGCTTTCAGCCAATTTCCGTAGCGAGGCCAGCGAATCGGGTCCGAGTTGATTCAAGATCCCTGGGACAAGTTCAGTAAGTTCTTTGTCCTCACCGTTTCCGTATATAGCAAATGTATTTGCGGGAACGGAAGCGTGAACTAAGAAAAAGAAGAGAAGGAAAAATCCCGAGTTAGCTGACGGATGCCGTGAAAAGACCAAGACGGAAATGGGATATGGGAATTATGCTGAGGTACCTTTAGGGGCAGAGAAGTGGATGACATTGCCATCCTCTTTAAACATGTTGACCTCTTCAATCGCCTGGATGGGCTGGACGTTCAACTTTTTCAAGGAGGACTGTAGCTTTTTGTCATCGGTGCCGGAGCTCTTATGGACCTTCTTGACTTTTCGTCGCGGTGTACCCTTTCCTCTGTGGTGACGCCATTGTATATTAGTGATTCTAGTCAGGGAAAGAAGGGACTATATAGTATTAGGCGAAGCGTAGGAGCACATTGGAATGAACAAACCCTATGAGTAGAAGGTTAGAAAATAGTCAGAATATGTGAGATCTTTCTCTCCTTCTTTTTTTTTTTTTTTTTTTTTTTTTTTTGGGGGGGGGTGATGGGAAAAGACTAACCTATTCTGACAGAAGCTTGCAGCTTGGCCAACTTTGCGGGATCCATTTTGACAAGAGGAAATTTGCGGGTGATGCGTCGAGGATTTGATAGCGACAGCAAGCGGTGGTGGTGATGATGATGTTGACGGTGGTGGCGGGGATGGTGGTTGTGGTGGTTGTGGTGGTTGTGGTGATAGTGGGTAGTGGTTGTGGTGGGCTGTTGGATTTAAGAGGAAGAAAGACTTACCCGAGGAGAAAATTAGCACGAAGAGCTAGACGACGACAGCGGCGACGACAAGATCCAAACAAAGAAGTAAAGTAAGTAAGCAAGTAATTAAGTAAGTACTTAGTCGAATAAGATAGATAAGAATAATTACTATATAAGAATCAAATAGATCAAACGCTCGAGACTACTATGTATCACTTACTTGAGTGTATATACTTATGTACTTACTTGAGTGTATATATATACATATACATGTGCACTTTAGGACTTCCTATTTTCGTATCTACGTATTTGCTTCCTTTGGGTACCTACCTACCTAATATTAATATACTGAAGTACTCGAGAATTTACGAGCCCGGACAGATGATAGAAAATATAAATATACATCGTCTCTGGATATCTCTCGATTTGGATTTGTGCGTGGCTTCTCCCACACACAAAAAATCCTTTGTCTATACACATGCAGAGAAAGGAACCTGCGGGCTATCAGGTCAGTACTTCTTACTCCTACCTACCCAGATACTACTTAAGTCAATACCATGTATGTAAGTAAATATTTATTCAAATATCAATTCAGAATCGCCATGCAATGCATCTCCCTCCAGCTTCTGGCTTCCCTGCCTGTGTTGAATGGCGGGGTTTGCCAGGTCTTAAGACCTACATCCACCAGCCACACCAAACTAGGCGAGTGGTTGTGGCGCAGTCCACGTGAATATCTTTGATATAGTATTAGCCCGAAGTAGGAGTACTGACTTCGTCAGCTATAGCTATAGCTATTAAAGCCTTTGGTCCAAAAAACAACCATGCACACGCTGAATTACTTGATACAATTACATCGCTCCACCCTTTGTCCTCTCCGAGACCTTCTTCTCTTCTACAATGCACATGTGTATAAAACTCCCATGCACAATGGGGGAGGGGAGGGGGTTTCGTTCTTTTTTTAATTTATACATCCCTCTCCTCCTCCCTCAATCCCACCCATTGTCGTCATCTTCGTCATCTAAAATAATAATAAATTAGTTCGAATTCCCAACAACTCGTCACCAATCGTTAAGATAATGGGCGAAAGGGTAAGGAAGAAAAGGGCTTACCACTATCTCTACTAATCTTCTTCTTCCTATTATCCAAAGCTCTCTGTAGCGCATTTCCAAGTCCTGCAGGCCCCCCATCTCCACCAGCGCCGCCAGCGCTGCTAGCCTTTTCCAAGTTCCCACCTGCGTGAGGCAATGGCCGTGACTTGTCGCTGGTAGATGCCTTTTTCAATCCCCCGATGCCCCCTGCACCACGAATCGACGCAAGTAGATCGCCAGGCTGCCCTGAAGCAGTCGCTAGACCCTGCGACGGAGGACCACTGGGGGGGGCTCCCGGCGGCGGCGGCGGCGGAGGTGGTGCTCCTCCAAAACCTGGAGGGGGTAGTGGAGGCGGCGGAGGTGGTGCTGCTGTTCCAAAACCTGGCGGCGGCGGCGGCGGCGGCGGCGGTGGCGCATTTTGATTGAACCCTGGCACGTGAGGTGGAAGCGATGGTACGTTACTAGGCGGCGCCCTAGGTGGAGGCGGAGGTGCCATTGGTGGCGGCGCGGAATTGTTTGGTGGGGGAGGCCGAGGAGGTGGCGCTAACGGGGATGAGGCAACTGGAGGGGCACGGTACGGAACAGGAGGGGGGCCCACCGATCCCCGAGGAGGAGGCGGTGGTGGGGCCTGGCCTCGGGGTGGTGGGGGGGCTGGGACCGATCGTGTTGTCGTCGCTGTTCCTGCCTTCGGAAAGGGTGGTGGGACTGCAAAAATCTGACCCCGGTCATGTTGATCCCCGTGCGGTATTTTAGGCGGTAGAGGGGGGGGTGCTGCTACAGGAGCTTGGGGTGGTTTTGGAGGGTCCCGTTCTGCGTAAACTCCAGCGTTTTGTAGAGGGGGTGGAACTTTGAAGTGGAACTGGGGTGGTTGTGGTGATGGGGGAGATGGTGCCTTGGATGGGTAAGATGGGGAGGAAGGTTCCGCTTGAGCTTCCGTAGAGTTAGGACCAGGTCGACGAGGGGTCGGAGGTGGGGGTGGTGGATTCCGACGAGATGGAAGATTTATAGAAGGAGGTTCTGCAGGTGGAGGTGGAGGCCTCAATGGAACGATGGCTACGGGGGGTGGAGCTGCCGGCGGAGGCGGGGGTGGAGGCGGAGGCGGGGCTGTTGATTGTACCCTATCTGCCTCAAAACTACTCGAAGTATCGGGAAGGTCTTGCTTAGAAAGCGAAGCCTTGTTTTGTTCCACGTACTCTCTGATGAAATCAGAATTATTCCGAATCATCTCATCGGTTATACCTAATTCATATAGTTCCGCCAGGAGGGGCTTCCAAGAAGGATCTATATCATCTACGACGGTAGACGGTGACTCGGGTGGTTTCCCCCACTGGATAGCTGGGTTTTGCTGCACAGCAGTATGGGGATGGTTCCCGTCCCTGCCCTTGGGCCTTTGGGAAGAGGCTTGAGAGTGGTGCGAACGAGCGCCCGGAGGCAGAGGGGGGGCAATTTTCAAGACCCGCTTCCTAAACGCCTCGGCTTCTTTTTCGTCGGTGAAAGAGAAACCAGCAGAGCATTCCTCGATTTCGAACGAGTGGAAAAAAGTTCGGTCTTGGTTGTATTGGAGGCCATCGTATAATTCTTGGTCCCACAAAACACCTCGGTTCGCAGGCTACAGTATTAACATACGTTAGAGTTAGTTCATATAATAGTATTAATGGAGTAGTAATTTGCATCTGACTAGAGCCTCATACCGAGATATCAACGATTTTAAAGAAATGTGTTCTGCCAACCTTATCGTTGGCAAGCACAAGACAACCCGAGATACCAGTGTAGTTCCACCGATTCCTATCCGGGTAGTTAACATAGAGGCGAGCTACTCCATCGCCTAGAATTTCATTCGTTGCAGAGGGTACAACCCGTTTAACCTGCTCTCTGTCATTCTTATTCAGGGTAGAGGGTGCCATATCTGATGGCTGGAGCGGCTGGCGTTAACCCTCGACTGAGCAGCTACCGGCGGCCAGGCAAAGATCGCAGCCGAATTTCCGAGCTTTTTCGGGGGCTCCGCCGTAGATATTCAGGTGGTTCCGTAGAACAGAGAAGGGAGTGATGATAAACGAAATTTGAACTGTGTCTGCGTCGTAGTGGAACTCCAGTGCAGCTAACGGATGGCTGAGCGGCAGCTTGCGCTTTGGGGATCAAGATCCGACTTTGCTGTAATCTTGGGGAAAAGCAGAACGGGAAGCTGAAATAAGGATAAGGTTCGATGATGCTATTTCAATCTGGACTTGTGTGTCCTTTGTAATTATGCATAAGGAGGCACTTGGCGATGTGGTGATGGTGATGGGTGATGGTGATGGTGGTGATGTAGATGCTATTGCTGAGCGTGTGGTGTACTTAACATGTACAAGGTACATACGCATACGCAAACCAACAGCTGCACCGCCATTGCCAAGATCGAGTATGCACCGCCACAGACGCCACCAATATTCATCCATTGCCGGACTGACTTATACTTATAGCGCTAGCTACTTACCTATTACTTACTTACTTAAGTACTTACCTAAGTAAGTACCTAGGTACATTAGGTACTATGTAGTTAACCATTTAAATTTATAGCTTGCCGGCATAGTAGGGTATATTATATACTTATAAACTTACCTACTACTATTAATAGGTAAGAAGTAAGTATATATATAAATACTTACTTAGCTAAGTACTAACCTATACGCAGTTGAGGAGTCTGGCGACGACAAAACCTATATAGACACAAGAATAACCCTCAATATGATATTGTATTGGCGTATATACCTACTAACCAACATAATCAACAACAAAAGAAATCTACAATTCACTCTTCGAACTACCCGCAGGTCCCTTCTCAGGCGCAAGCCGGCTTGCGATCCACCTTTCAAGCGTATTGATCTCTTCCGGATCAACTGAGTGACCCAATCCATCGTATTCATGCCAAGTGACCTCGCATTTCTGCTTCAACAAGAGATCTCGGCTCATAATTCCCCATGCATGCTTAACCACTGGGTCCTCCTTCCCATGTCCCATGAAGATAGGTGTCTTGCGATTCGCATCCGTAATCATCAACGAGACTTGGTCCCGCATTGGCAAATAACTCGAGAGGGCGACAATACCTATATTGGTTCAATTGTGATACCCCATGTGAGCATATCCGTCCGCCTCTCGCCCCCGCATACCTATATGCATACATTTATGCTAGGGCTATTTGAGACACTTACCACCGAGTGACATTTCCGAGGTGAGACCTGTCAGCAGGCTCATAACCCCACCCTACAGGTAATTTTGACTATATATTAGTTTTCTCCGTTCTCGAATAGCTTTCCGTCGTGTTTCCAAAATGATACCTGCGAAAACCCGCCGAGAATAATCCTTTTCGAGGATATCCCCAGTTCAACCTGCTCCGTGATGATCCCCTGCAAAATACGAGTGCTAGATTTGAGCTGTTCCGATCAGGGGACTTTGGTCAGCTCGGCACTGTGTCGTTGTTGTTGCAGAAGAAATATATTCCTACCCCATTCTCGTCTTCTTTGGCCGTAAGGTTTCCAAAGTCTACAATATCATACCTGGAGTATCGATTCATCAGCAAAGGTTCTCCTCGGGCACCGATAATGGATTCGTGGCGTATTTGCCAGTCTCACCATCCGGGCATCCTCATACCACCATTGCAAGTGATGGGGATTGTAGGCGCATGTGGGAATATGAACGCTGGTACAAGTTTCATGGTCAATATCTCTCCTTTCTAGGCCGGGTACACTAGGCCTGCACGACGCCCCCGGTCCTCTCACCTGTCCGTGGGAATAGTTTTCGGCCTTGCCAGGTCTCCGCTAGAAACGACCACCTGTACTAAAATTAGTATATTTATACGGATAAAGGTTGCGGGATAATTGATAAACATTTAGCTTACCCAGCACCAGTATCACCTAACCCGTGGCTAAAGATAATCGTGGAATCCCAAAGCTTGCTTTCTATAGCTGGAACCACGATTGCTCGCGCTGTAGACACCACCATCTTTATATTCGCGTCTGCCTCTGATATATATATGAGGTGCAGTGTAGTGATAATGATTCGATTCAAAGCCCGCTAAGCTAAGTTTAAGCTGCATCGTAAGAGGTAAGTACTTATAATACATGTAAGTACTACTTGTGCACCTTGGCGCAACAACGAAGATGCAACAAAACCAACAAGCTGCCAACATTAACAACGATATCGATTTTCTACGCTCAGTGCGCGCATGTATTAGAATTTCTAACGAGCCTACAGCTATTAACTAGGCTTGGAAATTAGCGCCTAACGACTATATCTTAATTGCCGTATTCATGGAAAGGAAACCTAGTGCCGCCCGGCCGCTCAAAATGTCCCTTCCTCTTGTGAGTCAAACCGGGGTCCTAGGCCTGAATCGCAATTAGTATTCATTCACGCGTCGCTTGACCTTGCTAACTCCTCCTGGCATTGCTATAGACTTATCAACAGGAGGTTTTCCGCGAGGCTTACCATGATGATACACTTGTTGTCATGGCTCGAGGCCTTGGGTTGTGTGACATCGTCGCAAATATCCTACACTCGTACGATGCAACAGGAAGGAGTCTTGTTCTTCTCGTCGGCGCTTCGGAATTGGAAAACACGCGATTCGGCGAACGTATGTTGCACAAATTGCGATGGCCCAAGTTCAAGAACGTCCTGCCGCTAACTTCTTTATTTGGATTGGCCTTTCCCAGAGCTCGCAGAGAAAGCTGCAGTCTCTCGCACTCCAAACGCCCGCGGGCTACTTGTCATAAATACCAACGTTTCAAGCGTCGCTTCAAGGTATTTGAACATAATCCAAGACAGCTACCTCTCTAACGGAATATTTAATGGAAGTTACTCTTGAAGGGAAAAGATGTACGTTAGAGGAGGTGTGTTTACAATCACATCTCGCATCCTGGTTGTGGATCTACTTGCTGGTACTCGACATCAAAATCCCTTGAACCATAGTACAATAGACTTGCTGAATGGGTATATATAGGCCTCTTGGACCCTTCAAAAATAGCAGGTCTGGTCGTGCTTCATGCCGAAAGGTAACAAAGCTTAAGAAATTGTCTACTTACGGTACCCCTTCAACCGGACTGAAACCTGCTTTTGCTGATTACCTGGACGACATTAGGGTTACGGCTATTTCTCTGGAAGCCTTTATTATTCGGATATTCCGACAAAAGAACAAAACCGGTTTTGTAAAGGCATTCTCAGAAAGGCCCGAGACATTTTCTTCAGGGTTTTCTACGCTCTCCACGATAATGCGCAACCTATTCCTCCAGAAGACTAGTCTATGGCCTAGGTACCACGTCCGAGTTGCTCAATCCCTAGAGGCTCGAAAGGCGGAAGTCGTTGAACTCGAGATAAGCATGACACCAGCCATGCAATCGATTCAAAATTCGGCTCTACAATGCATAGAGATATCAATTAGTGAACTTCGGAAGGTGAACCTTGGGTTGGATATTGGGGATTGGAGTGTTGATAGTGCATTGCACCGATCATTCGACATACTTATCCGGAGACAATTAGAACCCGTATGGCACCGAGTTAGCCCCCGCACGAGGCAAATAGCATCGGATCTAACAACACTTCGTACAATCCTTCTGTGAGTTCCATAGAGTAGCTGCGTTGAATGGTCGAGGGCTAATGTCTTTGATTTTCCTTTGGTACGATAGAAATCTTCTATCATTGGATGCTGTATCATTTCATCAATACTTAGAAACTGTCTTAGCCTCGAACGCTCCTACTAACAGTTTAAGCACCTTGGGGCACTCGCCGTGGCTCTACCTGGATGCCGCTGACACCCTTTTCTCACTTGCTCGACGCCGGGTATATACCGGCAGCTTACCAAAATCTCTTGACCCCACTTCGCTCATTGAAACAGGGCTGGTATTGGAAGAACTGCCAAAATGGGATGTTCTATTGAACATTTTGGATGAAATATATCAAAATCGTCAAGGATGCTTGAATAAGAATAAAAATGGGCCAGTATTAATCATGTGCCATGATAGACAGACATGTGTGCAAATAGCGGAATATTTGCAATTCGCCAGTAATCTGACCCCGGAAAATGACAGACAAGAGCAAACAGGGAGAGAGTATTCCTCGAAGTACATGCGCCAGAAATTCGCAAGTTTTCACGCTTGGAAAGTCGCTTTCTCAAGAGCACGCTCTTCCAAACTGCTACAAGATTATCAAGAAACTAGCTCTAAGCCAACATTGCCACTGAGAAAGGTACCCCCGAACAAAAGACGTAGATTAAGGGGAGGAGCACAACTTGCCACGACAAGTCGCGACCACGATAGATCGTTCGACAGCGGCAAGTCGGAATACTTTGCAAATCCAGACTCACGGAATAATTTGGAAATACCTTTTGGGGAAGGAATCTTCGAAGCACCAGAGTGTTCAGCGACAGACTTTGAGATGCACGACCCTAACGACTCACTCGTTATACATCCCTATAGTGCAGCAGACGATAGCCTTCTCGAGGAGATTCAACCCCAGGACGTGATTATGTACAGTCCCAACGCTAGTTTCATTAGACACATAGAAGTCTACCGAAGCTCCCATTCGAATAGCAATGATATACGGGCATATTTTATGTACTATGGATGTTCCGTGGAGGAACAGACCTATTTGAGTACCGTCCGCAAAGAAAAGGATGCATTCACAAACCTTATACGTCAAAAATCAGTAAGTGTAACTTTCAATGTAACCAGGACCGAAAAGCTACGGTTTTAACTATAAAGACGTACTAATTTGACCTCATCCCTAATAAAGAGCATGGCAACAACTCTTACTGTGGATTCATTCTCAGGGGAGGATCCGCAGGACAAATTCCTGAGGACCCTAAACACCCGGATTGCCGGAGGAGGCAGGCTTATAGCGACCGCGGAACCCCCTCGGGTTCGTTGCTCTAACCGTTGCTCCTTCGCGTTCAGGACTAACCATTTTCGCTTGGAATAGGTTGTTGTAGATGTCCGAGAATTTCGAAGCTCTCTTCCTTCCTTACTTCATGGCAAAAACATTACAATTGTCCCATGCTCATTAACTGTTGGCGATTATATCTTGTCACCAAATATTTGCGTCGAGCGAAAATCGGTAAAGGATTTGATATCATCTTTCAAGGATGGAAGACTATATTCACAGGCAGAGGCAATGCTTTCCGGGTACCAGGAACCTGTCTTGCTTGTCGAATTCGATCAGGATAAATCGTTCAGCCTCGAACCGTTCACCGATTTGAATTCCACGGCTGCCGCAGCCCGGTCCGACCTCCAGGCCAAACTTGTCCTGCTCACGCTCCATTTCCCGAAGCTGCGAATAATATGGTCCTCAAGCCCTTACCAAACTGCAGAAATATTCGATGAATTGAAGAAGAACGAGCACGAGCCGGACCCATTGAAAGCAGTGTCGATCGGCCTAGCCGATGGAGAAGATGGGTATAGTACCTATGCGCCAACCCCAATGGTATGTGCCCTTCTTCGGTTCTTTGGATAGGATCGAATTGACCTTCTTACGAAACCTGCGCAACTAGGAAATTCTGAAAGCCGTACCGGGAATAACCGAACAAAATTACAAACAGATCGTGCTTGAGGTTGATAACATAATGGAGTTGGGCAACATGAGTGAGAACAACCTAACAACCATAATTGGACCGGAAGCTGCGAGACGGGTGCACGGATTTTTCGACACAAACATGTATATAAGCTAGTAACGTCTCCCTACGTAGATCTACTAAGCGGGCATATTATGGATTATGTAACTTGCAAGGAGGTTTGAATTTTAGATTTTGTGTCACAAAAGAAACAATGGCGGGTATTTACAATGGACGCCCTATCTGTTTTTTTTTTGCCTCTGTTGGTCGCGTACAGGGCTTCCTAGGGCTAACTCCCGAAGTTAACGTTACATAAGGGAGAAGTCACCAAATTTCTCCTATTGATGGATATTAGCTCAGGATTCAAGCGAACGAGCAGTAAACAAATAATCAGGATTGTAAATAGAATGATTACCTTGTATCCAGGCACTTGCCAGCGGCCTCGAGCTACCATTTGCTCGGTTCTCTTGTCGATTTCAGGCGCCGCATTGGCCACGTCGTCCTGTAAGATAGGTGATGAGTAAGATACTATTGTTGTAGGAGGGAGAGAAGGAAGAGAAGGAAGAGAGAAATACAATGGTTAGGTCTTCTAGAGGACGGCTCTCTTCAATGTTCTTCAACGTCGCCGCAAGATCGGCGAGTTCAGCATCAACGGAGGCCTTAGTGTTTTCGGCATTCTTTACGGCCTCTGCCTCGAAATTTTCAATGGTCTTAACTTGCTTGGAGACATCGTAGGTAACCGGCTTAAAAGCTTTGTAGGCTCTCTCGATTTCGTCAACAACGGCCTGGTTCTTTAAAATGGCCCTGTAATGCGAGAAATCGACCTCGGTGGGCTGGTCATGGAGTAGGTTGACCTTTCGGCGGGCCTCTTCGTTGCGTTTTTTGAAGGCCTGAAGTTGGGATACTGTCGAGCCCTTGAGGGAAAGAGAAGTGATGATTCTGGTCCAATCGACTTTGACCGCAGCGCTACGCTATTGAGCAGCAACCCCATTAGCAAGGCACCGAATTCCAAGAAACATGAATTCCGACTTCCGCACGACGTGTATTCAGAATAATGCATATGGCTGTCAGGAAAGAAGCCATTGGCTCGGGGGAAGATAACATACCACTGCCGCGGGAGAAGCCATTTCAAAAGTGGAATCCGGAGGTTGGAGGCCTAGGGTTGAGAGGTTGGAGGCTGGACGAACGTCGGTGATGAGGGGCGGTAATAGGTTAACTTGGGCCGGTGTCTACGGGAATGGTCAAAAAGAACATCGGAGGATAAATTCGGGTTCGGTTCAGCGGCGGCTTGGCAGTATCGTAATTTCCCAAATAGGAAATAAATACCCAATCAAGTAAGTGCTGGGTATATACTTCTTTCACCATACCAACATCTCTGTCTTGCTTTGCCTCTCTCTCTCCCACTACAACAACTGCTGACTCTCGACTCCCGACACGAGCTTGAAGAGTGCGCCTCCTCTTCTTTCCCCACCGCCATGAAGCCCCAACCGCGGTAACCTCCTGATCTGATTCTAGTCCTCCTGCTTCGTAGGCTGTCCCACCGCCAGCGCCATGCCGGTGTCGAGGCTGCCTTTGTCATCAATCCACGACTTGCTCCTGACCTCCACCCCGCTGCGGCTTCGAAAACATGCTTTATATTTTGCATTGCCCCAACCCCGAAATTTTCATACCCTCTCAAATCGAAGTTTGCGACCGGCAGCGACGATAGTATATGGCAGAAGTAGCATCCAAACCAGCGGTCGTTGGGATGAATTGGTCAATATTTCCGCAATGCCCTTGATAAGGGCAATCAGAAGAGTCGCCACGACTCCTCTCAAGCCACTTTCTCCTAAGGAAAAAAGTATTTTGGACAGGAGCTTTACCTTGCAAACGCATGGAGATATGATACTACGATGTACGGAATTTGACTCTGAAGGTCGGCAGCAAGAAGTCCTTACACCCCGAGTGTGTATACTGTCGAGGGCTCTGCCTTGAGATCGCGCTACTCTAATGCTGACTCAATTTGGTGTCTCAGGAAACGTTGTTTCTACTTCCAGAGATTTTAAAAAAACAGAACTCTGCACTAAGCACGGCCTTCTCCCACGTGACCTGCGCAAATTAGAATCTAAAGTTATTGTACCTCATATCTTGGTGCGAAGAAACTCAATATTAGTTAATCTCCTACATATTCGGGCCCTTATCAAAGCAAATGCAGTCCTCTTGTTCGACGTTTATGGCTCTACCGACACGTATACACAGAGCGTTTTTCTATACGACTTACAAGGCAAACTATCATCGCGATCTTCGAAACAGATGGGCGGTCTCCCCTATGAGATGCGGGCCCTCGAAGCAATTTTAATCTCCGTCATGGGGGCACTAGAGGCCGAATTGAAAATCCTCCAAGAGAATGTTGGACGGCTACTTGAAGAACTCGAAGAAAATATAGATAGAGACAAGCTCAGGTTTCTGCTTATTTATTCGAAAAAACTCTCTACTTTTGAGCAAAAGGCACAGCTAATATGCGGTGCGATCGAAGAAGTTTTGGAGGCGGATGAGGATCTCGCTGGGATGTATTTGACAGAGAAATTACAAGGAATGGAGCGCCCTGCGGAAGAGCATTCGGAAATCGAGTTACTTCTAGAGTCGTACTACAAAATGGCAGACGAAATCGTCCAAGTGTCAGGAAATCTTGTCGCCAATATTAAAAACACCGAGGATATGTATGCGGACTAAAACCAAAACGGAGCTATTCGAACTCGCAGGACAATTGCTAATCAGGTTCTTAGTGTCAATTTAATACTCGATGCCAACCGAAACTCGCTTATGCTCCTTGATCTCAAGGTAAATTTGCAGAAGTCTATAGTAGTTTCTAGCCTGTCGACTGCTAACTAATGTAGTTCTCTATAGGCACTCTAAGCACTGGATGTGGAGCCGCTCTGGCTGCATTGTATGGGATGAATCTGAAAAACTTCATTGAAGAATCAGACTTAGCTTTCTTCGGTGTTAGCGGACTGGTCGTTGCCCTCAGTGCCGTGATTTTTGGATATGGATTACATAGGCTGCGCCGTACTCAGAGGTTAACGATGTGGGGTGAAGGTAATGTTGGTGTAGCACCTGGCAGGAAATGGAGAAGCGTGTCGGAATCGAGGGGCACATCCACTACCGATGATCGTTCTGGCCGGTACGGATGAAGCGTCCAAGGAATATCAGCCGAAGAGAATTACAAACCATAATACTACCGGTCCGGTTTTCGAGCTCACATGATGCTTATATACAGCTCCTAGTGAGGCGTGACAGTTCCAGCTTCGAGGATCATGGCTGCGACTCATCCACACAGATATATCTCCTCTTCAATATGGGGTCCAGGATTTTAGGACAGTGGTTCGGAAATGTATATAGATACGCAGGTTGGTATAAGTTAGAGACTTGCGGGAATAAATCCCACTCGCTATACCACATATGTACAAATTTTTGATCATACAGTGTCAACTGTACCACCCTCGTGGCCAATCAGCGTCTCGGTCTAGCAGAGAGATGAAAATGTATTTTTCTATTGGTGTACAGGATTTACTATCAATTGCTTCGGAACGGTCTTGGACCCTGTGACCCCATAGGCTTGCAAGGGTATTAGGCTAAGCCCAGCATTCCTCCCACAGAAGTGTTAATTGTACAACATCCCTTTAGTTTACAAAATGAAGAACACTCTTGTAAGTGGGAACAGAAATTAGGCAGAAGCTCGGAACACACAGACGTAACACCTCTGCGCCACACAAAAGCAAAGAGACTTAAAGCAGCAACAACAAGCAAACTGGTATCGACAAAGGGTATTATAATAATCTTGCTTTTTATGTACATTGGAAAGATCAACGAGGGAAATTAAATTTGCAAAGCTCACCCTCATAAAATATCGTGCGAACGGATAGATTAGGCAAAATATTCGGTAGCCAATTGACTCCTCCTTCTCGCAAACGCAATGGAGTTTCGGGATTCAACCCTTGCAAGCATAGCTGCCGAAGTGAAGTCATTACTGGCCTCAAAGCTTGCGCGCGTCCGGTCCATCGAGGCTCGAATCCGATCGAAGCTATTGCGGGGCCGCTCGTCCATCGAGAATCTGTGGGTAGGAAGTGAAAATATATCACTTTCAGCTCCATCGCTACCGTGGTGGCTTTCTCGTTTACCAACGGTAGTTGCTGTGGGCGCAATGCTTGGGGGGTATATTGGCCGTTCGTCATCTTCTTCGCTCGCAAATGGATTAGACGGACGTGATTTGGGAAGGTTGGAAAAGCCAGAACTTATAGAACTTCGCGGTAGTGCCATCGTACCTTCATCTTCGTAAAGATATCGAAACCTGCCTTGCCGGACCTGTTCCCGTATGATATCTATGTCATAAGGGAAATATAGCTTCTGAACCACTTTACAGGCAAAGCGGGGTAGAAGGCAAACTACCACCGTGATAAGCAAGTTCACCCAAAAACTCAGTGCCCCGTAGACCTGTTCCGCAGATTTATAAAAGTTGACAGAGTCCATAAACTGGGAGTAAACACCAGTCCAGAACCAAATGAGGAGGATACTGAAGGAAACAATACCCAAGAATAAATAGTCCCACCGATACTGATTCATGAGCACGTAAACGTTTACGACGACGATACACGCGCTGGCGGCATAAACGCCCATTTGCTCTCGGTTGTTGAGCATTCGACCGTTTGATGAAGTGAAACCTCCGCCGGAAAAGAGAAGGTAAGTCATATAAAACGTAATAACGGATTGGTAAATGCCATCAAACATGTATATCCTTCCAAAGTTCAAGGCGTGTTAGCTTTGTACTAGGGTACAAAAAAGGATCTGATATTATCTTACCAAAACTTGGTTTGAGTCCATTCGAGTCTAAGTATGCCACGTTGGTAAAGTTGGGGAACGGCAAGAGACACTTTATCATCTACATCCTGGTCGATTATACCCATAATGATGACCGGGAGAGATGAAAAGGCTAAGTTATATAGCAATACATATCTGCACCCCATGTCAATCAACCGAATTCTAGGTCAGTGAGCCAAGAGTATTTATGAAAGCTTACGTGTAGTCGAAGAGGTAAGAACCATCGAAACTGCAGTATATTTGGTACCAGAAGAGTACGAATGTCCAGACAATGTTCTTAAGTATTAAACAGGGGCCAAATCAGTTTGAAGGTTACTGATAATGATCCGTAAGAGGATATAGACTTACCTTATAGAAGAAATTAGCGATCATTTCAGCTAAGCGACGATAGGACCAGCGACCATGGACCAGGACTAATCGGCAAAGAAAACGGAATTGGCCAATTGCATAGTCCGAAGACATTGCCGCTTGCCTACCCTCTTCTCCAGCGATTCCCACGCCGACATCAGCTTCTTGGATCATAGCTACATCGTTTGCACCTATGAAAATAATGTTAGCACTCATAGATGGTTTAAGGACACGGCAGAAAATAGGGCTATACCATCGCCAATAGCTAGCGTCATTACGTCAAGCCCCACTTTTACCATGCGCACGACTGCGGCCTTCTGACTCGGGCTCACACGGCAGCAGAGGACAGCTCTGCATTGTTTGCAGAGAAGCAAGAAGTCATTTTTGACTGCATCATCGAGAACGAATCTGAGAGTATCCCCATCAATCACGACAGCATGGGTCGGAGGAGGAGGGTCATGGTTTTTTTTGGCGACCGCTAGTTCCTCAGCCCCTCCTTGCATGTCAAAGTGCTCCCTTAAATTCCTCAGTATCATTTCGTGAGCTGCTTCTATACTGTCCACTGACTGGAGTATGATCAGATCCATCTCGTTATTGAGAAGATTGCATGAAAACCCGATATTTATAGCAGTTTCAACCTTATCACCAGTCAAAACCCACAGTTTGATGCCAGCTTCGCCTAGTAATGCGATCGAATCTGGAACGCCATCCTGTAGGCGGTCTTCAATGGCGGTGCCGCCGAGTAAGGTAAGATTCTGTTCAATCAGTTCTGATACCTCCTCTATCTTCTCATCCCTTCCCACAGTGGCGGCAGAAGCCGCATCGTAAAGTTGCATCCACTCGCGATATTCCTCTTCCGAGAGAACCCGTTCAGCGATACAAAGAGTCCGGAGCCCTTCTCTGGCAAATATTTCGAGGTGCTCGGCTGTGCTTTTCCTCAACTCCTGTTGTTGATCTGGCGTCAACCGGGAATAAATAATGCTGTCTGCGCCTTTACAGAATAATATAATCCTATCATCAGGCATTCGAATGATCGCACTCATCCTTTTGCGAGCAGAATTGAATTCGAGGGTGTTAAGCACCTGATAGCCGACTTGTTTACCATGGATGTTCAGACGAACCCCGGACTGAGTGCGTTCCACAAGACTGAACCCCATGTCCCTTGCTGTGGCCACTAGTGCGGCTTCGTCAGGTGACTGGGCCTTGAACTCAATTCTCGGCGGTTCATCAGATACAAGGTCAGGAAGAACGCTGTGGCAAAGGGCCAATGCGAGCATAAAGTGGTGACAAGCAGCTGCTTGGGCTTCTCCTGCTGTACCTGTAAGATGTCTAACAAATTCAGGTGAGATGAATGTGAGCTTTTCGTCATCTAGGTATACGTTATCGTCGATTCCTCTCAGCGCCTTGATCATTTCCCGCTTGTCTTCGACTATCTGTGCTTTAACCTTTGGACCTTCAACGTCAACGTTAACTCCCTGACGTTTTTGAATCCCGGCGAAGGCTTCCGTATAGGCTTCTCCGTAGGGGCGCCCGTTGATTGTGCACTTTTTAAATTCCATGACGTTTTGGGTCAAAGTCCCAGTTTTGTCGGAGAAAATATATTCAATCTGTCCGACATCGTCCGAGATATTCCAAGATTTCGGGGTACAAGGGTAATCGAGTGGTTCGTAATACATTAGGATGTCGCTAAAGATGAAGAACGCTTGTGCTCCTTTGATGATTTCAAGGCTGATATACAAGGATACTGGAACGAGTGTCTGGAATAAGATCACAGTAGTCCAGAAGGTGATGAGCCCATCAACTCCTGGAGAGCCACCGATGGACCCATACTCGAAAAAGCTTTGTGACGCATCCTTTTTTCCAGAGAAGACGCCTTGGACGATTCCAGAGAGTAAACACATGATAAAAAGGATTACAAAGTTCAGCAGGACCTAAAAAATAAATTGTCAGAAAGATGATGAGGCTAAGATATTATGGGGGTATTCTTCGTACGTTGATGTTGAGCTCCCGTTGAATTCGGCTACGTTTCGTCGGTGTGACGCCAGCATTCATCATGATCTTGGTTTCACTTCCAGTAAATAGCACAACTCCTACTACCCAGTCGGTATTCCTGAGGGAGCAGCCACGGAGGAGCAGATTTTTAACAGATATTGGCTCCGTCATTGGCATAGTCGGCTTATTTGGGTCCGCAGCATCAACTTGATCCCACCTAATGAGACCTGTGTATGCGTATAGGTTGGCATGCGGACCTTCGCTCTCAACCGTAAATCTAGCCTTTTCGCAATCTCTAGCATGTTTAATCCCAGCGCCACAATGCAATGCATGTCGAACCTTCAAGTTCGTTTCGCCGTCAAGATTTTTCGTTTCCACATAACAAGCCCCATCAGCGTCTGATGTCGCAAGGATGATTATATCGGCAGGGACCTCTTCGTTATTGTAAATCCGGACCCAATCACCCACACGAACGTTTTTCCAGTTATCTCTCTTAAATTTAGCAGGTGATTCATTTTTGGGGTCGTAGTGGGGATCAACTACCGAGCCGTAGAATTTGCCGTTTGCTGGGGTCTTGTTTTGGGGCGGAATGGTAGCAGGTCTCTCGTTAACCCCTGGCGTGAAAGAAAAACGGTTGCTTGTAGGGGCCGGTGATGGCACAGGTGTCATTTGGATAGCCTCTCCATCGTCAGCGATGGTATAGATAGAGGCTCTGGTTTGCATTCTCTGCAACTGGCCTGGTTTCGGGTCCCCCCCGGCAGCCTGTTCTGCCTTGCCTTTGTTCTTGAGAGATTTGAAAAAATGAAAGAGGTAACGAAGGCCTCGGGTGGTCGCTTTTTTTATTCTCCTCCACAGGGAAACTTGATCGTCGGTGACATTTACATTAGGAACCCCGAGGAGGATGTGGACAGGTGTGTTGTTTAATTCGAGATCCAGGACTGTTCTCCGGTAGTCTTCGATGGCGTCCTTTATTCCACTAATAAGGAGAATTGCAACGAGGGGGATGCAGCCGAGTTCAGGGTTCGAGGCTCCGAAGATAGCAAAGATCTAAAAGTCATGAGCAAAGGGGGCGCTTGCTGAATGCGGTCGGGGATTAGAATTACCTGTAAAATCGTGATGAATAGGAAATAGATATTAGCAACATTGTGGAATTGCAACCAAAGATTTTTTGGAATAAAAGACAATGGAGTGTATTTCGCTGTTCGGATCTTGTTTCTAGCGTATTGGGCGATGGGCTTCCCGTCTTCGTCCTGTGCATCTGGCGGGAGAGGTAGGTTTATATAGACGTTACGGCCGAAGTGCCCATTCTCCTCTCCCTCTTCGCTGTCGGAAGAGGATGGACCGGCCATTTTCCCCGATTCGCCACTGTCTAACTGAGGTTTCTCTTCTTTCCGGCCCCAGAGGGACCTTCGTTTCTTCCCTTCCGACTCGTCAGGCATCTGAGAAGCCATCCAGGGTCGATCCGGGGATTTGGGCGTCCGAGGCGACTTTTATATTTGATGGCAAAGAGGGAGAATAGAGGATAGGGCAGCAGAATGAGAAAGGACCGGGCAAATTCGGTTTTATTTTATTTGTTCTTTGTTCCACAGGTTGAATAAGCACGGCGATGGCGATGAGAGAGAGCAGAGGAGGAGGAAGAGTTGCCTGGTCGCTGATGGAATTGTAAGTATTGATGGATCGTGGTCGTGTTGTTATGTTCTTCCAGCCTTATCAGGCCTGGGGTATTGGGGGGAAACAAAAAAAAAATAATAAAAAAAAGGATCCTCCGCGAGATCCGAAGTTAAATGCGGCGATGTCTCCTTTTTTATTTTTATTATTTTTATTTTTATTATTTTTATTTTTATTTTTATTTTTATTTTTTAATGTTTGTTTCGGTTTGCTCTGATTTTCTTTGCTGTACTTCGCTCCTCTTTCTTTCGTTGGACGGTCGTTGGCTCGTTGGTTTGTTCGTTGGTTCGTTCTTCCTAATAAGGCCGGTCGCAGTTAATTTTACGTCGGTGAGCCAATTAATAGTGACAAGCTGCGGTCGCTGTTATCGTAGTGATCCCTGGAGGTGATTCTGTCGGGAGCAACATGGGGAGGTTGAGGTAGATGTAGATGTTGATGCTGATGCTGGTGTTGGTGTTGGTGTTGGTTGACGGTGATGGTGATGGTGATGACAGTTAAAAATGGATGGGAGGAATGGAATTCTATTAATGGGAAGAGGGAAAGGGGCTTGAACCGGCCACAGCCTCGAAACCTCCAACAGAACGGATGTGAGCGGGCCCGGCGGAAGTAGCTTGGTCGCGTCTGAGTGCCTGTGAACAGCGTCCACCAGCTCCCATTTGGTCCCGTTCGATGCCGCCCAGTGCCCAAGAACCTCAAATCAGCAGCCCCATCCATCTTCATCCCCCATCGCCCTCCAACCACTCCGGAACGACAAGAATAGCAGTGCCGGTGCCCCTGCCACTGCCTAGACCAGCTCGTTTGGCTCTCATCGGCTCCACGTCGCGCTCGTGCCACCAACCGCTTACGTATGACTGCTTGGATAACAAAACATGCATTAGCCAAGTACTGGCTTGGTACCTTACTTGCCTAGGTACCAAGACGAGACAATCAAAATGCGACCATACATACTTACATGCGCATGCTCAGGGACTACTTAGTACTTAAGTACTTAAGTACTATCAGATTATTGCCTTTGATATCAAAGTCACGAAAGAAGTAGCTGGAGAACAAAGAAACGAACCTCAACAATGGTATGTACGTCTCAATACCCATCTACCTGCCTATATTTGAGTATTTAAGTATCTACGTACTAGGTATCTAACCAAAACAAATCCAATCCAGAACACCTCCATCATGTCCTCTCTCATTGAGGACTCTCAAGAAGACGAGGACTCTGATTACACCTTCGAAGCAGACTTTATAAGACACAAAACCAGACAAGTAGCTTTCAAAAGAGAACTCGAGGACCATTATCGAACAATGTCAGCACGTCGGCCTAAACGAAAACATTGTGCTACAACTGCTTCTACAGCTTCTTCTTCCTCCCTTTCCGAATATCACAACAATCACAATCATAACCATAACTATAATCATAATCATAATCATAGTCAAATTCAAATTCAAAATCAAAATCACCGTCGCCGCCACGAAAAGTTACCATCGCCGTCGCCGTCGGCCCTATCCCTCCACCTGCCATCGAGCGAAGATGATAGCGAAGATGACATCCTTGAATTCTTGCAGCCAACAAGATCGTCAGGTCTTCGCAACTCACAACTGGCAGCACCGAAGCTTACTATGGCCGATATCCAAGAAAGGATAGCCAATAACAAAGCAAGAGATGAAGAAATCCGTCGCGCTCAAGAGCTCCTAGAAGAGACCGAGTCCTCGAATGAAAAGAGACAGACAGAGTCAGCAACCGCAAATATAAATGCCTACCTCAAATCGCAAGAAGGAGTACCAGCTATCCTTAACGTGTTGAACCCGAGCAGAAAACACGACCAGCTTCCGACGTGGTCCTTTTTCAGCAACGCTTCTATGATACACCAGGCTCCGCTGGGCGAACTATTTGCTGCAATCCAAGATAGTGGTTGCATTAGCGCTTTGCTCAGATCAAATGAACCCGAGCTAGGTAATTGAATACATGTTGACCCCAGAAGCATTTCTTACAGCGAAGCTAAGAGCTCAAGGTGTTGAAAACATCCGCGACTTTTTAGTTTCCGGCGCCATGGTTGATTGTTTAGAGAGCTATTGTTCTGTATTAGAGCCCCCTCTCCGCCAACTCCTTCTCGATGCAGGTAATACCCTAACCCCAAGTATCTATTTATATTCTATAGGATATCTAACGCCCAACACTAGTCTGCTTGAGAGGCGACGAGGATATATCATTCTCTTGTTTTACCTTAGTCACAGCATGTATATGCCTTGTCCGAATTACACCAAGATAATCTTCTAACCCACGTTGAAACTAGGCCCTTCACGAACAGTTTGAATCTGTTCTTGATCAAAAGGGACTACAGCGTATCTTCGAGTTAATCGGTGGTTCAGGAAGTGCTCTCGATCTCAACAAGCCCCTAGTAGCTAGCTACCGAGGTACTAATTCCGACAACAAAGATTGGCACATAATAAAACCTAACACTATACGAATCATAAAATAGAGGGAACACCCGATAATGCAAATGAAAAGAGTGTCACATATAGTCCAAGCTGGTGGAACATCTGTTTGGTGTTGAAAATGCTAAGAAACCTTCTACAAGGGTATTACCAACTTATGAACCCCCACCATACTGCAATCTGCTCAACTAATTCTGTTCCATGCAATAGTTTAACCGACGATGGGCTGCGTATTACGTGGGGCTTGGTAGTGCGTTTCTCACTAGATGAGCGAAGGATGAAGGAGCGAAGGGGCCAGCCGGAATTTCTCAGTTTAATTGAAGATCTTCTCGGGCAGGTCGGGCGAAGGAGCAACTCATTAGTCCAGGTAACACATGCCGGCCCAAGCCCCCCCTCAATCATGTATCAAGGACTGACAATGAACCCAACAGACCATCCTGTCCGAAACGCTAGCTTCAGTCACTAATAGAGCATTCCAGGTACAGTTACTTGGGGTTCTGCCAACAACATCCAGATTCTCGCATGACTTCAGAAAACAGCTCGCGAGGCTATTCTTTTCGGGGAACAAAGTTTACATTGGGCCAGAACCCAGCCCAGGTATTCTCATGGGCAGTATCGTAGCTGCCCTGAAAAGCAAGGAAGTGAGAATACCTAAAGGCGAATCACATGCTCAGTTGCAGAATGTTGTCGATATCATCAATATTTCAGTGGATGATGCTCGATGGTGTGCGAACGTCGTGGAAAGAGATGAGGAAGGGCAATCGGAAAATCTACTAGAGAAACTGGTCCTGCACATTAAACACTCCAAGGAGTTCACCCAGGACGCCGGTATCCATCTAGACATTGAGAAATCAAACGCTAAGGATTCGTTCGCTCAACTGATCATCCGACTTGAGGGTGTTCGGAAAAAAAGGAGGGGTGTCCAAACGGTCATGGATAATTATTTCCGACTAGGACCAGGATAGGCCCCGAGTAATGATCCTCCAAACTCATCTACGATTTTTAGCGTACTGATCGTTCCATATCATATTGAACAGAAACTGTGCCGCAATTAAGAATCGATAAAACAGGGAGTGAGCAAAAATACAAAGAACTAAGGAAATAGCAAGTGCTTAGGCACCTCGCAACCGCCTATTTGCGATTGGTGAACTTCTCTCATTGACACGAATCCCATAATTAATAGTAGGTTACCCTTAGCCCTAGTCGTAAAACTTGCGATTGGGCGAAGGCCCAAATAGAGTGTTTCGGACCGCTGGTAGAGCTTCGTCTTCTAGAATGCCAAGGCGCTCCTCAAAAGTATTGTTGATATCAATACGCCCATTGCCGCTGATAACGAAGACACCCCCGGCGCTAGTGTACGATATTAGCAAAAATTACATATTAATGAGGTGCGGGACTCACCAATCCGTTGGTAGTTCCCCAGCTTCATCTAGTGTGATCTTAATATTCTGGCCGGTTTTCTCAGCGTATGCTGAGGATGCAGAATCGGCGGCAGATTTGACCAGATCAAAATCCATTTTCCTAGCCCTTACTGAGATACTCGGTTCCGCGAGGGCGAATGCACCTTCTAAAATCAGTCCCTCAAGGACATCTGCGTATCTAGCTTTATCATTGGCTATCTGGCCTAAGCTTTTCCTAGCATCTTCAAAAATGCTCTCTAATAGCTCCTGCCTAACACCCAATACCTTGAGCCTCGTTTTATTTGTGACATTTGATCGGGCAATTTGTTGTGATAACTCGGCTTGCTTGTGTTTTCGCTCGAACTGAGTATCAATAGAGACTGTTTCGGAGCGTACGAGTCTCCCTTTCTCGATAGTGAATTCCTCATCTGCTTTTATCTGAATCTCATGGGCCTTTTCCTGCGCCTCCTGCTTGATGAACGCTGTCATCTTCTTTAGCTCCCCCGCCACCTAGCCATCGAAACATCAAAGATGCTACAGTTAGCTCGGGGCATCAAGGTACCGGCGGTGTTGGGGATATACCTGGTCATCCGTCAATGACATTGTGAAGATAGCACTAATCTACGGGCCTTCTAATACGAATTTGTAAATGCTCTCAGAAAGATTCCCGAGAGATTCGATACCGTGAGTGGATTGTCGGTGGTGTCCTGTATGGTGTGGTGGGTTTCGGTTGACGTAGGTTGGGCTGCTCGCGACGCTAAAGATGAATTGGCACTTTGTCACCTAAGAAGTACTTAAGAAGTACCTAGGTACCAAGCAGGTACCTATGTTTCTCACTCTATATCTTCACCCAAGGGCCTCATATTATAGCCCAATAACCACCCACTACTTACCTAAAGGTACCGAATCCCGTAAATAGCTCTATGCGCTTAACGGGGATTAAAACCTTGCACTCTGGGGACCTGGTTTCTCTTGATACTAGGCGAAAGGGCCTCACGAGCACGCGCCGATGTTTACTCGCCATTTCCCTAAATATTACACCTACTTGGCCCTGTTTTCATACAACTCGAATACCAAAGTGTATACACTACTAATCAGGCTCAATGAACATGCTATATACAAAACGATCCACAGCCGAAGAACCCATCTTCCTAGCTCAAAGTTCAAGATCTACCAGAGACAAACGCCTGAACACCATATGTTCTTCTGAAACTCTCTGCTGGGAAAAAAAAAAAGAAAAAAAAAAAAAGAGGCTACAGGCGTGTCCCAAAATCACCGATAGAAGGTGACTATTGTCTAGATCTTGGATAATTCCATTGCTCGGGTGCATATAGACTACCATTATACACCTATCCGGGTAATCGTCAATGAAGCAAAAAACAACGTGTTATGTTGGAACGAGGGGTCCAGTCCCGTTGTTGTGCTCAAGCTGGCCGCTTCGATTGTGGTCTCCCGTTGGGGAAGATGAATCTGACTCGGATTCAAGCTCAGCCAATATCTCCCGAGTTTCTGTTATTGTGCGACGGCGAGGTATCGCGCCATATCTCGTTGGCAAGGTTGGTGAAGGAGACCGTTGTATGAAGGAGACCGATTTGACATTGAGGTATCTCAGCCACCCCTCCGAGACACCCGCGGAACTAGGCGGCCCCGTAAGAAGGTGAGTACGCTCGGATTCTTCATCCATGGATGGGCCATCATCCGCGTCTTGTATAAATGGCTGGCTGCTCTGCTCGAGCCTCCAAGACAACGCGAGGACGCCAGACAACAATATAAAAACTCCCAGCGCTATCTAAACAAGTAAACACAAGGTATCGTTAGCTTTCTAGGCCACTGAAATACGGGAATAAACAGTTTGATCCGTACAAGGGATGACGATAGGGTAGAAAGCCTCCCCGCTTGGTTATAGTATATGAGCCCATTCGAAATTGCAAAGATATTATATACGCAAAATACGAGGGGGTAAAGAACGCTTGTAGAGCAAAGCTTCAACCCCTTGTGAAGATAGAAAAGTTGGAATAGGGCCGCTGCGACGAGACTCATGACGATTATCCAGGACGGCCAGCTAGTAAACTGATTATCCCCGGTAACAACAGTTCGTATTAGTAGCTCAACCGCTGACTTCGCTAGAAGTAGTGAATCTGCCGATAGAATACCACTAAAAAAGACCTAGATTAGCAAGGAGTCCTTCCTGTACGTGACTACGAAAGCTTACGGGCCCTACGGAATCCTTACCTAATACTCCCATAAGCCGTGCCACGTATGATTCGCCACCTATTACTGCTACCTGATCTCCTTGAATTGTTGCTCATTTGGGCAATGCACTGCAAGAATAATATAATGATACCTTGACCGACAAGCCACACGAGAAACCCTCTTCGGTATAGGAGCAATATTAATTCATCTAAGTTATGTACCGGCTCTTTGATTGTGCCGAATATTGCTATGAGGCCAGCTCCCAAGCAAACGAGAACTGTACCGATGAGGGAAAGAAGCGTGAATGGCTCCCCTAAAAGGGCACTAGCACATATAGAGTTGAACACCAAGCCGGACTACCACAATAATTTAGCTATTCTCGGGCTCTTTAAGGTAAAGGATTCTGGCGCGCTCTTGGTTGACGATGAGCAGGACTTTTTTTTTTTTTTTTGGGGGGGGGGACCTACGGCTTGCAAGGGGGATAATATAACAAGTGGTAAAGTACCAATTTGGACGGAACTTCCGAGAATATTCGAAGTTATGAACAGTCCCATACCGATCTATAAACGCCGATTTTTTTTAAGTTTCAACTTTCGGCGTACTTCTTTCTTCCCGAGACTCTTAGAAAGGAGATTGCCCACCTGCCATCTTCGACGTCTGTATGGCGGCCGCTGGCTTGGCCGCTCTTCCTCCAACAGATGAGATTTCCTTTGGAGCGTAAGGCCGAGTGATTGGACTGAAGTTGATACAACTCCGACAAAGATGCCAATAATTATAGCCGCATGCGAAGAGAGGTCCATGGGCCCCGTGGAGTAGACTAGCAGCCGCCGGGGAAGCGGCTGCATTTAACGGCGAATTTGGTACCAAAACACCGTATCGCGGTAACTAAATCGTGCTTTGGGTGAATTATATAAACTAGGCTCCGGGAGAGCACGCTTTAACCTGTGAAATCTGGCTAAGACCCCCGATCACTAGTGATCTTTTATACTGTTTGGGGGGGCGGGAGGTGTGATTTGGAATCAATTGTCGCAAAAAGGCAGGGCCGAATCTTCGTTGTCGGGGGTTTTCGACTTGAGATTGGACGAAAAATATTGGGAGTGGTGGCACTGATGTTTATTGGAATAGTCGGCACTCTTCACGGAACGTTTGGATCTTGGGGTAAGTTATAGATGCTGTATCGGGATAGTAGAGTTGAAGAATATCCATGGGCGAAGCTAGGACGGCGGTTGTACTTAAGGCGTAGGGACCTGACGTTACTGGGTGTTCAAAGGCTGTGATAAGTACTGAAGGTAAGAGCAAAGGCTAAGTGCAGACGATATGCCAAAAAGAACAGGGAGGTGACAGGAATCGGCTTGGAAGAGGTAGATGGCCGAACCACCGGGCGCTTCGAGATTGGTACTAGAAGAACAAGGTAGATGCGATGGTGCAACTTGCAGACTGGGGAAGTGGTTGCAGCGTGTTGTTGTCGTTGGAGTTGTCGCGGCGCAGCGCCACAACTGAGCGCGCATCTTTCACCATACAACTTCACATCGGTCTTCATTTCCACGTCCAAGTTCAGGCCCAAGTTCAAGTTCAACCTCAATCTCAACATCAACACCAACCTCAACCTCAACCCTCTCACGATCAGTCAACCAAAACTACCTATACACTCGTCCAGTCCACCAGCATACGAAGAAATCCCCGCTAAATCTCCCTCTGACCTTGAAAGTGCTTTCGCAACAACGAAGACAACCACCATGATGGCTTCGGCGCCCCGGGCTAACGCCCCTCGAAACTCTGAGGAGATGTCCCATATGATATCAGAATTCCATCGACAATCTTTAATTTACCAACCACCTGTAGACCAGGGGAACCAACCTTCTACCGCCGGTTACGGCCTTTTTTCTATGCAAACTTCGCTCCAGTCTCCATCAGAACTGGAGCCGTCGCAAAGACTATGGCCGCAGAGCGAATTCGTGATGAATGTCATCGAGGCGCCCCTAGAACACGCCAATCCAGGGTGGAGAGATCACGACCTTATCAATGCATCGTCCCTTCGACAGCGAGCCGAGGCTGGCATGCAAAACCCCACGGACGCGAATGCAACCAAATCCATATTCCAGAAGTCAAAAGCATCACAAGGAGGTGTATTTGGGCAAGGTGGAAATTTAAACGGTGGGGGCCTTGTTGCTGCTGCGGCAACTGCTGCGGCGGCGGCCCCACGAGACGGAAAGAAAACCATCCCCAGTCATCTCACCCACATGAAATACAAAGTATGTTACTAGGGCAGGATTATTATTTATTGCTTTGCTATTCCCTAACAATTGGTGTACATAGGGATTCGATCCCCTAGAGGCTGAAAGTACAGTATCTGATCCGTAAGTAACGGCCGATTATATACTACATTCATGTCTTACTGACTTGATGGCTATTATACCTAGATCGACCCACCGGGCAGAAGGCACTGCAAAGGGTACGGCAAGCTTTGGTTCCAAAGCCCGTAGGCGCACCGATACAGTATCGTTAGTTGAAGAGGAACAAAAGCGACGTGATCTAGAGCACCAACTTGCCAACTTCCCTCCAATATTACCTGGATGTCTCTGGAACACACTTTCTGAGGAGGAGGCGGAGAGTAGACGTGCAGCTGTTGAGGATGACATGAGATTAAAATGGAACATTCCATCCGCTCGCTCATCGAGTCCGAATTTAACTCGGCGAGCAACGTACAACAAACACGGGGGCTCAAACAGGAGAGCCTCGGTATCGATGGCGCACGAGGATAAGGGGTTCTCGTCGGCAGTTGGCTCAATTCTCGGGGCTTCTATCTCCCAGAACCAAAAACATGAAGCAGAGAAGCAGCCTAACGCCCTACTGCTTGCAGCCCCTTCTTCAAATGAAAGCAATACCTACACATCTGTTAAGATTTCCCACCCTCTGCTGATCGCGAACAATAATACCTGGAATCGCATTCTGGGGCACATGCAGAACCATGGAACGATAGTGAACCCGTTTAATCATAAAGCAAAGTTTCGATTAAAAGCATGTTTTCCACCGGGCACGCCGGTAGACATACTTGCAAGCGGAGACACTAGACAATCTGAGTATCCGGTCAATCCTGAAATGCTCAGGCGAGCTAATGAGGTAGTTATGGGGCCCGACTGGATTAAAATGACATATGAAACAGGATCGCAGGCAGCGGGGTCTCTCAATTCAAATGGAGTGCACTTCGATGGATTCCCATTGGAGGTATCCCTATGGAACGAGACGGATGATCTTGGTTCAAGGAGCAGTGCCCCGACGGAGAGACCACGGTGGATGGTTCTGTCTGGCGATACTGGGGCGGGGAACACGCTTCGAAACCCTACAAAGTCTGCTTCGGAGCCCACTAAGACAGCATCGCAAAGGCCTGATAGGCAGTTGGTCGTGCTCCATGACGAGGCCATATTTCTGAAGCATCCAGGGCTGATGGATAGGATAAAAGAGTTTGTGTATGGGTACCTCTTCCAGAGCACTGCAAGATACGACGATGAGGGGAATTATATCAAGGGGAGCGGAGGTGTCCTTTTGGACCTGTGGCACCTTCTAACGACTTGATGAATGGACGGATTTTTAGCGTTCTTCTACGACCTTCTTTCTCGTCCCCGCTATAGTGTTCCTTAACCTTCCTCAGCTTATGCTCTTAAATCTTGAAATTATTACATTTTATTTGCTTGACTTTCTGGACTTCTTTCTTGATTTTCCTTTTTCTCCCCCAATCTTTCAGTTTTTCGAGAGAAAAATTTATCAAACGTTTATTTCATGAAGATTGGTTTTTTTATTTTTATTTTTACTTTTTTTTTTCTGGTTCTTCTTCTTTTTTCTTTTTCGCTTGTTCCCGCGGATGAAATCCATTTCGTCTAAGTACTTAGGTATGTATGTACCTAACTAGTACATGTATGTCCAATTCATAATACCTGAACCATAGCCATTGGAAAGGCGGACCAAAAAAGATATTTAGACCAGGATGCAATGCAGCGACTGGACGGAAATTTTGTATTATAACCAAAGCGATTAATTTAAGTACAGAGTTGTGCATATACCAAACCACGCTCAAGATTCACGGGAGAGGGGAGATAAATTAAATTGAGGGAGGAATTACAGACTGATGAGAGCGAGAATGTGTGTAATTAATAGGAGACGCAGAGGTGCATGGCAAATGTTTCGGGAGGATGTTGAATACTTCCCAGGACGGTAATTCGGGGGAGGCGAGAGCAGCAGGTGCAGCCGAACGCGGGCTGCATCAGACCCAAAACGGAGTGAGCCACGGGTATTTTTGGAATTTAGCCATGAGAGGGAAAGACGTGGCCAAAGGAGGCAGGTTGTCGCCCAAACGTGCATGCGCCCTTTATTATTATTTTATTTTATCTTTTATTGTTATTTTTTTTGACTTTATTTTATTTTATACTGTCCCGATTAAATTTTATAGTGTTGTGTTGTTGTTGTTTTTTTTTTTTTTTTTTTCTTTCTTTCCCGTTCAATGCCCCTAACTAACTTGTCCAGAAATTGCCGTATAAAGCAGGGCGGTGTCCCACCTGGCCTTGGAAAGGGTAATTTCTCCCCAACCAACCACTTCCTGTGTGCTGTATGTAAGTATTCCTCCCATTACATACATTACCACCCAGTCAGTCACAACAACACATCCCCGCAACAACACCCGTATTTATATTCCGTCTGGTTTGTTTGTTTCCGGCTTCCCTTTCCTGACTCTGCCCTGCTCTACGACCTCTACCTCTGCCTCTGCCTCTACCTCTACCTTTACCACCCCCTTGATCTGGTTTGATTTGATTCGACTCAGTTCAGTTCAGCTACCTCTTTTTTACTACTCACTTAAGAACTCGACTTATCTGACTGACTGGCTTACTCAGTTATATACTTAGTACTTGACCTAACTTGAACCTCCTGGTTACTCTTATCCCTATTGTTGCTAGTACCACCAGTAAGTCAAGTCCTTTTTGTCTTTGCTTCAATTTTTGCTTGCTCTACCTTCGTTTTATATATATCACTTCTCCCAAAGGAATAACCTTCCCACCTCCAAACTTGAACCATCCTGTCCTGTCCTGTCCTGTCCTGTCCCGTCCCATCTTATCCTATTCGATCGCATCCCATCCCATCCTATCATACCCTATTCCCGTCCCGTCCCGTTCTGTCCTGTCCTGTCCTATCCTGTTTTTCCAGGCTGGTTGGTCGAGTCGGCAAAAAGGCTCCATCACAACCAAACAAAAAAAAAAAATCCTCCCCCATCTTTGCCTTTACTAAACTCTTTCCCACCTCGTCTACTTTCGGTAAGCATCGCCTTTTCCCTTATCCCATCGTTCCCTAATCCCTCTCTTTATCGTCGGTATCCCTCCGATACATCGAAACCCAAGTTTGTGTCCAAGTTGAAAAAGTTCAAGTTTAGTCCAATTCAACTACCCTCATCTGCATGATTGTGCCTCTTCCTGCCGCTGCTTCAGCGCTCTTCCTTCCTTTCTTCCTTCCTTCCTTCATTCCTTCCTTTCTCTTTCGCCTTCCATCTGGAAACAATAATGACATCTTTGCCTGATTGGAAAGAACGGCCTTCAGGCCCATCTACATTTACACCATTTCCAACATGAAACCCTCCCGTGTTGATCCCCATGTTGACACGAATGTTCAAGTACCATAACACTAACAAACTAAGCTCAGCTACACACAAACGTCCATCCTTCCTCATTCCTCACTTGGATCTCTCTCTCTCTCTCTCTCTCTCTCTCTCTCTCTCTCTCTCTCTTTTTTTTTTTTTTTTTTTTTTCTTCTCTCTTTTCTTTTTCCCCATCGCCTCTCTCTCTCTCTCGCTAGACCCGAGAATCCCCCTCCACATCGCGTCTCTTCGAAACCCTCGACCTTCTTTCCAACATATCCGCTTAAGGAGTGAAAAAAAAAAAAGCAACAAGAAGAACGGGAATTAGAAGAAAAGGAAAATAAACAGATAAAATCTAAGTTGCTTGGGAAAAACAAAGGAACCGAAAAGAAAAAGTGCAAACATTAAAAATAAGAAGAAGAAGAGGAAGAAAAAGAAAGGGCTCCACACACAGCACCGAAAAAACATCATATCGCGAAAAAAATCTTGCCACTGGAATAAATCCCAGCCTCACAGGCAAGATGTCGGACAACGATGGACAAGGCTCCCCAGGTACCCACGAAGACCTCGTCGGCGCGTCAAACTTGGGCAATGGTAGCCTAGCTCAGGGCACGGGAGCTGTTCCAAATGAATCTCGGGGCATGAAGCGGATGAGACCTACCCAAGATGAGGATGACGATGATGATGATTCTAAACCTGGCCGCGAGAGACGCAAGATCGAAATCAAGTTCATCCAAGACAAATCGCGTCGCCATATCACTTTCTCGAAGAGAAAAGCTGGTATTATGAAGAAGGTACTTTCTTGTTCCAATGATACTACCAAAGAAAAACTATCGGTTCTAATAATCACGTATCAGGCTTACGAGCTTTCGGTTCTTACCGGGACCCAGGTATTATTGCTAGTTGTGTCCGAGACGGGTCTGGTGTACACATTTACCACACCCAAGTTACAACCCCTCGTAACTCGGGCGGAAGGTAAAAACCTCATCCAGGCATGCTTGAACGCCCCAGAACCGAACATTCCTGGCATGCAAGAAAATACAGAACCTGATGACGCGTAAGTTGCCAAAAATATATATTCTTTTCCTCATAAAATTGCTAAGGAAAAACTCTTGCTACTCCAGACCGGAATCTCCAGAGGAACATAGCCATATGCAGATTCCTCAGCAAGCCCGAGCCCTCCCGCCACAAGTCCCAGTTGCGGGAGCTTATAATATGTCACCCGAAGAATATCAATACCTCGCCCAACAACAGCAGCAGGCCCATCGTACTCAATACGGTATGCCCCCTACGCATATGCAGCAGCCTCATCCCGCGCGTTCCTCTTAACAGAACATTTGCATCGATTCTCTATGACGAATCTTGCTTTCACAATCTATAGGTGTGGAGGTGTGTGTGTGTGCGCGCGCGTGCCCTTCCGTCAGCCAACCCGCCTTGGGGGGTAAGGTGGTGGAATCGGAGGAAGTGCCCGGGATAGATAGTTACTTAAGTATTTAGGCCCAGCACTAGAATTACTCTTAAGGAAACGGTATTTCAGCGACGTCTTTCTAGCCTTTTCTTTTCGCGTGTTTTTGTGTGTTTCTCTCGTGACACCTGCACCTCCCTTGCCTGTATATGGACATGTGAAGGACGTCGGGTCCGATTATTAGATAATTGGGCTTCGTGCCGAATGCTATCTTTTCTCTATATATCTATCTCTATCTCTATCTCTATCTCTATCTCTATCTCTATCTCTACCACTCTTTCTTCTTTCTTTCTTTCTTTCCCCCCCCAAAAAAAAAGTTCCTTGAAGGCTTGTTTACGCAGCCTCCGTAGAGCCATTCCTATTCCCTTTTCATCCATCGATTCTGAAGTCCTTACAAACGTACTCGAAATGCCTATGGGGATATGTTTAGCCGTAATCCGCACAGCTGTTTATACCTAGTAGTGCCTACGACCCCCCTGTCCTGTGGAGTTAATATAGTTCGACGCGGCTTGGCCAGTGATAAACAAGCTAAATTCGGTACTTCCAGGATCAGCTAGCGAGAAAACTTTTCGACATCAACAGCCCTCAACTCTGTCAATTTAATTAATTAATTAATTAATTGTCAATCAATCATTCAGTCGTAAATATTAAAGATAAAGATTGAGCGCATGGGTTCAGAGCGCCTAGGTGCAGCAGCAATGCATAGCCAAGGTATTGATGTCCTCATGAACGCTATCCGTCTCGGCGAGATCAATGCTGTTCGGGAACACCTAATAGCTTCTAAACATCACCTCAATGCCGTGGATAAATTTGACTATTCTCCCATCGGTTTGGTAGGTGAATTTACCAAGCAATCATAGAGAATGTTGATGGACGCTTCCTAAACCTGCAGCAATCCTATTCAGGCAAGCCTCTGTGGCCACTATGATATCCTCGAGCTCCTTTTATCACTGGGAGCTAGGTGCGACAGAGGCACCTTCCAAGGTGAAAGGTAAATTGGTTTCTCCTCTTATATACTATGTATAACGGTAAGAGATATACATGTGTACTGTACCTAAGTACTTACACATATGCAGATGCACACGCAGGTGGATGGGTAAGAGCAGGCTAACCGATAATCGCGACCATTGTAATTTAATACAGAGCCGTTTATAGTGCGCTGAATGACCGTATTCGCAACCTCCTCCTAAAATACGATGTCTGTGCAGGGCTCGCTTTCAAGTGCCCGAGGCTACCTCCATACCTATTACCCCACATGGGACGTCTAGACTGACTTCTGTACAGTATTCGGTATCTATAGACAACAAACAGCCATATGCAACGCTGTTGTCGTCTCTACTATCCAAGGAGGTTGGCTGCGCCTCCCTAACAGGAATTTATCGGCCACGTCCAGATGGTGACACTTTTCTCCATCCACATAACAGTGGGGATGGAATTGTTGCCCATGCCTTTGTTCTAATAGCTCGCTCAAAGTACTTCCGTGACATCATGGAGTCTTCGGAATCGCTACAGGTTGACCGATTGCCGATTCCAACGGATGGGAACTCAACCCTAGCAGTACTCAGGTGTATGTATCTGATCGATTCGGACGATAACACCGAAACTGGGGATACCCCGGACTCTATCAAACTTTCGGTTTATTTCGGCCTACCTTCCCTAAGCAAATCAACCAATACGGAGCCGAGAGATGGTACAAACAGGCACACATCGCTTATCGAAGCTGCGCAAGATGACTTTCTTCGACTGTGGGACGAATGTTTGAGCGTTCCTCTCTGTCTGCCTCGTGGCGAACCATTTTCTGTTTCTAAATTAGCACCCCGAGTTCAAGTCCTACGACCGGATGTTGTGTTAGAGGTAGGGTCGCAGTTCGACGACGAGGTTTTTTTTTATGCGGTTCATAAAGCCATGATCCAAAGCGATTTCATCTGTACGGCGGTCCGGTTCAAGCAAGCGTTCCAGTCATCACAGATAGGTGGGCCCACAATAGTATCCATCGATGTCTCGCCTCAAATTATGGAAGCAATTTTGAAATGGTTTTACACCGATATGGTGGATATTCCAGTAGAGGCTGCCCTCGATTTACTACAAGCAGCAGACATGCTTTTAATCGAGAGGCTAAAATCCAGAGCGTGCTTACTTCTAACGACCCAAGATAGCGATGATTTATTGACCGGGGAACGCGGATATTCTATCTTCGACGTTGCCCGAGCGGGCTGGATGACAGGGACGTTTCTTAAGCTTGATCCATTCTGCGCCAGGTTCCTTGCAAATCGTCTGGAGAAGTGTCTGGAGGAGGGCACCATCAGGTTTCAGTTCGAAGAGCTTATCCGCGAGTCAGCCAGTAGGATTCAGAAGAGAGAGGAAACGGATACGATAGAACTTATCGATGACCTTCGGTACTATTTGAGCGGTAAACCCGATGACCCCCCTAAATTTAGTTTACCCTCTCTGGGATTCTACCCAATGGGGCATGTGCTCGAATTTTGTGTTTGATCATTTATATAGAACGGTTTAGGATGCGGTTCGAAGCACTTCCCGCGCACATGTTTTCCGATGAATCGCAGAATCATGTCGACAACATGGAGGCCCAAACCGAGCACACGACCGAGGTACTCAAGACCGACAACCATGAATACGAAAGGCTTACTGGTGCCCTTGACGAACTTTTAGGTGAGACGAAACTATCGTATTGACCTACGTTACAAGAATGGTGATAGTGTACTGGGAGCTGACCCGACGGTTGGAATGATGTTGTAGTTAAACTGGGGTTTGATGTGTAAGGGCAGTGTTGTTGCATTTAATCTAAATCGAATCCATGTAAAGGTACCCCTACTGGTGCTATATACCTACTTATGTATGATTAATATTAAGTATGTACTTACTTAGGTAAGTAAGCATCCAAGCTATTCCTGGTATCGACGTTAAATTTAATCAATACGAGCGAGACTGCGGTCTATTATATCTTGTATATCGAATATTGTAAGGAGGTAGGTAGGCTGGTAGGTAGATACTCACGGTCATCCTCCCTCTGCCATCAATCTTCACTCCACTCCACTCCACCTCACCTCACCTCACTTCACTTCACTTCACTTCACTTCACTTCACAACATTCAGCTCCACCGCACCGACTTGACATCTATTCTCAACTCAGCTCAGCTCAGCTGGTCACGCAACCGTATCGAATAAATCCGTAGCTTAGAATCAGTTACACATACACCCGTTCACTTCACTTCACTTCACTTCACTCCACTCCACTCCACTTCATTTCGCATTTGCATTCAAATTGACATATTAATAATAATTTATTTATTATTATTATCATTATCGATATTCACATACATACATCTACATCTGCGCGCGCATCCTCATATATACCTTACTCTCAATCATCCACACATACGCATACGCATACACATCAACGTACCCATATAAAGGCTCGGGAATTCTGCTGCTGCATTGTCAACCAACCCAGAGACCCCGCTCAATTGTTCTAAACATCCCCTTTCCCCAAACCATCCCTTAAAAAAAAAAAAAAAAAACGCCAACTCGCGCGAACCTTGCCAACTCGATTGGTCAATTGAAACCCCTTTCTTCTCTCTGCGGCCGACTAAACTGCTGGCAAGAAACGAAGGCAATGTGCATTAAATGAGATTCCACCATCTCCGTACCCATCGCCACTGGTTTCATCGTTGAATTCATTGAGGTGAGAAGGGACTTCTCCTTAGTGCTTCCATTCCAATTGATTATATCGCCTGTTTCTGCCCCCCCCCCCCCCCTCTCACTTTGCCCCCTTACAAATTGAGATTTACTCCAATGAGACCGAGGCCGTTGATTGCATTGTAGTCAGTCAAGAGGTTGTATCGGCCAAGGAGGAGAAAAACATCTTTACGGCCTCATCTGTGTGACAGTGCCGTTTGTCAACCTAAACATTTCCAATGCAATGCCCGAAACATCTCGAGGTCTCCACCATTGCCAAATAACTTAGGTACTAGAAAGGATAATGGGATCGATGGAGGCTCTCGTGCATCTGCATTGTCCTTGGTCCCTTTCTCTCGCTTCCCCCCTCCCCCCCTCCCCTGCTTCCCCTTCAAAATGATGAACACCCGCTTGAGTACTTGCCTCTTAACATTATGCAGACCTGCTGACTTGGCTGCCAAAGTATTTTTCTTATTCCACCCCATTCGACTCTTAATTCCTTATTTTATTTTACCTTCATAGTTTTGTTCTTCGCCCAGAATAAAAATATAGTAATAGAGGATACAGGTTCCGAGCAACCTCCGGAAACACCAAAATGCCGACTCCTTTCAAAAATACGATGCCTAGCTCGCAGCAAATCAATGGAGACCGGGTCCTTTTCCCAAGCGAGCAGCCTCGTTTAAATCCGAATTCCGCTCTCCAGGGCCAATCGCCGAACCTGGGCGACGAGGTCTTTCATCATTCCAACCTATCACCCCACGATGGCACAGATAATGGCTTGGGCCTTCATGGGCTTCATACCCCACAGACCTTGGATCTCCACAAAAACAATGGCAGTAACGACAGCCTTACATTTCAGACGTACACTAATCCCTTGGATAACCACATTAACTACGGTGTCCATGGGCTAGACTTCAATCCAACTGTCCTCCCAATCTCCTACAATCAAGGGAACGCGGACGATCCTCATGGTGCGGTTATGGCGGCATTCTTTCCAAACTCTGATGGCGGGCCAAAGCTTGATTCTCATACTGAAGCCCCCTATGGCACTGGAATTGGGACTGGTAACCCCCAACCAAGTCAAATTTCCATAAAAGAGGAAGCACAATCAGGCGGGGAAACACCCCAAAGAACCCCTCGCCCAGTTGTTCCCGGAAGCTCCAGCAAAGCTGCAACTATATCAGGGTCGAATTCAAAGATCATACCACCCCCAATAAATACGGATGCGCAGAGCCCGCAAATAGGAGGCGGTGGTGGTGGTGGCGGAACGAAGAGTCAACATAACACTTGGAGAAGAGGAAACAAAGGACGGACCCCGTTATCCGTCAAACGATCACAGTCTACTCCCAATGTTCAACTTGCGGCACAGCTAGCAGCAGCGAGCGCTGTTTCCGCCCCCCCGATACCCTCGGCAAACACGACGGATGACATCTCACCCGTCACTCTTGCGTACCAGCTTGATAAAAAGCGAAACAAATTAGGGTACCATCGGACTTCTGTTGCATGTGGTATGCCCAACCTCACGCAACCCACACCCCAAACTCCACAACTCAGCTTTTATCCTACAATGTAGAAGATTTGATATCTAATTACTTCCGTATTGCTTTATTATAGGGCACTGTCGGCGACGCAAAATAAGATGTATCCTTGCGAAGGACGAAAGCGGACGTTGTTCCAACTGCATACGGCTCAAGAAGGAATGCAGTTTCTACCCAGTAGAATCTGCAGACCGCCGGCCCCGCTCGGCCTCGAAGCCAGAAATATCTTCACAAATCTTCCAGGACAACTGCTCATCGCCTTCTTCACCAACTCGGTCCCCCAGACTCAGCGTTGATCAAATAAACATGGCCCCGGTATATGATGGAAGTTTATATCCATCGTCTCTGCCAATCACGCCAAATTACGAGTGTGAAACACCGACCTCCACGTTCGATGAAACCTACAGGAACAGGAGCTTTTCTTCCAGTAGCCGGGCCTCCTTGGCGTTTTCGAACTCAGGTTCGCGCCGGCCGAGCCTTGCACACATGTTCACAGCTCCTCTGCCCTCCCGGGAGTTTCGGTCATTATCAGATGCCTCTCCTACATATATGGAAACATTTTCTAGTTTCGCCTCACGGTTTGGGAATAGTACGAAGGCCATTGGGATTGGGATCGAAGACCCCACCTCTTCATTTTGGAGGCTCGAGAATGCTTCCAACAACTTTTCACCACTCTCCCAACATATCAATTTCGGCGGGATGCCATCATTACAAGAGGATTCTGTTCGACATGAGCGTCTTAATTCGGTTGATAATGGGGTTGGGCCCATGGCCCAGAGCTACGCAGATCCGGGCCTTTTTTCTGTTGGATCAGACCCACCGATTGAAAATATTATCTCCCATGCCGCCAAAGCGGTTATGGATGTACAGACGAGTCAAGCCTTTATTGAGGGCGCAGAAGCATTTCCGGTAGATGGCGGCTATGACCTTCCATGGAATGACCCAAGCAAGGGCGGGGCTTCTGGTATAGCACACAGTTCCAGCCTCGCGGAAAACTGGTTCTTACCACAGCAGTCTATCACCGACATGGTCTGCGACCCCGACTCACTCCAACATCTCAACCAAACAGCGCTTGGAGTTAAGCATGAGTGAAACCTTCTATCAAACAAAAACCGGGTATTACCTTTTCTTCTTTTGATGTTTAGCCCCTACCTTGTTTATCTAATTTTTAACTCCTCATGGCATGCTCGTTATGGTTTGGGCGGCTGCGACAGTTTCCTCTGATCTTTCCCCATTACATATTTCCTTTCATACAAAACATTTTATACTCTTCCACTTTTTATTTTTTGGTGTTTTATTTCTTTCCGTTCTTCTTTCCTCCGATTGGCTCAGAAAACGGCAGTGGTCTAGCAAGCTTTGGTTTTATCTGATTACATTGTATATTTAAGCATTCGGGCGCAGATGGGCCTTCTTGTTGAGAGGCTTAACATTTGGCAACAGTTGACCATCAAAAAAAAAACGAAGTTATTGGGCTCATTAAGCCTAGCTTACAACGCCATGTCACCACATGGAGCTTTTAGCTACTAGTGGTACTTCGCGTGTAGTTCGCGATTTGGCTAGGTGGAAGCAGATGGATAAGGATAAGACACGATGCAATATAATATCCAGCAGCTTCGGGAATAGTGAGCTGGTGTAGGAACCCCACAATTTTGGTTGAGTCAATTGAAGCAACAGGAGCGGATAGGTTTACAAAAGATACTCATATCCTATCAATGTCGACATCAGATGTGTCGTCATCTTCTCCTTCGATTCCAAAGTCCACACCCCCATCATCCATGCCCTCGATATCGAATGTGCCTTCGTTGATTTTCGCGGATTCTGGTAACTCTCCGTATGCCTTCAGGTTTCTGGCTTCATCGGCGGTGTATTTGAGAATTACATCACCCTTTTCGTCTTGGTAATCCCGAAGAGAGAGTAGAATAATATCGCCTTGGTTTATCCAAACCTATAGAATAGAGGACCGAGTAGATGAACCCTCGATGTTAGAAGAGGAAGAGGAAGGAGAAGAGAAAAGGGAGAAGAGAAAGGAGCATAACCCAACCTTTTTGCGAAGCTTCCCTCGAATATGAGCTAGCCGCTTCTCACCGTCGAAGCACATTGCTTCAAGTCTACCATTGCCGAGCATTTTTGTGACTTGGGCATACTCTAATCGAAAATCAGTCACCACGTTACGTTTTGAGAAATTGGGGTGTGTGTGCACATCATGATACATGCAGATTCACGTACCTTGGCCGTCCTCTTTGAAAGTAAGCTCTCTTTTCTCATTGTCGTTTTCATTCTTCCCTCTACGACGATTTTTACCTCCCTGTATAAATAGAAACATCAACATCAGCGCAATTTCGCCACCTTGGCCGGCTTGGTAAGAGGTAGGACAGTCAGTGACAGACCTTTCCCTTGTTCTTGGGCATATTTATTACACTGCTTCGGTATTGACGGGAGAGATGTCGTTTGGGCTATCGATACAAGCTTATTGGAGACGATTTTTCTTTCCTTTTCCTTTTCTTTCCTTTTCCTTTTCCTTTCCCTTTTTTTTGTGGTGGGTCCTTTTTGGTCGGTGAGGCTTTCTCGAGGTGATGTGAAGTGGGATGGTAACAACAGAGCCACTATTTAGTCTCCAGTAATTTTTAGAGTTTCCCAAATTGTGGCGCCGCGCAGACACGGCCACATTATTGTTGTGCCAGCCACACCCGTTCTCCACTATACCGCACCGCACAGACATGCACCAGCTTCATGCGCACCATCGCAGGACACCAACTTCCCAGCGCGGGACATCCTCCTCTAACCTCCTCTTCCTATCTATCAGGGTACGGACTCTAAACTTAACAAAGTTTGGTCCCGTGAATGGCTTCTCATGATGAAAGACGACGCTCGTCTCGAAACTCCATCTCTTCCAGCGATGCCGAACTTATAAGGGACCACTCACGGCGGCTGGGGCTAGCGTCCCCATCTGCGTCCTCCGCATCCAGCCAGTTGCTCGACCCATCCACCGTTGGCGCCCTTTCCTCCCACTTTGACCAATTGCTAGGGGCAATAGCGGGGAGGATTGAGAGTGTTTGTACTACACATTCATTGATATATTCTTCTCTTCCAATACGTATGCTTCCCACAAGCGCTTCTAACTCCCTACTCGCCTTGAGATCATAGCTGTCGGAGCAAACCCGAATCTCCACTCAACAAAGCCACCGACAGCACCTATCCACTGTCGACAAAGCCACAGCCGAAATCGAAAGATTCAAAGAAATACTACATCAGATTGACGAGCTCGAGCTCGAATTCGACCGCATTCGTCGTATACAAGAAATTGTATCAAACTTCAAATCACGAGTGGCGACTCTCGAACGAAGACTTGGAAGATGATGCTGGTCTTCAACAGCCTTCGGCTCGTCAAACATACCGGCCACCGCCACCGCCTTCACCTTCGATGGGTTTTTTGGATGATTTCCCGCATTACCAATACTTAATAAGATGACTAAAATCAACACATTTGGAGGTCTAGGAATGTGCCGCCTAGTTCCAAAAAGCACCAACAGCCCGAACCCGAATATATTCCAGGCACTACCTGCCTTCTCCAGTCCTAGCTCATACGATACATCACGGACTAGTGTCGATGATTGCTTTCGTGTATATACCAAATGCATTGCCTCACCATTCTAAGCTCTCTAGTAGGTGCGACTCATCCTGGACCTTGATCAACTAGTATTGTGTGGCACTGACCTCGACAACTAAACGCCGATAGGCTGACTACTCCTGCGTTTAGAAGGCCTTCAGCTTCTATCTGGCCCAGCTCATGGATGTGGCTATCACCGCCAAGGACAAAACACAATATGTTACCCTCTAGAAGGCTCGTCCCGCTCCCAGACTAGAAGGAAAGCTGTAGATTTCTCTTTTAACCAGCCCTATCAGTCGAGGGCGAGATATAGTGGAATAAAACACAGCAGTGAACTAAAGCAAACGAAATTTGAATTGAAGAGTACGTGCATCGAAAGTACATATTTGGTGTGCCGGGAATTAGATACTGAATAAGCAATTTTGGAAAATAAAAAGGGGATTAACAATATTTGCAGATAAAATTCTGCAGTGTAGACCCTTATTTGTTCTTTTTCGAGCTTTTGAGCCCTGGAAACCTAAGTATTCATGTAGCTAGCGAAAAGTCAGCATGTTTAATACGGTAAATAAAAACCTGTCGTGCTTACCGGCTAGCGTCGATTCCGCCCTCGGGAAATTGTTCCAATTGCACTTCGAATCGTTCCATGATTTTATCCAAGACTTCGGCGTCCTCTTTGCTGCTGACGAAACTGATGCTCAACCCCTTGGTACCGAATCGGCCGGCACGGCCCACCCTGTGAAGGTAGGAATCGGGATCGGCGGGAAGGTCGTAATTTATCGCAAGATTGATACGCTCGATATCGATTCCACGGCCAAAAACGTCCGTAGCCACGCAGATTCGTTTGTTAAATTCTTTGAAAGACGTGTAGCGTTTGATACGTTCTTCCTGCGATATGCCCGAATGCACAGCGATGGAGGGGAAATTGCACTCGACAAGCAGCTTGTTTAACTCGTTGGCCCGAACAGTCGACTTGACGAAAATGATGACTTGGTTGAATTCAAGTTGATCGAGAAGATCATTCAGCTTTCGATTCTTCTCCTTTTCATCAAGTTTAATGTAGTATTGTTGTAGACCATGGAGTGTGAGTTTTGTTTCATCGTCGACAAAGATTTCGAGCGGCGATTGCATGAACTTCTTGCATATCGGTCGAATGTCTTGTGACAGTGTGGCAGAGAACATCATAACTTGCTTGCTCTGTGGGGTTGCCCTAAATATCTCTTGAACGTCACGGCGCATATCTAGTTATTTCATTCTTAGCAAGCAGATTCCGAGCAATAGGTTGAAGGCAGAGTTGCTCTCCGGGTCAATATGAATGCTATACGAACCAATCTGATCAAGCATTTTGTCGCACTCGTCTAAAACAAATGCTTTAACGCTCCCAAGGCGTAGATGTTTGTCCCGTACAAGTGCATTAAGCCTTCCAGGTGTCGCAACAATGATGTGAGGGTGCGTGTCCTTGTTCTTCAAGACTTCGATATCCTTTTGCATAGGTGTACCACCATAAAAGACGCTGCATTTAACCTCCGGCATGTATTTCGAGAATCTTGTATACTCATTTCGGATCTGGTAGGCTAGCTCGCGTGTATGGCACATTACCAGGACAGCAGTTTCCCCGGCAACTGGATCAAGCTGTTGGAGCGTGGTTAACACGAATACAGCTGTCTTCCCCAACCCAGATTTTGCCTGGCAAAGAACATCGGTACCCAGAATAGCCTGTGGAATGCAAACTTGCTGGACTGTAACAAGTGAAGTTGGTGTTAGATGCGAATCATCAAAGATGGCTTGGCTCGGAACCGAGAATGAAAGCCGAAAGCAGAAGGACCAAACTAAGCAATGGGGACAAGAGGTAAAGTTATGTTTAGGAGGGCGGATATCCAGTAGTATCAAGGGAGGAAGGCGGTGTAGAATTCTTGAGCGGCATGGCCGTGATCTGACTCCTACCCCACCCCTTTAACCACTGTAGGGAGATACTCGGTTCGGAGCCGCATTTTGTGAGGTCCAGTATGTCCATTGTAGAATCCCGATGATGATGCGACGAGCCCTTAGTAGCGTGGTTTTCCTTCCAAGATCGGGCCTTGCGCGCCTAGCGCCAACGAAGCCATGCAGTCGAAAGACCAATTGTGGTTTCTTCCACCCAATAAGCCACAGTTGGGCGGCAGTAGCTCCATCCGGTGTTACTATGGCAGTGCCATCCGTTTCCCATAAATCTCGGCTATATCGAGCTGGTGTTGGTATGTTTTCTCATTCCGGTTTGGGAAATCACAGAGTATTATTGGAATCTTGGAAGCCCACTGGACGAAATATGTTTTGGTGCAAGGAACAATAAAGGAGCGGACATAGCAGGAGAAGTAGACTGACCCTCGGAAGGATGCTCGAAGCCGCAGTCGACGATTGCTCGGAGGAGTTCCGGTTTCAAGAGAAAGTCGCGAAAACCGGTGCTGTGTATTCCGACATATGAGCCCTTTTTATTATCGGCTTGGTTCGACGTTGTCGTTTCGTTCTTTTGTGCTTCACCATTACCCGTTACTCCAGTTGCTTCGGTAGGCGCGTTTGCTTCGTTTCCGATTTCGTCGTCGGAGTAATCAATGAGATCCTCTTCGTGTTCAGACATGGTTACCAGTGTCAAAAGAGCCGACTGTGCTGGAATGTGAAGTCCATACGAGTGAGCAGATTATCGAGAAAATAGTGTTACTGGAGGCTAAATAATCGCGTACCTAGTTTGTTTAGGAGTGTGGTGTGATGTGAACTTCGGGTGGTGAGCAGCTTGATGTTTGTGTGTTAGAGAAACAGTTCTTATGAGGTGGCGACTATGTGAAGGAAGTTGGAGGCAAGGGTCAAAAATGGGCACAACGCACCAACCATATATATCATGTTTGTGAGCAGAACGACGCAGCAGGTTTAAACAATAATAATGAATTAGAAGATTGAATAATTAAATAATTAAATAATTAAATACAAACCGTTTAATTTTTTATGGGCTTATCAGCAAGCCCTGCATGATAATTTAGTTTAATATTTGTTATAATAAGTAGTATGTTAACAACCTTGGTTCAAGATGTTTTTAAAAAAAATGATAACCAAAAAGTTTTGATAAAGAGAATGCATCATAGTAATAAAATTAATAATTAAATAATAAATAAATAAGTATTAATTGTAAGCTACTGCTTAATTATATGTGTAATATATCTAATGTGAGGATGGAGCGGTTTAAAGCAGTTTAATATCTTAGTAAATCTAAACTACATGGATTTATAAATTTTAAAATTTAAATTGTCCCAATAAACTTAAAAATAATAATAAATTATTTTACGCAGTTTTTAAAAAAAAATTTAAATCTATCTAAAAAGTATTATAAAGTTTTATGTGTCAAACTACAGTCTATGACTATGGTTCTCTCCGAATCTCTCGTAAATACTTAAAGCATGAAGTAATATATCTTATTATGCAGAATTAACTTAAATTATTCAATACTAATTTATATTATTACTAGTTATATATTTTATATATATATATAGCAATCTAACTACTAGTAGGTATTTTTCTATAAAAGTTTTATTTTTTATTGATTCGTGTTAGCAGTCATAGTACTTAGAGAAATCGGTAGCCAGAAAAATACAATAAAAACAATGTATTACAATGATAGGAGTTAATGATCAAGTAGTAACTAATTACTAATTAATTATTGAATGATTGTTAATTAATTATTAAGTGATTATAAATTGATTATAGATTAATTATTATAATTTTTACTATATAAGTGTTACAATAGCTGGGCGGGAACTACGAGATCGCAATCCACTAACTATGTGTACGGGTAGAGAATAAAACGAAGAAAATTTATAGCTAGAGAATCTATTAATTTATAATTACATAAATTAATAGTTGAAAAATAGAATATATTTAAGTAGATCTATTATATTTTTATATAATAAAGATTGTAATAATTAATTTATAATTATTAATTCTTGTTATTATAATATATTATTTTTATTATATTTTTTTAACTATTGATTTTTTTAAATATTTTTAAATTATAATTGTTAATATTTTTATTTTTTTTACTAATTTATTGTTTTTAAAAGTATAATCTATTGCTTTGAAGATTATTTAAAGATAGTTAAGTTATTTACAATTTTATTTAGGAATTATATATAAAAAATAATATTTATTATTGTCACGACCTAGTCATATTGACTAATCCGATTAGGAAATATGTTTTGGTATGATAAACATACTTTTTGTTTTTACTTTTCTTTATCTTACAAAATATTTTTAGTTATAATTATTTGGATTCTGTTACACCTGTTCCAGGATTCTTTGGCAAGGTTTCTTAAAATAGCTTAGTATTTTGTTGTATTTTTTAATTTTATATGTTTAGATCTTTTAAAGAATAATATAGTATTTGGGGCGAAGATATAAAATTATATAAATAGAAAGTATAATATAATAATTAATTATAAAATTAAATACTATTTAAGTAGATTATAAATTAAATTAATAAATTAATTAATAAAATTTTAAAATAAATTAAG